AGACCTAGCATACATTGAGTTTTCTCGTGCCCCGACTGGCGATCTACGAGGTGTTGTTTTGAGTCATCGGACAATCATGCACCAAATGGCCTCTTTTAGTGCTGTTATTGCCTCTATCCCCGGCACTAACGAAAGCCAGAAGTCGACGCCGGGTGAGATCCTGATGAGCTATCTTGATCCGAGACAGGGGATTGGTATGATTTTGGGGATTCTTCTCACTGTATATGGTGGTCACACCACCGTATGGCTGGAATCTCACGCTGTTGAAACCCCTGGTCTGTACGCCAGTTTAATTACCAAATTCAGAGCTACACTTTTAGCTGCTGACTATACCGGGTTGAAACGTGCGGTATATAACTACCAACAGGATCCGATGACGACAAGGAATTTTAAGAAGAACGTCGAACCGAATTTCTCCAGCTTGAGGCTCTGCCTTATAGATGCGTTGTCAGTTGATTGTGAATTCCACGAAATTCTAGCTGACAGATGGTTGCGCCCCCTACGAAACCCCAGAGCCCGAGAACTGGTTGCTGCAATGCTGTGTCTACCAGAGCATGGTGGGATGGTGATCTCCATCCGAGACTGGCTAGGGGGCGAAGAGCGCATGGGTTGTCCCCTGACGCATGAAATGCACCCGGTAGAAGATAAGGATAGCAAGACGGAAGAAAAAGAAAAATCCGATGAACCCAAACCAGCATTTGGTAGCAGTTTAATTGGCGGTGGAGCTACCACAGCCACACCACCAAAAGCAGAATCCCCAAGAGATGAGCTTAGTGAGGTGCTGCTGGACAAAGAGGCGCTGAAAAATAACGATGTCGTGGTCTTAGCTCTGGGCGAAGAAGCTAGGAAGCTCGCTGACAGCACTCTGAACTCTGTGAGAGTCGGAGCTTTTGGATACCCCCTTGCTGATGCTACTCTTGCAATTGTCGACCCGGAAACTGGATTGCTTTGCACCCCCAACCTTGTTGGAGAGATATGGGTTGATTCTCCTTCGCTGTCTGGCGGCTTCTGGGCGCTGCCAAAACATACTGAAACTATTTTCCATGCCCGGCCATTTAGATTCCAAGAGGGCAGCCCCACGCCCGTAATCGTGGAACCTGAATTTCTACGTACTGGCTTGCTTGGATGTATTATTGAAGGACAGGTTTTCGTACTTGGTTTATACGAGGATAGACTACGCCAGAAGGTAGAATGGGTTGAACACGGCGTTGACAGTGCAGAACATCGTTATTTCTTCGTCCAGCATTTGATTCTCAGCATCATGAAAAATGTTCCAAAAATTCATGATTGTTCTGCCTTTGACGTTTTCGTTAACGAGGAGCATCTGCCTGTCGTTCTGCTGGAATCATATGCAGCATCTACGGCTCCAACAACATCCGGCAGCCCACCGCGTGTGCTGGATACATTGCTGCTAGACTCGCTTGCTGAGCGGTGCATTGAGGTTCTATATCAAGAGCACCACTTGCGAGTGTACTGCATCATGATAACGGCGCCTAATACTCTGCCTCGATCAGTTAGAAATGGTCGACAGGAGATTGGAAATATGTTGTGTCGAAGAGAATTTGACAATGGCACGCTACCATGTGTCCATGTTAAATTCGGTGTTGAAAGAGCGGTGCTCAACCTACCCATCGGAACAGATCCTGCAGGAGGAATCTGGTCACCCTCGTCATCTGCCGTACGGCAAGATGCCCTCGCAATGCAGGAGAAACAATACTCTGGTGTGGACATACGAGACGTGATAATGGACGATCGGACATCAACTCCTCTAAACAATTTTGCGAGCATCGTCGATCTACTGCAGTGGCGAGTTAGCAGGCAGGGAGAGGAACTTTGCTACTGCTCCATCGACGGCCGCGGTCGCGAAGGTAAGGGCATTACCTGGAAGAAATTCGACACCAAGGTTGCAGCTGTAGCAGCGTTCCTGAAAAACAAAGTCAAACTTCGACAAGGAGACCATGTGATATTGATGTATACGCATTCAGAAGAATTCGTGTTCGCCGTTCATGCCTGTCTCTGTCTTGGATTGGTTATCATACCCATCGCGCCCATCGATCAGAACCGACTCTCAGAGGACGCCCCAGCTTTACTTCATTTGATTTCGGATTTCCATGTGAAGGTCGTGCTTGTGAACAGCGACGTTAATGACCTCTTGAAGCAAAAAGTTGTCGCCCAGCATATAAAACAATCAGCAAATGTTCTTCGCGTCAATGTGCCGCAAACATATAACACCGCAAAACCCCCTAAACAATCCCACGGATGTCGACACTTGGGATTCACTCTTAGCGAAGGGGTGATAAAATCTCACTTGCCAGCAATGGTGTGGACATACTGGACCCCTGATCAGAGAAGGTTGTCTGTACATATTGGCCACGACACAATTATGGGCATGTGTAAAGTCCAAAAGGAGACCTGCCAAATGTCTAGCTCCCGCCCCGTTTTAGGAAGTATTCGAAGTACGATGGGTCTTGGATTTATTCATACCTGCTTAATGGGAGCTTACGTCGGTAAGTTATAGCCTAAAACATGACTAGCTGCCTTCGTCTAAAGACTAACTTACCTTTATAGGGGCCCCGACCTACCTCGTGTCTCCTGTCGATTTTGCTGCTAACCCGTTATCACTATTCCTCACTCTGGCTAGGTATAAAATCAAAGACACGTACGCTACTGGCCAAATGTTGGACTATGCCATGAGCAGCATGACCGCGAAGGGATTTCAGTTACATGAGTTGAAGAATCTAATGGTAGCGACAGACGCAAGGCCAAAGGTGGATGTTTGTAAGTTTTCACTATACAGAAGTCCTCCAGCTCGTCCACATGCTAACCATATTACCATGTAGACCAAAAAGTTCGACTTCACTTTGCCTCCGTTGGCCTCGATCGAACCGCGATTAACACCATATACTCCCACGTCCTCAATCCGATGATAGCATCAAGGTCGTACATGTGTATTGAACCAATTGAGCTATGGCTCGACACCCTATACCTCCGACAAGGATACGTATACCCCGTCGACCCTGACACCACAGCAAACAGTCTCTTAGTCCAAGATTCGGGTATGGTTCCCGTGAGCACCCAAATTGCCATCGTAAACCCCGAAACCTGCTGTTTGTCTCTTGTGGGAGAATACGGTGAAATTTGGGTCCAATCCGAAGCCTGCGCAAAAGCCTTCTATGGATCTATGCAGGAATTCGATCTAGAGAGGTTCCGAGGTCGTATAATCGACGGAGACCCAGAAGCCGTTTACGTTCGTACTGGTGATTTAGGCTTTTTGCATACTGTGACAAGGCCAATTGGACCGGGTGGTCAACCAGTTGAAATGCAGGTCCTATTCGTACTAGGCGGCATTGGAGAAACGTTTGAGATCAATGGACTTAATCATTTCCCCATTGATATCGAGATTACCATTGAGAATTGTCATAGAAATATCGTCAAGGGTGGAAGGTAAGTATCATATCCTGTTTGAGTTGCTACGCTCTTCAGACTAGCTAACATATGTGAATAGTGCTGTCTTCCAAGCTGGAGGTTTAACCGTTGCCTTGGTTGAAGTTACTCGAAAAGCTTACTTAGCCTCTATGGTACCTGTCATCGTGAACAGTGTACTAAATGAGCACCAAGTAGTAACAGACATTGTGGCCTTCGTTCCTCGTGGCGATTTCCCACGATCACGCCTTGGTGAAAAACAACGTGGGAAAATCCTAGCATCGTGGGTAACACGTAAATTGCGGACCATTGCCCAATTTAACATCCGCGATGGAAGTGGTCATGATACCAAGCCCGGTGAAGCACCAGAACGCCGCCAGTCCTCAAAAGCTGGTAGTATCATTGATTCCAGCATCCTCCAGCACCAGACTCCACCTCCGTACCATGAAACAGAAGATTACGGAAACGCGCAACTACATCCTGCTGCCCGAGACTCCCAGCATGGGCAGATTGAACACGCCGACCAGTACCTCGCCTCCCCTGAAGGTATCGTGGATTATGATCCACCATCCTATAGAGGTGCAGAGAATGCTGAGCAATACCAGAATCCCGACGCCGCGGGCTATGATATGCCACAAGATCAAAAGTCGCATATACAGCAGCACAGCCTGCCTATCAGAGAAGGCGGAGAGGGGAGGATGCCATCCGCTGAGCATCCAGGCGTTCAACGAATTCGAAGCCCCGAGGGTTACGCGGGTAGCGGTAGTAGCATCAACCGAACCGCATCTCCAGCCGCAGCCCCTATTTCCAGCGACATTCCTCGACATGACAGTGTTTCTCCACGAGGCGGGCTCCGCGTTCACAACGGAGACGACATAGCACCACGACCGGAATCAAGTGTTCCCAATTTCGCAATTTTTGATCAGGCACAGCTCATGCCGCCAGTAAGAAGGAAAGAATCGCCTGCAGCCAACCCATTACCGGTGAGGCACAGCAGTATCCAAAAAGATAACTTCCATGGTCCTCCTACTACCACGGGTCATGGAAATCGGGGAATTCATGACAACACACAATATTATGACGAAGCTTATGAAAACGTCGATGATTGGACGGAGGATCCTGGTGCTCCTCGCACCCAGCACCAATAATGCCCTGTGGATAGAGTGGACTATAGCTAGGCCTAGCGGAGCTCCCTCAACTCCATAGCGCTTTACGATACAGCTCAGGCTAGAATGATTTTATGTATGCTATGTAATAACCAAAAAATAATTTACATTTGTTTTTATTAAAATATGCTGCTTTTTTTGCTATTGTTCCACCCTATTTAAAAAGTATCCGACCGGCCATTACCGAGCAATATAGACAAATGATGAATGGACATTGTTTGTGCAGCTGCTACCACGAATCAAACTAGAGGGTATGCTAACACATGGGTAGTGATTCGCCCGGGGTTTCATTAATATTTTCGTTTCTCCATTAAATTTGGCTTAAAGGAAGTAGCCATTCCAATAAAAGGGGGGACATAAAGATCCATTTAACTTTTTAGCATCTCAAGAAGAGACAGGACAGGTAGGAGTTTACAAGTTCTCCGCTGCCGATTCAAGGGCACTAATGTCTACTTTCTGATTTTCGGCGCCCGCTGGTGGGACGGCCAGAGAACCGTGCAGTTTCTCCAAAGCATCGATGTCCGCTTGGCTAAAGTTTTGGGAGCGGGTTGGGCGGAATGGGGTGCTTGCACGAGAAGTTAAGAACTAAAGTCACGTATGGTTAAATATATTGATTCGAGACGTTCAGGAAACGGGGGTAGCTTACGGAACTAGCAGCACTCAGCAGTGCGATTAAACTGGCTTGGACAACGTCACGATGGACACCAACACCCCACACGCTCTGGTTTGAGCCTGCAGCGGTACATTCGATGTATGTTGCTGCCTTGACGTCTCGCGTACGACCGATAGCGTGCTCGGTATAGTTGACGACATCTAGATCGATACCCAAGGAGTGCAAAGCGTGTGCCAAGGCAGAGATAGCACCACTTCCGACACCGACGATGCCATGCTGTACGCCATCAATCTCAATGATACCAGTGAAACGCCTCTTCAAGTTTTGAGTATTGACAGCCTTCCCAGGGGCAGGTGGTGCAGGAGATTGTGATCTGTCTGCTGTGATGTTGTAATCGACCAGGTTGAAGCGTGGATTTGTCTTGAGATGGTAAGCTTCTTCGAACAAAGTAACGATCTCATTAGGCTTCAATTCGCGGTTCAAGCGATCTGCGTCCCTCTGTACAATCTTGCTGAATGCAACCTGTAAGCCACGAGGAAGATCCATCTCCAAGCTGCGGAGGATAACCCAAGCAACACCGCCCTTGCCGCTCTGCGAGTTGACGCGGATGATGGCCTCGTAGTCTCGGCCGATGTCTTCTGGGTCGAGAGGGAGATACGGCATAACCCAGGGCGTATCTTCTTTGAGACCAGCAGCTGTACGTGCCTGGAATCCTTTCTTGATTGCATCTTGATGGCTGCCGCTGAAAGCACAGAAGACAAGCTTGCCAGCGTACGGCCAGCGTTCGTTGACTGGAATTTTATTGCACTCTTCTACCACTTGGATGATAGACAGAATATCGGAGAAGTCGACACCCGGAGATATACCTTGGGTGTATAGGTTGAGAGCAAGGGTGACAAGGTCGACGTTACCAGTTCTCTCGCCATTACCAAACAGGGTACCCTCAACACGCTGTGCACCGGCCATCTGAGCCAACTCAGCAGCAGCAATCGCACATCCACGGTCGTTGTGGGGGTGTAAGGAGATGCAGACCTTCTCTCTCTCAGAGATATGAGTGGAGAAATATTCAATCAGATCCGCGTATACGTTTGGAGTAGACATTTCCACTGTCGCCGGCAAGTTGAAGATGATTGGATCTTTCTCACTGGGCTCCCACGCAGCTTTGACCGCCTCACACACCTGCAAGGCAAACTCGGGATCTGTATCCGAGAAGGTTTCTGGCGAGAATTCAAAATGCCATTCTGTGCCAGCCATCGACGGATCGTCCTTTGTGATGGAGCGAGCATACTTTGTACACCGCACGGCCATTTCTAGACTCTGTTCTTTGGTCATGTTGAAGATGATACGTCGGAAGCACGAGCTTGTAGCAAGGTATATGTGGAGGATGGCCTTCTTTGCACCTCTCAGGGACTCGACGGTGCGTTTGATGAACTCCTCACGACAGGGGGAGAGCACCTGGAGCCAGACATCGTCCGGGACGACTCCGGGTGTTTCGACTAGATGTCGTGTGAAATCGAAATCCGTCTGTGACGCTGACGGAAACGAGACTTCTATCTCCTTGTATCCTATGTTGACTAGCATGCGGAAGAATCGGAGTTTTTGGTCCCCATTCTATGACTCAAGTGGTTAGTGAATTGGCCATATGAGCTCGTTGCAGATTCTACAGATGGCCAATTAACCATGAATTCTCACCATTGGGTCGACCAAGCTCTGGTTTCCATCTCTAAGATCTGTTGCCAGCCATCGTGGCGGCTTGTCCAGGGTCTTGTTCGGCCATTGACGATTTGGCAGGTCAATGGGCTTGAATTTCGTGTATTTTTTGGAAGGATCCTTGAGCCTACATCGATTTAGGGTCAATTGATTAGCTTCTTCCTGACTTTTAAATAAGATAAAGCTATAACATGTTCCGTAGCTCATACATCGGCATATTGAGGGGAGATCTGCTATGACCAGGAAGCGAGCTTAGGTGCGGGACGGAGGTTCAGATAAGCCCTGAAACTCTTATCCGGAGCAGGGAAGGGCAATTGGACAGGCGACAGGGGAGTTAGAGAGAACAAAGCAGAGCGAGAGTGCTCCACGAAGCCAGATATCGAGACCTAAGTGAAGTCGTCAAAGAAACCGAAAAGGCTTTCGAGTCTATCAACTTTCTGCCACTCCTTATAAAAGAAACAGCTGGCCTGAGCTTTTAAACGCGGTGAGTCAGGGAAAGCTTAGACCGACCTCGGCCCGTGGATTTAGCCGATATCGGGGTTAGTCATATGCTTAGTCAGTATCGATAAGGATATAAGCCGATAAGCAGGGCTGTTGTTGCTATATTTATCCTCTATACACTTTCGACTTCCTGAGACCGTTCTATACGGAAAACACATATATAGGCAAAGTGGCCTGGTTTAACGCTTCTTCCCACCCTTGGCCTTCTTCTTGCCCTTCCCTTGAGCGCCCGGCTTGGCCTCTCGCTCAGCCTTGCCCTTCTTCCAGACCCGGCCCTCCTCTCGTGTCCGTGTGTCGTCCAGCTTCTTCTTGTCCTTGCCGCTCAGCTTCTTCTTCCCCTTCTTCCCAGAGTCTGGTCCATTTAGCTCCATCAGCCCTCGCTTCTTAGACTCCCTCTTGTCCTTCTCCGACTCGAACCATGTGCGCTTGGGTCTGGACATAATTTCGTCCTGGTGGCCGATCAGATTCTTCCCGCGAGTGACCTGCATCTCTGCCTGCGCTAGCTGTTTCTCTTCCTTTTCTTCCTGCAAAACTTCCTCAATCTCAGGCATCAGGTCGTTGACCTGTTCGGCCCATTTGTCTGCGGTGGCTTGGTCGATCACGCGGCTGACGATCTTTGCACCCTGGGCACGACCTGCCTTGACTGCTTCCTTGACTACCTTTCGATCAGGCTCCGCTGCGATAGTACATGCACGACCGCTTCGTCCGGCACGAGCTGTACGACCAACTCTGTGGAGGTAAATTTCGTGCGACTGTGGCGCCTCGTAGTTGATAACGGTCTCAACGCCCTTGATATCGAGACCACGGGAGGCAAGATCGGTAGCCAGTAGGTATGATGCTTTTCCATCTCTAAAGGCTTCCACGCTTTTGATTCTCTGGTAACGTATCAGCATTTGAACCGACATCTATTGCTGAGTCAATTGGGCTTACCTGTTCCTGGCTCATGCTTCCGTGGAGTTCAGCCGCCTTCAGGCCCATGAGGCCAAACACGATTCGAACCCTATGGGCTTCCTTCTTTTGGCGGAAGAACACGATGACCCTGTTTGTATAAACAGTCTTGCATAAAAACATAAGATAACCTAACCGCTTATCCTCTCTTCCAGGTCGCAGTCTGACAAACTCCTGAACCAGTGTTACCACAGTCTGCTTCTTCGCATCAACCATTAACCGAACTGGCTTGTTGAGACCGACTCGAATAAGCTTGTCAACAGAATTCGTCATTGTCGCAGAGAACAGCATAGTTTGCCTGGACTTTGGTATCGTGGTCAAAATCTCGTTCAACTCTTCCGCAAACCCGTCCTCGAGCATTCGATCAGCTTCGTCAAGAACCAGGATTTCCAAAGTATCAACAGTAAAACTTGCTGAATTCCTCATGTGGTCAATAAATCGACCGGGAGTGGCAATGATAACATCAGGCCGCTTCTTCAGGATATTCTCCTGCTCTCGCAGACTGAAACCACCCACAAGCTGACAGAACGTGATATCGGTAAAGGTAGCTAGCTTAGTCGCAACATTATAACACTGCACTGCCAACTCTCGCGTAGGCATCAGAATAGCAACTCGACTCGTCGGGACCTTCCGTGGCCTATAGAGTAAACGTTCTAGGATGGGGACAATAAAGGCGCCCGTTTTACCGGAACCCGTTACCGCACCACCAACCACATCTTTACCGAGTAACGCAACTGGAATCGTTTTTCGCTGGATTGGTGTAGGCGTAGAAAACCCGACCGACGCGAGTCCTCGAAGAATTGGGCGGGAGAGTGAAAGGTTTTGGAAAGAGATGGCTGCCCCCGAAGCAGATTTTGACTCGGCTGCTGGTTCCTCTGGAGCGAAGAATTCATTTTGCTTGCGAATTTCCTCGTCGTCTTCACTATCGCCACCGGATTCATCCTCGTCAGACGCAATATCGTCCGGATGCGGCACTGCAGAAGCCACAGAGTCACTATCATCATCGTCGTCGTCGTCGTTTCCATCTTCATCTCCTGCTTCTTCCTCGTCCTGCTCATCGTCTTCATCTAACCCCGCGATCTCATCCTCACTTTCCGAGACGCCTTGGGCTCCCATTCCAAACGCATCAGGTGCGAGGAGCTCATCATCGTCAAGATCCACGTTTATCTCGTTATCTTCGTCAGCTTCCTCTGCGTCGTCCTTATCCGCGTCTTCAAAACCTTCCCTAGCAGCTTTCTTAGTGGCCTTCTTCTTGTCACGTTCTCGTTTTTCCAGATTCCTCTGTCTCCTTCGATCTAAGATATCATCGATATCGACCGCTTTCTTCTCTGTTGCCTTAAGTTTATTCTGCCCTTCATCTCCCCATCCATCGAAATCCTCCAATAACCCCCCATTCGCAACGCCGCCGACATCGAATTCAAAATCTGGATTTAAAACACCATTCTCGTCTTCGTCAAATTCTTCCTCTTCTTCTTCTTCTTCCTCTTCGGCTGTGGTATTTTCTATTTCCTTGCCATTGGCGACATTCTTTCCGCCCTTCTTTTGTTTCTTCCGTTTCTTCGAGTTCGTGCTTTGTTCGACCTCGGTATTATCGGGCTCGTCTCTTCTTCGTTTTGTGCCAGAGGTTTTTGTCTTGGACCTTTTCACCACTACACTGTTCTTGGTAGTTTCACCTTCCGAATCAACATTAGGAGCTTCTTCGTCGGACAAGGTGAAGACAAAGTCGTCTTCGAGGTCAGCGCGTCCCATGGGTACTGTATCCTTGGTTTTCAAATGCTAAAGAGACAAATAAATGTAAATCTCTTTATCATTACCCACGCTTGAAGTCTAATTGCAGATATTAGGTCTAATCCACCAACGTGGATGTTCCTAATGCAATTGACGAAAATCAGTATACTGTACCGAGTATATCTTCACGCCAAAAGTTTACTGGCAGTTTTTTTTTACTTTTTTCTGCCATGATATCCCCAAAGCGGTGAGGAACTAGCAATTAGTCATCAATACAACCCACTATTCTCGGAATTTCGGTGAAACTGTTATTCCACTATGTATACGCTGCCTATGCCAACTATTAAAACCGTTATAGGCACCATATATCTATTAAGAATGTTATCTAGAGACTCTAAGTTATCTAAAATTATATTGAGATATCCTCCCTTGTTATTCTTATTCTTATTTTTCGACGAGTTGTGATAAGATCTTTCGAATGGGACTTGCCCCCCCCCAAGTAGCATCCTATAGTTCATGACAGACCCTAGGATTCTCCCTCTGGAACGGATGAAAATCATGCATTATCTTGGGTCTTGCCATATTCAGGCAGAGCCCATTTTTGCATCCATTCTGACTCGAGAATTTGCTTACTAGTAGGGCGATTCTCAGGTCTGAATGAAAACATCAGCCGTAGCATATCAAAGAAAGCATCCCGCTCCCTTGCATCAAACGACGATATGTCACTCTCTCGCCTAGGCTTTTGTACGCTATCCTCAAACCGATCATCCCAGGATCGGTAAGGGTTGCGGTTTATTGGCTTACCATCCTCAGTAAATATCAGTCGTCGGGCCTCCCACCTGCCCCACCATTCAGGTGGTAAAACACCAAGAGTATCGACATGTTCACGGGTTATGTAATCCTCTGTTACGAAAAATGCTTCAAATAATGGCCGTTGGGCTATAATGGACCATATGGTACAGGCGAGAGTCCAAATGTCCGATGAAAAAGACAGAGGATCGTTTGGTTCAAACCGCGCCTCTGGTGGACGGATGACAAGGGGGGCACGAGATTCATATTTCTGTTCTTTTGAGGGGGAAAATGCTTCGCCAAAATCTGTAAGCAAGATCCTGGTTTCCGAAAGTGTGAGTTCCTCACTCGCTTTCCCCAACCATATAGGCATAATGCCGTGAGATGGGACACCCGCCGGAAGCGGCTTGCCATCTAGACAAACAATTGGATCTAGTTCCGGTTCTCCGTATTTCTCATATAATTGCTTGACTGAGAGCTGATGGATATTGGACGGTACTTTGAGAAGAGTGTTGCCGAGGTGAAGGTCTCCATGGACAATTCCTTGGGCATGCACATAATCCACAACAAGAACCAGTTGCGCAGCCAATGACCTAGCTACGTCAAGCTGGAATAAGCGGATCCATGAGCCATCTTTCGCCCCTGAGAGGCTAACGCTCCCGGGGGCTGTAACGTGACAAGCATGGTTACCATTTGGGCCGTGAATGGTGAACCTATCTAAAATTGAGGGAACCATCATCCTTCCTAGGTGGTTAACTGAAGGGTAATCAGGACGAGTGAGAGTGGATATAGTGTCCACCTCCTTTGGATTGGCGTCTGCAGTGCAAACTTTCACTGCAACGTATTTATTAAATCGTTCATCACGAGCCAGCCATGCAGTCGAGTAAGACCCATGTCCCAGCTTATGAACAACTCGATATCGATCGTGAAAGTGGTCTCCAATTTGTATAGGGTGGTAGCCCCCCGGCCGATAGTTCTCAAGCCTTTCGACTCCCTCGAGGGGCTCGTAGAGGACTTGTGTGTCAAAATATTTGTTGGTCTCCATTAAGTTGAATGCAGTAACACTCAATGCGCAGCAGGATTGCTTGTGATGAAGCAACGGCATATGCCCGTTACGAGGGACCTGAGAAATGACTGGGGACCATGAACGTTGCGGACGCAACAGCCGGATGGCTAATGACAGAAATTGACTCATCACCGTATCACACGGAAAATCAAAGCAAAAAAAAAGTTCGATAATGGAGATCAAGTTATATCACAAGTCTTTTCCCAATCAAGTGAGCACTGAGTTTCACCAAAGCGTTCAACTACCGCGATGCCTTCCAAGGTCTTTGGCTTGAAATCTGAAGGGAACCATCCAAGGCTGGAAAATGTTCCAGCCTGACTCTAGTTTCCTAGCAAAGAATGGGATCGGTCCAGTATTGTGCTCATCAGCCTCAACTAGATGATGTACAAACACAGATGCTATGGAGGAGGTCAGATAGAAAGAATAGGGGTGGAAATTTGCTTTGCAGTCAAAATTTAGCCGCCTTTCTAGCCTCAAATGCGGGCTTCGATTCCACACACCCCCATATTCCAGTTACAATTGATGAAAAGCAGAATAATATACTCCGTACTCTGTAGAAAATAAATTCAACGTCAAAAGTTTACCGTTTTTCTGCCATGTAAATATTCTAAAGCGGTGAGGAAGCAGTGATTAGTCATCAACCTAAATAAACACGACGTCTAAAAATGTTCGACTTTAGATGAAAGCAACGACGAGAAGTATGCAAAGGCATATGCAAGTGTTATAGCCTTCATCATGGATATATCAGGTCCCTACGACTTGGTATATGTTGCATATTAGCCCCCCTTACGCGCGAATGGAAGCAGGAGGATGAATGGTCATCTATTATTTCATCTACAACCGAAGGGATATGGAGGACATAACCAATGGAGAACAGGCACTTTGAAACCCTGGATGAAAAATCTAGACTATTACTGCCCCTAGAAAGGATGAAATCCCCCCTTTACCCACTCTCTGGGATAGCCATGCTAGTGTTATACACCATATATCCAGCGTTGACCCTAGGGTGAGGAAATTAGTGGAGTTGGAGTTGATTGTTAAGATAAGGGAATCACTTACAATACTTTCTTGTTGACGCCGACTCCTTTGAGGTAAGCCTGTTCCTGGAAGCCGAATTCTTCGCTAAGCCATTTCCTGGTCCAAGCATACTCTGAAACCTCTTCGTCTGAGTGGTTGATGATTGCAATGAGTCTCATGACGGGGTGAGATAGCCCCAGGCTATACACATCTCGACTCGGAGCAGCGCATTCGAAAGTATAACCACCTCGTACGCAATATTTTGGATCAAAAATTTCGATCATCTTATCCAGAAGACAACTCCCCACTCCCATTCTGAGTTTCCTGGGGTGCACGTACAATTCGACGTCGCAGGCATATCGTTGTGTGGAAAGGGGCCCCGTGAAGTCGCTGAGGCAGCAGAAACCATAAAGCATTTCCGGTTCGTGATTCATAGCATGCCAAATCTTGGGGTGTCTCTCTACGGCGACCAGAAATGGATAGTTTTCTCCTTGAAGCTCTTCAATATGTTCTCTCATCTCGTCGTACGTTATTTCCACTATGTCTGCACGACGCAACGTGTTTCTGACATACCAGTTAAAGAGCTCGACAAGGGCCGTTATATCCTTTGGCTCAACTGGACGAATGTACATGTTGAGCTTTGGTGTGTATGGGGCTGGTTCATCGGGTGCCGGTGTTGGCTTTGGTAGGATTGCTAGACGTTTTCGTTCCCGCTCTTCTGTCTCTTTTCGCTCTTGCTCCTGGCGGATTCTCAGGTTCCAATTGTGCACATATCCGCTTGCAGTCTCATGACAATGGGCTAGATTCTCCGGGTCGGAAGGGTCTCTCAAGATTTCGGGGCAATCAAACGTGGCAGCTCCCATTCCAGTTTTGATGCTAGCATGGTGCTCCCCATTCTTGAATTCCTCTTGAGTCATATCCACAAGGAAAGCTGCCCTCATAGTTTTGTCCAGCCAGTTACGGAACCGCTGAGAGAAGAACTCGTCTCCATATTTCTCCCATGGTCGATACTGCCAGTCAACTGCTATTGCGTTAGCTGAATTTCCAAAATCCCATGCATTCACCACCGCTCCTGAACTCTGCTGCCCATTTGTGCTTGACATTTGCCCGGATTTAAGCTTCCGTTGTGCTTCATTAGTTTCCTCCTCAAGACTCTTAGCCAGTTCAGTCAGAATGTACAACGGAGGCCGATTACAGAATGGAGAATTCGGATCAGTCCCGGGGCCTTGGCGGGCGAGATACAGCGGCGCAGTTTCAGGCGAGTCGTCTGATAGAAGCCCCATAACTTTCTTCCCATATCTTTCCATTTCTTTCTTTTGAAATGCGAGCAGTTCCGCTTTTCTAGCTTCCTTGACTGCATCCGGGCTAACGGGAGCTGGCAAAATTACGCCATTGGTATCGGATGTTTGTTTTTGAGAAGACCTTGCAGGAGGCATACTCTTTCTAGCTTGACGCCCTCGGCTTGCCCCACGACTTGCCCCGCGGCTTGAAGGCTTTCCGCGAGTGGGACGGTGGTTATTGTGGCTTGTTGCTGGAGGTGGGCCTATTTCGGGACGATGAAGTGATTTAGGGATATTCAATGTGTCGTCTTTCCGAAACATGTATGGAATGTGAGGGCCAACTACGCGCAATTCGTCCTGTCGAAAGACCACCTCATCCGAGCCGTCAGAATCCCCACCTAAATTTAACACAGATGTCAGATATAAAACCCGCAATGCACACCAATACTACAGATGGCAACTCACCTGTTGAGCTTCGGGGTGGATCTGGAGCTATATCCTTGACAGAACTGTAAGCTATCTTTTTCACCGGGTCAGATGCGATCTTCTCGGAAAGGCCTGAAGGTATCTCCTCAGCATGTTCGGAAGATATCTTTTCGGCAGGACCAGAAGATACCTCCTTAGCGGGGACGGAAGCCATGTCATTAGCAGAGCAAGGTGCTATCTCCTTCGCGGGGCTAGAAGCTATCTCTTTCTCGGGACTAGAGGCAGCAGGAGTAGCAGAACTAGCAGGGTCAGCATTTGTAATTGGAGCCAACGTTCTCAATGTCTGTGGAGGTCCATAGCTGTTACTCGCAACCACCTTGAACGCGTTGATGGCAGCAAGATATCTATTCCACTGGTCGGCACCATCGGTCTCCTGGCTGTCATTTGGATGCCCTTGAGCAGGCTCTGTCATTGTCGTATTCTGGATGATAGCTTGCTAGGTTACTCAGCTGAGCTCGAGCGACTGAAGAAGAGGGGATGTTCAAGCTCCTAAATGAGGAAAGCCAAAAGACCCTTTGCAGCTTGAAGGGATGCTGTGGATTGTCTCGCGTGTGTTTTGTTTCCTTTGTGTGCGTTGCTAGAGGAACTTTTCACTTCGCCGAGCTAGTGTGCTGTTGTTTTTCTCCTTAGGGTTGAGTAAAGTAAGAGATATCAAATGTGAGTAGATAGAAAGCGTGAATGTATAAGGAATGACAAGACCAGGACTATGTATAGCCCCGTCACTTTGCTATAGTCAATCCTTTGTTATGCGGCTTACCTTCCCCTATGAAATATAAAGACAGCTTCTAGCCTGGACATGGACACCACTGTATTTGGTATTAAAATATTAAAGGTTGTGCAGTATTTATATTGACTTCACTTTTTTACTATAGAAGAAATAGTAGTAAAATGTCTAAAGGAAACTTTCAATAAAAACATCAACTTGTGCAGAAACCACCAAAACACCGAATTCCTCTTAAGAGTGTCTAATATAGATAAAGAACGAAGAAAATGCTATCAGTACTAAGGAAGGCCAGGCTGAAGGACAAAGAGATGAGAGTTCTGATGCTGTATGTATCCTCATGTTTGATATGCATGCTCCGTTGCTAAAGAGCCGCCAGAGGACTCGACAATGCCGGAAAGACCACGATCGTGAAGAGAATTATGGGCGAAGACATCACTACGGTGAGCCCTACACTGGGTTTTATCATCAAGTCCATCGACTTCGACGGGTATGTAGACAGGACGAGATGCTTCTTCTCTACGGCTATGCTGATATCTCTTCAACAGGTATAAGCTGAACATATGTAAGTTCTCAGCCGGTGTGAGCAGGTTATGATGAGACTCTAACGGTCGAATCTTGCAGGGGATGTCGGCGGGCAAAAAACACTGCGGTCGTACTGGAGGAATTACTTTGAGAAGACAGATACGCTGATATGGATTGTCGATGCCACGGATCGGTTTCGACTTGACGACTGTCGACGGGAGCTTGCTGGCCTTCTAGTCGAAGAGGTGAGACCTAAACCTAGTGACTTTATCTACACATGCTGACGGGATGCACAGCGACTGATGGGCGCGAGTCTCCTGGTCTTCCTAAACAAGACAGATGTCGACGGCTGTATGGCTGAAGATGAAGTCCGAGAGGTACATACACCGTCCCTGGCTGTCTACGAGCTGCCTACAGGTCTAACGGTATACAGGGACTACAACTCGACGCTATCAAGACGCACAAGTGGACGATCATGCCGTGCAGCGCCGTGACGGGGCTGAATCTCACCAAGGGCCTCTCGTGGGTTGTGCAGGACGCAAAGGACCGGTTGTTCCTTTACTGACAGCCACTTACGCGGCTATTCTCGACATATCCACCAGTCCTTGTTTACCGGTTTACTGTTGTTGTTATTGTTGATATCAAAACCTGGAAGTACGCGGCGTACGGAGTTTCCACCCTCATCTCATGAACCCCCTTAGCCCACGATGTATCCGACGGCCAAATGATCTTATTTCCATCCTAATTCGCCGTCGATAATTGGCCACGGAGGTAAAAATATATATAAAATGCAGGGGCCATTATGTAAGGTGGACAGGCCTGTTTTAGGCTCGCTGGGCACGATCGCAAACATCCAAATCGTCGATTTGCTCCCCGGGCGGATGTTTCAAGTCTGCTATCTCTAGACAATCGCTGAATCCCCGACAAGCCGTGAGCCTGGTGCAGTGGCGTGCTGTCGATAGTCCATCATAAATATATCATCGTGTCCGGGACTCGGTGTCACCCGGTAGTCCCCTTTGCTGTCGCTTTCTTTTTAAAAAGAGAAAAATAAACAATCAATAACAACAATGGCACCCTCGCACGACGCCGCCGCTGCTGACGGGTCTGAAGATGTCAACGACTTTCTTGAACGCATACGGGAACTAGGCAATAAGCGGGATAAGGAAGACGAGGAGCGCACGCGAAAGCTGGAGGAGGAGATACTGCAGGGCCGCCGGGAGAGACAGGCCAGGAGAGCTGGTATGCAGTGTTTATATCTCCCAGCACCCGGCGTAAACACTTCTGTTTCGCTCTCTCCATTATAACTATCGTATTAATCTATCGTTCTGGCCGCTGATGCATTGGTGCTGAGATAGAACGCGCCCGATCAATTTCTCCCACCAAGGATTCACCCCTCCAGCAACAGCTAGACGACCTGATACAAAAGGACTCGCGCCCATCGACACCGCGATCCTACTCGATACACCCTCCCGTCGACCTTCTACCATCCTTCTCTGCCTCGAAAGATAGCAGTGGCTTCCCGAGACGCGATTCCGAGGCGCGTCAGCTAGAAACTCACCCCAAGGAGTCCTCCGTTGATATCATGAAGTCGCCCGCTACAGGTCGGCCATTGTCCTGGAAACAGCGCCCTGGATCGCGAGACCTTGGCTCACCGACTCCTGTTTCTCCGAAACAGGCTGTGGGAGAAGAAAAACCTGTTACCGAGACGAAAACGCCGACCGAGAGCGACGTTGCTGTATCTCGAACGCAGATTGCACAATCCCTTGGATCAAAGGATCCATCTTTCTTTAAACAAACTAGTGACAGGGGAGAGGGCTCTCGTGCATATCGGAGAGCGCACAATTCTTCTTTTTCTGAAGCCACTATGGGTCGACCGAATGTAAAGCTGCCAGGGCTGAGCCGAGAAGCTGTCAGTGATCTGGGTGTACCACCTGCGTCTGATCTTGGTGACGAGAGATCGCGTTCACCTTCGAGAACAAGTTCTGTATATGGAGCCGGTAGCTTTGGGAACCGATACTCAAGTATATCTTCCGTATCAACAGCGGCAGGGTTAGGATCGCCTATTCCATTAGCAAGCCCACGCAGGCACGAACGGGCACCATCCATCTATGAGGAACAGCAGCAGCCGGGTGAACACTTGACAATGTCCCCAACTCAAGGTCGGATTGCTTCTGACCGTCCTTCTTCACCAACTAAGGGCCTTGGTGGTTTCGTCCAGAGTGCCATGCTTAAACGGTCTGACAGCGTTTCCAAACGGTGGAGTGCCCAACTCCCTTCGACCACGCTTCGAGGGACCAACTCTAGACCTCTCCCTTCTCCAGGAATGTCTCCTGAAGGGTTTTCAGGACTGCCTACATCCAGACCTGGTTCGCGGCCTGACTCGCGACCTGGATCTAGCCACAGTGAAGCCACTGTGGTTCGCAATGATGGGGACGACGCATCGACATTTAACAGGTCCACAGATGCTTTTGTACGGCCGCCATCTCGACGCAAGGAATCCGTTAGTACTGCCAGTGGACGGAATACGGACCTCCCTGTAAGTCCATCTAAGACAATGGATCCAAGACGATGGAGCCCAACGAAAGCCTCATGGCTAGAGAGTGCACTGAGCAAACCGGAATCTCCTAAGCCTAAACCTCGCGTACCAGAGGAACCGGAGTGGAAGAAGGGTCTTACGGACAGGCTTCGAAAGGCAAAGGAGTCGAATAATACAGAGAAAGGGGAGCATTCTGAGCCCGAGAAGGTCGTGACGCCTACCGGTAGCCAGAAATTTGATGACCCCCAGAGCTCACCAGAGAAAGCAGAGGGTCCGTTAGTGAAGTCACGATCTGATTTGGAAGTAGAGCTGCCTAGAGAGTCCGGCGAGACTAAACAATCCAGCGCGTCTGAGGATCGTTCCCCCAAGGATCCAGTTAAGACACCCCCAATTCCACCAAAAAGTGAATCCTTGAAAGCAGAAACAAAAGGACCAAGCCTTTCTCCTACTCTTCCATCTACGCAAGATACCCCTGCATCCAAACCGGCTACCTCCAACGTAAAATCATCTCAGATAGATTTTCGCGCCAACTTGCGCCGTCGTGAAACTACTGATGACAGCGCAAAGAAAGATGAACCGGAGTTCAAAGCAGTTTTTGGTAGATTACGGAGAGCCGAAACTAAAAATTATGTTGCCCCTGATGAACTCAAAGGCAATATACTTCGCGGCAAAGCCGGGCTGACTACCACAGGTGGCCCTAAGAAAACAGAAAGAGTTGATGAATTCAAAGAAAGTATCTTGAAGCGCAAGGAGGCGATGAAAGCTGGCGGAGGCTCCATCCGTCAAGACCCTAATGGCCTAGGAAACAACCCACCACCACAGCAGACTACGCCAGAGGCTATTTTGATGAGGAAGAATTTGGGTAGATCGAATAGTATAAGGAGTACTACCGGATCCAAGAACCCGCCTGCCAAACCGCTATCGAAACCCTTAGCCATCCAAGCACCTTCTGCAGAGGAGCCTCCAGAGGAGATGATGAAAGAGAACCAAAAACCTCAGAGCCTGCAATCGTCGCAGGAAAAGTTCACTCTTCCATCGCCGCCTGCAGAGACTCGTGCTGTCCCTTCCGCTGCGATAGCTGCTACTCCAGTTTCCACTCCTGGGCCAAGCAATGATACTACGTCTCCAACTGTGAAAGGGAAACTCGGGAACCGCATGAACCCCATGTTGGCAAATCTTATTGCTCGAGGGCCTCCAGCTCCGTCTAAGGGTCCCTCTCCATCAATTCAATCGTCGCAATCAACGGAATCGTCTACATCAGAAACGTTAACTCATATCACGAAATCTCGCGCCAAAGGGCCCAAGAGACGCCTGCCTAAAAATGCGAAAAAGGAGTCCACCTCTCCGGTAGCCCAGTCAAACGATACTACCAGCAAAAAACTGCCTGAAACTAAGCCAATATTTGAAGATGACCTTTCACCAAGCACGGTTACGGAACCAATTTCTATACCGAAGCCACTAGGATCCACAGCCAGAAACAGATTTCTAGCCTCGAGTGCTGACGAAAAGAGCTCCAATGCTTCACTTGCCACGTCCCTACCTTCTACTCCCTCGATAGAGCGCCAGACGCCTAATAAGCCAGACCTTACGATACCCATCCGATCGAACAGCAGTCCTAATGTCAACAAGGATAAACCCAGCCCTCCCCCAAAGTCCGCAACTCTCTCTACTTCCCCGCTCAGTTTTAAGAAGCCAGCTCAGATAGATGACTATCCCAAACCTCAAGTGGCTCAATCGGCATTTACACCAGAGAAGAAGCAATACCCGACGGAAGCCAAGGTCTCCCTCGGCAATAGCACTCCCACACCTAGTACCGCAAGGGCCGGGCAAACAGAGAGCACCACTTTGGCTCCGCCACGTCATGGGGCGCCACCCCGGAAACCTGCCTTCCTATCAAATTTAAATTCGGCTCGATCTAGAGAGCAATCACGTTCGCCTTCTCCAACGAAAACACCAGCCTTTGCTCAAAGTTCTGAGGTCTCTCAGATATTCTCCGATTTCTTCCTCAGCAAGCCTAGCGCCGATGATAAGGTAGAGATTGATCCCCAGTCTGTCATGCTGGCAAGACCTGAAACGTTCCCGAAGATCAAAACCCTTGCAAAGCAAGTTTGGGAGTTAACTGGTGATGGAAAGAGGAGAGACCTACCAAGTGGCCAGGAGTATATCTTGTTTGATGAAAGTATGTACCTATGTGTCCATACGTTTGAAAAACCGGCTGGCGGAAGAGCAACAGAAGTTCATCTGTGGTGTGGTGATGGAGTTGGCGAAGCAACTGCCGAAGACGCTCAATTATTTGCCCGCAAAGTCGCAAGAGAGCATAACTGTAAACTCGAGCTCTTGAAGCAAGGAAAGGAGACGCCAAATTTCATGCAAGCTCTTGGAGGCATTATGATCACGAGGCGGGGGCCAAGCAGTCGGTCCGACTCTTCTGCTCTCTATATGCTTTGCGGAAGGAGACACATGGGCCAGATATCATTCGACGAGGTTGATCTAGCGATCAGCAATCTCTGTTCCGGCTTCACGTATATAATATCTGCCAAGAATGGCAAATTATTCCTGTGGCAAGGACGGGGAAGTACGGCTGACGAGATTGGATGCGCACGACTGATTGGAATGGATATCGGCCCTACTGGTGATATTGAGGAGGTAACCGAAGGCCAGGAACCGAGTTGCTTTTTCGAATCCTTCCCAAGTTCCGGCCAAGAAACAAGTGTGCCGCCGTCAGCAGACTACTGGCAGTTAAAGCCCAAGCACGAAAAGTACCACTGCCGATTATACCGCATTGATCATGAACTTGGTCAATGGTTTGGAGCTAGCTTTTTCAACCGTCGGGGCGCTTCGTCCCCGGTATCTCGACCAAATGATACAGTGCAGGAAATTGAACCGTTCTGCCAACGTGACTTGGATCCAGCACATATCTACGTCCTCGATGCGTTCTTTGAGATCTATGTGTAAGCCGAACCCTACGAATCTATTGTCTATGGTATGCTAATCCCATTTCTAGCATTGTTGGTGAACGATCAAATGCGCGTTCAGCGGAGTTCGCATCCGCTCTTGTCTTCGCCCAAGAATACGGCATTCTCGCCGTTTCGGAACAAGACCGTCCATTCCTCCCAAAGAGCCATGTCGTTCTCGAGGGTTTACCGGTGGAGTGCAGGCGTGCATTCAGGAATTGGAATGGCAGACATTCTACAAGTACACTGACCAAGACTCCCATCGTCGTTCCGCTGGCCGTGGCAATCGATGCGATCCGGTGAAATATGAGCCCTATCTCTGGTACTCCTCTGTATTAGCACTTATATCTTTCTTTCGTTCTTTTACTTCTCGTCCCATTTTAGCGGTTTTTTTGGAGGCTATTAGTTTTTTATCTGTTCCATTCTCGTCCATTCTTACCACCCGCTTTTTTGTCTATTCGGGATCTGTACAACGTTCAACGAAAATAAGAAATAGGGCCTACACAATAGGATGCTGCATGGCATAGACTGCATAGATAACATTGGATTTTTGTTTATATCTCGACCTCGTTGGATAACTACTGCGTGACTGGTCGCTTTGTACGAACCAACCATGCCACCGCAAAAAGTGGACCAACACGACAGCCGGATCAGACCTTCGTCGTCTAAATATTTATGACGCTTTTGATCGTGAGGCCAAACAAAGCTATATCGCCCGTTGCGGTGATTCTCCCCTTTGCCGATATTTTATAACTAACTGTTATGCACTAGGCCTTCTAGCTTTGACCATGCAAAAAGTAAGGTTATTCTAGGCGTAACTAAGGTTTATCAGACGTTGCACCTCTATCCCATCCTCAACATCACTCGGGAACGTCGGAGAGACAAGAGAGCGAGATAGATGAACACCTCATAGAAAGCTAGCGTTTTAGACCTATCTCATCGCTGTCATGATTTGACTGAACGGCCCTTTGTTGTCTACCCGCCACTGCACGCCCGGTTTCAGATAGGAGGGGGGAAGATTTCCCATTTGTACCGAACTTCGACTGGGCCATATACAAACCCCAGCAGCTCCAGACGAGACCCAGGCTCGAAAGGAGACAGGAGAAAGGAAAAGGAGAGAGAAAAAAGAAAACAAGAGGAAGAGGGGAAAAAAAGGAAGAAATAATCGACAGAGATGGACGCCCTCATAACCGCCGAACTCGCCAAACTAGACCCCTCGGTTCCCTTTCGAGCGACCAAGTCACACCTCCATCACACCTGGGCGAAAACGTTCTATTCTCGACCGGAACTTTACATCCAGCCCGAGTCAATTGCCGAAATTGAGAAGGTCGTCACTCTCGCGCGCAGGTGTCGCCGACGCATCGTGACCGTGGGAAGCGGCCACTCGCCCTCCGACTTGACCTGCACGTCATCATGGGTCGTCAACCTAGACAATTACCGTCGGCTCCTCTCGTTTTCGCGTGATACGGCTGTCGTCACAGTCGAATCGGGTATACGGCTGAGACAGCTTGGCATTGAGCTGGAGAAGAATGGCTTGATGCTTCCCAATCTCGGCAGTATTGACGACCAGTCTGTGGCGGGAGTGATTTCAACAGGAACACATGGCAGTTCGCTCAAGTATGGCTTGCTATCCGAACGAGTGTTGGGATTGTCCATCATGCTTGCCAATGGCCAGGTTGTCAGATGTAGCGAGGCGACCAATCCGTCGTTGTTTCGTGCTGCCCTGGTTTCTCTAGGGGCGATTGGTATTATCACAGAGATGACCTTGCAGGCCGTACCAACTTTCAATATCGCCTGGCAGCAGTCCCTGAAGACACTGCCACAGGTATTGGATGCTTGGGACGCCGGTCTATGGACGTCTACAGAATATGTGAGGGTGTGGTGGATGCCCTATATGAAGCGCGCGATTGTCTGGCGTGCGGACAAGACCGACCTTCCAACTCGTGATCCCCCTACCGGCTGGTATGGTGGCGCCTTGGGGTACTTTATCTACCATAATCTATTGTATCTCTCCAACTACGTTCCCAGGATCTTGCCATGGGTGGAATGGTTTGTGTTCGGCATGCAGTATGGTTTCAGGCCCGGAAAGACGGTTACTGAAGCGGTTCAGCCAGCTCGTACCGGCTTATTGATGGATTGCCTGTATTCTCAATTCGTGAACGAATGGGCAATCCCATTGGAAAAGGGCCCCGAGGCCATTACCCGACTATCCGCCTGGTTCCATGGGGATGCTGAAACTGCGCGAATACCATTTAGCTCCAAGTCAGTTTGGGTACATTGCCCCATTGAAGTACGTGTCTCTGATACTTCGATCTCAAAGACACCCCGTCCTTACCTGGATTCCACGTGTCCTGACGGCCCTACTCTCTTCCTAAATGCTACTCTTTATCGGCCTTACCTACGTGATCCTCCTTGCAGGGAACGGTACTACGAGGCATTTGAATGGCTCATGCGAGACCTAGGAGGCAAACCACACTGGGCGAAAAACTTTGGAGAGGACCTTGGGTATGAAGCACTTCGGGGAATGTACGGAGCTAATTTGGATGAGTGGCTTCAAGCCAGAAATGAGGCTGATCCTGATGGAATGTTTCTCGGTGCGTGGCACAGGAGGCACCTACTACCCCCCACGACTGCTGCATCCCAATCACCTGGTCAGACTTTAGCCTTTGAAGAGCAATTGAAAGAGCAACGAGCTCTAGGTGAGCCCGGAGCCGGGGATGGCATAGAGTGGATTGGCAGCATCCCAGGCCGTGACATTACCCCACACGATAATAAGGATATTGATGATGGTGCGACTGCGCCCGATAGCCATCCAAGCCCGCCTACAACTTCTGCAAGTGAGGAGAGTTTTGACCACCTCGCGAAGGGGGAAGCAAGCATTACGCTGCCGTAGTAATATGGCGACTGGCGGCCCATTCGTGATGCCTCACTCAATCTCTTAAATATGCAGATACTTGTTTTTCATTATATTGATTTTCCTTGTGCATGATTTGTGCCTGTGGACATGTTTTGGTACCGTATGAGAAGGGGGGGGGATATTCTCTGGGGCCTGTTCGGTGACATGCAGACACGCCGTCTACACATCAGATATCATTTTAATTTAATAAGTGAGCATTTTCAATGGACAGCATGTCGCTTGGAACGCACCAACAGGATCTCCTCCCATGCGCCACTTTACAACCCTGTATAATTGGATTACGCCATTTACATGTTGGATGCCGCTACTCGATATATAAGCAAAGGGGGGAGGGGAGATTTATATAGCCATTGTTCTTACAATACATTCTGATGAGAAAGTCTCCCCCTCTCAACCTGAGGCCTGCCCGCAGAAACAACCCTAGCAATAAAATGGCCACCCCACTCTCATAGTAACAGTAATAAAAGAAGAGCGATTAAAAAAAATTGCATGCCCGTGTCTAAACATAGCGCATTACAGGCATGCAAGCAACGCTGTAAAGTTAGCTAAGCCATATAAGTCATCCCGCATACTTAAGTATTGGTATTAGGGGGTCCCAGCTTGAGTTTCTTTCTTTTTTTTACTTTTCTCGGTGTCATGTTTTTTTTTTTTTTAATTTGTAATAAATAAGGGAAGATGACAATATCCAAGGAGGAAAGAAAGGAAGTCAGATGCGGGAAGTATATCGGTAAAGGCAGCAGGCGGAGAATGGATCAATAGCCGACCAGTGAAGATGACTGGCTCAAAGGCAGCAATATACCTAGCGTTAGCTTCGGCGGCATTTGAACAAGGCCCTTATTCTGCAGCCCCCTGGCGACAACCTTACCCTATCCCTGCACATTGACCACACCCTGTTGCACGGACTCAGTTTGCCAATTTGCATTTCGGCCGTTCCCCTCCTGATTTTCTGCACGTTAGAGCTGTGAGTGTAACAGCTGGCAGCTGGATGTGCCTCTTATTGCGTCGCTTGGGTGCCAATCAGTGATGTGAACACCCAAGAAAGGCGACGTGAAGCAAGGGGAGGGGGGGCAAGGCCCGCTGTAATGGCAACTGCGTAGGCAAGCAAGACCGCCAGCCGCACTTGCACCCCTGGTTGCATATACAAATATGCATGTCTGTTGACCCCTAGCACCTTTCGTACCCATGGGCTACATGGGTCGATTCGTAATGATCTCCCGTCGGTTGAGCATAGCAAGTGGGATCGAGCTTCCTACATAATTCCAACCCCCGAAAAAGCAACGAGAGCCTGTTCCTGCACAAAACGGGAGTTATGCTCCACCATGAATCCCGTGGGACAGGAAACTCTGGTCACAAAGGGAACCGGGCATGGATATGGTAAGCTTTGACACCGAGTTGTGCTTCCCGTCAAGGGGGATTTTCCTCCGCCGTAAATCCCCCGTTCATTCTAGACGCTAAATAGAGTGTTCGAGGGCATTCCTTAGATCCTTCCTTTAGGCCGGGAGCAACGAAGGAACATGCGTAACAGTCAAGATGTGGTTTCAAAGTTGTTCGGGGCCTGCAGTCTTTAGAACCATCGACAATGCATGTATGGTATGAAGCAAGTCAGCATCTGGCTGACGATATCATTGGTAGCTTGAGCTGACAACCAACAATAAACAACCCCAAACCATAGGATAGGCCAGAACACTGCGTTGCATGCCAAGATATGTATGTGAGACCGCCATTTTTAATAGGATCTTTCGAGTCAACGGCATGCACATTCCTTGACAGAAATAATATGACGATCCAAATTGCTTTTCAGCGGGATCCAGCGCCTATCCAGGGTAATCATACGGAGTACTGCACTCCATAACTCAAGTGGTATACTCCGTATTGACCGGAGTAATGCTCAGTTTAGCATTAGACGCTTGACAGGACGGCGTTGTTAGTGCGGCCTGGAGCCGAGAGTTCATTGGAGAGACGATACCGCGGCGGCATGCGTGTACGTGCATCCAATGTCATACATCACTGACATATACATGCGCGGAGATGGCGTCGTCGAGTCGTAGTAGTGTAGTGATGGTGGTGAGCTGGATAGAGGTGAGCTATCACACTCCATATACGAGGTGGTTTTAAGCTTATCTAAGCCTTATCTGCCCCGTGATTCGAGGTTAATCTAATCTCATCTCACGTGACAGTGACAGTTTATCGAGGATCCCAAATAGGACATCGCTGTTTGCACGTCGACGACGAGCACCAGAGCATCAGAGCATCAAAGCACCGGGCATGGGGGCCATGTTCCCTGCGCATCAGGGCCTGCGAGACCACCGCGCCCGTCGCCGGCGCCGACATGAACGCTACATGGCTGGGACGGCGCCACTACGTCAACCTCAGCGCAAATCCTGCCGTGTGTCAGGGGCCTAAAAGGGCACTACCAAGTATATATGCCAGTCGGAGACGTTTCGCTCGAGATGGACAGACTCATACAGCACTAGTTACAAACAAAACACGAGATCTTCTCCAGGCAATACCAATACCCCTCGGTTGTACTGAAAGGCGCCGTTCTGCAACCCCCTCGACCCCTGCTGAGTCCTGGCCATTGGCCATTTTTTGTCCCTCCATTGGGTTACAGGTTACAGGTTACAGGTTACAGGTTACAGTGATACGATTCTGGTCATCGCTGCGGCAGCACGTGAAGTGATGGATCGTTTTAACTTGGGCCTGCGTCCTCTGGCAGGTTGCGGTCGGAGGGCGTGACCGATTTTGGCTTACAGGCGCAGTTTGCGTGTGTAAATGCCCAGGTTTCTAGACAGCAAATGGCTGTTCTCGCGCTTTTATTATTGCTGCTACTCGATTTGGAACGCCATTCCCAACCCGACCGTGAATATTGGCTACTGCAGCCGGCACGGTCCCATCGCGTTTATCATGGAAATCATCTACTGGATCCGATCATCCCAAAATTTATTCTGTTGTCGTGTGACTGGCCCTTGTCAGAGGGACAGTAGGGATATACCTGCCAGCCATCAGGTCGCTAGTAAGCCTCGGCTTCCTACGCTGGCTGAAATGGTTACCTACCCCCCGGGGGGGGGGCTTGAAAACGCAAAAAAAAAAAAAAGAGAGGTTGAAAATAGCGCTCTTTTTTGCTTTTTTAATCCGTCGGCAATTACTCTCGAGTGTAGCTTTGAATTGCACTCGGCTGTCCATGTTGGTGCCCAAGTTCTCCTGGTCAGCAATTTCCTAGCAACTCCCCTCCTCCACCACCACCCCCCCTCTATGCTACACGCCCGCCTCGCTTCACTTGCATACCTGGCCCCCTTCCCATTGTGGAAACCGGGTCGGCCCGTTATTAGTGGTTGCCGCAATGGGTTTCTCCACTAATTAGTCCCAGCCAAGTCACCCTCCCAACATGCTGCGGAGATCGGGGAGGGCCCGTGGAAAAGTTGTCAATTTACGGGATACCCTCCCCATGCACCCAAGCACGGCCACTAGGAGCTAGCTAGTCGGTAAATTGTATCCTTGCACCCCTTTCTTTATCTATTTCCGAACCAGTACATAGGTACATTGTTTATTTCCGTGTGAGGTGTCAAGCTTCTTTAAAATTGGGGAAACGAAACATTCCGATACATGAAAGTGACGAGAACTGATATCTCCACGTCATCCCCACAGCTTGGGGCGTTAAGGCGAGTTTTTTTTTCCAGAAGACAATCATAGGTAGGCATGTTAAAAGCTTGCAGCCTATCTACTACCTTCTGCTTTGAAAGCCATCTAGCACATAAAGCCTCCTTACTATATCACAGGATCCTCCTCCCCTTTCATGTTTCCAATCAAGCTATTTCGTACTAACCTCCCACGAACATTCCTTTAATCAAATAGAGGAACTACCTTTTTTTTCCTTTTACCTCCCTCGGACACGAGAGTATTGTGCCATTGCTTTCTTCCCCTGCCTTGTAAATATTATTTCTGCCCCGCCTCGTTGATTAGATTACGTTTCGATGCCGCAACCGCACCCCATCTACCCAAAACTCCATGTTTCATCCAGACTGCCGGAGTCGTTCTCCGCACCCGGGGCAATGGTAGCTCCTCAAAACAACAATCATGTCCAACGTCCTCCAGACATGAACCAGCGGCACCAGGTTCTACGGGCAAAACGAAAACATGTCCTCAAGGCCTGTGACCGGTGCAGGGTGAAAAAGACAAAGGTATAGATATATCGAACTACTATATTCTTTCTGTGCTATTGAAACCTGATACTAACATATACATGTTGTGGCAGTGTGATGGAAATCAACCGTGCTATCGATGTGCTGTCTATAACCATCCGTGTCTCTTCCGGGAGAGGAAGGCGACACAGACCAAGGCATATTCCAGAGGGTGAGGAGAATGGTGTCTCATATTCCGTTCTGGGGCATTCGGTGAAATGCGTCATTACATATAACTTACTATGTGGCGTATAGCTTCGTTGAAATGCTGGAGTCCCACCATGCTCTAGTTGTGAAGGCACTTCAGCGGCTGTATACTCATTGCATCGACAACAAGTGTTTCCCGGGCGAGCCCATCGAAATTGTCGATGGGTATCCCCTAACACACGCCATTCTAGATCGACTGGGCCTCATCAAACAAGCCGAAGAGCAAAACATCACGCATAACGTGGAGGCCGAAATCATGGAAGCCTCGAAGTACTGGAAAAACGAATCGTCAGGTTCAAACTCTCCGAACCACGACGGTTCCCCCATCGAACCCTGTTGCCCACTAGACAGGTCCAGGTCTAGCGATTCCTGTTCGACGTCCCCTCCGTCCGAGTCAGACTTTGTCAAATGCGAGTCTTCACCCAGCACAGGCGTGAACGAGGCCTTCCGGGTGTTTGGGCGTGAGGGGCCGTTTTGGCCTATGAATGGCGAGGCCACCATCTCACACGTTGGCCCTGACTATAATCGTTCATTGGATTCCACTGGTTTCAACAACATGCCGAGTAACTACTCGCCCACACATCCGAGTCACCAAGCAAGAACCCTAGCCTGTACCAACGTTCCCACTCCAGCCTCGGCAAGTAACGCAGCAATCATTCCAAGTACTTGTCCAGAAACGGGTTGCAGGGTTATTTATCCAAACGTGGCGACTGTGCAGTACACAGGGTATCCCCAATCGTACACCGGGGTAGACCAGCAAACCACCTGGGCGCCACAGCCAGCATGGTCTGGATAACCCATCACAGGAACCCGTTGAATATGACAGGAGTTGCCAAAGTCTACCGATGTTCTACGGCTATCAGACCCAGCACAGCGGTCCATGGGTATCACACCCACTCACCGTCCGTCGCCTCTGCCGTACTTCGCCATCGAGCCACCTTCCTCTACCCGTCGTTTCCTGTTCATATTTTCCTGCCATCACCCGCCAATACATATACCTCTCACGAGCTTATGAGATACCCCTATAACTTTGTTTTATTACGGCTCGCCACCATGGCTGTATACATTGCGTCGATTTGTTGATCCCTAAATGTATGTGAAAGGTCGGTTGTATCTTGTCTCGCCAGACAGACGGAGTACAGTCGCAACAACCCTAACAATAGGGTAACACTTTCACTGCCTCCACCTCCAACTGGCTCGTCGTCGTTTCTTTTTTATTTCTTGTTTCCTTTTCTTCCTCTTTCTTTTTATCTGAGTTAGTATGGTACATGTAGGCTATTGGGATAGTAGGATTTGCATAGGTTTTGGTCGCATGGCTAGGTATTTCGCGATGGGACGCTGCGCCAAAACAGGAACTGGAAAAAGGGACTTTTAGGTAACGTTACGATAAGCTATATATATTTCCTCTCTACACAGGCTTAGGAGCACTGTATTACTCTGTTCCTTCAAGTTTCCTAGGTAGGCGTAGACGGACATGCACTATCAAATGGTAGATAGAGACGACGCACTTTTCTATTAGTCCAAAGACAGTAAAAATAGACCAAGACTATACTATCGCTTAAGAAACCCTTGAGCGATGTATGTCTACTATCACGGTGATGTTTATTGTCTATTGTCTATTGAAGAGGTTTTTTTTGGTGGTGGTGTTGGTGGGGGGGAAAAAAAAGAGCAAAAAAGAAACTCTCCTGACCCAGAATCGAACTAGGGACCCTTCGGTTACAATTGAACAGTTACAGCCGAATGTCATGAACCAACTAGACCATCAGGAGATGTTGTTGTTGTAGGGCCTTCATTTGCTACCCTTTTGACCTCAACTTGTCAACACTATTCATACGAGATAACAAGAAGCATCACGGAACAGCCACGTAGTTGAGTTGAGCCACGCGGTGTACATGAAAAGTTACACTTTCTATTTTACAGGTATCGCATCATCCAATACGGAGTATACTCATCGCATCGACCTGAATAAGCAATTCTATGTGCCGTGGGCTTTCTTTTTCCTTTTTTTTCTGCTTTTTTTTCTTCTTTTCTTCTTTTTCTTTCTCGCGGCAAAAATAGACGTTATGTCACGTGCTGTGTATATCACGTGCCACGTTACCCGCGCCTTTGCCGCGTTTTTATATCAGCACACAAACATGGGCCAAAAAAAAAGATACAGGGCAACTCCCCTGGGCTGGAGTCGAACCAGCGATTTCTCGGTTTCATGTTGAGAACAATTACAGCCGAGCGCCTTAAACCAACTAGACGACCAGGGGCGTTTGGGTACCGGAAGCCCGGATTTAGTCGTCTATCACCAAGTGGCCGCGTTTCCTAAACTGGCATACATAGACACGACCATAGTATATGTGTTATTATAGCGATATGCCGTATAAAATAGAAGTAAATTAGAAGTACATAAAAGCTTCTTTAAAGAAAAAGAAACGGTAATAATAGTAACATTAAAATAAGGGGCGAGATTTAATTTTGGACCGCGTGGTCTAGGCGCGATGCAACTTCCAACCTTTCGCGTTCAACATCACTTTAAACCAGAGTCTAGCAGCCCATACACAATCCTCCATCAACCATATATTAATGCTGCGATAGAACTGCACAATCGTCTCAATCAACTATTCGAGGACGTTTTTGCCTGTTGAAAATGTCTCTCGTCGGATTTGGGCGCGTGATACGGGGACGTCTTTTCCCGCCTGCCAACCCTACCGGCTCCCTCGAAGGGAAAACCGTCCTCTTGACCGGTGGCACGTCCGGCCTAGGACTGGAAGCAGCAATAAAATACATAAACCTAGGCGTTTCCTCGCTGATCATCGGATGCCGCAATGCAGAGCGAGGAAACGACGCTAAGAGGATAATTGAAGAGAGAACAAAACATGATACAAACACCGACTCTAAAATCCAAATATGGCCGCTGGATATGGCCAGTTATCAGAGCGTCAAGACTTTCGTGGAGAGAGTGAACGATGAGATCCCCAGGCTTGATATCGCGTTATTGAATGCCGGGGGGATGCACAGGAAATATACCCTGACGCAAGACGGATGGGAGGAGACACTCCAAGTTAATGCATTGTCAACTGCGCTGTTGGGACTACTACTGCTTCCGAAGCTAAGGGCAAGTCGTGACCCCGTCACTGGCATGCCGGCGCATCTCACCTTGATCTCTAGCGGATCCTACAGACATGCGAAGGCCGAGGAGATACAGCCAGAAGGGGCCAGCAGTATCCTCCAACACTTGAATAGCGAAGAAGCATTCCGCGCCCACTCTCAATACAGAGCATCAAAGGTCCTTGTCGAATATACTGCAAAGAGCCTCGCAAATTTAACCCGCTGTGACGATGGGAAGGTGGAAGTGATCGTCAATTCTGCTTGTCCTGGGTACTGTCGCTCGGGGCTGGGTCGCGAGTACGACGCCTTGCACGAGCGCATGTTCGTTACCGTGTTTGAGCTTCTCTTCGGTCGAACGTCAGAGCAAGGCAGTAGAACCCTTGTGAGCGCAACGATGCTCGGTGAAGAGTCGCATGGGAAATGGTGGAGGAGTGATGAATATCCAGAGTAAGCTACATGATTCGTATTCCATATCTCGACCTTGGGGGGCAATTATTTACTACTATATGTGAAACTGACTGTTGCAGTATCTCCGCAACCCTTACCGGATCCAGAGAAGGGAAGATATTGCAAATACGAGCTTGGGAAGAGATTGTGGGGGAGCTCAAGCTTCGATCTCCCGAGGTTCAGCGGCTCACCTGATGGACAGAGTGACGACATCTGAAACGGTTTTGTGATCTATTCTTGTACCAATTTTCTCCTATCTTCTCTCATATCACCCTGTTTGCAGGATCGCTTCGTCGACTACCCTGACCGCCACGAGTTCACCTTGATTTTGTACTTATATTTCCTCCAATTACTGAAAGACCGAATCCTCCCTCTCTATTCCAAAAATAGATATCACAGGTCACTGAGAATAACACCATAGGACACAGTTAGGGCGATGTAAGCTTGATTGCCAAGTCCTTACTCGGTTGCTTGTGACCCCAAAGGTACGTCAATTCTGATCTGAGGCTGGCTTAAGCACTCGCCTCCCATGATTCCCTTTCAGCCAAGTCGCATATGCTAGCTGCTGGCTAATGCTGGCACACTCGAGGATCAGGGATCGAGAGCCAACCAAAGCAGGAAGGCGACACTCGGGAACCATCTCGATACGAAGTTATATAGTATCTGAGGTACGCGAGATGCGGTGAGCTCTGCATCCTGGCCAAATAAAAGCATCGGATATCGATAGATCCGGGGCATGGGAGAGTGAGCACAGGCTTGGCTTCCCACATAATCTAATCGTAGGGTATCCTCCCTTCCCCCTTGTCGTGGAAATCTGAGCTACAGAGGGGTAGAGACAAGGCTGCAACGCCGGATTTGATTGCTTAGTGGGACCATATCTTCCAAATCCCGAGGCGCGGGGGAATAGTTCCAAGCATTTTCAGGTGTTCGAAAGAGCTGAACCGATAGATAAGAACTCACATGATGCTGCATGATACTGTGACGGTCCAGGGTGTTCGACGTTGAAGGAGCTTAACGAGGTATGGTGTAGCCAATGAGTCCCCCTTCAGCGATGAGGCCCATGACGTGGATATCAAATCTGAAAGTCGAAAGCTAACTAGCTCTGTTCCTCCAGTTAGAGTGACGGAATTGTATCCGCTATGACGGCCAAACCAGAAAAAATATATGTCCACGAAATGATAGCTTGCGTTCGTGGTGCACTCGAATTGGCCTTCCGCCCTCTTCTTTGCAAGGACACGGAACCAAGGGGTCAGTGCACCATCCTATGGGCAGTTAACCGTCTATCCTCGCTGCCCCCATGATAGATTTCGCCCACGAGATCCCGTGGGACGTCCATCCGGAAAAAGTAATTAGGAGTCGGATGGAGGGGAGATGGCCGCAAGAGGCCGAGTTGTGCCAGAACCGTTTTAACCCAAGCATGAACCCTCGACAGGACCATATGGACGTTGTAGCTGCCAGGGATGCATTGCAGGGCCCCTGAGTCACGCCAACCCCGGTCGTTTTTTTTCGGTGTCAGCACTACCTCGTCAAGTGCTGAGGAAGGTATCCAATCTGGCTCAAAAAGTGGTGGTGTTCCTCGTCTCTCGCAGGGCAGGAGATCCAATTAGCTCCGGAGGATAATCCCTGACCTATTGACATGGAGAGGATGTGATGCAATCTGCGCATCACCTCAACCGTATACGAAGATATCAACTGAGCCCAATCAACCCCACGGGAGCAAACTGATCGGTTGGAAGAAGGGAGATAAAAAAAAAAAAAAGAAAAAGAAAAAGAATACGGGGATGTTCGCTGTCTGCTAAACCGGGCGAGGCGTCTATATCCTTAGTCTTGCGGTCAGCAAGGCTAAGCATTGCTGCTCAGATGTAGCCTTGTTTTGGTAAGTACATTGGCATTGCACATATAGCTGGAGCATCTCCGTCTCTCCGTGCAGCGCCCCTGTGTGGTCTGTCTTCCTCTGGAGGTCAGAAAGAGCCGAAAAAGGTCGCGAGAGAAGTTGGAGGCCATCGATGGCCCAACCACCCGGAACGCGCCGCCAAGCCAGAGCTTCCACCCAATATCAACGTCAACCGCAGAACTTCACGGCCTCGTCCTCGTCCCTCGCCGGCGCTTCAGCTGGACCGCTGGGAAACAGTCCGGCACACCCTCTGGCCGAGGGGAAAGTCGCTATTCCCCGTCTCCTGGGCGCGGTGCAGCAGCCGCCGGCTCCAGACCGGAATCGAGTGAATCATGCATGCGAACCATGCCGAAAACGCAAATCCAAGTGCGATGGTGTACATCCGATTTGCTCTCGTTGCAAGAACCAGGGAGTCGATTGCATGTATGCAGACGGGAAGCGAGAAAGGCTGAAACGGCAGGTTTTCTTCCTATTCCCTTTGTCTTTGTTTGAGGCACCGTCCCCAGCTGTCTGCTATGCGCTTACCGGCAAGCTGTCTTTATATCTTTCTAAAGAGAAGTTTAGAAATGCGCAAACGATGGCCATGAAGATAAGCGTGTATGAGAAACTCCTTACGAATCTCATGCCAAGCCAGAGTCCTGACATTCAGCAAGTTATTAGACATGCGCTGCTGGAGGCAAGTCGTTCCATCGTGTAACCGGAGGCTCCCCGTTCAGCAAATCCCATCCCCTTCCCCCCTGATGAAGTAGACGCCACTAACGCCGCCAACTAGAACTCTTCTCTAGCCGAGGAGGACGTCTCGATGTCAGATGAAAATTCTCCGCCTGCCGATCAGACGATTGAAGATGAAAATTCAGTGGTCTCTGCAGTTGCCTCTCCTCTACGAGGGTATTCTGGACGCAGAAAGCCAGTGGAGTGTTTAGGGGATGCTTCGACTGTCCGGTGGCTGGGCGCGCTTCTCGCAAAGCTGCATTCGCCAAATTTTATCTCTGAGGGTAAGGAAAGCCACCCAAGATAGCCGAACTAGATCCCCGCTAATACTCGGGGATTTGACAGCACATATCATGTCATTGGCCTCATATGAATTTTCTTGGAAGTTCGAGACCTCACTGAAGATAGATGAAGTCAATGAAAAATGCACTTATTTCTCTGGCGAGGTTGAACTGCCCCAACTGGCCATAATGGATGATGTGACCATGCTACCGCCCAAAGATGTTGCTGATCTCCTGGTAAATGCGTACTTCACCACGATCCATCCGCTGTTTCCCGTGCTCCCTAAAGTGAGGTTTCTATCCAGATATAACTCATATTACCACAACAGGAGCGATCCACTCACCGTTTACCCTTGGCTAGCTATCCTGAATATGGTGCTTGCTCTCGGGTCCCTGTGGGCTCGCTATACACATGTACCGACTGGTGAAGTAGAGGACCATGGCCTATACTGTGCTCGATCACAAGCCCTTGCACAAGGGATAGTTGATCCACGTACTTACCCTGGCACTTACCCTTCGATAGAGCCCATTCAACTTATCGCGATCAGAGGAATGTATCAGCTTGCCACTTACCAAGTTGCTGGGTAAATAAAATATTCTTTATACAAACCGAGGCCCAGTTTACACCCTATTCGGCTACTAATTGTTTTTGGTTGTCAATAGAGCGTGGGCTTCAGTTACCACGGGATTGAAGTTTGCCTATACACGAGCTCTGAGTCTGGCAAACTCCGGACTCGAGCCTTCCAACGAAACAAAACAGCTCGAGGCAAGGGTTTGGCATTCGCTTCAATCTTTGGAGCAGTTTCTCTGTCTTCTAGCAGGATTTCCGTCAGAGCTACAGGGTCAGCTGATCCATGCGAGTCAGCCTCAAGCTGGCCAACCTCCCCTTGCCAGCGGGCCCCCCTTGGCCGATTTTGATATACCGTCTGTCGCCTCGGAGCTGGAAATGTCCGCCGTCTACACTTTTGATGAAGAATTCCCGTCGAGCACGTTTATAGCAGGGCTCCGGCTAGACGAACTTGTAGGCGAGACGCTTGCTTCCCTATACGGCATCCAATCTCTCAACTACACCTGGGCACACACCCAACGCCTCATAGCTGACCTGGATAGCAAGCTAAATCGCTGGCAGGGAGCCCTCGACCCGGGTTTTCCTTACCCTCTACATCCAGTTGATATATGCTGTCCTCCCTCTGTGAGCGTGACTTATCTCTACCTCCGTTACAACAGCGCAAGGATACTTATCAATAGACCCGCACTCTGTGACCCTTCTGAATTAATGTTAACGATCCCATACCAATCCGAGGCATCTCGCCAGATGGATTTAGAAGCAGCAACTCGCTGCGTTTCTGCGGCTAGACAGATACTCCAGATACTCCCGTCTAACATGGATCTTGTCGAACTCCATGGCAAGACCCCCTGGTGGTGTATAGTTCACTATATCGTTCAGGCTAGCTGCATCTTAATAATGGAGATATCCCTCGATGAGCCTCATTTACCGTTGGAAATCGACGATCTCATCAGCAGTTCGGAACGAGCTATACGCTGGCTCTCGATTCTTGCCGGCACATGCGATTCTGCGAATAATGCATACATCTGCATAAGCAACCTACACCATCTTGCACTAGCAAAGCGCGAAAGAGCATCCCAAGAACAACTTTGAACGAAGCAATTCGATCATGATAGGTTAGACATTAAACATATTATACTCCCTACTTCCCCTTCTGATAACAATTGTTCCCCCCTTCTCTGCAGGATTTTTTACCTTTCCTTTTTTCTTTTTTCAGCTGTGGGATAATATTTTAATACCCCCTTGACGTTCAACACTACAGGCATTAATTACCATGGCTTTTCCTATCTTTGCGTTTGTTATTTTTTTTTTTTTTTTGCATTCCTGGCCGAGCATATATGGAAGGGGAAAGAGGGATACAGCAGAAATGACAAAGCTACAATTTTGACCACGTAATTATACTAACGTTTAGTTTATATTGCGCCTTGCCTCTCTTTTTCGAACGCGCCATATAATTAACAGGTATTCATAACAATATTTTAAAAGTCGTGGCTAATTCAAAAAACTCCCTCTTCCAAGTAAGTGCCCTCGCCCTGTCCTAGGCTACTCGTTTCATAACAAATGAAAGAATCAAAGTGTGTATCCGACGCTGGCTCCATAACCAAAAGAACGCATGCAACACCAAAAAACAGCAAGTCAGGCAAATAAGAATACTCCAGACCATCCGTCCCGTCCATCCCCCTGCTTTCCCCTGAGTCGTTCCTCTTCATATATAGAAATGTATATATAAACTTGAGAACCCTTAGCAAAACGCCAACAGCCCAGGGCCAGTTGCAGCACTGGACTGTCTATTACATAAAGCATTAACTGTAGAGAAGAGTAGAATGTGTTTGTCGGTCGGTCGGTCGCTTTTTAGATGAACACGCCTTCGCCGGATAAAGGAGCATGGAATGCACAGCCTAGGCCAGCCTCTTCGCCTAACTGTCTCAGTTCGGAGATTATCTGCTTGCGCGGAGAGCCATCGTCAGTAAGGGTGTCTTTGACGTGTATTATATATACGGTGAGGCCTTGTAGTGGTAGCGGGCGTGTGGTTCCGCATACAGATGCACGGAATCGAGGTTTCCCATCCGCCGCATCTTTGGCATGAGTGTCCATCGGATCTACCGATTCCCATTTACCCACCTCCGACTCGCAGAAATGGTAATTCACCGTCGTCTCCATCTGTTCCGTAGCTTGGCGGGTGTTGTGACCTGTTGGCAGCGCGTCGTCTGATTTCATCGATGGCATTGCAGGGGACAAGAATGGTGGCCTGCTTTCCTTCGACCTTGGGCTGAGCGGCACATTCAACAGCTCGCCTTGCGTTGGTAGATTCCCGCTGACCGATGAGGCGCGCTTTCGCTTCCTGGTTTCGCCCTTATGCGGTTTCTGAGAGTCAAGGACCTTGCCAGCTAATACCTCTAGCTCGGCGATGAGATGGCGAGGACATAGGTGGCCGTACAGCGCGTTATCTTCTACCGAGTCACTGTATGAGCATTCGATGAAGATCGCGCGCAGAGAGCCTTCACTGATCTTTGGAGCTGCGGTTTCCCAGACTCTCTCGTTTCGGGGTTCTAGGGAGATGGAGTCGGGCTCGATGTCTCCGAATATTATTATCTCTGAGCCTGTGAGGTCGTCACGGATGAAAAAGGCAGAGCTTTCGACTGTAGCGTAGGTGCTGTCCTTCCCGTTGGCACTGAGAGATAACTGTTGTTGCGCTTGAGTGGAAGGCGAGTATGATCTGACGATGTCAGAAAACGGCCCATGAATACAATGCGGAGAATAGATCAACTTACCGGAAAGACGATGCATCGATGGAAACCCGCCGGGAAGGCAGTAGTACCGGTTCAGACATGAAGACCGTACTTTCAGCCCGATGATGCTTCTCGGTCTCTGGATTGTAACGCTGTCTACACCTCCCATGGCTAACACCCAGACACTTTGTAGTAAGTCCGTCACTGGCCTTGACATATCCCTTTGCCGGGCCTCGACCAAGTCGCTGATTGCCACCATCAACCAGCCGCTGGTAGGTGATCAGGCCCGCACCACCGTCTTCATCCGACAAGTTCGGCCACGTTATATCGTTGAAGAGATGGTTCTTGAGCGCCGCGATGGTCGAGGGCAGTGCGGCGACCGTCTTTGGACCGGACTCGGCTTCGACCGTAGGCGTGTTCATGGCCAGACCCGAGACATGATCTAGATGCGGATGCGTGATGAGGACGCCGGATAGGATGTCTCGAAAGATATGCGCCGCGTTCGCTTCGGCGGTTAAATGGGGCAGTTCGAGACTCGCAAAGGGGCCGGAGGAGACTATTCTTCTATCATTATCGAGTTCGGTTGGCGAGTTGTTTTCGAGAATGCGAATGATGCCAGATAGCAGTGTGCCGGCATCGACGGCCACGACAGAGCTTTTGGCCCATTTTGTAGCTACCGATCGAACGAGTAGGCCCGTAGCTGTGTCTTCCCTGGGTCCTCCCGAAGCTCCCTATCCATCGTCAGAACATGCGATCGTAATGTGGAAGTGGTCAAATGTGGTCAAATGTGACAATGCGACGAGGCTGACTCCAGTCCACCAACTCACCAGGACGATAACGTGAAAGACATGTCTGTCTGCCGCCGTGTTTCCGTTCCCGAGTATCATTTTGCTAATGGATGATTTTTTGCGAGCTCGAGGCATCAGCAACCGTAGGGATTCCGTCCGAGTAAATCCCGAGACTCTCGTATGCGACTCTCAGAGCATTATATTCCTGTCCTCCGCCAGTCTCCAGTCCAGTCTCCAGTCCAGTCTCCAGCTCCAGCTCCAGTCTCTTGTCTCAAGTCTCCACTCCCTGTCCCAGTTGACTAGACTATGATGTTATACCGAGGGTGGCTCGGTTCACGGTTTGCGACAGCGGACGAAGGGAAAGGTGACGATATGCGCCGGGCAAGAGTTGGGCAAAGCAGTTAACAAAAGAATAGCGCTATTTTCGAGTCCGGTGGCTTCATGCACGAATCCTCGCGGGCTCGACCGGTCAGACTGCTGCGGTCTCGTTTCCAGCTCTTTGTCCGGTCTTGTTTTCTTTATCTGTATGCGCCTGGAGGATCGAGATCGGCCAGCAGGTCGAGGCAAAGTTATACGGACCGGCGTCAAACGGACATCTGTCAGTGACTTAGAGTCTCTTAGTCACGGCCAGAGGCGATAACCAAGACACTAATATTCGCTTGATGAGGAGGATGCTGGTGATGATGATGTTAGCTAGTTAGCTGGCCGTTATGTGATATCGATGCTGGAGGTCGCCGAGTAGGAGGTCCGGACAGGAATCCGTACGGGCTAGGAATGCATTATAGATAAGTGTGATCCTGCAATTAAAGAAGCAACGCATGACCAGCATCGTATTTGGGCCAGAGATAGAGCGATGACGGTGGCTAATGTATGCTCTAGCGCTTTGCGGGATAGCCTGCTGTCTGAGAGCATATCCACGAATATATAGACCAGGATGGCCTGTCGTTCAAACGAACCGGTGGATCGCGGCAATAAGGCTGTCAGATATACAGGGTACAGGTTCAGGGAGAAGAGTACTATTCGATTCACCTTCGGCATCTCAACTAATTACATCCATCTGGCTCGATATAAACGCAAAGCACGGTTTTAGGGGGAGAGACGTAGAAAGCATTTCGTGCGTGGCAGGGAAACATAAGACTGACAGCAACTGTACCGGACAAGGAGATGGAAGTAGCAGAACAAGAACAGGACGAGGAATAACATAAGCGATAGATATAGGTAAAGATTTCCTATGCAACTGGTTGGCTGGCCGCTGACTGGCAGAGAGGCGAAAAACAACAAAAGAAAAGAGATACTTGTCATAGGAGGGGGACGGGAAGACAAGATATGAATGGAGACTGATTTTGCAAGGGAAGAAGACTTGAAAGACTGACTTGAAAGAGATGAACGCCAGGGGAAGATGATAGAAACCGCACCCGCACCGAGATATGAAAAGGACAAGAAAGGAGGCCGCACCCGCACCGCACCGAGTTCCGTCCAGATTAAATGAATCGCTAATTGGCAGAACGAGAGGGAATAAAACTGACAGGGAAGAGTATAGGAAAGGGATATGTAGATAGGTAGACTGTACTAGGACCGAGGCGAGGAGAGTATCAAGAAGAGCTATTCTCTCTCTCTCTCGCCCTCTCTCGATCTCTCTCCAGGCCTTCACGCACGGCGGCGTCGTAGCTCGGGATAGGCGGCACCTCGCCGGTAGAGTGAGCAGTGCCGGGCTGGCCAGCACCTGTCCGCATACCGCACGGCGGAGAGTGGCCTGGGCTACGGTACTCTGGCGGAGGAACGTCGTCTACCGGCTGCCTGGTGGTGATGCTGACATTGACCTGGGTATTCGGATGGTCGTTCGTTTCAGTGGACGCCTCGGAGCCAGCAGGCAGATCTGGATTGGACGCTACATGAGGCAGCGGACCAAGCGAGATATCTGTTGGCGTCCTGACGGGTGCCGTTGGTGCCTGTGTAGCAGCATGTAGATGTCCGCGCAACGTTCCACTCCGCGTTCGTGCATGAACCTGCGAATTATGCTGCTGGTGAGCATGATGGACGTATTCCGGATGCCACCACTGCTGGGCACTCTGGCTGCTCTGTCCCTGGCCCTGGCCGGCGTCGTTCTGGCTGCCGGCCTCGAGTAGGATACTCCCCTGCTCGCTCCCGTACGGTGGCGGAGGGGCCAAACTACCCGTCATCGGCGCGAGACCCCACTTCTTCACATTAGCTTCGATGAAGACGAAGCCCATCTGGCCGAAGTTAACGTGGACGGTGGCTGGACCGTTGGCGCCGACGGTAGGGAAGAAGTTCTGCGATCGAAGGCCGTGGGCGACGTCGTCCAGCCGCTTGCCGTTGCGGGTGAAGAAGATGGTGCCGCTGCGGGGCCGGTAGCCGACGCCCACGACGTCTCCCTGGACGTAGGCAGGTCCGTAGGATGTAGGGTTGAAGGGCTGGTTGTGTCTCCTGTGGCCGGTGGACTGGTATGCGACGGACGACTTGTGGAAGCCTGCCGAGTATTAGCATGATATAATAAGTTGACAGGCGGGATATATTGACAGGTGGGTACATACCTGGTAGTCTAAAGAGCGGATACGGCTTTGTAGTCATGCCGATGCTGAGGAGGGTGGTCTCTGGTTTATCGTATATCTTTGCTTCCCAGTAGTAGACGTCGTTCTGCTTGGGGACGGGCAGGTTGCTCTGCACGCCACACTCGGAGTCGAAGAACTCGATCTCCGTCCGTCCCTCGACGAAACAGTTGGCAATTTCCAGCTCCGGCTCGAACTCCCACGCCGACACTCCCTTTTCCTGGATCGCGAGGAACTGAGAGAGCGATATGTCCGTCTGCATCGTCTCGGGGGGGTTTGCTTGCACGAACGCTGCGCCAGTTAGATCCGTAACCCCATCTATATAAATCGAAGAGAGACATACCCTTTGCCCTAAAATATTCGGCAGCCTGCAGTTCATCCATGTTCTCCAGCGCTTCGGCCTCTTCTCTGGCAAACTCCTGCTCGTCGTCGTACTCGCCCGGCCTGCCGATGCGGTCCAGCAGGATGCGTCCACGCTGGGTATATCTGAAGAAGAAGAACAGCGCGAGGATGAGGATGGCGACTCCAGCTGATCCAAAGGCAGAGAGCAGCCCGATCAGTATCCCCTTGCCTGTGCCATCACTGCTGCCGCCGCCGCCGCCGTTGGGGATGCCGTTGCCGCTGCCTGGCGGTATGCCAACGACCTGCGTGTTGCCAGCCTCGAAGGGCTGCTGGCGTCTCATCTTTGCGAACTGGTCGTCCGTCAGTTGCGGGCGGACATTGTTGAAGAGGAAGTGGTCGAGAGGCAGCTGGTTGAGGGCGCTGGTGGTCGTCGATGTCGCCGTCGTGGTAGTTGTAGTCGTGGCTGTCGATGTCGATGTTCTGGTGACGGTCCTGGTTGAGACAGCCCTGGGGGGCCTGGCGCGGACTCTGAGGAAGCGGGAGGGAGCGGGCGACTGGGACGAGGACGAGGAGCGGGATCTGGTGTAGTCTGGTCGCATCTCAGCTTGTAGACATGCCCTTCTTGCGTAGATGTCGAGGTCGAGGTCGAGTCGAGAGTTGTAGATGAGTATCTCGGCGTCGGCGTTACTCAGCCTTGCCTCTTACCTAACACTACCTTTAACTAACTCTTACCTACCTTTAACTACCTTTAACTAAATAACTCTTACCTATCTTTAACTACCTTTAACTAACTCTTACATCTTTAACTAACATCTACCTCATTAACTAACTCTTGCCTATCTCTCCCTATCTCTCTCTTCTACTCCAAGACACTCCTGTTTCACCTGGCCTCGACGTAACAGGACCACAGGCCCCTAGTTGATCGCCAGAGTTTGGCCCCTACATCGCCTGTACGGTTACTATTACCCGTTACTATATACCGTACTCTGTCGCGAGTATTTATATACTGGCTATTAATAGTCCATCAAGCCACGGCGCCAGGATCGCGGCCGACGTCATTACTCCGCGCCACTGACATAATTCGTTTCATGTCTTGCTGAGGATGTATCTGAGTACAGTCTGGAGATGCTATCTAAGAATTATCTGCTTCATGATAGCTAGAGTTGCAGTAATAGCATACTGGAGATGGAGCCATATTGAGACATGAGAAAGACGCATACAAGACAGATACGAGATAACAGTAGTGAGACGATATATAGAGGAGATATAGTAAGAGAATAATAGATAATAGGAGAGAAGATGAACCTCTAAGCTGAATGGTAGTCAAGTACTATATAATAACCAATGGGTTTATCTACAAACACAACGTCATCTCTTCACCTCGACGATTGACATGGTTATAATATCGTGATAGTGGCTGATCATGTAGTTATGACTATCTGAGATCGCCGACTTGGCCTCGACAACCTCAAAGATGGCCTCCTACTCGATCGCAGTCTCGGTCGAAGGCACCAGCATCGACAAGTATCCAGGTAAGATCTCTCCTCCGTCTCGATGACGCCGCTGACACTCGCACAGCAAAGCAGCATGCCCGCCGAGTCGCTGCCCGCCTCTCCTCGCGCGACGCCCTCATCTACCTGCCCGGCCAGCAGACGGTGCTCTCTGAAGACTCAGACCAGGCCACACACTTCAAACAGCGCCGCTACTTCTTCTACCTTACAGGCGTCGTCGAGCCAGACTGCCATGTCACCTACGACGTCGCCGCGGACAGACTGACGCTCTACGTGCCGGACTTTGACTTCAAGCGGACCATCTGGACGGGGCCGACGCTGGGTGTAGACGAGGCCAGGCAGAGGTATATCACTTTGTTAACTAGTAACGAGATACATGGCTAACGGTGCAGGTATGATGTTGACCGGGTGGAATACTTCTCTTCGCTGGAGGGTGACGTGCAGAGATGGACTGCGGATAATCCGTCGTCTCTCGTGTATATACTGCACCCAGACCAGAGACCAGTTACTCCTCTGACGGTGGCTTATCGGTATGATCAAAAGTCGCTCCAGCATGCGATGGATGCGTGCAGAGTGATCAAAGACGAGCACGAGATCGGTCTCATCCAGCGCGCCAACGATGTCTCTGCGGCCGCTCACAGGGCTGTCCTCTCGCGCCTACGCCATATGAAGAACGAGGCCGAGATAGCTGGCATCTTCATCGACGTGTGTCTCTCCATGGGCTCAAGGGGCACAGCGTACGAGACTATCGCTGCCTCGGGAGCCAACGGTGCGACACTACATTATACGCACAACAACGAACCGCTGGCCGGTCGACAGATGGTCGTGCTCGACGCCGGCTCTGAATGGCACTGCTATGCAAGCGACGTCACCCGGTCGTTCCCCATCCCTTCACTCTCGCATCACATACTGGGCGACGACAGCAGCAGCAGCAGCAAGAGTCCCTGGCCCAGCCGCGAGGCAGAACAGATCTACTCGATCGTCCAACGCATGCAAGAAGAATGCATCAGCCAGGTGAAAGAGGGAGCCCTCTTCTTCTCCATCCACCAACACGCTCACTCCATCGCTCTACACGAACTTCTAAAGCTAGGCATCCTCCGTATCCCGCACGGCGCAACCAAATCCGACCTCGTCAAGGCAGAAGTGACCGCCCTCTTCTTCCCGCATGGCCTAGGCCACCATCTCGGTCTAGAGGTGCACGACGTCTCACCAGATAGCGGCACGATACCACTTACATCTCAGTGTCTGGACGGCCTGATGAGCGTCACCGAGCATCGGCCGCCGTGTACGCTGTCTGCACCGCCGCTGGCGTCGGGCATGGTCATCACCGTCGAGCCGGGCATCTACTTCAACAAGCTGGCGATCGAGCAGGCAAAGGCCGACAGACACAAGCCCGGTGCAAAGGGTAGGTTTGTAGACTTTGACGTGGCCGAGCGGTATCTCGACGTAGGCGGAGTAAGGATCGAGGACGACGTCTTGGTGACCAGGGACGGGAGCAGGAATCTCACCACCGCGCCCAAGGGGAGGGAGATGCTCAGCATCATCTACAGTTAGATACCCTATCGCTATTATTTTTTATATCTGAGTCGAGAAATGTACCCACTAGAGTATCTACCGGAAGCAACCCTATTCGCTTACATCGAAGCAATGGACTAGCGGTGTTATCGCAGTGGCCAATAACATATATCGTCATTGGGCATTTATGCATCTCGTATAGCCAATGTAGATTCATCTATGGAGTACAGCTAAGTTTGAGATAAACGCCAAGTAGATATCAAGGAAAGGTCATCAAATGGATTTTCTAAAATACATGTATGCAAGGTCATAAATACTTTTATTTTTTTTTTTGAAGAAAAAAAGACCTTCCCTGTCCTTGCCGTGCCGTTTACATACAATTCCCAACCCATTGCCAGTACCAGTACAAATTTGCCCATGCTATGCCGTCGCTTAAAAAGAAAGTAGTCATCATATCCCATCTTCACTGCTTTACTCGTCAGGTCGATGCCAGTACCAAACCATGAACCCAGCCGTAGCCCTGGAGCTCAAGCACGCAACGAACGCGGATCCGTTCAAGCTACGTGCGAGCTCATCAGGGCTGTGGCGTGCGTGCTGTCGGTGCTGGTCGAGGGTTCGGTGGAAGGGGCCGTGAGTAGACCAATCCGGCCTGCCAGGCCTTCATTGCTGCAAGTCATAGTCCCGTCCAAGGAGCTCGGGTCATCGTATGCGTAGATATTTGATTGAGGTGGGTGGTGTAGAGAGGAGTAGAGGACCCATGAATGAATAAGTAGAGAGTCCAGCTGGAGAAGTGTCTTCACTGGATAAAATCGAGTCCGCCAAAAAACTCCAACATGCGGTAACACAGGGCCACGTCGTCTCCAGGCTCGCCGCCGAATAACCGGCACTGCTCTGCCTCTAACTTGGCGCTGTCTTGCTGGCTGTAGGGGCTGTTGCTGGCGGTGCTGGAGGTGCTGCTGATGCTGCCGCTTCGACCCTGCCATGCCATGTACCGATTATGCCAGAGTTGGGCGGAGGGCACACGGTCATGGCAGTGGTAGCGAGCAGCTGGAGAGCAGCTGAGCGGCGGAGGCAGCGTATGCACAGGCAGTGTATAGCTATCCTGGGGAGCGGCCGGTGGCCGAGAGGGAGCGTTGTTGTTCATCCGTCGTCGAGAGCGAGGTCTTGTTCGGCGTCGATTGTGTCTCTGGCCCATTGTGACGATATATTATGTATATATTTTATCTTTGTTTTTGGTTTCGGGTTGGGTATAGCTATTAATAGCGGCGCTTAGAACAGAGATTTCGTTATGCGTTATGCGTTATTGCATCAAGAGAACTGCTAACCGCCGCGGTGGACCACGACCACCACGACGACGGCCATGGCGACCTTTATATCCCCCGGCCAGGCAGAAACGGACTGACGAAGAACTCGTCGGCATCGGAGTCAGGAAAAAGGGAGGGCGAACGGAGTCATATTTAAGTCGACTTCGCAACCGCCGCCGGGCCTATCAGCGTGAGTCAGAGGCGTGAAGCTGCCTGACGTGAAGCCACTTGATACGTTTGATATTTCTGCGGCCGGCGACTGGCTGAGCGGCTACGGTGGAGTTGGGCTGGCGATGGAGCCAGGGCTGGAATAACTAATAATCGGCATGGATGAGCTGGCGTGGTGTGATGCTGCCTGTACGTCCTCCATCCCTGATTGCGCAGCAATCACGCTATCCGTGGCCTGATAGTCAACTACGGAGTATCACTGTATGTATCAGCTGCGGTGCCGAAGAAGCGAAGATACGAATGACGGCATGACGAGCAGATATTTCATCGACCGCATAGCCAGCCACTCACACGCCGAGGACCAACAAAGTTGCCGCCGGAGAATTTGAACTCACGGAAACACGCGAGAACTTCGTTCCGTCGATCTAGCCTGGACAACAAGTCACTGGCTCTTTGGATTCTGGACTTTGTAGCCGGGGGAGTTACTTTACTCGAACTACTCCGTATTCTTGCGGTTGTTATAATTAGATACCTTAGCATCCAGGACGGCTTTCTCGAGGAGTTGCCAACATGAAACCGCTGGCGACAGCATGTCCCAGGAATATAGATTTGGCCTGTTTTGCTGTGACACGGATTACTGCAGGATGGTTCGCAAGCTGTACGTGCATAAAGGCAGTCGCAATTATGGATGGTTGGCACAAACCACGACCGTGCTGCACCCTGGCCATCCGGTATACAGCAAACTGTTAATCTCTTGGATACGCCACTCGAACCGGCACTGAAGAGGCGGCTTGCATGTCGCTCATCTCGTCAGTCTCTACCTCATCGAAACATGAGCTCCTATAGGATGGCCAGAGTTAAGGCTGTCGGGAAGGTTCGTGTCGGACGTTGTTGGGATATCGTATCTTGCGCCATGCTCGCCATGTCGTACGGCTCTGGCATTGGCTTGGTCGTATGCCGCAATTTCGAGCCTTGTTTCGTGTCTCCCTTGTAGGATGTTGGTACGTCAGAAGTTAGCCGCCAAATCAAGCTGACGAAGTTTCGATGGCCCATCGTAGAAGGCCTATGGTGTCAATGCCGTCCTGGATACACTCTGTAAGCTCCCGGCACCCAATTTCACGGCTATCTTTAACTATCCTTCAATAACGTAACCTTCTTTCGATAACGGCTGGTTTCACTTCAAGGTTGCGGCTACCTTAATGTATCTATATTTTGAGAGTGGTAATGTTTCAAGGGCCCGGGATGAGGTAACAATCTCATATTTCTGCATACAGCCTGGCAAAGTCCACTTTCGTGCATCGAGTGATGGTTGGTGGTGTCTCTATTAGGAAGGTATATCGCATTCTGTTGGGCCAGTCAGATGTACCACCTTTGGTCAACTTGGTGACGGTAGCTTGAGTGCATGGTCACGCCTGGACAACTATCAAATTGCAGAAGAACAAGCTGGAGAGTTCTCGCCCTTTCCAGCACTGCCGAATGATCAACTCTGGCCAGTTAGTCTCGCCCCCAGCCTGAGCCAGCAGATGTAGATATTCTGATCTGCACGCGGGATTTTATACGTGACTCGTCAACAGCATGAGTCCCAGATCATCTGAAGGTCCGGATCTGGGAAAGTTTCCGAGATCCTGACATCTCCAGGCAGCAAAGTGGTCCGGCTTTGTAGTATAAGGATCCGAAGCTGACGTGATATTGCGCTAACAAGGCTCCCGTGTATAGCCATAGCCACTCATTGTCAGACCCTCGATAATAGCTGAAAGCCAGGTTGTATGTATAAACATATGTATAGAATGTGCCGTGCTGGGCAAGAAGTATAAGCATATATGCAAGGCCGGACTTTGTCAATCCTATGATACCGTATAAGTGTTGGACGAATGGAGTATTAAGTTAGCAGTATTTATGCTAAATCAAAGGGTTTTCTTGTGGATATAGCATTCCATCTTCTATTCAAGAGATATGAGGTCCAGTAAGGCCGGTCACAACCTGGATATCAGACTTGCATCGATACCAACCAGAGAAGCTAAGAAGTGTCCTTCAGCCTTGAAGGATTTGGATCACTGCTTTCTTATCATCGTCTGGATCTCCTTGACTGGGTATCCTCCAGCTCGACTAGACTGCTGCCTTGTGTATGTTGTATGTTGTATATTGTATGTTATATATTGCATGTTGCATATTGCTTGTTGTGTTGTTTGTGCCTCGTCGCTTCTTGATCTTATGTAATAGTTTGCATACTCTTGGCATGTTTGTATATTAGTCAGACACATCACGTGTAATTACTCAGCCTCGGAGAAACTATCCCCATTTAGTGTAACCGTGCCTTTCCACCTTACTTCTTCCGGACTAGCGCCTTACCTTAAATCCACGTTTGTCCGCGGCGCTAGTCCCGATCGGGCGTTGGGAAGAGGCCACGGATGTGAGATCGAAGTTCGACAAGTTGTTGCTCGTTCAATAACGGCGACCAGTTTGATACTCCCGCCAGCCTCACTCCCGCCTTCCCTAGACACTCGGTATCCCTATATACGGAGCATAGCGGCATGCGCTTGGGTTTCTAGATCGCTTCGTCTTTTTATTCTAACCCAGCTCTCGACCTTCTAGCGTTCGTTGCGAAAAAAAAGTGAGCAAGGAGCCTATGAGCCCGTGTGCTCGCTCGGCGGCGTACTCTCGATCTTATCTGGCGTGTTAGAACATTCGCAACCATGTCGTCGACGGATTATAACTATGACGAGCAGGTTGGTATAGCCCAATGCAGCGTCGAGGGCGTCACTTGTCTCATGGCTAACCGGTTGCTCCGAATATAGGGCCAATTCTTCCCTTTCTTTATCCTCACCCTGACAGGCCTCGTTACCCTCCCACTCACCTATACCCTTCTTAAACCCGTCAAAGGTTTGTTAATCCTGTTTTAGGACTTGCTCCTATGCTCGCCCACGGTGTACTTGCGGCTGCTGATACCCCACGTTGCATAGGACTTGAGAACTCCGCCCCTCGAATTAAGTCCGACTTTAAGCCGCAAAATGACGATATCATACAGAGTCAGAAGCAGAAGCTTCTGCGAAAGGAGCGCCGTATCAAGAGAATTATCACAGTGATCATCGGATATGCGGTCATGACGTGGATGGTGTACCTGATCATGGTGACCGCGAGATCGGCCCCCAAGATCTGGGACCCGTATGAGATTCTTGGAATTTCAAGAGTAAGACGTTTCCATGACAAGTTAAGGCTACAGTGTCTAACTTATGACTTTTTAGAGCGCCGACGAGAAAGCTATCAGCAAACATTATAAGCGACTCTCGGTCAAATTCCACCCTGACAAGATCAAGCCGGACCCTGCCAAGAATGAAACTGTTGAAATGCTCAACGATCACTTCGTCGAGCTCACAAAGGCTTATAAGACTCTCACCGACGAGGAAATCAGAAACAATTATATCCAGTTCGGCCACCCTGACGGAAAACAGAGCTTCAGCATTGGTATCGCCCTGCCCAAATTCATCGTCACCGAAGGAAACGGAAAGTTTGTTCTCCTGCTCTACGGAATCCTCTTCGGCGTTCTCTTGCCATACACTGTTGGGAAGTGGTGGTATGGTAACCAGCGGTATACCAAGGATAATGTCCTCGTTGCCAGTGCTGGAAGCCTGTTCCGCGAGTACAAGCCCGACCTATCCTATGGAAGTATGATCAGTACGTTGAGCGTGGGGGATGAATATACCGAACTCCTAAAAGACGATCAGGCGCATACCGGTTTAGCCAAGGTTGAGAAGAAGGTTCTTGACTTGATGAAGCTGTCGCCCAAGGATAAACACTTTTTAAGCACATTAGACGATGAGAAGAGGCGGAAGGCTCTTGCATTGCTATGGGCGTACCTTGGGAGAATAGATCTTGAAGATAACGCACTCAACAACGGTATGTCTAGATGTTCCATTACGTGAACCTAACAGTGGCTAATCGTTATGCTTGTAGAAAAATTCCAAGTCGCACCCCCAGCTGTTACCCTCAACAATGCATTTACCACCATTGCTCTAGCGTTCGGAAACTTACAACCCATCATGACATCACTCTACACTTCCCAGAATCTCATCCAAGCCGTCCCGCCAAAGTCTTCTCCTCTCCTCCAGCTCCCTTACTTTAACGCCAACATCGTCCGATCCATCGAAGGCGAACATTCCAAAGCCCACATGACTGTTCAACAGTACATGAGATTACCAGAAGCTAACCGACGAAGCTTGACCGTTGGCAGCGGCCTTCTCACTGAATCGGAATACAAAACCGCTGTATCAGTAGCAAGGAGAATACCCGCCTTGAAACTGTGCAAAGCCGTCCTTAGAGTCCCTGGTGAAAAAGTCATAACGCCAAGCAGCTTAGTACAACTTGTAGTAAAAGCCCGCTTCGTTCCACCAGGCTGCGAATATGTACCACCAGTTAAGGAAGCGGATCTTGAACTCGATGATGTTGACGAAGACGCCTTGGCCGATGCCCTGACAGGAAACACCGCCGTCGATCCAAAAGAACAGGAGAAGAAGAAGCAATTGGAAAAAGAGGAGGAAGCTGATATTCAACCACCGCTTGCCCACGCCCCTTATTTCGCCCGCGACCACTCTCCCAGATGGCACATTTTCCTTGCAGATGTAAAGCAGGACCGTATGGCTGTTCCACCATTCACATTCACCACATTCGACAAACCCATCTTCGACGACGAAGGCAAACCAACCTTTAACGTACAGACGATGAAAATGCAGTTCCAGGCCCCGCCACAAGTGGGTAGTTTCCCATTCGTCCTCAACGTCGTTTGCGATAGTTATATCGGATTCGACGAGGAGCAAGAAATTACTCTTGAAGTCGAGGATTTGGAGAAGGCCGAAGCCGTAGCTGCTGATGATGATATCAGTGAACCTGACGAAGGTATGCATAATCACATCTCCGCCCCCTCCATATAGCTCATTTCGTTTGTTCATATTTACTAACTCGACCACTAGATTCCATCGCCGGACAAATGCAGGCCTTGAAAACCGGCCAAGCTCCACCACCCAGGAAGAAGCGCGAAGCCGACTCAAGCGATGATGATGAAAGTGACACCGACGGTGACGTGGCAGACGATACCAGTGAAACTGACACCGACACCGACACTGACGGAGAATAAATATATAACCCACCCCCCTTCCCCCTCAACCGGCAGTCAACAGTGCCACGCTACATTTTCTAAGGTCCTTTTTTACTCTAAAGTTGCAAGTCAAATTCAGATTCAAACGATGAAAGCTTATGGTTTTATTTATGTTAGCCAATTGATATGGTTCCTGTTATCCTTTTTTTACTTCATTTTAATACCCTCTTCTTTTTGATGATGGAAAGATTAGAAGACGGGGGTGACATGGCTCGTTTTGCTGGTCATTTACCGTGTAATCGGTATGTATTATCTCTTTCTTGTACGTGGTTTTTGTTTGCCTCGGTCTTGAATGGGGACACATCAGTTCAGTTCGAATGAAAGAGACATTACTATATATTCTCAGGGTTTTGTGCGATTTACTACCATATAGCCGGCGATTATCTTGCAGCTTATAGGTTTATCCAGATACTGGATGTTATAGAGGTTACAATTTTACTGTTTCCACCTGCCTTTCAAGTACAAGCCATCAGGCAATATCAAATCATAGGAATTGGTTCAGAAGACAGCCGCTGGAGAAATATTAGTATTGAAAAAGACACATAGAGCCTGCTAAACATTAAAGGCCGTACGGTGGATGATAGCTAATAGTTCAGAAACCCACCCCAGCTAGACGCCACGGGTAGGGCAGGGATAAAGAGATAAAGATTAAACGGAGTAATAAAAATAAACGGATTGTTAGAGTCCAGTAGTAACCATCCGTTTAAGCACTGTTGTCAGTATTGAGCGCCAGGTTAATGGAATCGATCCACTTGCCACCATTCTCCTTGTTAGGGATTTTCAGCCCTTTGCTCTCCAACATTCCCTCGCCATCACGACCCCATTCCATAAGGGCCTCTTCACTACCCCATTCTCCCATACCCATTAGCCCAACGGGTACAGAGCTCTCATCTGCATAGGCCATCGGACACGAGATGGCAGGACATCCTGTGAAGTTAGCCAGATACACATACTCCATGGATCTTAGTGTAGCGTTAGAATCGCTAACGCCATTGGTAAGATCAGCTTCACCCTGCAGGATCTTTGAGCCAGCAGTAGGCGTCGTGGGAGTTGCGATGATCAGACCAGGGTATTTTTGGAATAGGAATGACAGATGGGTCATGAGCAGATTACGCATCTTTTGGGCTGCCATAAAACCTGACGCAAGGCCCTGGGTTCCGCCAACGGAGACTATAAGCCTAGTCGGGGCAGAGAGTTGGGAGATCTGTTCTTGGGTCAGGCCACTAGCAATTTCGCCCAGGATTGATAGAGCATGGGATTTCCCGCCCTCGGGGATATAGGGGATTGTGATATCAACGACTTCGTATGACATTTCATCACGGTAGTAGTCGATTGCTTTGTTGAACATGGCTAGCACGTCTGGGTCGGAACGCTCAACCCAGTCCTTGTATACTCCGATCACTTTAGGGCGGGTAGAAGAGGGTGATGGGATACTCAACAAGGGGTCAGGGAACGCTGCTGAGGCAGAATTACTCGGGTCTGGAGCAGCCATGATGCGGTAGGCGAGAGCAAGGTCATCCAGATTGGATGCCATGGGACCGAGAACTCCCACCGTCGTGGCTAATCTATGTGATGGTGCAGCCGAGACTCTTCCGTGACTTGTCTTGAGGCCATAAATTCCACAGTAGTTAGATGGGATGCGGATAGAACCTCCTCCATCGGCTCCAAGAGCGATCGGAACAATGCCAGCACCCACGGCATAGCCAGAGCCTCCTGAAGATCCGCCGGTATAGTATTCCGAGTTATGCGGGTTTCTCGGCGTCCCAACGACGGGATTATTGTTTGTGGTGTCTTTTGAAAATGCGGTTAGTCAAAAAGAAATGTTATCACACCCTCATAATCATCCACTCACCAAGCCCAATCTCATGCATCACAGTCTTTCCAATAATAATGGCGCCGGCTTCCTCCCACTTCTTCACGCACCAGGAAGTGAAGTTGGGGTTAGGTGTGAAGTCGATTTTGCTCGACATGAACTTGTTATACCCATCAAGGTCTACCTCGTCCTTGACGGCAACCGGTATGCCATCCATGGGTCCCAGCGGGGTCCCATTCTTCCATCTTTTCGTAGAAGCCTCCGCAGTGGCACGAATGATATCAACCTTCGACTGGCAGAATCCAGGTGAAAACTCTCCGGGAGGTGAAGTATCGCGACGGATCATGGGCAGCAACGCCTCGACAACCATTGTAGGGGTGAGACTGCCGGCCTCGTAGAGCTCACGGTAATCCGCAGAGGTATAGTAATCACCCTTTCCATCCTGACGGCGCCTTATCGGAGCTGGTAATGAAGATGGTTCTGCGGTAGCTGCTGCTGCTTCGCCAGTCAGCGGAGGGAGGATGGTAGGGTCGAATGTCGGCTGGTAGGCCTTCAGATGTTCGATCTCACGGATCGAAGAGAACCCAGCATTGCGCCAGAGGATCGACTGGACGAAACCTGAGGATTGGACCCTATATACAGCGGTTACACGACCGGTTAGCCTCTACCAGCACTAAAGACGGCCCTGCTGGCTCTGATTGGGCTGGACGCAGACAGAAGACATGGTTATCACTGACAGGGTTGCTGCTATTTCCAGCAGTCGGCCACGCAGGATCGGGTTGGATTCGGACGTGAGCTTGTATGGCACTTGGGGGCCTTCGATGGGTGTGGGGAAGGTCTGGTAACGGTTTGGATGCGCAGGATTGGACGCCATCTTGACCGATCACCCGGTACTATCGTTCGATGCAGGACGGTTTCCAGGGTAGAGGTGTCGATGCAGAAGGCCAGCGAAGTTGTTTTTCGCAGGTCGGAAACCGTTTGACCAATGTTGTCGATGTTGTTTGTTGTTTGTTTATAGCGTAGCTGCTATAGCAGTGGCCCCGAAGCTCTTGCCTCGGCGCAAAAGGGGTTGTTTCGACAAAGGATAGATAAGCGCCGGGTTCATGTGAAAGAAAAAGCAATGTTTCAACGTTCAAAAAAAATATATTTCCTGATATCCAATTATTTATTTCTATCGCAAGGATCCTGTTATATTTATAGCCTGAGTTTTATATTCCAAAAATCTAGAGCCAATGCAACCCCTGTCAGGATGGTGGAATATCCCATCAAAACCGCCATGGCCAATTCCTTCCTGGCATCGAGCGTGTTCATCCCCAGGTTGACGGCGCCGGTCAGCAAGTTTGCGATCAAGAATACCGTCAGCCCACCCTTGTTGAAGGCTCTCATGACCCTGCTCGTCGCAAACTCACACTGTTCCGCTTCCTCTTTTCTATTTGAAGCCTTTGCCACTGACGGGAAGACAAAGGTCTCTATAAGACAGAACAGCAGCATGTGGGTCAAGTTGAATGCATTAACCCAGAGCACATATGGCAAGTTAGCCAGCCGGCGCGAGACCGGCATTCCCCCGCCATATCCATAAAGATAGGAAGAGTTGAGGGTGAAAAGGACGACCCACGCCGCTGACCATGTTGCCAGTTGGACGAGGAGCGTCTTTCGTGGCCTGCGAGGTATTATCCGCAACCCGGCTCCTCGACCTGCCAGGAAGATGGCAAGGTAGCCGATGAAAGAAAACACTCCTTCTCGGTTCTTGGATAGCAGTGACGGCCCACGCGGTGAGATCAGGATATACTCCTTCAAGCTCGTGGATTCCAGCGCCACCTGGTAGCCACCGATGACAATCAGTGAAAGGGCCTCATACCACGGAATCAAGATGCTGAGTGCATGGAAAATCTCCACAAAGGGCGGTAATAGCCCCAAGGTGAAAAAGAAATTCCAGTGCACGCCGTACTCTGTTACGTGCTCAGCGTAGTCCAATCCCTTGACACTGTACAGGCGAATCAGACCCAGTATCAGGAGAGGAACGGAGTGGCGTGCAGATGCAAGTAAGCGCTTTGCAAACGACCCCTGGGAGCCGTGTCCTCCAAGCACCGAGCGAGCTGAAACAACACCGCCCGAGAAGACGAACGACCCTACCCCCAAGTCCATAAGCGATGTGCCCCAGTTTTCCACCTTTGCGAACCGTCGAGGGAATATCTTGAAGTCCACTGCTAGAATCGACAGGCAGGTGATGATCATCAAGCTCCCTCGGTAATTGGTGAGAAAGGGCCGCTGGGGGAGAACGTCCATTGTAGTATCAGAGCCATGACTTTTGGAGTCTGATGAACTGGACTTTGTAGCTGGTGGCTTTGCCTTTTGCCGTGACGGTTTTGACTTGGTGCTTAACAGGAGAAGGACGGCCGGAGAGAGGAGTAGGATGTTCAATACGATAGGTGAGGAGGAGTAGAAGGTAATTGCGAATAGTACAGTGCCCACGGCGAGAAGAGAGTCTGTTATCAGAGCTGGTAATTCATACGGCGTAAAGAAAGAACGGCGCGATTGTAGGACAGACCAGAGCAGCACGGCACTCTACATCAAGCCATTAGCTTCGTCTCGCTTTGTCTATACATAGGGACTTACTGGAACAACAGCTGCCACGGTATTGATATCCCAAACACTGCTCCCTGATAAGTTCGAGACGAATGCCTCCTTTCGGGCCTTGTAGCTCTCCGCCATTTGATGCGCGTTCGTCGTTCAGCGAGTCTCACCTCCAACAAAGCACCATGGACAGGCGGTCCCAGTTATTTCATTTGACACGGAAGTTCGCCTGGCACGGGAAACTCCACGTCTCATAAATAATCCGCGAAGATGCCAGCTTGGTCTTTGTTTTTTTGAAGCTGTTGGACTATTTGCTGACGTAACACAGCTAAGATGATGTCATACACATCTATAGCTTTATTGTAAACAGTAACAGTAACAGTAAACATAACGAGTGAATGGTTTATTGCGTTATCATGAATCATTAAATACAAAGGAAATTTCAACGAGTGTGGTAAAGGAAGGCCGTCAAAGGACATCAAGACAAAGAGACAATAAAGAGACAACAAACAGATCGCCAGATGATGCAGAAGAATGTCAACAAGTACCGCCATGCTAATATAATCAAACGAGGGTATCAAGCCATCTCACCAGGAGACGGGTTATGCAGAGTAGGCCACCAGGAATATGTAGAGCGAGAACGCAGATCAAACAGGATAATGAGAGGAAAAGGAAATATAATGCACAAGAGCAGCCAGCTGCCCAAACTGAGTCGCCTCAAGCAGTCTATACACGGACAGGAACTTATCCAGTCACCATGTCGAGGGGTTCACTTCTCAAGATTGATCAAAGACGCTTGGCCGCACCAGGCATCGGCATTGAGGGATCCCTGTGATCGGGCGTCAATTCGAAACGGACTCTCTTAGCCTTCGCCTTCGTCTTGGTTGGAGCTGGAGCTTCCTTGATCGCCTTCTTCAATTCAGGAGCCGCTACCTTCTTGCGTACCAATGCCTTGAACTTTGGAGCGATGACGATAGGATCAGCCATACGACGAGGAGGAGACATCTCCCTAAAGGTCTTTTCCTTGAAGTCAGGAATATGGATGACTGGTACGACCTCCTTGAACTTCTTGGTCGGCTTCGTCACGTTTATACGCTTTCTGGTGGGACGGACCGTCTCTTCAGTAGACGTAGTTGAGGTCATGGATGGCGTTGGTGAAGGCGCCCGTTTCCTGCGAAGGAGAGCAGTGGAATTGGCCTCGATCCTGGAGATGGTAGTGTCTGTTTCACTGTGTTCTTTACTTCGAGAGCGTCGTGGCTGGGTGCTGGACACCTGGACGCCGTTGCCCTGTGGGTTGAGGGAGACACGGACACGAATTCTCTGGGATTGAGACATGCTTCTGGAGTCTTGACAGCCGGTGAGAGTGACGGAGCTGTCAGAGTCACTCATATCGTCAGAGTCGGAGAAGAGTCCATAGGCAGCCATGTCGTCGAACAGGTCCTGTGTGAATCCCTTGGTGCTCAGGAGCGTTCTCTTCTGACCACCGGATCCTGTGCTGGAGCGTCTCTCAAAGAACATCGTCATGATTGCTGTGATGAAGCTGGATAGCAGGGATAATGTGGAATTGAGCTTGATTGAGTGTATAATTAAGAATTGATGGATAATATGGGTATTGTGTATTCACGAGTAGTTGTAGTGGTTGAGATCTGAATTGAAGACCATGCCAGGAACCCGACTTTATACATATTAGAGTTACGAGAAGACGAGATCAAAGCAGATCTAGCCTCCTCCTAATGCTCCAAAGGGATAATAGAATAGAAAAGACTCCAAAACGCAGAAAGAAAAGCAACCAAGCGACAGAGTTCAGCAACGAACTCCTACCATCCTATCAATGCCGGACGGCGAGAACAGTTTGAAATCCACGACGAGTTCCCGGGACCATTTCGATCCCAAGAATAGGATCTTAACCGCGAAACCGTACCGTGCATAGCTTCGTTGAGAAACTAGAGAGGTATGATCTCGCGCCGACGCTGCTCTCGAGACAGCCAGAGACCAATGAGCGAGCCGGGAGAGGACGAAGAGCAAGACGATATCAAACACGATGCCTCCACCGGAAGGTCGAGGAGGGCGAGAAAGAGGTAAAAATAGATATCTAGTCCAGTGGCAGAGCATCCGTGTGGTATCAGAGGGTCTATATCTTTTTCAATGCGAGAAAGTAAATAGGCGCTGGCCGGAGGTCTCCCACTCCACCGCGTTTCACCTCGACGACGAACATGGTGAGTTAATGCAACTTACGAACAGTTAATCGCTGGATACTGATGATGCTAGATTCCAATCAACGAGACAGTCAACAGCAGCGGCAAGGTTGATAAAGACAGCGGCCGCTGGCCCGAGATCTCGCAGGCCACAGGAGAAGAGAATGCCTGAGGCACAGCTAGCCGCCGCACGTCGAGGTCCATGTGCGTTCATGCATTGAATAATGCGACCTGAAACCGTGGTGAGGGCCCGGTCGACGGTCTAGGGGCTGCATTCGCCGAAACGACGAGAGACAGAGGCTGAAAAGCTCATCGCATCCGCACGGCTGGGAACGATATAAAGAACGACGGACAGGCCCTTACATATTTACATACGGCGGACTAACGCCCTCATTCCTCAGCTCTCAGCCCGAGATTCCCTGAGCTCTCAGCCATTCCCTGAGAGGCCTCCCTGAGCGGTCTCCCTCCGATCAACTGCTGCGTCAAGGGTCGATTATCCACCGCGCTCATGCAAGAACTGATCCCGGGGCATGTTTACGCGAAACCCATGCCCTCTGCCTCCTCCACACATGGCCGACCTGGCTGAGATGATGCGTCGTGCCGGTTGCTGAGCGGAGGAGGGGAAGGGGGCTCGCTTCGGAGGGCTTTGATATATATCTGCCATGCTATATGACCAAGTCACCTCCACGCAGCGCTCGCCAAGTCAGACCAGGGGGGAAACGGATCTTGCTCCAGAGAAATCCCTGTACGCAGGAAATGAGAAGAGAGCAGAGCGAGCAGAAGAATTGACCCAGGCTAGCTTTTTTAAATGGGCCAGATAGGAATAAAATAATTTCACAATTTAGCTCTGTCACTCCCTTCCCCCCTCCCCTCTTTTATACGGATCCAGTCTGGCCGGCAATCAAAGAACTAGTTTTAAGCCTGTATGGAAAAAAATTGGGGCAAGGGAATCCCTTTGTTTGTATCCATATCTACGCCCGTTGGAAGCTGAGTTGTCGCGGCAATTTTTGCGTCCCTTAACTAGCTCCAGCAAACTCCGTATTTCATTCACCGTGGGAACAATTTTTATTTCTAGACCAACTTCAAACAAATAGCCTATATAACTTCTCGCTCCTTTCCCTCCTCCTCTTCTCTTCTTCCTGTCCGGCTTATCGCTTCATCACCACGACCTTCAAACCGCCGCCCTCGCAGTCCAGATACCAACCGTACCAACATACCACCCACAGTCCACCCACAGTCCTTTCAATTGCGCCGGAGAGCGTCAGGTCCGGATCGATCTACCAGTGTCCAGACATCCAGATTCCAGGCATACGGCCAGACAGCATATCTCCCAAGTCGAAGTCAGGTCCTTTAAGGCGGAACGTCGAGTCGGCGGTAGCAGAGCAGGCCATGGATCTACTTGTGCAGGCCATGTTCATCATCGGGTGCGCCTGGGCTTGTCTGGTCGGCTATCTCGTCTTCGGCATGTTTCGACAGCGATATACGCAGGCCAACGTCTCGAAACAGTGTCGCCAGGCGCTGGAGTGTGCAAATACAAAGTCTACCATACCAGATGCGAAAGCCGGTGCCCCGAAGAAGGCTTGAGCCCTGAACGATGCATACATTCATGCATATTTACATGCGCTGGCTGCATTTAAATACCAACCTTCGACCGTCGTCTCCAAAGACATCTCTTCTTCTTCGTCTTCATCATCTTCATCGTCATCCAACGGCCATAGACGAGAATATTCTGGAACTGACGTGTTTGCAATGATACAAGGTACATCCCGGCTCAACCTGTGACAAAACTCGGTATATCAGTTTCATCCCAACACCAACACCCCCCGAGAAAAAAGCATATACTTCCATCCCGATCTCCCCGTTCGGCTCCCGTGGGCCGATAATAATTAGCCTCATATTCTATTTAGCCGTTGTTATTTCTTTTTCTCTCTCCTTTTCCCCTTTTTAAGCTCGATGGCGCTAGACATCTCTATCGTCACTATCCCTGCCGACTTGCACGACCACGACCGATGGGTTTCTTCTCTCTCTCTCTTTCAACATGATACAGCTGTGGGTTGGCTGTCTACGCCCGTGGAACGTTTGATGACCTGGGTCTCTTCTCTTCCCCATATTTATTTAATTTGGGGAAGCATTCCCATTGTACTTTTAGCCTTTCCTCTTCCTCTTTCTTCTGGATACGCAGTTTCTGTTCTTCAAGGTGTTAGGGGGCAGATAATAATAGATAGATTGGAGATATGAATATTTTGGACCTTTTGCCCTTTTCGTTCCCTGGTTCTTAGCCGGAAGACTATTAATTAGAGAATTAGAGATTTGCTAGCGGATATTTTATATAACCGCCTCGCGTGCTTACAAATTTGTCGCCGTTCATCCCGCTGCTCCAGTTCATCTTCATCGTTCATCTTCGTCAAGCTGCTGCGTTCATCTTCATCAAGTTGCTACGTTCATCTATATCAACAAGTTGCTACGTTGACGGCTGTTGTGGAGGATGATCTGCTGCTAGCGAAAGTGGCACCAAATAGTTATATGTGAGAGACAAGATGATGTGGCGCAGCTCTATCCCACTCAACATATATCCATGAACGTCCGTTTCACTGCGAAAAGGTATCTACTTCGTCTTATCTACATCGTCTCAACTTGTATAGAGGCCATCGCCTTATACAAAACAGCCATAGCGACGGTCATCAAATTCATTCTTCTCGCATCTACGTCTAATCCAAGGCATAAGTATATACATCGTTCCCAAGCACCATGCATCATTCTAGCACCCTATTCTGGCCGAGGGCGCGGTTGGACAACTGCCGGGGATCTTAGGTTCATGATACTACAAGTATCGAGAAGACAGTCTCTTGTCGACCACTGGGGATCCCGAAGCTAGCCTTGACTCCTTGGACACAGGGCTATCAAGGTAGCAATTCGGCCAGCTGGGAAAAGACGGTCAAGTCTGACCGTATATCCAAACTCACGTCCAACCTCCGGGTGCTTTGTCCGGTACTTTTATGGGCTGTATACGCTCGTGTGCCCCTACACTCATTCTGGCCTCCTTGCAGATCATCCAAGCCTAAGGTTCGGTCTGCATAGACTTGCGCTTCTCTCCGGTATTCTTCTCGGGTGTCAGACAAGCACTAGCCACAGCAGCCGAAACGGCCACAGCAGCCAAAACCCACCAGGCAGTGCCCACGACGCCGTTTCTAAGTCCTACACCGTACATCCAGCCGTTCAGCAATGGCCCTACTGTTCTGGCTGCCGATGAAACGCTCTGGCCGAGACCATTGACGGTGCCAAGCGACGAGCGGCCTGGACTTGCGGCGTTGAGGAGCATGCTAGCTGAAGGGAGAGCAAAGGAACGAGCCGTTGACTGGATGGCCAAGATGACCGAAATGAAAATCCAGAGCGTAACTCCAGCAGACGGCAAAGGTGGCAATGTCGTCGACGAAACGGTAGCCCAGTACGGAGTGACGAAATAGGTTATCGGGAAGACCAGGAGGGTGTACCGATATAGCCTGACGGTGCCAAAGACTCGCTTGAGGTACGGGAAGAACAGTAGCTGGAGCAACAGGCCTACGATGCCTCGAATAGCAAGGGCCGTAGCGATATCACTTGGTTTGAAGGAGAGGCCTCCAGTAAAGACGAAGGGCGCATGTGGGTGGTAGTTGGGCGGGACCGACAGGGCGCCGTTATCCGTTTTCCCTGATGAGCCGCTGTCCGGGTTGTAGCGAGGAGTCGATATAAATATCATCAGGAGAGTCGGATAGGTGCCGATGTGCATCGTCATCAGCCCTCGAGCGAGGAGCGTTATACCCAAACGTCGTGTCCAGATGCTGACGGGAGCAGGAGTTTTGATTTCAGCTTCAGCTTTGGGCGATGCATTCGGTCCTTGGTCGTCCATCTCAAGATGCTCATCCGCAGCAACTCTCTCATAGGCCTGCTGGGACCTCCGTCTGAAGAACTTTTTGGCCCAATCGGGTATGATTGATGCAGACCGGCGTTTCACGTCTCGATACGTGTCCTCGAGTAGACAAGCCATCAATATGGCACACGAAATACTGATCATGGCGTTGAACATGTTTGGTACCGCATATGGCCATCTCTGTAACCACCGGCCCAAGGAGCTTCTTGGTCCAAACGCACCCGGATATGTTGCGGCAGGGTCTGCCAGCAATCCACCCAACAGCGGCCCGACTACAGACGCAACGTTAAAGGCCGTTGGAAGCAGTAACACGGCCCGAGACTCAAACTTGTCTCCGCTAATCTCCTTGATCATGGCACGCATCACGCTCTTGTTGCCGCCCGCCATGCCAACGAGAAAGCGGCACGCGATAACCCCCATGAAGCTGGTGGTGAATCCAAGCGATAGACTCCCTATACCGCTCACAACGAGGCCGATCAATATAACACGCTTGCGTCCTACGCGGGGGGAATCGGCCAGTATACCCCACACAGTCGACATGACAAGCTGAGGGACGGCGGTAGCGAACCCCAGGACGGAGACTTGGAATGCCAGGGTAGCGGCACTGGGCGCAGAGCCATCCGGGAGTCTGAATGATTTGAGCTGGAAAATGATGTAGCTCTGCCGGCTACCGTCAATCAGAGCTGCACAAAACCGTGCAAATGTTAAGAGGGCGAGCTGCCGTTTCTTTGGCATAGTCGCCCAAGACGCCGTTGCCTCGTCATCATCCTCGTCTTCTTCTTGAGCTTTGAGATCATGTTGCTGACAGAGGGAGAGAGAGGAATCATTCCTCTTGTTGAGAGGGTACTTTTCTTCCTCGTTCCCTATCTCGCCGAGGCTATGGTCTGGACGAGCTGCTCCGACCATCCTGTAAATTTTGGGAAGGAAAAGATACACACAAAACGCAATCCGATGTCGAAGCGGAGGGAGATCATATCGTGCAAGACGGTCAAGCTAGCAGATTTTAATACTAACCTACCGGTCGGAAGCTTGCCCTCGCCCGTCAGGCTCAAATGATCTGTAACTTCACGGTAGATCGGATTTTGAACGCATCATCTCCTAGTGGCTTGGCCGGGCTTAGTCGCATCGAGATATCAGGCCAATAACGGAGGTTTGCTCAAATAAGGGGCATCTTAAGCCCTGGGTTAAGCATGTACTTGTAACAGGGACGACGTAACTCCGTACTATGCAGTTACGTATGCGTGCGGCGTGCCAGCTGGGCGGGCGATCATGGGAAAGCGACCAATATCCCGCGCCAATGAATTGATAGTTTGAACGCCAAAAATTATATAGTTCAGAGCTGAAGTTAAATAAGTCTAACATCCACCGACATGGGCTCCAGCGAAGACAGTAAAAGCCTGGACCCGTCCAATCAACCTCCTTATCTCCATACGATCAATTCCACCGATGATAAAAACACCATAGCTCAGAGAAGTAGACTCATCGTGGGTCCAGGCCGTGATGATAATGCGCCCTTCGTCCATCTCACGACTAAACGTTTCCTCAAATTGCGCCCTTGAACAGGAGAAGTTTCCCTTTTCCAACGTGGCGCAGCCTAATCCTCTCTTTGTAAAGTGTCCAGTGAGCAGACCCAAGTTGTATGAGCCAGTGAGACGGACGTTGAGATCTATAACATACTGCTCCCCCGATCTGGTTGTGAGGATGTCTATTCCCGCAGGCCCGTGGTAGCCTTTCTGTTGCAAGAACAGGCCAACCTTCTCCATACATCCCGCGTACATCTTGTGCATTGCATCCTGATCCTCATACGAGATGGAACCTCCGATCCAATGGCCGTATTTGTTGAAGCGTTGCTTGCAGCATCCTATGAAGACGGCACGACCTTTCGGGGTCACGAACAGTGATAGTGCGACTACCTTGCCGGTAATGAACTTCTGCAGGACTAGGGAGCACGGATTTAGGTGATAGTTGATTGGTTTGATTTGCACGAGCATGCCCTGCAACCAGAGTTGAAGCATTTCCTTGACTCGCAGGCGATCAGCTTCACAAAGTACGATATAAGTACCCTTTCCTGCCGACTGTGGAAGCTTCACGACGAAGGGTATCTGATATTTTTCCAGAGGGAGGATCATGCGGGCGACCTCTGCCGACAATTTGGCCTGATCGTACACCTCGTCAGGTCGGAGCAATGGGTCGATTACCGTGGATGGTGGTGTTGGAAGCCCTGAGTGGGCTAACCCACGCTTCGATAGAATCTCGTAATGTGTATCCGGGTCGGCAAGATGTGGTAGATGCATCAGAGAATCGGTAGGCCGACTCAGAGCAAGGAGGGAGCCCGGCTCTAGGGTGATTTTGTCCAACTTCGTTAGAAAAGTCACACGGGGCTGCTGGTCGCGTGGTAATTGAGAAAAGCTCCTGTGCAGCTCAGCTTCGTCCTTCTTGATTGCCTCTTGAGCTAGCTCTGAGCTGATGACAATTATCTGCATATTTCCAGCTCCAAACCCAAGGCGTTGAGGCGAAGCCCTCAACCGCAGTTTGTCCAGCGCATCCGTGGTTTCATCTCTAGTCGCCCGCGGCTCAGAGAATCCTGAATTGTAGATGAATTTGATTCCAGTAGTTGCTCCCTGGTTGTAGGCACCAAACTGCTTGTATATCAGGGTTGGCTGGATCCCATTTTCGTTGTCGAGGCGGTATAGATCGTACAGCGTCCTGTCTAGGACAATTGCAGTGTTGGGGGCCATAGCGGAGTCCTGTGGAATCTGAAGTCGATGTAGGCTTGTACTCAATTGACTCAAGGGATCAAGGAGGGTGGCCGTGGGAAGGGAATAGATATAAATCACCGCCTGTCATTTATATCCCATCCGCCCCCTCCAGGCCAAAAATTTTGATGACGCGCAATCATAAACTTTAGGAGGGGCAATCAATCGACATAGTGCATGCCGAGAATGCTTGATAAACCTCACACCGACACGTCATGAAGAATGTCCTATTCGCTAGGTATATAAATGTGTAAGTTAGCGGGAAATCAAGTCAAGGTGCATCACCACACTGGGAGCTCAACATCGCGCACGGTGTAGCCTTGGGCGACGGAGTTTGGGGTTTGAAACGCCAATGAGGGGCTGGGCCAAGCTCGTTGAGAAAGTCTCAGGGAAAAGTGAAAAGAAACGTTGGATGGTTACTATTGAAGGTTAGTTAACGAGAGGCTGCATCTATATCAGAAAAATATGGTTTAGGTTGATTTGCAAGCCGGCAGGAGCTAGTTCATAAGGTATGAGCAGATCCTTGTTAAGCTGCCAATTGAAGCTTGCCAGGTTCCGAGATATGACACAGCCGTTCATGGTTCGTCTGGAAACCGAAGAGGACCTTTATCCAGATCTGCTTGGGATCATTCATCAAATTTGCGATACCCTCCACGAACCCCCCAACATCAGCGATCACCCTGAGGGATACAAACAAACACCCTGCCGGTCTCTTGCAGACGGGCTATGCGATTCAAGGTGCATGTTTCGTCACCCCTGCAATGGATGGGCTTGCGTACTCTTTAGCTGAGTGAGTGATCAAAGGACGGGGCTGTGTACAGCATCTCGCCAGCAGTTTCTTGTCAAGTCAGTTCCACTTGTCTACTAGTTGGCAGGGCTGCATTAAGGTATTGAAGATTAGCTTCTATATCCACGAGCACGGGGGTTTAGGAGCCCTACGTAACTGTATTGCGCATCGTGTACGATGTGATACGTACCCTCGAGAAAGCGGATATCGAAATTAACGACACCGTTCAATGGGCTCGACCAGATCAGTCTGGTGCTCGTTACGCGTCAGGTACTACCACGGGCCAAATGCGCGGTACTACCAAGGCATCGGCTTGCAGAAGTACTGCGTAGAGGCCGACGGGTTCCCGTTGCGAGATATCTGATCGAGTCCATGCCGATTGTTGGAGAGTGCAACATTGGAGAAAAGTCAGTGCTCGGCTTTTCAAAAGTTGGCCGCCGTGGCATGCTCAATGAGATATGTGCTGATTTGACCGGCTTGCCATTTGAATATCATTCCCCAACAAATTAAGGACTGTCGACCCGGGTGCTCAATTGTCAAGATAAACACTGGCTCAAAAGTTCAGCTTTCCTTGTCTCGCCATGTCTACCAACGCCTGAAGGGACGCCGTTACACCGTGTCCTGGCATCAAGGAAGGCCATCGGAGGGAACAACGGCGAGATCTGTGTAAAGACGAAGGATGTCCAACCAATACGTCAAATATTGCGTTGGCTCAAGCATTAAGGTCATCCTTGACAGTTCAATTGGTGATGGGAAGGCAGTTCAAGATGTGTTCGATGACAAGTCGTAGATGGATTTTCAAAGCTGAGAGCTGCGATTTGCCCGTTCCGGCTGGCCAGGAGGCAACATCATCCATAGTTCGGCTGTAGGTATAGAAGCAGAGTTGTGGTTATCCGCTCGTCAAGTTGTTCAAATATTCGTTAGACACGAAGTCGTGTCGGTTACTGAAATGATGGAAATGGATTAGTAATATTGAGACTTTAGGTATTGTCTGCTGCTTAGACAATGAGTATAGACAAGTATCCTATATATTTGTTTGATCTATATCGTAATACTCATGACGCCGAGATCGAAAAGAATTCGAAGCAAAAGGAAAGCAAAGCAGAATAAATCCCTTGCATATATTCATACATGCATTAATCCAGAAAAACACCTGACGTCCTCGCTTTTCTGCTCTCTGCCCTTCTCGGCTGTTTCCCTTCTGCTGTTGATTGGAAAAGGTTATAAAAATAATTATATTTACTTGGTGTACGTCTTCTGCAGCGATTTGGCAATAGTCTGCAGCTGGATGTTACTGGTACCCTCGTAGATGGCACCGATCTTGCTGTCTCGGAACATCTTCTCGGCAATGCCTTCGCGGACGAAGCCCATACCTCCCATCCACTCTACGGCGAGACTGGAGACACGGCCGGCTACTTGGGAGGCGTACAGTTTAGCCATGGCGGCGTCCTGGACGAAGTCTTGACCGGCTTCCTTCTTGCGGGCGGCGTTGAAGACGAGGGCACGGGCAGCGGCGATTTCGGTGTATGATTGAGCAACTTGGTGCTGCATACCCTGGAAGGTACCGATGAGCTGACCGAATTGCTTGCGGTCGTTCCAGATGTATCTACTAACAGTCAGTCTCAAGAATGGAAGACGAGAAGGGATAGAAGAGCCTACCCTGCGGCATTCTCCCAGGCACCAAGGGCCAAACCGGTCATTTGAGCGGCAATACCGATACGGCCTTCGTTCAACAAGCTGATGGCATACTTGTAACCCTGGCCCTCTTCGCCCAGGAGATTCTCCTTTGGAACCTCGACGTCATCAAAGTTAAGGACACAGGTGCTGCTGGCACGGATACCGAGCTTCTTCTCCTTCTTGGCGATGCTGAATCCAGGCATATCCTTCTCGACAATGAAGGCGGTGATACCCTTGTACCCCTTGCTGGGGTCGAGGTTAGCAAAGACGATGAAGAACCCAGCCTCCATCGAGTTGGTGATCCACATCTTGCTGCCATTGAGCTTGTAGCCGGAAGAAGTCTTCTCGGCCTTGGTCTGGAGAGCAAAGGCGTCGGATCCAGACACGGGCTCGGACAAGCAGAATGATCCAACGGTGTTGGTCGCGAGCTTGGGCAGCCACTTGCTCTTGATGGCTGCACTGCCGTGCTTCAACACTGCGGTGTTGACGAGCGTGTTGTGCACATCCACCATGACGCTGACGCTGGGGTCGATGCGCGCAAGCTCCTCAATGCCGATGATGGCAGAGGTAAAGTTCATGCCGGCACCACCGTACTCTTCCGGGATTTCGATGCCCATCAATCCCTGCTCGAACAGCTGCTCAACAACGGCCGGGTCCATAACCTCGGCCTCGTCCATCTCTCTGACCTTGGGGGCTATCTCTTCCTGTGCGAACTTGGAGACGGACTCGGCCATCATCGCCTCGGTCTCGGACAGATAGGTGATGGGAGTGGGCGTGAGCTCGGCATCACGGCGCAGAGGCGTGGAAGAGAAAGTGCGAGAGCTATGCCAGTCCGGTCAGCAAGGGTAGGGAGCCGTGAAAAAGTGTATATATCCATAGATGCGAATGCACGTACCATTGCGCCGCCCTGGAGGCCGTAGCTCTGCTCGCGGTGGACAGGAGAGGCACAAAGGCCTTCCTCGACAGCGGTCGTAGGGCGCGGGTTATGGATGCCATGCTGGAGGATGGATATATGGACGCGAGCAAGCACTGGCAGCGGGATATCAGACTTGACCAGCAGAGAAGAAGAAGAAGAAGAAGAAGTAGAAGGACGAAAGTCGGACAGGGATATGGCCCAAAGATAGGCAGCACGTGAGTTGGGATCTAACCTCGGCTAGATACGGGAAGCTTAGTCATAAACCACGTGATTCAGAGAAATCTCGGTCTATCACGTGTATATTTGCTTATATAAGACGCTTACTCAGCTTTCTCCCTTTTGGTAAGCTGCGGGAGCCAAAGGAAGAAGAAACAAGGAGAAACAAGATGAAGAGAACCGTGGATCCTACACTACACCTTATAGTACGAAGTAAGTACATTATGAAGTAAGTACATATCTGTTTATTCAACGCAAATGTATGTCCCAGTCGTCCTCCAGACCGATGACCTGATTCCTGATCAGCCAGAAATAAAAGTCAATACACCCACCAGCGGCCTTGAGCGTTGCAATGAACGAGCCTATATTGCCAAATAACCCCTTGGTCCCCACCGTCCGGAGAATAACCAGCCAGTCCGAGGGCGGGAGGCTGCAGAGGCCGTTGTCGAGATAACATGGAGGATGTGATGCAAAGGCGTACGCTTCGATCTCTCTGCAGCTAGCTCTCTTCTGCCCGGTAGCGTAGGGTACCAGCTTTTCTTGTAGGCAGTACCTCGCATCGCTGACCCAGAGCTTGCCTTGGTCGGAGAAATTGACCAGTACAGGGTTGAATTCGTTGCAGTAGTGGTCACCGTAGGCGATGGCGTAGCCTTTGGGGCCACACTTGACTGCTGCCTCGAGGCAGGATATGTAAAAGGCGCAGCTATCTCTCTCAGGCACGGAGCATGGGTTAGGACTCGACGAGTTGTTCTGTGTTAGACGTGTTATTCGAATGGTCAGATAATGATGGATACGAAGATACATGGCTTGCCTGAACATTGTCTTCTACGACGTTCGACGCGAGCGCGCCCAAGGCAAAGGTAAGGAGTGATAGTTTCATAATGGCTCTCTACTATCTGGTAGATTCGTGTGCAGGACAGAAGCGAACTCCATCCTGATTCAGTTAATAAGTCTACAAGCTAGACAAGCATGTCCAGCCACCGTATTATATCACACAACCTTGTCTATTTATATATGTCTATCCAGTGCCTTATCCGGCCATCCCTCTATCATCGTATGATGCTGCTCTTGTTATCGTGATAGTAGATGTATCTCGCTGTCTACCTAGGTATCTCCATCATCCATCATAGACTATATGATATGAGGCGGTGCATATGACATCATCAGGTCACGGGACGCGGGGGCTGCGCGTGGCGGTGCAAGTTCTGCTTCCTTTTCTCCAGTCGCTTTTCTTCTACTTAAGCGCTCGATCACAACCTCATCACACTCCCTCCTACAGCGCAGAATTGAAGGATAGACTGTCTGCTTGTTTCCTTTCTGTCAGCTAGAAAGATCTCGTTATCATTGTTTCACTTGCAAAAAGCACTATAAACCAGCACTCGCCACCCTGGTCTACATATAAACAACTTGGTCAAGCCAACGATACCTCTCCTACCGCCATAACCAAGCATAATCAAGGTATACAAGGTACGGGCAGCCGACCGTCACCATGTCCGGATCAAGCGACCCCCGGCTCTTCTTCAGCCTCGACAATGTGCGGGCATACCACATCCAGAACGGCGAAGAGACAGACCTTACCCCCTCGGGGCCCCAGACGCTGTCTCTCCTGATGGTACCTACTACCATCCCCCTGATAGACCCTGCCAACCCAGAAGCCGTGTCCAACAACACCCAGGAAGACTTCTACCTGCACCTCCACCTACCTCCAGAGCTTGAGCTGCCGCTGCCTGCCACCACCCAGGTCTACCACCAGCCGCCAGACAGCTACCTGATCCCACGATGGGACCTGGGACCCGAGGCCGGTGCGTTCACCCGTATCCAGTTCCCCAAGATTGGAAACGGGCCGGGAATGGTATCACAGGAGGACGTGGACACGTTTGAGACCATCCTTGCACAGTGTACGGCTTTCCTTGAACGGTCGCCACCGCCAAAGCATCAGTATAAGAAGCAGCAGGGAGGGTACAACCCTGCCACTTATGCGCCGGGAGAAGGCTATGCTGGGACCGGAGACGAGAAGAACGGCCAGATCGTGCTAGTCGACGAGGAGAACGGGAGCGTCGTTGGTGAGCTTACCGAGGGGTTCAATGTCGTGCAGTCGACGGACGTGAAAGCTGGATCGAAAGGTAGGTTGTTAGCTCTCTTTCTTCATATGTTTCAACATCATGCTAATCGTTGGTAGACCCCGTTCAAATCCAACTACCCGATCACGGCAACCAGATCACCATCAGCAATGCGCCGCCAGAATACCTTCAGATGGCCAGCCACCCGGCGTACGCAAAGTCGTCGCTCGTCCAGGGCTCGGCAATGGCCTCTCGCCTCCTCGTCACCACCTCCGAGGCGCTCGCCAGTATCCTAAACTCGGGCGCAGACAGCTTCACGAAGAGCACCAAGCCCGTCGCCAAACCCATGACCTTCTCGCCATCCGCGCAGGCGCACATTCGCAAAATCAACTACTTCTCGCAGTCCGCTGCTGGCCTGTCGTCCAAGACGGTCGGCCAGCTGGGTAAATATGCGCAGAACTTCGGCGCGGCGCTAACACGTAGGGGCGATCGCGACCCCCATAACAGAGGCTACGACATCAACGGCAAGCCGATACCAAACTACAAGCCCGGTATTCTCAACAAGTCGATGATTGCGATTTCGACGCTCGGCGACGGACTCGACCACAGCGCGCGCCAGCTCCTGTCTACCAGTTCCATGGCCGCTTCCAAGGTCATGGGCCACCGGTACGGAGAGGAAGCGCGCGTGGTGACTAACGATCTAACCGGCGGCGTCAAGAATGTCGGTCTGGTCTACATCGACGCAATGGGGGTGTCTAGACGTGCGATCCTCAAGTCCGTCGCCAAGGGGATGGTGGTTGGTCGCATGAAGGACGGCCAGCAGCTTGTTGTTGGCGGAGGAGACGGCGGCGGACAGCTTGGATCTGGACCCGGATCGGGCATTTCCTCTCCGCACGGGAAGCCAGAATCAGGTCTCTCTGCGCCATTTGGAGCATCAGCATCAGCAGGACCGATGTATCGTGCTCAGTCGCCTGCGCCGCCGCCAGCGTATGGGAGCAAGGGAGGACAGCTGTTGGGCAGCACACCAAAGAACGGCCACGATAAATTCCAGTAAACGTCTTCGTTTTTCCTCTTTGGGAGATTTCAATCTTGAATAGTGGGTTAGCTTAGATCTTGGAGGGTGAATTTCCTTTTTCTTTGGCAAGATTTTTTTTTCGATCTCTTTCATTTCGGTTTCCTTGTTTGGGCCTGGTGATCTAGGAAACGGGATAATTTAATGGAAAAAGGGAAACGGGGGCCATGGTGAAATAGTTAGCAGTCGCAGATAAATAATCATCGACTTCGATATATCCCTCGCTTCCTCGCCTAGTAGCTGAAGTGCTTCCTTTGAAACCGGCGTCAATGGCATTGCCCGGACGACAAAAGAAATCCGTCCGATTGTGTCCTTGTCCGAGAGAAAGCCCAATGTGTTTTCCCATCTGCACCACGCAGCAGCTAAATAACGCCTCGTAGATCGTCCTGGTGGCTTATCCGGCCCCGGTACATACCGTATTACGAGCCTCGTTTCAAGTTCCGCCTCAGCAGCAGCAGCAGCAGGTAAGATTAGTGGACAACTGGAGACGGTCTCCTCCTGGCCTCTTCACCGGCGTGAGATGGTATGCGCTTCGAGTCTGTAGTCCGGTCTGTCTGGTTTGATGTCGATGTCTTAGGGGCTAATTACCGGCCCATGAGGATGTAGGGTGTATAAGTAGGCGGATTAGGGGATGGAATGTATCATCCACGTATGCAAGACGGTGCAACAGCGCCAACCAGGCCAGCTCGCATATTCGCAACGTGTGGATGGTGCATGAATCGTTGCACCGTAGCATCGACCCGTATACGTTGGACGTCGTACCGCGGGCCAGCATGCAATAATAGCAAATCGCAAGGGATGAAAAATAACAGAGAAAAACCAAAAACAGTCGCCAGGAACCTCCCGCAGGCTGGAGATGGCCCTGGTTCAAAACAACGCCAAGTGCCAGGTCACTTCTCCACGTACGCTAGACACGAAACTGCGAGCTAACCACCGCATCGCTCTCCTGCGTCCCTGTCCTGTCCTCTCTCCCTTCGCCTCTCCATCTCCAAACTCCCAGGAGACGACGTCGATAGACGCTTCTCTCCCTTCTCCCTTCTCCCTTCTCCCTCCTCCCCTTCTTCTCTCCCTTTCCTCCCTCCTCTCTCCAGCGACGGTCGTGGCCTATCGTTCACCGCTCGACCCCCGTCAGCCTCCCCCTGGACCAACCAACATCATATAGTAGCCGTATTATCCTCTCGATTGAGTCTCCTGAACCCCTCTTGATGCTTTCGTCTGTCTCGCCGCCAATCGTCCGTCTACCCCGTCAGCAAGACCAGGCCGTCCGGCCGGCTTCTCCAGGTCTTCCAGCCGTGTCGGCATTGATATAGTAGTGTTTGCCTTTCCGCCGATTATGCTGCATTGGTCAAGTTGACAATTCAACATTTCAACCCAACGCCAACGCCCTGCCACCGACGACGACGGCATCAACACGACGACGTCTGTGGCCACCGCGGTGTGTCGCTGGTTTCGACCATCCTCTCGCTGATACCCTCTTGCACGGCACGACGCTTTCTCAATTGAGGGTGGCTATCTGGTGTATTTCGAACGCAGCTCGCTCGGTTGTCTCTTTCTGGTCTTTCGCGCTCGACCTGGCCGTCGCATAAAACACGCTGCAATCCAGTCAGCTTGGATGGAATAAGCAGGAAAGACGCATTTGCGACGTGATAGCTTGATTGACACGGTCGAGTGTGGTCGAGTGGTCGAGTGCTGTTGTGATAATCAGTTGGATACTGGTTAGAGAAGCAGTCTGACTGTAAGTATTGTCTTGTCTCATTGTCATAAACACACTGTCCAATTCTCTCCTGTGTTCCTATTGTTGTTGTGTTGTTGCTAGCGTGTTGTTATTGTGCTTGTTGGTGGTGGTGAAGTTGAGGTTCACTTTCCTCTGCAACTTCAGACTTTTGATATTTCACATCTCAACCTCAACCTCCTCACTATTAGCATCACCTAGACACGCGTTACGCCGTCACTCTTTATGAACTACAGTTAACAGACCTTCTAGAGCTTAGAATTCCTTCTGCAGCGTCACGCCAGCGACATCATCTTGCATCTTGCATCTACGCGCGTATACTCAATTGCTGACCGCGTTTCAGAGCCTTCCAGCAACCCTTCAGCGCCTCTTCCCAAGGGAAAGGCATGTCTTCTTCACTGCAGGCAAGCCCGCAGTTAAATCCTCCCCAGCTTGCAAGCCAGTTTATGCATTCTTCTCCCTCCAATGGACAGCAATATCACCAACCTGGCTCTTCGCTGTCACCATCACCATACTCCCATGGAGGCGACAATGCAGGCTACAATGAGACCTCTCCCAGCTCGCAGCGTCTGCACCCGTCTGCTGCGTCGCCAGGCATGAACAGCTTGCAGCATCAGTCTCCCTCGCAGGGCTATGGCTCACCGGTTACGCCCCCAGCCATCTCAGGTTCTGGCAGTCCGCGAACTCGACCAGGCACCGCAGAGACCTACGGCAGCCCGCCAATTCCTCCGCCGCGCTCCTCGTCCAACAACAAAGCCCGTACGAGTCCTCATGAACCCTCGAGGCAGGGCAAGCGTCGAGAAAACGGTCGAAGCCGAGAGCAGGGTGAACAGAGAGCCAAGGACGATATGAGCCCTCCCTCCAGCAAACAGCGTCGTAAGACGCCTCATTCGCCAGAAGGCCCCCAGAGAGCCGCTAGCACACGGGAACCAAGAGATTATTCCTCAGCCACCGCGCTCGAGAGTCGATCTGAAGCTGCCATGGGCCCCAGCTCGGTACCAAGTGGGCCTGTACATGAACCGAGTACTATCATCGATCGCATGGTCGTTACGAATCCAGATATTGATATCGCGCGAGAACAGCAGCGCCAGGAGAACATTGGCCTCGAACCTGGGCCCCCGGCAGACTTTGGTGATAGCAATGACATGCAAGAAGACGACGACGAGGGGACAACCATCCACAAGAGCAGACATGATGGATCTGGCGGAAAACGAAAAGAGACCTCCTTCGGCGACTACATCCTCGGCCAGACCCTCGGAGAAGGTGAATTCGGCAAAGTACGACTCGGCTGGAAACGTGATGGAAGCGTACAGGTTGCCATCAAGCTTATCCGCCGCGAGACCTTGGGCACCAACCCGGGACGTCTTCCTAAGATCAACCGTGAGATATCAGTCCTCAAGAAACTCTCTCACCCCAACATCGTCCGCATCCACGAAATCGTCCACACGGACCGTCACATCGGCATCATCCTTGAATACGCCTCGGGCGGTGAACTCTTCGACTACATCCTTAACCACCGCTACCTAAAAGACAATGCTGCCCGTCGTCTCTTCGCCCAGCTGGTCTCTGGAGTAGGCTACCTGCACAAAATGGGTATTGTTCACCGTGATTTGAAACTAGAGAATTTGCTTTTAGACCGGAACCGCAATATTATCATTACCGATTTTGGGTTTGCGAACACATTTAACCCCGGCGACGAGCTTAGTGAAGAGATCGAATATAACCTCACCAACCGAGACTTTGTCAAGCAGATGCGCCTCGATCGAACAGATGCCAATGGCGTGAGACGAGGAGATCTCATGCAGACTAGCTGTGGCAGTCCCTGTTATGCGGCACCAGAGCTTGTCGTGAGCGATTCGCTCTACACGGGGCGCAAGGTCGATGTTTGGAGCTGCGGTGTCATTCTTTACGCCATGCTCGCTGGGTATCTTCCATTCGATGACGACCCAGCAAATCCAGACGGAGACAACATCAATCTTCTCTACAAATACATTGTGACAACCCCTCTCACATTCCCTGAATACGTCACCCCTCATGCTCGAGACCTCCTGCGCCGCATCCTGGTGCCCGATCCTCGAAAGCGTGCGGACCTCTTTGAGGTTGCCCGACATAGCTGGCTGGCTGAATATGCTACAGTTGTTTCTCACATCACCAGCAACACCACCGATGTAGCAGACATTGCAAACACAACTGTTCCATCAGGTAGGACTTTTTAACTTCCTTTCTCCCATGCACTTGCTAACGAATGAAGTAGAAGAAGAGAAACAAGAGACGCCATTGCTTGAGCGTAGTGCATCTGTCCGAGAACCGCCAAAGGCCCACCCTCAGAACAACAATACTGCTCTCGGTGGACTTGCTCCGCATCAGGGACAGATCTCGCAGGCCGCCGATGAAAAGCCAAAACGCACTCGCGATGCCAAACGTAGAACCGTTCAAGTCGAATATGTTGCGCCGCAGTCTTCTACCACCAGAGGCGGTTCCAGCCCTGAACAGCAAATCTCGCCAGGCCGTGCACCTGCTGCTCAAGCTACTCGCACCGCCACGACGGCAACCAACCAGGGATCCAGAGATGTTCCCAGAGGTGAACCCCAGCTTGACAAGCCGTTGCCAAAGCCCGTTATTGATCGTAGTCGCGAGAAAATGGGATATACCAACAATTATGCGGACCGCACTCAAGGTATGACGAGGCCAAAATCAAGAGACGTTGCACGGTCTGTATCAGAATTAACTGGTGCCTTCTCTGGAACTCAAGGTGCCCAAATCCCCACAGGAAGACCCCAGACAGGAGGCTCCATGGCTTCGATTGGACGAATGGAGAATCGGCTGCCATCCCGAGGATCTTATAGCCAGCCCGTTGCACCCGCCATTGCCGCTACCACCGTTCAAGGAAAACTCGCCCAGCCAAAGAATGGCAAACCATACAACATCTCCGCGCCTATGCCAGTACCACACGGCCAAATTGCTGCCTCCGTCGGCCACCCAACTACCCTTTCAGGCGCCCCAACTGGTCCAGCGCAACAGCCACCAAAGAGCCACAAGAGATCTAGCACTGTTACTAGCATCAGCGAGAAGCTGTTTGGAAGACCAGCCTCTTCTCTCTTTGGGGGCAAATCCTCCACGCCTGGATCTCCTCGCATGAAACAAGGAAGCAAGCGCTATCCTCCCACGAGTATGAAGGATCCCTACGTAGTGGACGAGCCACGCGCATCCGTCGACTCTAGGCGTTCAATCTCGCATGCGTTTCGGAGGCAAAGTGACGCCCTTAACAGCTCTCGACCTCGCCGATTCTCCCTCCTACCTTCATTCTCAAAGGCATTCTCGTCGACCAAAGAGCAGTCAGCTGTTGAAGAGCCCAGCCCCACTCATATTGACGACTTCTTGTTCTCTCAGCAGGGTGGACAGCAGCCACCTCAACGGGAACGACGCCTATCTACAGCACCTGCAGCTGTACCAGCAATTGGTCCAGGACAAATGAGTGACCAAGAGAGCGAGATACACAGAGACAGACCATCCGTCTCCAGGGACCACCAGGTCGACGCGATGAACCTGTCTGCTCAAATTGATCGCCAGTTCGCCACCTTACACAGTAGCCAAGAAGGTGGATTTAATGATGCATTTGAACAGAATTACCAGCAGACCCATCCTCATGACGATGACGTTTTTGGTCCAGGCTCCAGCTCCCAGCAACCACAACAGCCGCGTGGGTATTCCGATCCACGCATCCATAGCTATGAGCAGGAGCTACAGCATCAACCTCAACAACCACAGCAACAATACGATCATCCGTTTGAAAACGGCTCTCGCCCATCAATGCAAGCTGGCCGACCACCGAGGGGTAATGTTCTCCAGAAAGGTCACCGCAAGTTTGCTGACGCATATGACCTTGAGAAAGCTCCCTCGCATACCTCCGGCAGCTCTGGCGCCGCAAGGAAAGTGATGGACTTCTTTAGGCGACGTGGAAAAGCCAGAGCCGGCGAGGACCGGTAGTCGTTCAGCTCAACCAAATACAAAAACTAAGCCAATAAATTAACAAACAACTGGAAACACGCAACCTAAATCAAACAAGAGCATACCCGCTCTTATCTCATTTCTTCGAAAGCGAACACACAGCGCTCAGATGTGCAGCTTTGTTGATTTTCTAATGCCAGTTTGTCTTAGTTTGTGTTGCCATTATGTTTTGATACCCCTTACAGCCTGCCCTGTCTACAATTTGCCATTCACTGTTTACCGTTTACCGGTCGCGTTGCATCGGCTGCCTACTTTGGCATTTCACAGAACGAAGATAATAATTTTGACGTGGCTCACCGAACGATGAGGTGAAATGCGATTCTATTCATCAGGGTTGGAACCAGTCCATTGACCAGCTTGAGCCTATTTTCAAGAAGGGCAAGAAAAGGAGAGAGAGAAAAAGAGTGCAGGAAAAAAAATTTCGAAGGAGGAAGCAGAAGGGCCGAGGGGGTTGTGTGAGTAGTGCCCGACCAGCGGAGGGAGTCGGAGGAGTAAAGGGACTTGCAATATCTCTCTATTCTTTTTTTTTCTTTCATGTTCCTTTTTGTCAACCAATTGGTCACTGTACAACAGATGGGATCTTTTTGTGTTCTTGTCTTCTCAACTGTCTTCGCTAGGGTCTGGGTTTCATCTGTTGCTCTTCTCCTGCACGTCATTCTCAAATGGCTCTTATTCTCATTACTGAACTTCATGTTCACTCACTATTCCCCTCATACCCACCTGCCTTACCCGCTTGGACCAATATTTTCATCATTCTTCATTTCTTCCTTGGTTTTATATCCGATTTCCTTTTTCCTCAAACAATATGGAAGCAAGCAGATGGAATGGTGGTGTATGTGAAAAGGGGCGAGAAAGAGAGAGAGAGAGAGAGAGAGAGAGAGAGAGAGGAAAGGAAGAGTAAGCGAAAGAAGAGGAGTTTCTTTATGTCTCATAATTTCCTTTTGCTTGTCTATTTGTTTAATTTTAATGTTTTTTTCCCTTTCTTCCTCTTCGTTTCTTGTTGTCTATAAATCCATAGTCGCCTTTAGTACTTAGTTAGCCCACCCCCCCTTTCCCCCCTTGTCGGATCAGATCCGCTTGTTTTTGTCCATTTACATACCTACCTTTCCGCATACCTATCTATCTGCCTACCACTCATTGATGGTTGTTAAACAGCAGGCCTTATTTTGGCAAATTAAATAGCCATTGAAACAATATGAAAGAGGCACGAATCGCCCTTTACCTCTTATTTATTTATCCAGTGTAAATCTCAGCCAGAGCATGTAAATCTATGTTTAGCTGTATCTACATGCAATTTAACACCTCGCCTATACATATATCTAGCCATCTAGCCCGAGGCAATGAACAGCTCCTTACCGTCTTCCTATCTTCTGGTCATGCTACAGTATTTGTAAGTATGGAACAGTTCCTTGACCGTTCCATTGGAATAATTCTAATGGAACATATGTTTACCTAGAAGGACCCCAAAACCTATTTACATGCAAGTTGGATTAATATCATTGGTAATCGATTAAGTGACTATTCCATATAAGATAGCCCAGTCTCTGCATAATTCTGAGTAGACACGGCTGCACCGTGTTTTCAAAAGAACCAAGCTCAGCCTTAACAAAGTCAAAGATAGATTTCCTCTCAGCCTATGATCGCCCTGTATTTATAACCTCGCCGTAGCATGACCACTGTACTCTACACTCGGTAGAGCAAGGAAACCGCAAATGAGGCCCGTGTATCGTACGATAGAGGTAAGCTTTGGACAATATTCGCCTCCCAGTAGTGATATTCTTCCACGGTATAGAATATGACTTATCAGCGTCGTACGTTTATAGATGTCAGACTCCTCCCATTGGCTTCGCGTGTACATACTTTGAGCTACGTGGCGACGGGCTCGTCGTCTTAGACTGGAGCAGACGCACCCATGGCCGACCTCCTCCAGCTCACGGCGACCCAGACCGTCGAAGCAGCTCTAAATCCAGTTTGCCAATAGCCTGGTACTTGGAACTATGCCAATGTTCACGGGATATCATCGTCCGTCTTGCTCTTCGACCGTTCTGGCAGGCATCTTAAAACCGGCTGGAAACGTCTTGGCCCATTTCAAAAGATGTCTGTACGTCCAAACGGTCAGCATCTGTACTCCATCACTGATACAGCACTCACATCTCAGCTTCGTCGTCGTCTTGGACGGAGGGAGAATGCCCGTCTGACTCCCTGTCGATCGAGTCTGGGGAAAAGCAAAGAGACGTCGGAATAGGAGGGCCGGTCCGTCCCATCACATGTTGCATCGAAGGTTTGTTCCTGGAGCTTCAACATGTGCAGGGAGTCCGGAGCTATAGAACGAGCGAGGCGCCTGAACATTTATTACTGTATGGCTTGTTATGGGATGTTATGGGATGCTACGAGGGATGCTATGGGATGTTATGAGGATGTTATGGGATGCTATGGGAATATGCTTGGTCAAGAGATGCCCACGGCGTACAGAGACAGCCCTGATATCGATGCCAACCTGTTCGTTCCTCGGATATCCGGACTCTGTTAAGTGTTGGCTCGTTTCTTTTTCCTGCTCGTCGCTAACAATTTCTTTTTCTGTCTTGCTTTGTTTTTCTTCGGGCCTCTGGTCCTATGGAGGGGCAGAAGGTACGAGATATGCGTTTCCCCGGATGCCGGATCCAGTAGATAACTGGCACGCAGAGAAAGAAGAATTAATAAAGTTGATACTAAGACAAGTTCTATTTCATGTTATGACAGAATAGTGTGTTTTGCTTTTGCTAAATCAGAGCCTATCTCCGAGAACATGAGGGCTGCTCCATGAGATGGGCGCCAGGAAGAAGAAAAGAAAGGTTATAGTAATGCAAGCGTGTTTCGATAGAAAGGTGAAGAACAATTAGTGGACGCTTTTTTTTGGGCTCCCCCGAGATATCGCATGTCACCGGCGCTGCCTCGGCAGTTCACGAGCTCGTCGAATCCGTAATAGGGGGTTAGGTGGTTGGGTGTATTAAATTTCGTTCAATCATTATTCGGAGGGTAGGTTTGAGGCATGATGCAGTACTCCTCCCTGCCCTCCGGGTTCGCTAAATAGACAATGCCCGAGACGGGGTTTTCGGCTGCATTCAAGGGCCGAGTCTGAGGAAGGTCAGGCCCTTTGCGCCGACAGCGGGAATGAAGGGGTTGCTTCCGGAGCGCTGAGTCTTGCCGACGAGCTCGATGTCGGTGGTTTGGGCCTCAGCATCGGCGGGGACATCGGCCACGGCGGGCTTCGAGGTGGACATGTTGAGCTGGGCGGCGGTGTGGGATTGAGGGGCGAGGACGAGGAAAGTGCCGTTGGGAGTATCGGTAAACATCTTGATAGAATAGTTCAGGGACTGAAGACTGTAGCGGAGGTGTTTGGGAGTTGGGAGATGTTTATGGTATCTGGTGGAAGTCTTGTCGAGTCTGGTTTGGATGTGGAAGAAGATTGAGTCCTTGGGGAGGGGCAGCGGCCTTTTATAGACCAGACAGTCAACAAAGACGATGGCGGGCGTGAATGATAGACACGTAATGGAGTAAGTGGCTTTCACGTCCGGGGAACTAGTGTATAAAACGGTTTAGTATATAGATTGCAGAGAGCGTATGGGGAGAGGACCCGAGATGGACGGCAGCGGAGAAGCCGCTTTATATACCGGAGCCCTCCAGACGACTCCTTATTATTTTTTGCTATTACTTTTTTATTTTTTTTTTCCCCTTCCCACAAACCTGTCGAGGCGAGCCGGAAAAATATCAAGGCATCAGCAGATGATGCAGAATTCCACGCCAACCCAACGCGACTCCACAATTTTATCTCGCAGAGGTCCATTAATAGCCCGCCGGCGATGGTGCGGGAGGAGAATGGCCGAACTCTGCCCAACCCACGACGACGCCGCCATGACACCATCTGGCGCAGCTTGCCCTGCTAATTTGCTGGGACGCTTCTCCCTGTCTCCCCTCTGTGCCTTATCCCGCCAGGATCGTTGCAGGCGGTAGGTTTGCCAAGCTACTTCTAGGCTTCTCGCTCGTCCATCTCTACGTCTCTCAGGCGGAGGAAAGAAACTTAGGAGCAAGGGGGAGGGGAAAAAGAAAAATTTCCATCAGGTACCCTGCTATAGAACCTTAACTCGAGAGACATCGACATCGACATCTCGTTATCTCGTCTTGTTATCTCATCTGATAAAGGGCGGACGGTTTCCAGAGAGTTCAAGCCGGCAGGCAGCAGTCTGGGTAGGACGGTTCCATTTCTTAAATACACCTGCTGGCGTGAGTTCGCTGACAAGAGATCAAGAGCCGTCCAGGATTGTGCCTCCTGCGGACAAGTGCCGACAGCGTGGTGTACAAGGTATCCAGGGTAGCAGGCCTGGATCGCGAACATGTATCCACCGTGTGTCTCGTCCTCGTCTTCTCGCCTCGTCGTCTCTTGTCGTCTTGTTGTTTCGTCGTCGTCGTCTTGATGTCTCTTGATGTCTCTTGTTGTCTTCTTCTTCTTGTCTTGATATCTTGATGTTTTATCAGGTCGAGATGTCACATGACGTGATAAGTCATGTGACTCTCAACGTCCTTCGACTTTTTGTCCTTTTGACGGCGAGACGAAGACGAAGACAGCTTTCTCTCGACGGCCAGTCCGGCTGCGTCGACGACGGAGGGCGACGGCTTTGTTTATGTGACGGCCCCTCGACCTGTCGGCCTCATCCTGGCGCCCATCCCGTCAGCTGCATCTGGTTGGCCCCTGGGTTGTGCTTCGTTTGGCGCGCGGTTAGAGCACGGAAAGTCAGATATCCACCGACAGGCTACAGCTCATGGGAGTACATCCTCCCCCTCGCCCTTCCAACACCGTTCGGAAGAGCTCTCTCGCCTAGCTACTGGACCTGAGATCCCCATTGGCAGTGGCAGCTGTCGCCATTCTGGCCCCATATTCGAGCTCGCTTCGTTCTCACCACGGGTCCCGTCTGGCATCAAGCGCTGGGTCGTATATCAGAGCTACGACAAAGAAGGCAAAAAAACCACTTTTTTTTTTCCTCTTCCCCTTCCCTGGCCCGCTGAAGGGGCCGTTTCTTCCTCCTATATGTACGGGGCTCTTCGCTAGCCCTGGATGATGGGGCGAAAGTCACTTTTCTTTCGCGGTCAACGACATCCACACGATCCCGTTATCTCCATCAGCTGATGATCGACTTCATATCGTAGAGTCGAGCCAAGTTGTTGTCCCCCAACCCGATGACTAGCACCCATCCTGCACCAAAGTGGTCATCTAACCAATAAGTCACCTCTCCTGATTCGCTCTTCGCCGATTAGGTGCGCGGAGCTAGAAACAGACTGAACAATGGACAGACCGTGGTGGCCTAACGCAGGCTACAGACTGCTCTCCGGGGCGTTTTCGCCCTCATAACCGTCTGCCCTCTTGCATGCAACATTTATCATTTCTCTCCTACTTGGCTTTGTAATTCATATCAATTCATGATTATCATTGGATCCCTGAAGAGTTAATTACGTGGCGCAGCGGGTTCAATTTCATTTTTCACGACAATGATTAGATGGCTCATCGAATGCCTAAGCCCGTTGCTACAACGCCTCCCCTTGCCGTCGTCCGGAGCCTCCTATTTTTTTTTTTTTTTAAAAAAAACCCCTCCGGTGGGGTCTACCAAGTCGACCCTTCCCGAGTTCGCTTAACAGCTACTCCTGCAAACCCAGGAGTAGTGTTAAACGAATGACGGCTCACATATGTCCCTCTATGGAGTGCCCGGAAAAGTTATTAGAACCATAATAACTTGCCGCAACATCTAACCCCCACAGGGCCCAGGCCAGCGGCCGCCCATTGGTGACCTACCTGTTCTTTAAAAGCAAACAACAAAAATTCTAGGGTCCAAGAACTCGTTGCATATCCCTCTATCTTCTTTTTTTCAAGAGGGAAATAAAAAAAGAAGTTTGACCCAAGGCTGCAGAGGCGTCCCTCCGCTGCAGCATGGGCCCACCTGATGCCATGTAGCAGGGAACTGTAGGGTGAATGTTTCGGAGACTGCGCATTCGACGCTGCAGGTTCTAATTTGGAGTAAAGGGTCCATGGGCAAATCAGCGCCCTGTCCGTGACAAGCCAACAGTTAACGGTACATTCAGTTCTATTTCACACTGGAGGAGATACTAATGTGACTAGGCAAGAGTATCTTGTAGCGTTTGATACAAACTAGCGGTTGGAAAAGGGCCATTTTCTTGAATCTTGATCCTAGGAGTGAGGGATACTCCGCCATCACCGGATGCTACTGCGGTTGGATTTTTCCCTACATGGTGAAAAGACTATTTCCTTTCCAGTTGGCGGCACCCTTACAGGTGTATTCAGGGTTCGACCTCTGGGCGATCTACCCTTCTCGAATGTCACAAATACCCGTACTTGACATGGCCACAGACCTATTAAGGTTGTGTGGGGTTGTCCAAGGGTCCAGTTGATCCCACACCCAATACCTGCTCATATAGGCCTGCTTGGTATAGTTACGACATGCACTGACGCCACTATTCAAGGTCGACCGCATCATATACTACTCTATATGTTTTTTTGCATCATTTCAGGGCTCAGTGTCCAACACACGCGGCCTCGGAGCTACCTTCCATCCAACTCCTTTGTTGCTAGGTAAATGTTGGATTTAGGATCTCTCTCTTCTCCTTTTCCCCCTTCCCATGTTGCGGTGTATACTCTTGCAACACTAGCTGCTGCTGCTGTTTGCGAAGGTGCATCTTCGACTTCGCCCTTTCATGGTTTCAGTCACGGCAGCAAGTGGGTCTAAACGGATGCCCCGAATTAGCTGTGCCTGCATAGCACGCTCTGTGCTCGCTGTGCACAGGTAACGTGGATCGTCTATAAAAACCCTCAGGTAGACCCGCAAATCTGAGTTCTTTTGCATCGAAATCAAGACTCAAGTCAATCTCACTTCTATCAAACTCAATCGTCTTTATATAAAGGATAACCCTCCAGGGCTCGATATCTTACTATCCTATTCCTTTTTTCTCTACACCCAGAATACTCCTTCCATCCTACCTGAGATAACGAACAGTCGATTAAGATCTCATCACCACCCCCTTTCGTCACTCGGGGGTTAGCCTCCACATAAACCGCTTCACTCCCACGACATCTCATACTTTCATCCCACGCAATCATGCCGTGTATGCAATACTGGGAGATATTCGACTGCGGATGCCGAGTGCCTATGCCCGAGGTCATCCACGCCGCCGGCTGTTCAAAAGCCGGTGGCTGTGAGGTAAAACTAGTTCCAAGGCCCAGAACTGGTTACAAATGCAAGGCCCATGGTGGATAGATCAAGGTAGTGCCGTCAAAATTAGCCATGTTGTCAATCTGTACTCAGAACTAAGGCGTCGTTTAGGCAAACGGTCCGAAACATTGAACGATGTGGACTCCCTTAGAAAAGGTTTATAATCGGACCCTTGAAGCCTGTGCCGCCCTTTTTATTCGCTTTTATCCTTTTGCGGCTCAGATTGAGTATATGTCACAAGACTATTTTCGGGAACAACTTTATTTCGGCGCGATTATTTCCTCTTTTTTACGCCTCTGTTTTTATTAGATGGGATATTCGAGACTAGGGGGTTCTTCGTTTTGTTTTTTTTTATTTATTTATTTTCTTATGTCTTGACATTCCTCCCTTTTTTTTTCTGTATTTTCTTTTTCTGTTTTCCACATTTTTCCGCGCCCATGAGGGATGCCTCAACGAAAGGAAGGATTATAATTAGCATCCCGTTTGGATCCCCAAACATACATCTCAAACCTGTTTTACGACGATATCGCAGGCGGGGGAGGGGGGGGAGAGGAATTGAACAAAGACTTTCATTGTGAATCTTGACATGCCGATAAAAAGCGTTTTTCTTTCTCACCTTCCTTTGTAATTACGCATATGAATGCTATAATGCTCGACTTAATGCAGAAATATCACGCTTAATTTTGCTTAATCAAGCAAAACGTCCTCCCAAGCTGTCATTCCTGCAGTGGATTAACACCGCGTACTCCGTGCATAGGATGAGTAACTGCGCCTTCACGGCCGGGAGGTGGGTACGTGAGGTATACGCTGCAGGATTATCTCTCATAATCCTGAAGAAACGACTCGAGTCGATTACGCCAGCGGGCGCCGTTTGAGGCCGTTTGTAGACATGTGCCCCTTACATCCCATGCTGACTCAAGTGTCGTGGCATGCATGCATATCAGTTGAAACGGTAGATGGCCAGATAGGCTCTTTCATCAACGGCTCGATTCGTCGTATGGAGTAACTCCGTATCGCTGTTAGAGTTGCGGTGGAGCAGAAGCCCCAGGCACCAACCACGGCTGCTCCTTCATCGACTTTCATCGTACTCTGTTCGTTAGGGCGGCTTGGGGCCTGCACTACTGGAGGTTTACGCCTTACGACTCCACACCTAAGGCATACGCCCCCAGATAGCTCTATCTGAAAGTAGTAAATCGATTAAAAAAGGCAAAATAGCCTGGTCTTCTCTATCCCTTGCACTCCGGATGCCAGCGACTTCCTCGGAGCAAGGAGAGAGAGTGAGGCTGGCCTGCGGCTAAGCTGGTGGTGAGCCGCAAACCTTAGAAGACCCCTTGAAAGATCCTGGTCTTCAGGACGGGATTGGTGCGCGGTTGATCAGCGCTCGGTTTGGAACATAACGGCGTCTGGAAAGGAGATGGATGTTGAAGAATGCCGAAGGAGTATAGCGAGCATGCGCGTCAGGAATGTTCAGGTTACGCCGCTGCAGGAAAGCGAGGGAGATAGAAAAGAAAAACCAAGCTGAACAGTTGACGACATCGACGTATGGCTAGCCGATTGGTGTAGCGACAGGAAGCTAAGGCGCTGACGAGATGTCGCTTTGTCAACTGATATTATTAAGGGTTAATTACTCCGTAAGGATCTGGAGATTCTTTCTGCAGCGCCCGTGTTAGTTCATAATATATGCGCAGCTATATCTCCATACATACATGACGATTAGGTCACGAGATAGACTAAAGATGGGCCATCCCTGGTAGTACAAGCGTCTCTTGACAATTACTTGTTAGAATTTGTAGGCAATAACAATAAAGGAAAAAAGGGGGGGAAGGGGGGTACAGCTCACGCGGAATCATGAGGTATCAGGCGTGGCCAATTTGGACCACGAGCATACAGACTGGCGTCATGGTGTCCCATTATCCCGGAGGAATGCTTCTTGATGCAGGGCACTGGAATATGCAAGCAGCGGGCGATCCTTGTGATTTTCCGTCCGCAACATTTTCCATCTGGCCTGCATGGGAGCGGCGGCGCAAAAAAAAAAAGTCAACAGGAAGTAGCAGATACTGGCAATGCAAGGGATGTACTCGCTTGCAAAACGTGGATCATCTTCCGCATTCCGAGGGCCACAGAGTACCGTAACCAACGCCAGGCGATCGTGGAAGGTTGGGGTTAAAAACCATGGCTATGGTCTACCACGTAGCTGCGTGGACCCTTTTTCCTGCAGGTTGTTTCCAGGATCAGGAAATAGCCGTGCGGCGTATCAGTTACTCGACCTCGCGCTGGAACCTGTCGACTTTCCACCGTTAGTGCGGCACATTTCGCTCATGTGCTAAGGCCTTACTCACAAAGGAGTGATGTTTCTCGTGTACCCGCAGTGCGAGGCTATAGGCTTTTCGAATATAGGCTACAGCGAGCCTGGAGATGCGACTGCGGGGGGTAACTAGTTCTTCAGCTTCATGGGTCGAGAAAACATGGATGCATTATCACCAACATAATTATCATATCATGTGACTGGACATGCAGATAGATGGATCATCTTGACTCGCCACATAATATGAGCAGCTAGTTGAGCAATAAGATGCCGGCAGGCAAGCGTCATCTATACCATAACGAATATGGTTCCTGGTATGTTGGATTGAGCGCACCGCCACTCGTCGGCCCTAAGGTCAGTAGATACAGGGCGGTATATGTAGAACGACAGTGCGGAGCTCCGCGATAATAATGAAATAAGAAACAAGTAAAAAAAGAAGTAGATCCAACATGTAGGGGTCCTCTGAAAAGGGCTGATGCTGACCTGCGATAGGCACGCTGCCGGTATGGACGGGGTTGGTGGCTCTCCTTATCCATAACTTGACACATATATCCATACACCGAACGTGACACAGGGCCCTTCCGCTTGCGCACTGGCATTTGTAGAGCATGCTTATCAGCCTGGTGTACTCTGTCCGGTCATAGACGGTAACGGGCAAAAAAGCTCTGGCTACCCTCAACCCCACGCTAACATGTTAAAAAAGGATCGCCACGCTAGTCCGTGCATGCGCATATCCTTAGCTTCTCCCAGGGATATTCCCCTTCTGCATGCATATGTGATAATGTGACTGATAGATGATGGGATTAATTCAAAAGCGCGAGGTATGTATCACGGGTCTCGTCATCGGCAGGCAACAAGTCAAAAGCAGGCCGCAAACAAGTCGGAGGGGCCGATCGAGACCTGAATACCCTCTGCAAGGTGCAGCTTCATCGCCTGATTCCTGGTAGATGCGGACGGATGTGCCTTGGCCTGCTTCGGAGGATAATCGCCTCCAAGCGTGTATGACACAATGATGATCGGGCAGCCATAATTATCCCATACCCTGATCTGCGGGGAACATGATGCTTGCTAGATGCACATGGCCTGTAACCTTAGCAACGGGGTTCCTGGGGCGTAGATTGGGTGCACGCATGGCCGGTCCAATGGAAGGGTACGGCTAGGATCAGCTCTCAGATGGCGGGAAGTCCAACCTGGTATATGAGCTAGGGATGTGTACTCGTACTCCATGATGTGGCCATGCCATAGGCAGCGTTGCAATGTATGTATGTGTATCCCCTACCTCCGTCCCGCCGTCGATACGTTCATCGTTCAAGGCAGGGATGGGTAGGACATGCGTAGTGACGGCCCATGAGGTCCTCATGATAGCTCTTTAATTTGCATAACTTATCAAACAATCCTGGGATCTGATTGTTGGAACTAAAAGAAATATGAAAAAAGAGGTGATATGATGTCTTTCCACGGCCGCATCCCTTGGAATTGGGCCACGATAAGTGACCGCGTCCTGCTGTGTTAGTTACGGGCCTGGACCGTTTTCTTCGACATATCACGATAGAGAACCCGAGCCAGTTGGCAGGCCATCCTGGACACGCAATCATACGTTCTCTTGGCCAGGAGCATCCTGTTCTCATCTTTTCTCGTCTGTTCTCATGTTGATTCTCATCATGGTCTCACGTTGTTCTCATGTTGTTCTCATGTTGTTCTCATGTTGTTCCCATGTTGTTCCGGATCAAGAAAAGCAGAAGTTGATATCACGTGATATAAAACAACTCCAACTTCTCAAATCGATGCTGTCATAGTCCATGAAGCCGCCGTCCAGCCAGCAGCTTTTATTCCACATGTAATGTCCATAGACATCAACTGGGAGGCTGCCACCTCTGGTCCTGATGGCGAAGAACTCGCCGAACGCATCCGCTCCTTCATCCACGACAAGTTCCAGCAGATAGCGCTCCCTCGATTCATACGTTCGGTGGAAGTCAACTCGTTTGAATTCGGCACTGTTTCGCCAGAATTACAGGTCAGGGACATATGTGATCCGTTCAATGATTTTTACGAAGAAGACGAAGACGGTGAAGAGTGGTCGGATAGCTCTGTCAGTGAAGGGCCGCCGCCGTCGAGCTTGAGCCGGAGCCAGTCGACGCTGAATGGCGATGCGGGCAACAACAAGAGCGGTGCCAACAATGATGATGGAGATGGAAACTCAGATAGTCGTGGTGGGTACTTCCAGAGGAGACACCCGTCTTCAGAATATACTGGTGATTTCCCACAGCCGTTGATGTCTCCTATCAACCTCGGGGAGTCGTTTAATCCCTACTTGTTTCCTCGAGCGGGAACTCCAGGGATCCCCGGCGGAACATCCAACGTTGGATACTATAACATGCCGCGCGGAGGGCTTTCTGGGACCCAGACGCCCCTTGCATCCGTTGCATCAGTTGCACGGGGCGGCCCGCTCTCGCTATCAGAGGGATGGCCGCTTCCCGCCCGCAGAAGTGAGCGAGCCCTCAGCTCGGACGCAGATGTGGATTCTCCCCAGTCTCGATCCCGCCCTTCAACATCTAGTACGCGACAGTTAACTTCCGTTGACGGCGGCACGACCCGCGACCCAGCGGAGATACCAGAATCCGAATCCGTAATCACAGGCCATCTTGACAGCGCACTTCCTACACGGCGCATGAGAGAACAGAAGCCTGATGATTTCCAAGTGCTTTGCCGTATGCAGTATTCTGGAAACATGAGGCTATCGATAACGGCTCAGATACTGCTAGACTATCCGATGCCTAGCTTTGTAGGGCTCCCTTTGAAACTCAACATTACAGGCTTCACGTTCGATGGGGTTGCTGTTGTAGCTTACATCCGGAAGAGGGTGCATGTATGTTTCCTTTCGCCGGAGGATGCAGATACATTGCTTGGGGCGGACGATAAGATGGCTGCTACGGAGGATTACCATGACCACCATGGCCACCACCCTGGGAGACAGTCGAACGGCAGCACGACCGGCTCGCGGCGTTCGAACGACAGCCTACTACGAGAAATACGGGTAGAGAGCGAGATAGGGCGCAAGGAGAACGGGAAGCAAGTACTGAAGAACGTAGGGAAGGTAGAGAAGTTTGTTCTTGAGCAAGTTCGGCGGATCTTTGAAGAAGAGTTTGTGTATCCGAGTTTCTGGACATTCCTTGTTTAGAGCAGATTAACAGATATAAGAGCTATGTACTATATGCGAGTATAATGAGAAACGAATCAGCGAGGTCGTAACTCTGGCCGGAAGTACTTTTTTTGGGGGTCAACCCTGCAGGTATCTCAAAATTCGCTGCAACGCGGGCTTCATCAGTGGCTTGGGGTTGATAGGCTGGCGGTGGATAAGTTGACGTTACGTTCATCGGTCCTTCTTTGGTGTAGCGTCCTTCTGGGTGAACTCGTCACCCAGCTTGTTATACTCCCTCGAGAGGCCCTCGCTCTGCTTCTTCAAAGCGGCGATGTCATTCTCGCGAGCCTTGAGCTCATTCTTCAGTCTTCCAATCTCTCCAATGTCACCGGCAGCAGCCAGCTTGGCGGAATCCTTGCCACCAGCTCTCTTGTCACCCTCGTACATCTTGACCTTGTCTTCGAGACGAAGGATGTCGAGGATCATGGTGTAGGTGCGGTTGAGGATGAGGGAGAGGAAGAGGGTGAAGCCGCAGAGGTACATGTTTCGCTGCGAGTAGAATTTGCGGGCCTGGACTTCCATGCGTTCAGTTCCAATGGCATGTCTACGACTTGGCAAGAGAGGCAAATAAGCGTCCTAGTTAGTGATGTGGCCTTTTATACAGTGTCAGGGGAGAGGACAACATACCCTGCATTGGCGGAGTCGAAGCCGGTGAGCTCGATCTGCACGCGGTAGACACGATTGACGCTGTCGATGAACAGGATAAGGATGAAGATGAATGTTATCTATGCTGTTAGTAGTCGAGATCGTAGATATAGGACTTGGCCAGGCACACCTTCATTCCATACTGCAACTTGGCGACGATGGGGCTCTCTGATATGAAGGTGAACAGCTTCCGCTTGACGGTGAAGGGCAGCGGGACTATGAGGCCGACGAAGATGGCCATCTCCGTCACCAGGAGGACGAACACCTGCAATTGTTAGAGCCATGATATCATCGTCAAGGTCAAGCCACGTACGAGGGTGAAGTAGAGCGTCATGATGCGGGCAACCGGTTGGCGGTGGTTATATGTCGACGGTAACCTGGCTGGTGGAAAGATACAACGGTATAAGAGCAGTCTATGCTATCGTGAGGCAGCAGTCGACTGTGCAGCGTGAGAAACCGACCGAACAGCCTCTTCTTATATCTCTCTGTTCAAGTTGGCACGAAGAAAAAGCAAGAAAAAAGAAAGAAACAAAACAAAACGTCATATCATGTGATATAGCACGTGACTACTACGTAACATAGTTTATCCGAAGCCCTAACTCCCGAAGCGGACAAAGCCCTAGAGCCGAAAGGGGAGAAGAAGACGACATCTATACATATACTCTATATATCTATCTATACAGATACATCTCTATCTATATACCTATACATATGTCTATGTAAAGAGGATAGGCGGAACATGTAGGGTGTGGAGGCGGTCGCCACTATACTATTGGACCAGGACATGACGTACCAAGGACGGCGATGCATGCGGGTAAATGCCTCGGAACTCAGGGCGAAAGCTGCGTCGAGACTGGTCAGAATGGAGGAATAAACAGCGGGCGAGGGCGGGCTCAACGTATGACAAAGGCCGGAAGGGTCAAGGAGCGCCGGATCCATGGAACCCAGCTGTTTGTTGCTCGCTAGCCCCCCGATATCAAGGCAGATGGGATCGGGGACGACGGGCGAGCATCGTAGCTTCGTATAACTCTGGCCGTAACCATCGCTGGCGTCGCATGGCAGCAAGACAGGGATCGAGGACCGTTTGGCGGACATGGAACGGCCGTTTTAGCTTGTCCCTGGCCGCGGATAGCCTGGCTCTATTGTCGTTGATAAATCCATCTCAATCTCAACGTCTAGACGTCTCGACGCCGTAGCTGCAGTCTGCCCTCGAACCATGGATGGCGATTGCGTCGATGACTGACAACGGGCGGCCGCGTCTCTCTCGCCGCCCGCTCACCGTATGCCCGTAGAGTATCGACTGTTTCACCCCTGCATGCCACGGCCGTAGAACCTGTGCTGCTGCTGCTTCTATATCGATTGGACGCTGGCTGCCGTCGATCTGACAAAGAGTAGATAGATGCACTCCAGGATATGATATATCTGCCTCGTCTTCCCTCCCATCCTGCTCTTAATTCGCCTGGATCGTTAGTTTGGAGTTAGTTTCGTGTTTAATAAGAGCGTCGGCGGATAAACCATCTGGCTCCACCTAGCACTTACTTCGACTTCAACGTCTTCCTCTCGTCCGTATCTTTCTCTCGACATCTACGGCGTTGACCATCTCTGTCTGTCCGTCTGTGTGTCTGTCTGTCTGTGTTCGTCTGTCCGTGTTTCTGTTTGTGTCTGCGTGTATCGTCTGGTGGACTCACTTCGACATCAACTCCGCCGCTAGACTGGCTACAACTTCACTACAACTCGACTACAACGACACAACTTCACAACTTCGACTACAAAACTACACCTACGGAATATCGTCAAGGCTGATGCTCGACTCGTCCGAGACTCCTCCTCCTCTTCACTTCTCACCGCCGTCCAGCGACCAGGATCGCACCTCGACCCGCGAGTCGACCCCAATTGGCACTCCCCTGGGCCTCACATCCAGCAACCCTCGCAGGCCCGACCTGCTGCATAACCACCACCTGGTACACCGCAAGGCGACTGCTCCCAGCTCATTCTCGCCCTCGACAGCCCATATTCCCGTGTTCGACGACGAGGACGAGGACGACTCGATATTCCCGCTCTTCCCGTCATCGCCGCCAGACCAGCACCACAGCAGCCGCCGCCGCCATCATCGCTACAACAGCAGCCAGCACAGCATCACCATGGACAACCGCGCCATGCCCATCGACCTGTCCTCGAGGCAGACGTCCAAGTCGCCACCGGGCCAGCAGGCATCCAACCTGACCTCCGCCCTCCAGAAAGCGGCCACCGGGGCCGCCGATATGTCCTCGAACTGGAACGGAGTCGCATCGAACGCCTACATGACCAACGCGGCGCGCAAGGAGTCCTTTAGCGCAACCATGGCGCAGTACTCGAATGGGAGCAAACCGATCACCGTCGTCGGCTCGAACCGTGACAAGCCCCGGCGTGAGAGTCTGGCCGGCAGTCTCGTCGGCGGTATGAGCTGGGGAGGCGTCTCCGTCGGCAGCTGGATCAGAGACGAGTACGTATCTTTTTATATCCTTTAATGTGTATACGACAGTACTAACTGGTATAGTATCATTATGACGGGCACTTCGCCGTTCACGCTACAGTCGCCGTCATATCACTCTTCCTCGTATCTACCGAAGCTCGAAGCCAACTTTATGCGCGACTTCTCATGCTGTGGCATCACCCTGCCCTCACTACATGACCTACTTCAGCATTATGAAGAAGCTCACGCCCAGAGATCCCCGCAGCCGCCACAGAGGTCGGCGCAGGCGAACCAGACAACATCGTCAGATAGCAGAACCATGCCCGGTGGCTCCCCGCACCCATCACAGCAGAGCCAGCAGCAGTCGAGTATGGGCACCGCACCCGGGCGGGCAGTCTCGTCGACGCCAGGAACCCCACGCCCGCACCATAGGCTACCACAGCAGCCACAGCAGCCCCTCATGCAGACGACTACCGGATTCGGCCAGTCGCAATCAAACGACCTACCAGATATCGACTCCGTAGACGATATGGATATGGAGATGGATGACCCGTTGAGCGATGGCGGTTTCCAGCAGCAGTCCCACCAACAATCTCTCGCCCAGGCCCGCTTTGCTCAAGAGAATGGCGGTAGCCGCGTAACACCACTCAATATGGGAATGCTACAGGGCCAGCAACGTTTCCGCAGTTCGGCGCCAGGCACCCCTGTCTCCCCGGGTAGACCTCTTCACAACAACCCAACAGTCTCATCCGTCAACACTCCAACCCTCATGCCCCTCCCTGTCCAACAGCAACAGCAACAACAGCAGCAGAACTCCCAATATAGAAGCACGCCCGAGTCTTCGGCGCCCGGGACCCCGGCAGAACTCGACGAATCCATAGTTGGTGGATTTGGCGACATGTCAATGCAGGGCGCCGCCACACCGGGCAGTGGGGCCGGCCAACAACAGTTTGTTGCCTTTGGTGGCAACGGTATGCTGGATCTCTGCATCGATGAGCCGGCTAAGCGGCTCTTTAGACCGAATGGTGGATTCGGTAATGGGAAAACAGCACAGCAAGCACCACCGTTTCGACTCGGTACGTCGCATTATGGCGCAAATAGCGACATCGCTCAGCATATCAGGGAGCAGCAGAAACTCGCCGGAGTTCCAGACGTTGCTATCACTATGAAACCAGACGATGAGCCAAAACCGTTTAGATGTCCCGTAATAGGATGCGAGAAGGCGTATAAGAACCAGAACGGTCTCAAATATCATAAATCAGTGAGTTATACCATCCTTTTTATCGTTTGCTTTTACTAACCTCGGTCTAGCATGGTCACAACAACCAGCAACTCCACGACAACGCAGACGGCACCTTCTCGATCGTCGACCCAGAAACCTCCGCCCCTTACCCAGGCACGCTAGGCATGGAGAAAGAAAAGCCGTACCGCTGCGAAGTCTGCGGAAAGCGATACAAGAACCTCAACGGTCTAAAGTATCATCGCGCACATTCGCCGCCATGTAATCCGGAATTCTCATTTGCTACCGCAGCAGGTCGTCCATTCAATACTCCCGGCGGCGTCATGCATGGAGAGAATATTAATATTGCCGGAGCTGGACTCACGGGTATTGGGGAAGAAGGGCTGTAGAGACGGAACCACTCATACCAGACCATAATGCCGAAGTCAAGTTAGAGAAGAGCAGATCAGAGCACATTTATTCACGGAGAATATATCGAAGTGATATCGGAGTGAAATCGAAACCGGAGAATGCGGAGTCCAAAAAATATACGGGAAGGGAAATTATTTTTTCGAAAACTGGCCTCGGGAAAAGCCTTGTCCTTTTGTTTTTGTCGTTTCTTGTCCTTTTGTCCCTTTTTCTTGGTTATTGTTTGCTTGGCCTATTTTCTTGTTTTCTGTTTGCTTAATCTCCTTGCCATCGTTTGGATATTTCCTTCTCACCTTGTCTGATTTATTCCACCTCTACCTCCTTGCTCTACGCCCCGTTGAAATTGGTCGAATCGGTCAATACCAACTCATGCACCGGCCCTTGTTTGTTGTACATAGCACTCTGTGTGATTCTTTTCTTCTTCTCTCCCCTCTCCAGCTGTCTATGTACCGAACGATTCCAACGGCCTCCATCCCCCCCATCCCAGCATCTCCTCTTCAAGTCAGCATAGCATCTTTTCTTTTCTCAGCTCCCTTTCTCATTCCTGCACATACTTTTCTCAATACCACCCTTGTTAATTCTCGATTCTTTTGGGCACGTCATACATACTGGACTACACGGGCTCTTCCTATACTATACCATATACCACCCAAATACCCATAGCGAAGCCAGCCAGTCCAGCCAGTTTATACAGTCCTCTCAACCTTTTTTTTTTCCTTTTTTTTTTTTCTCATTTTTGCTTCAAATTACCTTTCTCCCCTCCCCCATTTGGTTTTACATCATTGTTTAATTCAGCTGTTGGATTTAGTTTTTGCTTTGGATTTGATGCGACTCCTTGTTTCTCTGTTTGCAAATGTTCGAATCTTGAGGAGGGACAAGGAGGAAAGGATGGAAGGGCATGGAAGAGTCATCATCTGTCAGGGTCATGAGGGTGGGTTTTCAGCTCTTTTTGTTTCATTGTTTTTTGCTCTTTAAAATAGATCTCTAGGTGTGACTTGTTTGCATGCCTTTCATTCCCTCTCTCTCTCTCTCTGTTCGTGTGTGTGTCTCTCCGTGTGTTTTATTACTCTTTCTGTGGGTTTTTTTTTTTTTTTTGTGGCTTGCGACTGCATCGTCCGATCAATAGTTATTCTCCGTCATAGCATGTCTTCTACGACACCTCGCTCCCTAGCCTCATACTCTCCCGTAACTTTTCCTGCCAACTGCCTATGTGTCAAGGTCTATCCAGTCATTTCCGTATTTCCACCCGGTTAAGTATCATCTATCTTTCTATGTCTCCTAGTTCCCGCGTTGATCTCGTACAAATAAATGTGAGGAAATTTCGGCCCCTTGCGTTGTCGTTTGTTATTTACTTGTTATATCCAAAGTCTATACTCCTGGCAATAAAGATGGCATGTTTTACCTCCTGATTAGAATCCATATTACGTGGATCGTCTACGCCAACTGTAGAAGAGATGGTGTATCTCATCGTCAAATCGTGGTATTTCCCCCTTTTTTTTTTTTTCAAATTATGGGTACATGTAAGTATAAAAGTCCGGCTTGCCTGGAGAAGTACAAGTATGGTGGCCCCTATGGGATACACATTTTCAGGCTATGAGACGGGTCAAATCGGGAAGATGGGCTTTATAGATACAGAGCAGTAGTAACTGAGTATTTTTCACCTATGCAAGCATGAGCTGTGTGTGCGTAATTCCGTCCTCCTCTCTAGGTAGACTAGTACCATTCAAATTCACCAGTTCCTTTGTGAAATACATATCTATTGAAGTTGGTTAGAAGATAGTTCTTTATGAGGTATTTTTTGGAGGTACAAGGAACTCACTCTCTGCCGTCGGAGGTTAATATGCCATCTTTCAACACACACTTCCACTTGCTTTTAACTCGCTGGACTTTGTCGTATGTACAGAGCATGACCTGGCCGACTGCATCATCTTCACCCTGTTCATCGTCGACGAGATCGTCGGGATCGTCAAGATCGGAGTTAATAGCGTCTTCATCTTCGTCCTTTTTGATGCCATAGTCATCTGTTCCATCGAACTGAGAAGGTGGTGGAGGGCCACTGGGCGCTGCAGGTGAGATGGTAGAAGAGGTAGCCTCTGCCTGGTTTGACAGGGCCGTTAGATCATTGAATTTTACAATCTTGCGTTTCTTGCCATTGGCATTGGGGTAACGTTCGTGCAAGGGAGCCAGGAGGCCACCGCCCTCCAGCTGGAGGTTCCTTGACTCGACGAATTCCCGAAGACGGCGGTCATTCTCTGGGCCGTTTTTGGCAGCTGCTTCTCTCCGTCGTTGGACTTCGGCTTTCCAGTCTGACAGGTCGTCGCCGGCGCCGTCTGTCTGAGAGTTCTGAATACCGGTCTGTGGCAATCTTGAAACCTGTCCTTGGCCTTGAGCCTGAGCCTGACCCTGTGCCTGGGTCTGTTGCTGAACAGGCCTAAAGTCCTGGGGCTTGGAATTGCCCATTGGTGGAGGTTGGAATCGAGGTTGCCCGCCTGGGAGGGACAGGGCAGCTTGAGAGTGTGACTGCAGATGCTGAACCTGGTTGGCTGCGGCAGTGCCATACTTTTGGTGCAACGCATTTGCGGCTCGCTGCTGGGCTAGGCTTGTGCCTCCTGGAGGGCCTGGCGGTGGAGGAGAGAAGCCTCCTTCGGTTTTGACGAAGACATCTCCGGATGGAAGGTCTGTAGGGGACTGCAGGCCTGGGTGCTGGGCCTGAGAGGTCTGCGGCTGCTGCTGCTGATGCTGCTGATGTTGTTGCTGCTGCTGAGGGTGTTGGTGTTGAGGCTGCGAGTTAGAAGGAATGGTGGTGGATGGCGGAGGGATAGAGGCTGCCTGCTGCACTGGCAGGGACTGTGACAGCGATGTGGGTGGCTGTGGTGCAGGGTCCCATGGGAAATGAGCCACCCCGAGCGACGACAGCTTCGACTGCCAGCCCTATACATCAATCAGCAACGTATCAACATCGTATCAACATCATATCGACATGTCAACATCTATAAATGTGCATCCTTGAGGCTCTAGATATGATGACTAATCACGGGATATTCCGGGTGAGTCAGCCGGGATAAAGCGGCAAGACGTGGAGCTGGTAAAACGGCGCATAAGAAGGCCGAAAGCGAGCAGGCAGGCAGACGCCCTTTAAACCGCCCGCTTCCCCCCCAAAAGCCGCCCTCCACGGCATCACATCACGACAAACACCTCTGCGCACACGGAGAACCACGACAACGCGGGCAAGGGACGTGGACGAGAGAGGATACCAACCTTCCTGAGCTCCTCGAGCGTATGCTGGTCGACGCCACTCTCCTCGAAGTCGATCTGCGAAGAGTCGCATACCTCCTGGATGACGCGGTCGAAGACCATGCCCTAGATGGACGAGACGAAAGAGATGAGCAACAGGTTCATACGCGACGCTCCCCGCGCAAGACAGCAGCCCGCCCGACTGATCCGACGGACAGACATGCCAGACTGGACTGGCATGGTTACTCACCACTAGCTGGTTCGACATCTTGAGGGAAACTCTCGGTGGTAGCAAGGATGATAAGAAAAGGCTACTAGCTGGCGTCTAGGATGTCGCGTCACCCGCTTGGAGGTAAGGTGAAGCAAGGCGAGGCGAGGCGCCGCGAAGAGCGAGCGGGACGTAAGACGTAGAAGTGAGAGAGCGGCCTTTTCGCTCGTTCGGTTTCATTATCAGAGCAATGTCCATGTAACACGCCGCGCGCCAAACACCTCCCACTCACCGGAACCAGCACTTTTCCTCCGCCTGTAGTAAGCTGTTTGTATACGAATTGGAATGATAGACGTTTTGATCTGTTTATTCTGTATTTCTAGGCCGGCGTCGGCGTTTTCACCTCGATCTCGGGCTCATGGGCGGATGTTGGTAGAAGTGAGAAAATCAATTTATACCAGAAATCTATCAGCACCAAGTTGCTTAGTCAGCTCAACCTCATACCAACGTCTCTCCTAACTACTGGATGAGCTCATGAACATACCATCTCTATCAAGTACATCTCTATCAAGTGTACCATATCTATCAAGTAGATAGCGATACTCGATACAGCAGGACAAATGATAGCTGTGCCGGAATTCTCATAGCATGGCTTTATCTACCTAGTATCAGACAGCCCCAGTATCCCATCACATATACCAATTGTGACATTGATGATATTGATACTAAGGAACATTCTAGAGGGCGACTCATTATGTACAAAAGCTTACATAAATGATCTTTGCTATAATGCTTCTTAGCCTATAAATATCTCTATTCCCTCTTACCTTCACCTAACATTAGAGATTTCTTCCCCGCGAGAAACGGCCTCTGACATTCATAGTGTCTGCCTTCCTTGGAAGATTCTCTCGACAACTATCAACTCTTTACCTTACTACCTCCTAAGCAAGCTTTGGTTTTAGTTTCGCCATGTCGGCTGAGCAGGAAGACGTGGAGTTTATATCTGAATACTTCCCACAAGATTACGTGCATCTCCTCCCAGATGACCAGCTCAAAGCTCTGGTTGAATCCCACACGCGCTCAGATGAGCTTCATCGGTTAACTGAGACGGCATCCATCAATACGGAATTCACCGCTTCGGATTTTGTCACTGCGAAGGTCAACGAGTTAAGGGCCCAAGTCAATCATATTGAGGGCTGCAAGTCTGCGCTCCAAGCGCTCGTCCGATGCAACTACCTACCACACATCGAGATATTCGGGTATCTCGACGATCTCCGCAGTGACTCCGCACAACTTATAAAGGAACTGTTACTCATCAAGCAGCAAAGGAAGTTCATAGAAGAGGATATGGAGTCTGATGTTCATCCGGGCTGTTATCATAGCGCAATGAGGTTCAAAATGGAGGCGGTGTCAAATGATGACTCCGACAGGAACCTGTTCCTAAAATTGGTGGATGAATGGTACATCGAGTCGGTCGACATTTCGGAGAGCTTCTGTCACGTTGTTGGACTGTGCAGCTCTAAAAACCTTGAACCTGTTCGCTTGATACCCAAGAACCTAGAACAGGGGCCAATTGCCCATCTTTTTGGAGTCGAGTCCATCATAATGGGTGACCCAAGAAACGGTAAGGAAGTCATAGCCTTCAATAAACAAACAATCACCAACATACTAATATAACATTTCACAGGGCTTATGCTCCACAAGTCGATCGCAAAGGCCCTGAAGGCCGGTATTGTGGTGATTGTGCCGGTAGAGGCAACTTCTGAAGTGGAGGAACTCAAATGGAAACTGGTCGTCACCAACCCGCTCTACTACAAGCGTACTGCCTTCGATGACGTCAAATGGGAGGCAAGCGGAATTTCCCTATCTGAAGGTACTTAAGCATATGCTAATTTAAGTACCCATCAGGAACTTAATGGGAAGACGCTAGAATTCCTTCTTAACGGTCCGTCCGCCCGATTCCTATACTTCCGGTATCTCATGACATACCTTATTCTCAAGGCCAAAGGTCCGCTAGAATGGGTCCACGACGCCGAAACAAGCAGCTGGGGAGCCCCGGGCCGTTACCTCCGAAGATCAATGCTCATTAACCTTCTCCGACGGGTCGCTGGCCCCTACATTCCTGCGATATTTTACAATTCCACTACGTTCACCACTGTGAAAGACGAGGTAACCATGTCGCAGGAAGACGAAGATATACTTACTATCCAACTTTTAGATGGTATAGTATTGGCTGCCGAGATAGACAGCGTTAAATATGAAGAGTAATGGTGCATGGAAGAATCATCAAATTGACATGAGAGTCTCCACTACATAGATAGGCTTACCTTCAATCATGGGTTGATACTGTAAATATGAAGAGCTAATTGAACATGGCTGTAACTCAATAGTCTACCTATACACTGCTCTCTAGTCAGTATATGTATACGGAGTTCAGAAGCCCTTATCATACCCTGAAAGGCCTGACCTGGTACTAGTAAAGGCACTCCTTGGCCATCCTTATCTATAACCCTTAAGTCTGCAAGATGGTTTGTTCTTTGGTCTGTCCATATACTTATCCTTGAGCATGTCAATGTTATTCTTAAACTTAATCCCCCAAAGACTTTTGGCATGGAGCTCTGTATGAAATACTAATTGTAGGATAAAATAAACATATCTGACGTTGAATAGATAGCATAATAAAAATGGGATATGCAACATTGAGGAAGTCTATCTCACAGCCATCTATGCATGACATGTTTGCGTTCAACTAAAAGGCAAAAACAAAAACAACACGGTATCCTTCATCCCGCCATGACATGGTATCAAACCCACCGTAAAAAGGAGACCATCCCGATAAAACTCCAGCAAATGTCTCATATAAAATCATAACTGGTTCAAGATAGCTCCATACCATCGTCTTCATCACTATCTAGATCATCGTCCAACGGACCAGACGATATAGCCACTCGAGGCCGCTTGGGGCTGGCCGGTTCGTACCTATCAAAAGCCAACATTTCACGAAGCTCAGCTTCATGGCCAGGCATAATTCGAGCCTCCGTGTCTACAACCTCGCATAGAGCCACCATGCTCTGTTTGCCTAGGAGGCGGAATCCTTCGCTTCGTACGATCCTGCCCCAGTTTGCGAGGCAGAAAGAGGCAGCACGGCGTTTAAGCCAGACCTCGTTTGTACGGCCGGCGCGTTCCCAGATTATGGCGGCGGTATCAATATTGATTTCGCGGCTGAGACGGTTGACGCAGAGTAAACGGAGTTTTGGCAAGTCGTATAGATTCGCCATCACTAGCATGCCTGCAACTTCGAGAACGCTGGGGTTAACTTCAGAGTCCGCAGATATGCTGTCTGTGTAGAGATAGTAGAGGAATGCTCGGACAACGCGGTATGGTTCTGGGATGTGCATTTTGTTTGTGTGATACTCTGCCATTTTGGCGGCGTAGAGACGACGGAAATGAGGCCAGCGAGCATGAAGGATGATCCGATGAACATAGATGGGAGGAGATGTGACGGCGTTGGCAGGAAGATATTCGGATGGTTCATCTTCTGTCACGGTGGAACGCATATCTGCATCTTCTACGTCGTCCATGTCTGCGGTAATGGTGAAGTCTGATCCGCCGGACTCCCCAGGCTGGTCGAAGACAGAAGCCAATCCAGCACCTAAGTTGGACAACGTATTTTGTCGTTCGGAAGCGAGGATACGATTCTGCTCCGACGCCTCCCTGCCTAACACGCCATATTTTTCAAGGTCGATGGTAAGAATTGTGCTGAGATGGTTATCTTCTCCAACAGACGAGCTTCCAGCACTGGAGCCAAACAGCCAAGCCTTGGAACCAGCTTCATCGATTGCACAGTACTGCCAGCGGTATTCAGCGGTGAATATTTCCTGTCCACTTGCTAGCTTCTGCCATCGTAGTGAGTCCATCTCCATGGAGGACAGGTTGCACTCCCAGGGTTTGACCGTTTCTGAGGGCGTGACAAGGTCAAGGAGGACACCAGATGCATAGACGTGAAAGTGTGTCCCAGAGCGAAGAGCCGGCACATACGGCCCGGAGTGGAATTTCAAAGAGGATATTGCCCCCGGCGCAGTAGGCTTGCGGCGAGCCATTGTCCGAATTTGGGTATTTGCAGCATTGGGGGTATAGCCGTTCAGCCGTCCGCTGGCTGGCGGGAGACTATATGAAAGGTCTGAGTTGTCAGCTATGCTGTCTACAAATTTGAGGACGAGGGGATCCGGTAATACCTTGTTCAGCTGGCACTGCCCTGGACAACGCAGGGGTCCCTTTCAAGTCTAACCACCATAGATCTGTGCCCCTTTCCATGTCCGTACCCAACCCACCAAAAACCCAGAGCCGGCCACCCCATACCCACGCAGCATGGTCGAACCGTGCCACAAACCTCCACGAGCGTGACCATGTCCATGTCTTGAGATCGAGGTAGCAGATGTCATCTAGTATAAGGTTTGATTCTCCGGTTACACCGCCGATCACGAACAGTTTGTCCTCGTAGATGACCGATGCATGTCGAGCCCTCCCCTTTGGTACCGGTCCACGGACTTCCGGTGACGTCCAGGTAGATGTTTTGATGTCAAATACGATGACATCAGAAAGATGCTCTGGGTGTTCGTTCTCTCCTCCAAATATGACCAGCTTGTCACCCTCGTAAAGCGATGCGGTGTGTCCTAATCGAATTACCCCCCCGTGTTAGCCGAAGAACAAACAAGTAGACAGAGGGGGAGTATTGCTAACCCATGCGGACACCGGGAATATCGCCAAAGTTATCTACCAAACCCCATCTCAGGGTGGTGAGATCTAATTTTAAAACGTGGTTGTAGACTAGAATGTAGACAGGGATGTTAGAACAAGGCGTGTGCTTATGCTATGGAGGGATAGACCAATGGGATCAAACGAACCCTCATCCGTCTCCTGATCGAACCCTCCAAAGGCGTAGATCTCGTTATTGCCGCAGTACGTTATGGAAGCGTTTACAAGACATATTGGGACTTGGCCAGTGGCCTTTTCCACTTTAGGGCTGCTACCGTCACTGCTTCCGCGGCGACTCTTAGGCGGGCTAGTAGGCATGAGGTAGGTCGGCGTCGAGGTGCCGTTGGGCAGCAGGGCCGGGGAATGAGGGTTGGAGGGTCTATTCAGGCCTGGAGAATTGTTATTAGACCGGCCGGCAGCGCTGCCGTTCAGCTGAGGGTACGCTGGTGGGCGAGATCCAGCTCCGTCTGCGGGCGTAGCCATAGCAAACGACATGCCAGGTCGACACTACACCGGCAGCATGAGACTTCAGGCGATAGAACCGAGAGAGTATCAGCCTTCACGCTAAGTAAAGATCCGTCTGTCTCGCAAGGATATCAGAAGAAGTCGAAGATGAAGACGAAAGATCGATAAGGATGTGGAGGCAAACGCGATTAAGCACGGCGATAAAAAAAGCTTGGCGGTCCCAGCGGCGGCCGGAAAAACTTTAACCAGCGCCAGTCCCAAAGGGGGAAAGAGGGCTTGGCGTCCTGTTGCTCTGGAAACGGAAAAATGTAAATAAAAGAACTGCGAGATAGCTTCAACTTCTCCTTCTTCTCCTCCTTCATCACTAACCACAGCACTCCCTCCTAAGTCACTCGACGGCTTCGACGACTTCATCTTCTACCTCTGCATCCTTCGTATCTTCTGCATCTCTCTCTCTATCCGTACTTTGCATACATTCCACGCAGAGCTACTTGCATCGAGCTATAGATCAGATCTACTCCTATCACCAGAACAAACCCGAACCCTTCATACCTTCTTTCTCCAGCTGCATAGCTTTAATACCTTTACAAAATGTCTACTGCATCTGTGTGCACTCCCATCAAGAGCCATCATGGCCTCTTCTCCTCCAAGACCGCTGGCGGCCGCATGCCCCTCACTCCATCACCCCGCGCAAGAAACACCAGCTTGTCCGGCAACCTGCCCAAGGATGAGACATCTCCTTTCACTCCTCCTCGTCAGGCCAGTGACGCTCCTCGCTCAAATTCTCAGTCTGTCTACGGCGGTGGCAACCTTGCATCTCACTTCGCCAAGTCGGTGACCAAGACTAGACCCGTCTCTAAGGGTAGCTTCTGTGAATCACCAAAGTCCAACATCGCCCGTGTGAGACGCTCACCTCGTCATCTCGAGCCCGCCGTGTCAGACTGGACTCTCACCGGAACGGGACCAGCTCAGGCTCAGGCCCCAACTCCCACCAAGAAGCGAGCATCGAAGAAGGAGACTACTACCACGAGGACGACCAGATCATCCAAGACCAGCAAGACCACCATTCGTCTTCCACACACTGTTGCAGACAGATTCATCCCCAACAGAAGCACCAGCGAGGGTTTGATCACTGCTGGCAGTGCAAAGTCTGATGACACCACCCAGAGACCCAAGACCAGCAGCGGTGAAGGGTCTGCTGTCCTAGCAAGCGCGGCCAGCGCCTTTGATATCAACGGCCACAGCCGTGACGACGACTTGGCCGAAGCCTTTGGTGGACTTGGCCTTGAAGACAATGGCAGCTCCAGTAGCTACTCACGTCCTGACCCCAACGCTATTGCGTACAAGTCTTCTCTCGCAGATGCCTGTGGTGTCTCCCTGAACACTCGTATCCTTGAGTTCAAGCCTGCTGCCCCTGAATCTTCCAAGCCAATTGACCTCCGCTCCCAATACAACCGTCCTCTCAAGGCTTCCACCGCTCAGACTGCGCAGTTCCGCCGCCGAGTTCAAACTGCCCCAGATCGTGTCCTTGATGCCCCTGGATTGGTTGACGACTACTACCTGAACCTCCTAGACTGGAGCTCTGGTAACCAGGTTGCTATTGGCCTGGAACGCAACGTATACGTCTGGTCTGCAGAATCTGGCGGCGTTAGCAGCCTGCTCGAAACCCCTGCAGACACCTACGTCAGCAGCGTCAAATGGAGTGGTGACGGTGCCTATGTTGGTGTCGGCCTCGGAACTGGCGAAGTCCAGATCTGGGATGTTGAAGAGGGCACCAAGCTCCGAAGTATGTTTGGCCATGAAACCCGCGTTGGTGTTATGGGCTGGAACAAGCACACTCTGTCCACTGGAGCCCGAAGTGGCCTCGTCTTCAACCACGATGTCCGCATCGCTCAACACAAGACTGCCGAGCTCGTCTCCCATACCTCTGAAGTCTGTGGCCTCGAATGGCGATCCGATGGTGCCCAGTTGGCCACTGGTGGAAACGATAACCTCGTCTCTATCTGGGACTCCCGCTCCCTGTCTGCCCCCAAGTTCACCAAGACCAACCACCGCGCTGCCGTCAAGGCTCTCAGCTGGTGCCCATGGCAATTGAACCTCCTCGCTACTGGTGGCGGTTCCTACGATCGTCACATTCACTTCTGGAACACCACCACTGGCGCCCGCACAAACAGCATCGACACCGGCTCCCAGGTCACCAGTCTCAGATGGAGCAACCATTACCGCGAGCTTGTCAGCTCCAGCGGTTTCCCAGACAACTCTTTGAGCATCTGGAGCTACCCATCTCTCGTCCGCAACGTCGAGATTCCCGCCCATGAGACCCGTGTTCTTCACAGCTGCCTCAGCCCAGACGGCCAGATGCTAGCCACCGCCGCTGCCGACGAGAGCTTGAAGTTCTGGAAGATCTTCGAGCGCAAGCCAGGCACCGCTGCCTCCACCTCCAGAGAAGGCGGCCTCACCAGCAAGGGAAGCAAGATGGCAAAGCAAATGACCATTCGATAGACGATAAGTATGTTCTACTAACTAACTAACGGTATTAAATGGCGTCGGTTCAATCTTTACGGGCTATACCCCTATCCGGCGTTTCATTTTTTCCTGGGCCGAGCATTGCATATCGTCGTGTTTCAGCGTTGCATGTTTCTGATTATTGTTATTTGGGGTTTTAATTGGAGTTTTAATGGCGTCTGTGTAATGTCAATTTGAAGTTTTAGTTGAATAGCAAATATTGACTATTATCAATCATCCAACTGCTCTCATAGAACCAATTTGGCGTAGGAGTAAACATGCCTCTGGAATGGAGGATGAGTTGCATCAACATGGCAAGGAGTACCATCGTCGACAGTCTTGATCTTTCAGTTTCTCTATAAGTACTTTTGATATAGAAGGCTATTCAGTATATTTGAGGCCTTATATCAATAGCGATATATCATCGGTTCTCGGAGTATTTAGGGTTCGGCGAAAGTTCGGCAAAAACAGCAAGGATAAATTTCTTTTCTCTGTATAAAATTGATCCATCGACTCAACGGACCGACCGTATCTCAATTGCCCCCAGGTAGCGGGAATCGCGACCAGGACACACTTATACGTTTCAGGTCTACGTCAAGGATGGCTTCTGACGCGCAAAACCCGGCGCCTTCTGGCACCTCAGAGCCCCAGCCTTCCAAAGGTCGGCCACTTGAGGGTGCCGCAGATGAAGTGAACAGCAACCCCGAGGGGCCATCGTCTAAGAGAGTAAAGCTGGATGAAGCGCCTTCAGTCACAGCTGCTCCTAAACCTGAAAATGGCCAGGAACGAAGAAAGGGATTGGCGCCAATAAAAGCAGAGTACATCCATCCCCGCACTTCGTCGCAAGCTGTTCAGTTTCGTATGCATCGCAGTGCTAATTAAATATTGTTTTTTGACTATTAGGTATATTATAACGTTCCCTAAAGAGGACTCTGACGCGCGCGCCAACGATCGTCAAGGGCGTGATGACGACGAAGCTGAAGCTGCCGGCTACAACGACCGCGAAGGTGATGGCAAAAAGGGCAAAAACAAACGCCGTGAAAAGAATAAGGGCAAAAATACGAATCGCCGCTTCCAAAGGTCCCATGATGAAAGAGGTTTATGTGGGACGGTTAATCACAATCCTGAGTTCTCGCCGAAACCGTGTCAGTACGGTGATAACTGCAAATTTGAACACGATCTTCGGAAATACCTGAAGGAGCACAAAAAGGAGGACCTGAAAAACTTTGGAGGAATTTGCCCGGTCTGGGAAGCCTTTGGTGTTTGTTCTGCAGGCTGGAGATGTCGATTTGTCGGCTCGCATATGACTGAGCGGGAGCTTGAGGATGGACGGAAAGAGTTGGTCCTGGTCGAAGATGAAGAGAAGAAAAAGAAAGCTTCCTCAGGCTTGTCTGCCCCGTCATCGATTAATGCCGCTGAATTGGGTGTCGTGAATCTAGTATCGACAGAGAATAAGCAGTTGATGACCCGGAAGAAGTTCCCTACACCAAAGGCGGACAAGTTCAACGACTGGATCAACATAACGTCCAAGGAGCTGGAAGAGCGTTTTCATGGACGGAATTTTGAGGAGGGCGAAGATGGCGAAAAGAAGGAGACTAACGGTAAGGCGGAAGAGAATGGTAATGGGGAGAGTGCAGCGAAGGAAAGCTCAGAAGAAAATAAAGCCCGGTATACGGAGCCGCCTTTCCTCCCATCAGAGAAGAGAAGGCTCTATTTTGGACCAGAAACGCCTGTGCTGGCGCCGTTAACTACTCAGGGGAATTTACCCTTTAGGCGGCTATGCGTTGAACTTGGTGCCCAGTTTACCTATTCTGAAATGGCGATGAGCGTGCCTCTGATACAAGGTACCAAAGGCGAATGGGCATTGATGAAAGCTCATGAGTCCGAGATCTTACCTCCAACGATCTCCCCCAAGCAGCCAGTCGTTCAGGGATATGAACACTCTCGTGATATGAGATTCGGAGCCCAGATCGCAGGCAACAGGCCCTGGCAAGCGTTAAAGGCCACGGAGATTCTTACTGCCCTCTGCCCACATCTTCGTGTTATTGATCTTAACTGCGGCTGTCCCATAGACCTAGTTTACCGTGACGGAGCTGGCTCTGCCCTTCTCGAGCACCCGTCTAAGCTCGAAAAGATTCTTCGCGGCATGAATTCGGTCTCGGGGGAAGTTCCTATCACTGCTAAAATCCGAATGGGCACCAAGGACAACTATCCTACTGCCCTGAAACTAGCAGAACGTCTTGTTATCGGTGGACATGAATCTAACGAACTGGGGCAAGGCCCCGCTGGAATCGGTGCCCTCACCCTACACGGAAGAAGCCGTCAGCAACGGTACAGTCGAGCGGCCGATTGGGGATACATATCTGAATGCTCAGCCTTGGTAAAGCGGCTGAATGAGCAGCGCGATGAAGTCGCGGATACCATACGGGAGCCAGACGAGCGGCTCCAGCCATCAGCTGGGAAAGTGTTCTTCCTCGGCAACGGCGACTGTTATTCCCATGCAGATTACAACGATGCAATCACCAATTCAGGCGTAGACAGCGTGATGGTGGCACGAGGCGCGTTGGTCAAACCCTGGATCTTTGAAGAAATACAAGCTGGCCAATACATGGACAAATCCTCCTCTGAGCGACTTACTTACATCGAACGCTTCGTCAAGCACGGTCTTGAGGCATGGGGATCCGACGAACACGGCGTTGGAACTACGAGACGATTCTTACTGGAGTGGCTCAGCTTCACCTGTCGATATGTTCCGATCGGTATCCTTGAATATCTGCCGCCTAGCATCCAAGACCGGCCGCCCGCTTGGAGAGGCCGGGATGAGCTTGAGACACTGCTCGCGAGTGACCATTATCTTGACTGGATCAAAATATCGTAAGTTACTCTACCCAAGTTTATGCCTGGTGTGAAGCACCCGCGTAATTCAGTCACTTTCAACTAATACCTACGCCCCCTCGATAGTGAAATGTTCCTTGGCCCAGCGGACAAGGACTTCAAATTCACCCCTAAGCACAAGTCGAACAGTTACGACGTCGTGGCGGAGGGCTAAAGTGACGATGGAGCGTTGCTCTTCACCTGTGTACGCCGGGTCCCGTCACTACGTCGTATACCGCCCCTTTTGGCGTGGATGATGAGCCACCAGGCACTGTGACTTGCAGCAGAGTGACTGCATAGAGTAATTAAATAGACCCCGTCACTGTTGTGGCAAGCTAACTTGATAGAAACTGAATCATATTCGTTTGTCACTGCAAACTTTGCCGTCACTGATCCGCTTTCATTGCTTTGTAGATCTTGTCTATATAATCCCTCCCATTTCCCCTGGCCTTTCAAAAATTTCCTCTTCCTTTTATTCCTGACCATAAGCAGTTTCCCCATTTCCCTATACCCCTGGCTAGCCTCCATAGCTTGATTTGGCCTATCGTTGCAGGTGGGTTCCGCAAAGACATTGGGTTGATATATCTACCTGCTAGACGACTTCGAACGTCTCGAAACATTTATCGAGTAACCCAAGCCACCAGAATTCAACCTTGCGTTGGATGTTGACTACGAAACCATTGTTCACAAATGGGGTCGTGAGAGCGCTCATGGTCGCGTTCAGCGTCGAAGTCTCTCTCGGCTTCACAGTGAGCTACGCCCTTTATCCACCTTATCCATCAAGATAGAATACTGACATGATCTACAGCTTCGAAACATGAACATATTGCGCATACCCTCCACACAAGCAACATCGCCATTGCTATGGCCTTGGGTCTTATCATATCTCGACATGAGCATGCACTACACAAATTCCTATCAGTGGACCCTCGTCAGCCAAATATTGGAAAGGTAACTTTCAAACCATGGCAAGTGATTGGGGTTGCCTGGATGCTGTACTAAGAGATGTCACGGCTAAGATCCGGCATCCTTAATGATGATTGCGGATTTGGTAAGATACTGCAGGCCCTGAGTATGGTATACATGTCTGCAGTCTGGCGACCGCTCGACTACCGTCCCACAGCAATGATCGGTAACGCGACATACCTTGACGTATGGACCACGCATTTATTTCGACCGCGATCGTCGGCAACGCCGCCTTTCTCGAGGTCACAGACTGCGAGCGCTAGGGTAATAGATCCTGGACAATAGGCCGCTATTTTCAAGACGTTACTGATGGTATGGACATCAGCGCTGGCGGTAGAAAAGCTGCGATGACAAGTTTTCTGAACGAAAAGATCATATTCTTAACGATGCTGGTGTGATCATCCTTACGCTTTCCAACGCCGGCGAGTATTGGAAATGGCGCTGTACATCACCAAGACCAGCCCCAAGCTATGCTACCTTGTGAAAACTATCCTGGCAAAGAACAAAGCCGGCAATCGTGTGCTGGCGTTTTTCCGATCACCAAGGACGCTATGGTTAGCAACAGCATTCCTCAACTTGCTCGAGTTCAAGGTAGCCACTATAAACGCGGGCCAGGATTTCGATAAGCGTGAAGAGATTGCGGCTCACTCCCGCGAGTACAAGAACCTCAATTACCTTACCGGCTATTACTCCAACCACTACTGCGGTTTCTCCGCAGGTAGCAAGTCAGCGAACCTCAACCAGGCACAGGCTGCCAGGCTGTTAACCCAGCTTATTATATGGCTAGCGGTCTGACATACTCGCGGCTAGCGGCAGAGAAACTCATATACGCCCATATATAGAAAAGGGGCGGCCTCAAAGTCGTCGGCCGGGTTTCCCGGCGGTCCAACAATGCGTTCTCCTTGGAAGAAGGCGTGAAATACATACCAGAGCAGCAGTCCTGCTAGCTATGGTTTTATTTGCTTCAAACTCCTTAAAGCAGAAAGCCAACGAGGACCACCCCGAGGTCTCTGGTTTAACGCAAAGCCCCGACTCTCAACCATAACTCACCATCAGCAATAATAAGTATAAACACAATATCAATGACCTCGTCGCGGGGGGAAGTGCACTTATAGTAGAAGTGCAGCTGTTGAAATTCCCCAAGATAAACGCAAGGTGTGGAGAAGAATGAGAAGGATGAAGGAGCGTGGCAACGCGGTGGGATAAGGGGCTTACGGATTGAGTGGCATCACAAGCCATCTGAGCCCAAGCCAGGAGACTCCATGGGCTGTTGACGAGTGTATTGCGAATTCCCGAGTCGAGAGCACAAGACAAACAATCCGTCATGGGGCCCATATGTGTGCGCTCCCGCCGTTTGTGAACGATACAACTAGCCATCATGCAACATTCTTTCCAAAGCAAAAAAGGGAATTCAACGCATGCTACCAAAGGGAACTATTTGTGGTTTCAAGAGGCGTTTTAGCATATTATGCCTACTCCCAGTTCCAGAGAGGCTCTCGGATGCATCATATTCCACAACAAACGAGACTATAAGTCTTCTCGAGACGTTATTCCATATAGCTCCCAGCTATGCTGCATACTTATTTATGCAACAGATCTGTTACCCCTCAGTTCGAATAAAGGACTGGGGGTAATCAATCCAGGGGACAGATCTCAACTCAAGTTGATAGAGGCTACTAAGGTCCGGCATGTCAGCAGCCAAAAGGAACGCGGCCGCTGATCTTTGATAATGTCAATGATCTGTGTGGGGTAGATGGCCTTTTTGTCAATATCTATCAGTTGCGCCAAATTGGACAAAATGTTGCTTCGATGAATGAGGTCGTCTATTTCACTCGTCTGGTTCATATGTAAATACCCAGCGAGAAGTGGTGAATTGGCTTTGGGGCCGTCTTTGCGGGTCGCTTTAACGACTCGCGGCAGCGTTGCGATTGTCTCATAACAACATACGCGTGCGGAGCAAAAGGAGAAATAAGAAGTAAGAATCTCTTATAACCCGCACTCATTTAACCGTTGGTTTGAAGGCAACTGTGGGGACAGCAACAATTCATAAGGGGATGTGGAAACTACGCATCTTGTTCCGAAGAATTTCGACGAGAGTCGATCATCCGGGATATCCTGCGCTTCCATAAGGACGGAGTAAATCTATGATTATTCTTTTACTCAAGGATTATGGTCGATGCAGCCCCAAACAAACCGCTTCATCGGCACTTTCTTCCTAGCATCAGATATACGATGGCAAGGAAAGCATACTTAGCTTTGAGGATCACCGACCATTGCTCGCTCGTTCCGACTTTCAGGAGAAATTATGGAGAAGGTCATTTGCAAGCTCGAAAACGGAACGACACATATCGACCAATTCGACAGATCTCTGGTGAAGACTGAACTCCCCCCATCATATTCAGTTGAATCAGGTGTTGAGAGTAATGATATCCATGTTAATTATCCCAATAGGTATGCGGATAACGTCATCCTGCTCTAGCAATAGTATTACTATTAGAGTTGATATCCCTTGCACGTCCACTATATTGGCAGCATGTCTTGGATCGAACCAAGGTCCTACATGTTCTAAGATACCCATATCAACGACCAGTGTTAGGAGGCGACGTTGTGTCTAGTCACTGTTCTACGGCCCTTGGAAGTCGTCAAACCGCGTTACAGATATAGGTGCGATACTCTATACTCTTGAGCAAGTCTCCTTTACTCATCTGTTCCGTACGGGACCTTCTCTGGTCACCCCAAATACACCCTTTCATTAAAATCGTCGACTTTGCTTGACTAGTTTTCGTCATGTATATCAATACAGGCGTTTACGCTCACGAAATTAATCAACCATGCTGGGGATCAACAGAACTGGGGGACAAAAAGGAGAAGAGTAACAGGGCGATCTTTGGTATACTGCTGTTTCGGATTATGCCTCCTTTGAGTCCCGTTAAGCTTCGATACAAGACCATTCAGAGTGTGCCAAAAATTCGGGACCTTGGACATTACTCCTCGCAGTGCCCATCCTAAGAAAAGGCCGCGGTGTATAGACCGTTGCTCGCATCCTGATTTGAATATCGGTGCACCAACTCAGTGGGAATCAGAACCGCCAAATTTTCATCTTGCGCATTTCTAAGCTGTAGTTGGAAATGCGCCATGGTTATCCAGTGTTGGACCACAAGGGACAAAAAGGCCTAGTGTCCAATGGGTACCATTGGCTATATAGGAACAAGTCGTACCCAAACACAGAGAATCTGACATTCGGCATTGAAGAATTTGGTTGTTAAGGAAGGCCGAACAACAATTACGCCGGCAAGATCAACAGGATGAGAGCAGTTATACACTGAGATAACTCTGGGAATGTTTCCGAAGAAATCGAGGTCATACTTAGCACCTCGGGAGGTCCAGCAATCAATCCTTCTACAATATCTGCAAATGCAACGTACACACGGTATTATCGAGTAAAACTTGCCGAGTTCTTGCTAGAGACTACTTTACAAGCCTCAGGCCCTTATCGGGCTCACCGAGGACTTTTCATTCTGATACCCTAGACCCTACCAATACGATTCTGTGCTACTGGCAGAAGAACTGTGAATCGTGGTTAAAGACCAAGAAGCAAAAGCCAGTGCCACCACATGCGGTGGCATATATCGACGAGAGGACACCATCCATGGGGAGAAACCAACTCTGAATATGACATATATGACACGCTTGAGCCACACGGCCTACTGTCAAAAACTTGATGTATATATCTTATAAACATACACGCCCTTGATAATTATTAACCTGCATCATTCCTCTCTGCCAATGGAGTACCTATTATAGGCTTAGCTCTAATGCCAATCAATCCGCTTCTTCCATTTACTATAGTAGCACTATCAGTCCCCAACTAAGATCTTGTGATTTTGTTGTAAGTCGATAGAACGTTAGCTGAGACCGTATTAAGTATTTAATGTAGTTGTTCATGCTATTTGAGGGCTGTTTATGATACTAAGAATATCAGTCTTTGATGTCAATTTTTAGCACCCCTATCCAGAAGCATTTCCGTTACAGGTTTGGGGCCTTTTCCCGACTCAGCCTAAGATAGTGGTGTCCGGCCGTCGTTATCTTTGGAGTTCACATTTGCGCCTCTGTCAATTAGGCGCTTCACGACGGATAAGCCATAGTTAAATGCCCCCTCGTTGTCACATAACATCCTAGGAGGGCGAGAATCGTTCTTCAAGTCTAACTTCTTACCATAGTCGAACATGGCTTTAAGGATCTTCTCTTTGTCATAGCTCATAATGATTCTGAGCAAACTGACCCGCCTGCCAGCACGATCAACGTTTAGGTCAACGCCTTCATCAAGCATCAGTTTCATGGCGTCATAGAAGGCTGTTGCACCGGCATAGGACAGCGGGCAATGGCCAGCATTTTCCTTCGTTTCTGGTCTGGAGCCTTGACCGAGCAACAAGCCTATCGAATCTAAGAAATTGCCCTCAGCTGCGTGAGATAATGCCGTACGGCCAGCGGCATCCCTAGAATCCACCTCCGCCCCCTGGTCGAGAAGTGTTTCTACCACTTTTGCCTTGCTAACTCGAAGAGATAGTGCAATAAATTCATATAGAGACACGACACATTGGGGTTCTGCGCCCTGGCCAAGAAGTATTTCCACAAGCCCATAATGGCTGGCGCGCGCTGCAAGAAGCAATGGGGACTTATTGAACTCATCCTTTAGGTTAATGTTAGCACCTGCGTCGATAAGTATCTGGACCACTGTACTATATCCGTGGCTTGCAGCATGGGCTAAAGGTGTCCATCCATATTTATTTTCAGGATCTACTTCTGCACCTCGTGCAAGAAGCAGTTTCACCATGGTATCGTGTCCTGCGGCCGCGGCATGGGATAGTGGACTTAACCCATCATCATCCTGCAAGTTTATTCCTGCTTCCTGTGCACCCAGGATTCTGGTGGCCGCACGCATTCCCATGGAAACAGCAGAGGAAAACGGGGCCTTTTTGAAACTTAAGCTTGACCCTAATGCCAAACGATCCAGGAGCAAGGCCATCACGTCAACATTTCCAATCGAGGCTACGTCAGACAACAGGTGTCCGCATTCGGCCTGTGTCGGTCTTTTGGGCTTATCGTCGTCGATGAAAGGCACGAAAAAAAAGTCATCGTCAAGGAAAGGCAGGTACGAATGCATTAGTTTGCGATATGGATTCGGGCCCCGGCCATCTATACGAGCACCGTGGTCCAGCAGTAATTCTACCATCTTTGTATGCCCTTTTAAGGCGGCATACATCAATGGAGCTCGACCGCATTCATCCCAAGCGTCAACGATGGCGCCATCAGCCAGCAGTGATTTTGCGGACGCTTCGTTGCCCTCCCTGGCTGCCCAAACGAGCGGTGTTCGGCCAAGCCAATCTTTGCTGTTAACAAAGTCTGCTTTGGAGTCTCCAGGTGGCAGTAGTTCCATTGGTGATATGTTGATCCCAAAATGGGCAACCAAATGTAAGCCTGTTGCTTGCGGTGGAGTCAGGCGTTTATGGCGATAAGGCTCAGGGATAGAGTCCAATCTTATAGCCTGGATACAGCTAGAAACCGCACCGCCGGACTTCAGCAATGTAAAGACCTTTTCCCTTTGCAGATCAGGAGCCTCTGACACATGATAGCCCCAATTATCAGCTGCATAAATCAAAAAGGGGTAGGCTTGTATTCGTTTGTAATACTCTGTGTAGCTCTTACAACCCCCTTCGAAGAAATGGTCCATTGAAAGATAGGCAACACAGGTCGCTGCAATATCTTGTTTCGCGGTAGGAACCCATTTTTCTAGATTACGCCGAAGATATTCTTGCGTTGTGTAATGAACCAGCCGGATGACGTTGCGGGCTTCATCAACGGTAACAAGGCCAGCGCAGGCCGATATCAGGGCTTCAATTGGAGCAATATTCGTTTCATCCAATTCACCAGCTTGTTCTTCCACCGCAAGAGCATGTTGTAGTTCCAACGTTTTCAAGGGGCGCTTTGCACAAGTGACCCATGATAGCACCCTCAGAGCGAGACTTCGTGAGTTTTTAGGCTGGTTATCAATCCGCTGCATGGCTGTAGCGTATGAATCATCATAGGCATCCGATCCAGACGGCAAATTTTCGAGGATCTTTCGGATAGCTTTGGGAGACTCTACTCCCACTAGAGAGTCCATGTGCAGCCTCGCGAGGAGAAACCTAATCCCCAATTTAGTGACTTGTTTGATCGGCTTTCTTTCTATATTGCAGTTGTGCAAAATGAAAGGAACTTACATTCCATCGATTGCTTTTGTAATATGGTCTTCAATTTCCCCTTGCAGGCCGCCGTCCTGGGACAGAACTGATGGTGAAATCTGGAACATATGTCCTCGTATGTAGCTCCTGATATCGTCTTCCGCCGCTCGCACCTCCATTGACGTACATGTAGTTTTCATGCTATCAAATCGTGCTCTGTATTCTGGAATATCACGGGACGTCACCAAGATGTTTGCCCCAGCGGCAGATTGTAGTTGTAAAAGGGCTGTTAGAAAGGCATTTCCGCTGCCGTCCGAGGTGCGGCATTCATCAAGAGCATCAATAACAATAAATGTTCTAGGAAATGACTTTATCAGCGAGTGTAGCTCTTCCGAGATCCTTTGGAGCGAAGGCCGTGAGCCACGAGCCAGATGATCGTGACATTCCTGTTTCAAGCTAGGGGGAATTGAACCGCGTTTTTGAATGAGCTGCTTCAGTATACAGCTGAGTAAATCCAATGGTTGCTGTTGTTGCTGCTGCTGATAATTGATATAGATGTATGCAATACCAAAGTCGTCTTCTTGCCAGAAATTATCTTGCAAATATTCAATTAGTATGGAACTAAGCATTGTCTTGCCAGCCCCGGGCATTCCATAGCAGAAAAGAGCTCGCTGCTTCTGGTTGAGCCAGGTAAGAAATTCTGTGGAATCCAAAAGCCATTGACCAGATTTGCCCTGTCTTCGACTGATAGCATCGTTCTGCTGAGAGATATAATCAACTGGACAAAGCCACTCGAGCATTGATTTGAGCTCTTCAGTGATATCTTTGCCAGCTTGTCGTCGACTGGCTCTTTCAACGCCATTCTTAAGCTCTGAGACTTGTTGGCTATATTCTGTCAGCGTAACGATCTCGTACATAGCACATGGGCCATAAGGGGCAGATATATATATCTTTACTTTGTCAGCTGTCCATAGAAAGCGTTTAGCATAGTCAGGTTGGAAACGAAGCGATCACGAAGCTCAGTTATATCGGTTGGCTCCCATTTTACCCTCTTCCAACCCCTGACGACTTTCACTTTGAAATTGTATAATGTAGACTTGGTAGGGTCTATAGGACCCAGCTCCTGGTATTTGTCCAAGATCTCGTCCAGTTCGCTGAGATTTTGCCCTACATTTTCCAGGATACTCTCCAAGAGTCGACGTTGCCCGGCGTTGAGGTTCCGAGGCAAGGCATCTCGTACTTGCTCGAGGAGCCTCGTCAAGCTTTGCACGCTGGAGAGAGGGTTTCAAATATCAGTTCTGTGTGAACAAACCGCGAATCATGCATGGGAGAGTGAGGGATGGAGGGACCGAACCCAGCAAATATGGCTTTAAACTGTGCTGGTGCATTTACAAACCGAGAGCGAATAAGTATCGCGAGCTCGATTGCCTTCACGATATCGCCAGCACCCCAGCCAAAACTCATCTTGACTTGATAGAAGGGAAATTCCGATATCCAGGTTCTGGGGTTTGAGTGAGAATCATCAACATATTACAAGGCTGAGGTCCTAGATATGTAGGAGTTGGGGCCGTCTATCAGCGCTACGAGGGTTCGGTTCATTGGCCAGTATATATACGCTATACGGGGATGGGCGCGTATGTTGGGCCGCATAACAAGCTTGCAATCCTTCAAGTGTCCACAGGGCTCAAGTATGAGTGGTCATAGCAGAGAGGGTCATATCAGTAATGTTAAATGCTAATAAAATACTAGTTTCCATAGTAAATATAGATCTCCTGTTCCCGCTGGCCCAGCACGCACGTAGAAGGTAATTCTACTATCCACCTCAAAAAGGGGCCGGTGGTGCCCATTTAGTCTTCCCACTTCTGGCTCCCCTTGTCAAAGCCGATGACCTTCAGGTCGACATTCAAGCCCTTCAGCATCATGTCCATTGTGAAGCTCTGGAAACGAGTAAATTAGCCAGTAACTCTCCATAAATTGCACAGCATATCATAGAATGGTCTGTTAATACCTCTTCATCACCTTCGCTCTCCTCTTGATCTCCATCTCCGGCCCCCTCTTTCTCCTGAATGCACAACATCTCCTCCATTTCGGCTTTTCTCCTCTCCTTTTCTCTCTCAACCTCACTGCCCGCCTCCGCATCCTCGTCTTCATCCTGCTTATCGTCCCACCCAACCCATTCCTGCTGCCTCATCTTCCCCTTCTTCATCTTCTCGTTGTAGACCCTCACCCCACCCATCCTGTTCACCTTATCCTTTGCACTAACGAATAGATCCTCAGCTGCTTCCCTGCTTACCCCTCGCCATTTGCGTATAAGAATCTCCAACTCGGCGGCTTTGTGCTGCTCTAGGATTTTGGTCGCCTGGTTGAGTGTGTCTAATTCCGCGCGTTGGCGGGATAGCTGGGATTGCAAGCTATGTTGTTCCTTTTGGAGGGAAGCGAGATGGGTTCGAGTGTTGACGGTTGGTGTGGTAGACAGAGCTTCAGTAGTAGGGGTATTATTTGGTGGTGGTGTTGATGGCGTAGCACATGGATCACTAGATGAGCGAGACGGCGAATATTGGGCAAGGTCAACAGTATGTGCTCTTTCGTCAGACGTGTTTGTGGATGTAGACTGCGTAGAAGCCGAAGACTCCGTATCCAGATCCTTGCGAAGGGGCGACTTGAATGGCCTCGCAAGGATGGAGGACGCTTCGTCGAACTTGCGTTTCTTGATCGAGGTCGTGCCTGATACCATTTTACCTCCTTGCGCAGACAAACGATGTTCCTGGTTGCTGTTTAGAAGACAGATCGCGTTCTTGTATGATATGAATGGTTGCGAGGATGAGAGAATCTTGCGACGACGTTCTTTTTACCGCTTTCGGCCACCCGCTGCCAAAACTGAGTAGTAAGCAGCTCAATACTGGAACGTCCCATATAAGAGAAAAGGATATACCATGGGAGAAGGATATAAGAGAGTTATAGTCATAGAAACAGTGGAATTCTCCTGATGATGCATGCTAAAAATAACAAAGAGTAAACGGGTATATATGTAAATAAGTGATACAGCGATCTATCGTCCGACTCCTCCGGCAACCCACGCTGCAAAATTGGGGTCATTTGGGGGTGGGAAATAGCCCCTATCTTCGCCTGCATTACCAGCACCATTGGCTCCTTGGTTTTGTTGCTGGTTGTCGTCGTTCTGGCCTTGAGGTTGATTAATGGCGTTATTAGCATCTTGCGCTGCTCGACGTGCTGCTCGCTGTTGTCGGAAATGTAGCAGAAGCACCAGCGTGGCGACGAGGCCAATTATTATGAGACTTTCTAGGATGCCGTCGTCAAAATCGAGGGCTTCCTCGTCATAGTAATTTAGGTCTTGGTCCTGAGCGTGCGCGTTGGCTGTTTCGTCGAGGATAGCATCAGGATCAGTAGCCCCCTGTTGGCGGAGCCCGTTCTGGTATGCTTCTTCCTCTTCACTATAGTTGATAAAGTGGGCAATCCATTCCTTGAAAGTCCGCGGAGTGTTTGTATCTATTGCTGGTTAGCTGAGGTCAAAGTTATGCGGGCATAGGGGTAAAATCTTACCAGGTTCAGCGTTGATCGTATTAGCCTTCCCTCGTACCAGCTTATTCCAAAAATTCCTAATACGCAGGCGAAGCAGGCTAAGTGTGACGGGGAAGTACGCCTCCCGATTCGTTTCCAAGGCAAGATCGTAGTACCGTTTGGCCATTGGGAAGTCCTGCTCAACGTGCAGGCCATTCTCATACATCCAACCGAGATTCCAGAATGCTTGAGCACTATGGCCCTCAGCAGCGGAGTGATAGCAGGTCAATGCCCTTGATATATCTTGTTTTGTACCATAGCCTTCAAAATAGTAATCTCCTAGTTTAACCATGGAATCGACATTGGCTTGTTTAGCCGAGCGGGCCCAGTAGATGAAGCCCAGAGCTGCATTGCGGAGAAGTGATGAGCGGCCACCCCTTATCCACGGCAGGATCGGGTCGAGGGATAACACTGATCGTTTCTCGTCAAGAAGGTATGCTACGTTTGCCTGCGCACTCTCATAACCTTGTTCGGCTGCCATGGTCGCGATGATAAGTGCTAATTCCTTATCCCCAAGCTCGTATGCATCGTTTGCTTCGCCAAAGGCAGAGTGAATAGCCTCTATTTTCTCAGAAACCATCTTGTAGTATGCCGTAGCCACGCCGCAATGACGCTGCCCACCGAGGCCCCGATCTGCAATCCCTGCGAGGTAATAGAGCGCTTCCATTCCACCGTGCCGAGCAGCTGCTTCAAAGTATATCGTGGCCGTGACGACATCTCCTTGATCGAGGAATAACGCACCCAGCCTAGTTTTGGAGTGGTAATTATCCTGTTCAGCTGCGGCCTTGAAGTACGAGGCGGCCATCATTACATCTTGCTCAACACCGTAGCCATGCAAGTACATAAGGCCCAGATAATGTTGACACATTGAATCACCGTTTGATCTTCCTCGTGTAAACCAGATTTTGGCTTTCTGGAAGTTCTGCTCCGTGCCTTCGCCGCGAAGGAACATGAGGCCAATATGGCCAGCAGATTGAGCAGCAATCTTGTCAATACCCGGTGGGTGGTTGGGATTAACCGTCCCGTCCTTGGTCCAATACTTTCTCGCAACTACCACAAAGTACATCATGGCTTTCCTATAGCTTCTTTCCAGCTGTCGCGATCCTTCATAGAACATTTTCCCCAGGCTGAACGTGGCTTTGGTGTCGCCCTTTTTAGCCAGGAGATCCAGGTATTCCAATACATCATCCAGACTCGCATCAGCGCTAGAATGGACGTCTCTAAGCGCATTAACGCCGGCGCTGGACACGCTGGCCCCCTCGCCGTACACGCCACCTTCCTCATCAGCCCATCGGAAGGCTTCCGAGCGCATGGTTATACCGCCAGGGGGACCAGATCTATACCATGAGATTGCCTTATCGGCCACTTTCTTATACCAGTATACGGCCTGGTCACAGTCCTGTGTGGCTCCAATTCCTATATACCGGCGGTACGCCAGCGTCATCTGTGACCTCGTATTGCCTCCCATGGCGGCAAAGGTATGATATAACATTGCTTTGCCCTGATCCCGCTCCACGACCCCACCGATTCCAGTGGCATACATGAACCCAAGCATATACTGAGCGGTGCTGTTTCCAGTCAAGGTTGCTAGCGAGTCATAGTACCGGAATGCCTTTGAAAAGTTCCGTGGGTGTGTAAAGTTCCCGTAAAAGTTCATCTCCGCGAGGAGAAATGTAGCATCGGAGTTGTTCTTGTTAGCAGCTCCTTCCAGCAACCTGACGGCTTCCGCCAACCTCCCATTTTTCTTAAACGACCGACCCGAGGATGACTGATCTGTAGTTGATGCATTCATAAATAATAGGTAAAATAATTCGCGGCCATAGTAACTGGCATGACCGATGACTCCTGATGGCCGCTCATATTTCTTGGTAGGGACTTTTATTCTATGGAGAGTCCTCAAGGCCGTTTCAACAGCTGGTTGATCTGCAAGGGTTATCTCAGCTAAAGCTCTCAATTTTCGCAAGCTCCTCAATAACAAGGGTTCCAATTACCAGCAGAGTGTTCACGGCTATTGCTACTTCTCAGTTTGAGTTCCGGGCTCTCGACATCAAGTGTGCCCGCCTTTCCAGTCGGTAGATCTGTAGGGTTCGATTCTCGGTTTGTAAGGTCATCTCGTACGTTCCGAGCTCCCGCAGTTATAAACTGTAGACACAGTACTGAATAAACGGACAGAGGTCAGCGAATGGTTGCAATCTCAAGCTGATATACGGTGGGGGGGAGCATGTCACAGACCTAACGCGAGAGCTAGGAAACGCCATCTCCAAGGCAGAATCATCGTGTCTGAAGAAAACCAGGTCAAGGGGTTAGAAGCATCGCGATTGTATCTCCGCAACCGCTGCACTAACAGGTGTGGCCGTAGCTAGATGCAATGGGCGGGTTGACTCTTGAACATCTTGAACATCTTGATATGAAGTGGCCAGATAGCGCAAACAAGCCCCTCTATAACGAAACACGCTAGTCACTTAAAGTGATGACTCATCAGTTTCTTTGCCTCGGACATGCTGACTAACATGTCAAACTTTACACTATATCCAACTCACGTGCTCACCTTTTTCCGGCCGCGACGGAGCATCAAAACCTCCGTCCTGGTGGATATATTAAGACTCTCGGTTTATCAGCATGGAACAGATGAGAATGATGCGAAGTCGCACCACCATCACAGCGTGTAAAGCGGGCAGCAGAGTTTGACGAACTACTCCGCATACACACAGGCCTCTCGATGGGGTTAATGGACCCCGAAGGATCCCCCGAGCTGGGAACAAGGCCTACCTAGGCACTCATCAGAGCCAGGATGACGTACTGTATATGGCTCAGCTCAGCTTGACTACTCGCATGGCCCACCTCTACTTACCACCATTGCTTGCCTCGATGCTCGCCATACCGGACTTAAGACAGTTATCGGTCCTTCAGCTTTGTTCAACGGTCGAAAAGCGCACCAGCGGTGCGGTGATCAACCTCTAGTAACATGGAATTTTATACATCCGGCAGTGTTGCTTAAGTTGTCGCAGGGAACACCCCACCAGGAAACCCCACGTATATATAGCTCCTACTCGTATCGAGAGGGTCGATCACATATTTATATAAGGGCTGGTGTCCTCAACAACTGATACTTAATCCTTTGAGTGGTTGAATTGCAGTCTATACAAATTTATACATCTACTTACTATCTTCGACCATGGCGACCCAACTCGATTTCACCACCTTTCACAATGTCATCAATGGAAAACTGACCTCTACGAAGGAAACTCGCCATAACATTAACCCTGCAACTGGCGAGGCAAATGCGGAGGTCTCAGTATCGACCGCCGAGGATGTAGATGCCGCTGTTGCTGCAGCTCAAGAGGCCTTCAAATCTTGGTCCAAGACATCGCATGACGAGCGTGAGAAGGCTCTTCTTGCCTATGCGGACGCCATCGAGGCGCATGCAGGGCAATTCCAGGACCTCTTGGTGCTCGAACAAGGAAAACCAGTGCGTATAACACCTGATGGCGTCACAATGTGACACCGCTATGGTATAAATAGAGCTAAAAATTGATAAAATAGAAACAACTTGCAAGCTTTGAAGTTGTCACGGCCGTTTCGTCAATCCGTGCCAATGCTAAACTTGAACTGAAACCAGTTGTTCTTGAGGACACCCCGGAGAAGAAGGCTATCCAGCGCTTCACACCTCTCGGTGTTGCTGTCGGAATTGTTCCCTGGAACTTCCCCCTGATGATCGCTGCCCTCAAAATAGGCCCTGCAGTTATTACTGGAAACACGATCATTATCAAACCTTCTCCATTCACCCCATATACCGATATCAAGGTTGTCGAGCTTGCACAGCAGTTCTTCCCACCAGGCGTTATTCAGATCCTCAGCGGCGATGACTCGTTGGGCCCAATGCTGACTGAGCACCCAGGACCAGCCAAAATCAGCTTTACTGGCTCGTCGTTTACTGGGAAGAAGGTCATGGCGAGTGCCAGCAAGACATTGAAGAGAGTTACTCTGGAGCTGTATGTTGACCAAACCCTTTAATAGCGTAAGATGGGGAACTAACGTGAGATAGTGGCGGAAATGACCCTGCCATCATTTGCGAGGATGTTGACATTGAGCAAGTTGTCCCAAAAGTGAGTTTGATACTCATGACCTCAGGCTGCTACATATAGCTAACAGTGGTAGATCGCATTTGCTGCCTTCATCAACTCCGGTCAAGTCTGTGTGGCCATCAAACGTATCTTCGTCCATGAATCGATCCACGAGAAATTCCGTGACGCTCTTGTCCGTGCCGTCAAGGACTTTAAATTAGGAGATGGAAACGAAGAAGGTGTCACTCATGGCCCCATCCAGAACTCTATGCAATTCGAGAAGGTTAAGGACCTATTCGCCGAAATCGAAAAGGAGAAATGGTCCGTTGCCACCGGCGGACGAACGGATCTCGGTCGACCAGGCTACTTTATTGAGCCGACAATTATCGATAGGCCACCTATCGATTCACGGATTGTTACAGAGGAACCATTTGGTTAGTTTAACCCTGATTTATGCATTCGCTATTCAGCCGGACTAACAACCATCCACAGGCCCTATCGTCCCCATCGTAACATGGAATGACGAAGCATCCGTCATCAAGGAAGCAAACAATACCAAGATGGGCTTGGGTGCCTCTGTCTGGACCAAGGATTTGGACAGAGCCCAGCGTATTGCTGAACAGCTTGAAGCTGGTTGCGTGTGGATCAACAATCATCTTGAACCAAGCGTCAATTCGTCATTTGGAGGACATAAGGAGAGTGGTATTGGTTATGAGGGAGGATTGGGCGGCTTGATGGGTTATTGCAATGCGCAATCTATCCATATTAAGAAACAATGAGGTAGCCATTCAAGTGGAAATTAAATTGATCTCAGATATATCTCCTTCCCTTGCAGCCTTCAACAATACTGCTCTAAATCAAATTATGGGTTCAAACTACGCTACGGCAAAATAGCGTCATATCTCATAGTAAAGAAGACAATGTCAGGATTAAACATCAAACTAATAAATAACAGAGGTATGTATGGTATTAAACATCAACGCTCAGAAAAAAAGAACTGCTTCAATTTACAATCAGACAAACAACCATCAACAAACTGGAACGTAAAAGCGATCTGTAGCTAAGCCTAAGATGATCACAATCAGATGCCCATAGGCATACTATCTCCATTCCCCTGAGCAAGTAACGCTTTACCTGCCCCCTTCTTCGTTGAGAGAATGCCAAATCTCAACACAACCTCAGACATAGTAACGACGATAGAGATGAAGATGAGAATGATAATAATCCATGTCTGGCTAGACATTTTATTATCGGCGATAGAATCGGACAGGATCTCGATCAGGTCGAGGAATACACGACATCTTTCATTGAGGACTTGGATGCGTGGTTTTATTTCTAGGTATTCGCGCACAGCGATATACAGGGGGTGGAGAGTCGGCTCGCTGTCCCAGAAGAAATTGGGGACATCAAGCATGTTGGAAGCTAGGAATGGTTGTTAGTATATAGGTGTCTGGCACTGATGTATGAAGTGGCATGCTTACAGAGGTTGACTTCGACTCGAGACTTGAAGAGTCGGCCCATGATACGGAAGACTTCTTCCCGCCCCATACCCAGATGGCCCGTCAATGCCAGTCGTCTCGGCACATCTTTCGCATCTGCCATCTGTCGCGCCATCCCTTCCTCGAAGAAACTCAGCTTCGTGCTTTGTGCTATACCATGGCTAATGGCAAGTTTGATCATATGGTCTCCCGACCTTAGCGTGATCATATCATTGTAAACACGCGGCCTGGATATGGAAGAGGAATACTCAAAGTGGAACTCTTCTGTCTCGAAATCTTCTTCAGCCAGGGGGTTTAGGGGTAGATCATTGGGTGAAGGAGAGAAGGAGAGATCTGCCAGGATTTCTTTTTCCTGGCGCTCGGTGAAATTCCAAAAGACCACGACGCCGTAGCTGAAGATGAACATTTCGGCAAAAGAGAGGGCGTTAGGGGGTATCGAGGGTTTGGATTTACGAGCTGCTGTTGGAGAGGAGGGTTGATGGATTTCGCCATTTGGTACAGATGATCGTTCGTGGTCGTCGTGATGTTCAACGTGGAATGAGTGGCCGCGGACTGGATCTCTATCTCTTTCCTCTTCATGTCGTTCCTCCCTATGCTCGACCTCGACTTCGTGCTCATGTTCATGCTCATGATCGTGATCCCGCTCATGGCCATCGTGATGTTCATGTTCACGCTCCTGCTCGCGTCGACGTTCTCGCCTCTCCTGATCTGCCGGGTCTCTAACAGAATGCTCCTCCTCCTCCGTAAAATACTCATCATGATAATCCCTCCTCTCATTCCTTGCAATCTCTTCATCCAGCACAACCTTACCCTCAGCACTGCGGAAGATCGGGCTACTTCGTACTCTGTATCCGTCCCTACCCGGCAACAATGGCAAATGATACGCAGCGTACAAGCAGTCGTCGTATAACTTTGTGCGTGCATCGTGAAGTTCCTTGACAAAAGTCGCGGTAGCACTCATCTTATATGCCTGTGCAGTGCAATATGCCGTTACACGAGGTAACTTCTTCGCTCTTCGAGCCTTGGGTAGGCGTTCGGCGTAACTTTTGCTCTTCTCAGGACTCGCTGCGAAACGACGTTTGCGGATCGTCTCTTCATCGTCAAGAAGAGGTGCAGCCATATTATCATGGGCAAAGTCCGGCTGTTTTGCGCGTGCGGCAGACAGACGTCGTAGGTGGTCATATCTCTCATTTATTTTGAAAGGTGTAGATTCATCATCTGCCACTTCGTCCTCCTCCTCTTCATCGGGTTCCATTTCATCTTCATCCTCTTCTTCGACTTCCTCTACAGTTTCAGGAAGAAGGACTAGCTTCTCGCTAACCTTTGATGAACGGGGTGGTATCTGTGGCAGAGACGCCAATCGGCCACCACCCGTCCTATGTCTGATATCCATACCGGAACCAAGGGAGCTGCTCGCACCGCCTAGACTGGTCCGGAGAGAGGATCTACTATCTGAACCAGACCGCGAGCGTAGAGACGAACTAATTCCAACTGGCTGGCTCCGCTGTCCTAGCTGACCACGCTGCTGCATAGAGGGCACATCGGACGCGTACTGTAGGACGTTATCAACGGTGATAAGGCGGGCACCGGAGGAGGGCGGTCCTCCGATAGAAACTAGATCGTTTGCACCACTACCGACGCCGCGAGATGGACGTGAGGGCGGGAAATATCGTGTTTGGCGGTCTCGAGAGTCGGTTACCTGGTGCTTGTGTTAGCTGTCGATCGGAGAGATAGAACATGTTCTAGCCTACCAAGACGGTGGGGTTGCGCTTGCTCGTCCCTGGGCCTTTGGGCGCCATCATCAGACAGTCAGTGGTCAATTGGACATGTGCGAGCCCTGCAGACTATCTGGCAAGCTGGTGGCAGTGCGATCTCCTCCGTCGTGAAGCCAGGGTATATGACGCAAACGGCGTACAAACATGCAAGGGAGAGAAGTTCCGAGATAGGAAGTGATTAGTAAGATATTAGTAAGTCATAGCTGTGCTCACGTGTAATATCAGGCGACTTATTGCACTAACGCTGACTAAGCATGGCCAGCCCTGTTCCTGCCCCTCCAACATTTTTCCTCTCTTACTCACTCATGCATCTCCTTCTCTACTCCTCTGCCATCTTCACTTACTCCGTACCACTGTCAACGTCTCTTCTTCTTCTTCTCCTTCCTCCTCCTCTTCCTCTCCCTCTTCTCCTCGTCTTCTCCTCGGGTATAGTATGTATCGCCGTGACGAAAAAGACCGGAACGCGGGTCCCGGCCGCCCGGTCCCGCCTCGTGGCACGTGGGGTAACCTTAATCCCTGCCTACTCACAACTTCTTCTGCTACGGGGCATTTACGCCCTATATCAGGCACAAAGATAGGGCGAGAGGAGGAGGATAGAATGTACTCCGTAGATGATATAAGGAGAGAGAATGAACAGGTGTAATGACGACCAGTAAGGGCAAGGAAGGTAGGTAGATGTCATCTACAGGAAGAACGAAAACACGGCAGAAGTAGCCTGCAACTGCCGGCGAGCTTTCCTCGGCATCTTACTGTAGAGTTAGAGTTGCGCTAACTACATGCATTCTATTATACTTATACTATTAATATGGCTAGAGTTACATCCCGACAGTGAGGAGGAGGAGGGGTGAGACGGAGCGAGGGACGGAGGGAGGGTTGCGTCGGCGTAGGACGATGTACGATGTCCGAAGCGAACGAACGAGCGAGCGAACGAGCGGAGTTACGTCGTGCATGCGAGCGAGGTGGTGCGAGTGGTTGGTCCTGGTTCCTGGTTATGGTAATGTATGTATGTATTCAATCATGTAGCTGCAGACGGCGAATGTACAGAGTGATGTCAAATTTATTCCCCCATCCAACAGATGATACATGAAAGGTAGAAAGAAGACAGTAGATAAAGGCGTAGATAAGACAGTAGATAGAACAGTAAGGAGATAAGAAGCACTACGAAGACATCCTCAACCTCCGATCCTCATCCCAGATCTCCTGTTTCATCTTCTGCAGATGTGCATGCTGTCTCTCCAGTTTCCGGATCTGCTCGATATCCACGTCCATGTCAAAGTCCTTTCCGTTGCGCGACCTGGTCATCTCCTCATGCAGCAGACGGTACTTGGCGTAATACTGTTTGAACTGTGCCGATTTGGACCGTAGTCGGGCCCGCAGTATTGTCTGCGAGATGGGCGGGGATGCCGAGCCAGAGCCTGAAGCGGAATTCATAGATTCAGGCTGTGAGAGGGAAGAAGTTGTTGTTGATGAGATGGAGGATGGACGTCGGCGTTTGGGTTCGGATGCATGGATTCCTAGACCGATGGTGGCGGATGTGGTGGGTGGGCGGGTATCTTCCACCGGTCTGGTCTTTCGTTTGAGAGCGCCTGGCTTGGCGGATGTGGATGCAGATGTGGATGCAGATGTGGATGCAGATGTGGATGTGGATGGAGGTGTAGGTCTGCCTTTCGCGGCTTGCGCTGCTGGTGCCTTTCGAGGGAGATGATGGATTAGAGGCGACGAAGAGCTGGATGACTGTGAATGCAATTGTGTGTTGGATGGGCGGTTATGGGTGTCGACGTCTGAGGCATTGGTGGGCGGCGAGGAGCCCAACGGAGACGGTTTGAGCGGTGATGTCGCCTTGGTTGGTCTAGTAGTAGTCGTATTTGTCGTGCCTGCTGCTGCACCGGAGTTTGCGGTGCTTGGCCGTTTAACTGGTGCTTTCTTTGTCTTCGGCGGCCGACCGCGTTGTGCCGTCGATGTTGCTGCTGCAGTCGTAGCTGCAGGCGCGGGCGCGGGCGCCGACGCAGGCTTGTTGTTGCTGTTGGTATTGCTATTGTTCGCCTCATCCTCATCTGAGTCAAGCACGAACTCGGCAGACTTGAAACGATCGAGATCTCGCGACTTTAGCGACGCAGCACCGGCGGCAGGCGTCTTCTTCTCCGTCTTCTTGGTCACCTTGCCCGTCAGCGTAGTGGTAGGCGTAGTCTTTGGCTTGGGACCGCGTTTCGAGGAGAGGGCCTTTTCCAGGGCTCTCTTCTTTGTCGCCGTGGGCTTTGTTGTTTGTGTCTGTGGCAGCGTTGGAGTGGACGTTGGAGCGGTGGCTGGATCGACCGCCGTTGGACCCTCCGACTCGTTGCCGGTACCGTATCCTCCGCCTTCTTCCTGGGTGTGCACACGAGTCTGCTGTGTTTGTGGCTGGGTGCGCAGGTTGAGCCGTGAGAGGACCTTTCCTTTCCCCCTTTCCTGCCTGGGCAGAAGCATCTGCCATAGCCTGTCGCCCTTGGAGATGCGCATCCTATCAAACGCCGAGATGGCATTCTCGATCACCTCCGCTCTCTCCTCGTCAGACGGGTAAGGAAACGACCAGACATCCAGGTCCTTGTATGCCTTGTCCTTGAGGTCGAACTTGGACCCGTCGAGGCGGTTGGGCGTACAATGCTTGTTCGTCAGGGAGAGGATGTCAGCCGTGTTGCAGCGAGTGCGTGCCGCGAGAAATTTGGCAGAGACGGGCCGTATGGCGAGTAGGTGTATGAGCGGTGTCCGTATGGCCTCCAGGCGCAGGCTATCCTTGTCCACGCTCTGGGCAGCGGAGGCAGAGGGTAAAGGGGAGAGAGGCAGCAGGGCAGGGCTCGCGGGCGTGGATCTGGAGGCATTGGCGTTCTTGAAGAAGCGTTCTTTCTCCTGGTCAGCCCTGCTGGTCGACTTTCTCGCCAGACTAGCCGCCTCCTTGCCCGTTGCAGATCTGTTGTCACCGGCCCCCAACGCCCTCATCTGGTCGATGGTAGCAATCAGCGGCGTCCGGCGAGACTCCTTGCCCTTTTCAAAGGCGTTGAGAGAGCGTTCAAGGTTGGTGAGTGCTTCGTCGGTGGCAGCGGTTGCTTCTTTGGCCTTTTGCACCTCCAGGCTATGGCTGAGGATGCCGGAGAAGTAGAGCCCGTCACCGTCACCGTCCGGGCCATGCTGGTAGATTTCTGAGCGAGTGGTCTGGGGACAGGCGTGGAAGGGCGTCGACTTGGAGTTTATCAGCAGAGAGGGATGTTTTCCCAGCCGGAGACGAGCAGCAGCAGGCGAGGACTGGTCGTTGAGGACGTGGAGGAGGTCTGCGAGGGTCGACTTGGGGAGGTTGAGGCGGAGGAACTGGGAGGAGGAAGAGTCGCGATGCAGCGTCAGGCCGCCCTCCGGCACAGCGAGTGCCATGTCGTCGTCTATTCTCGTCTTCTTTTTCTTCGTCTTCTCGTTGTCTTCGTTGTCGTCGTCGTCGTCGTCGTCTCCGTCGTGCTGTGCTGGCGGTCTAGGAGGTTGGGGGATGCAGGCAGGACATCCTACGTAGTAACGAGTGTGAAGACAGTGAGTGTAGAATGAAAGTACTCCGTAGGAGTAGAATGAGAGAGAGAGAGAGAGAGAGAGAGAGAATGAGAGTGGTGATAGAGAGTGAAGGAGTGAAGAGTGAAGAGTGAAGATAGAAAGTAGAGAAAGTAGAGTAGAGAAAGTAGAGAGAGGACAAGGCTCCCTGTCTAGTCGCCGGGCCAGGACTCGCGCTAGCCAACGCCCAACCCGCCGTACAAGCGTGCTTTTACGGTTACAAGTTACAGAGGATAAAGGATTCCGGCCTCGACGGACCAGCGAAGACATGCCTTTGTCTTTCTCTTGTCTTCTTGTCTTCCTGCCCTTCCTTGTCCTCCGGTATCACCATCTCCAGTCTCAGCCAGTGTCACCGCCCATGTATTCCCCTAATATCAACCGTCCGCTATAACACCTTCATTACTCCACCGGACGCCAGCTCCGTTTCATCTTCTTCCGCCCTCAGCATGGCCACTGGCGTCTCTCCTCTCCTACCGTCTCATCTCCAGCTTCACTTCGTCTTCAGCGTATGATCTCTGCCCGTCTGTCGCGTGTTGGCCCTACGCCGTGAGGAACAAGCCCGTCTGTCCAGCATGACATGGATCAGACATGACATGGGTTCGCTGGCGAGTCGGCGGTCGTACGTGAAGGTCAAGGCCAGGTCAGTTGGCTGGGCCGGCCCGCCTCCACCTTGCACCTTGCTGTGCAGGCTAGTTAGCTGCTGATCCGGCAGTTTTCGACCAGACAGACCAGAGAGACAGGCCCGATGCTGAAACTGATGCTGACGAGACGCGATGCCACTGGCCAGCGCCTTGACGATGCGTGTCAGCGTGTCATCGCCCTCCATCTGTAGTCCATGCAGATATGTAGACATGTAGACATGTAGACATGTAACTATTGCTTGCTTCCTCTGCTGTGTGAGGCGTTCAGCGGCCACTCTGCTTCAGCCAGCCGGGGTTCTTTCCATGGTAAGCGAGTCGTGCAGGACCGGAGGTTCCCTTCCCTGCCCTTTTCTTTTTCCCTTTCCCTTCTTTTTCTTTTTCTTCCCTCTTCTTGGGCTGCGTTGGTGGCAAAGCTGATGCTTGCTGCCAGTAGGGCCGCTGGACGGCTGTGGCTGGACTGAGGCTGTAGTTACAACTGCAGAGGATCGATACGAGCGACATGTACTATTCTCCGTCCAGTACGGGTAGATCAGTAATGTAGATATAGATGTAGATGTAAGTAGATGTAGATAGATGTATGAAGTGTAGGTAGATGTAGTTGAGATGTATGAAGTAGATGAAGTGGTTAGCATTTTCCGCACAGAAAAGGAAGAATTCGCACAGGACGAGGAAGATACCCTTGATATACCCGTACATGTAGCTGAGATGGACCTGTACTCGCCGTCAGCTTCTTCTCTCTCCCTCCCCAGCGAGAGTTACATCTACTCGCTTTGTCCGTCCGGCGCGTCGTCCCTGGCCGCGATATCGTCGGATAATTCCCTGCGTCGCTTTGATCGCAACACCCTCGCCCTGCTGCCGGACGGAGTGGTGAAAGATACACATCCTGCCGGCGTGAGCTCGCTGTGCACTGCTGATGGCGACGGACTGCTGGCGACCTGTGGGAAGGACGGGACGGTGAAGGTCTGGGACGGCCGCAGTTCTGGTGCAGTAGCTGTGTTTGAGACCGGTGAGTATAACCCTACACTCGATACATGTACATGCTAACTGGCGTAGAGAAAGGGATGCCGCTGCTCTCAGTGGCATGTAATGCGTCTTCACACTCCATCGTCGCGGGCACTGAGCTGGTCAAGTCCGATGCCTTCGTGCTCTTCTGGTATGGCTGTGATATCAAGACCGAGATGAGACGGCGGTCTAACTCGCTATAGGGACATTCGATCACCAGGGAAACCTCGCCGTCAGCTTGTAGAAAGCCATAATGACGATGTCACAGAGGTATGTACCCTCCTGATCATCTTTTATAAGATATTAACATGTATAGGTCCAATTTCACCCTGCTCGGCCATCAGTGCTCTTATCCGGCAGCACAGATGGGCTAGTCAACATATACGACACCACTGTATCTGACGAAGACGATGCTCTGTTACAGGTCATCAAGCACAGCTCTATACACCATGCCGGGTTCGTGGATGATACCGCCGTCTACGCACTATCGCATGACGAGCTCTTTTCCGTACACCCCATAACCTGCGCCGACGAGGATGAACCAGTCGATCAAGTGAAGGCTGTAGAGTTTGGTGATTTACGGCCCATCCTCAAGGCAGAGTATGTCGTGCAAGTGCTCGTTGATAAAGTAGGGAGCTACGTTGTCTCGGGGAGGACGAGGTTGGTTACTTCTCACCGGCTACAGAAGACAGATCAGAAGACAAATTTGCTAATATTCGATAGTGACCGGAGCCTATCGCTGACTCCATTGCTACATACGCCGGAGTTCCACTTTGATCAGTCAAACTCGTGGACTCTACCTGGTGCGCATGGTGCGCATGGGGAAGAGGTTGTGCGTTCCGTCTTCTTTGATAGCGAGGTTGGTTGTCTCATTCTGTATATTGTGTATCATCATGCTAATGGTTCTTGCTAGTCGCGAACGGTCTTTACGTGCGGTGAAGACGGCCATGTTAGAGTATGGAAGGAGAAGGAGTCGGTTGCTACGGCTGAACCTGATACGATTGCTTCGAGACGGCCAACGAAGCCTTCACGGAAGGAAAAAGGGTATAAACCATACTAACCTTGAAAAGAAGATATTGCTTAATCTATTGTGGACGACCAAGATGGTATCTTAAAAGTTGATCTAAGAGTGAGCTAAAGGTAGCCTTGGAAATACGACAATAGGCAGTGATGTCGGGAATATAAAAGTACAGAATATTTTATAGACAAGTCTATGCAAGTCTCACGCCCGCCTGCCGGTTCTTCTTCGCCGTTGCTCCCATAGCATTATTCATGCCCGTATTCTGGCTGCTATCCAACGTACTCATCGCCTCTCTCTTCCTCTCATCCTCAATCTTCTTCAAATGCTTCTCAGTCTTCATCTTACCACTGCCCTTTCCATGGAACTGGTGACTAAGATGTTTAAACGCCTCCTTCTGGTTCATCTTCCTGCCAAACTCATCCACGTATTTCAGTTGAACGTCCGGCTTGTATTCGCGGTTAAACACGTCCGCCATCGCGCGAGACTCGTGTTGGTCTCGCTGCTTGTTCTCCCAGCGAGCGTACTCTTCGCGGTCACGGGCAGACATGCGGTCTAGTTTTCCCGAGGCACGGTCTCGTTCACGCTGGGAGCGGGCGAGGCGCTCGGCTTCGGCTTCACGACGGCGTTTTTCAGCCAGGAAGCGTTGGCGGTCGCGGTGTAGGGCGTTGATGGTTTGGCCGTCTCCTTCGGCTGCGGTGACGAGACCGCGCTGTTTGAGCATGGCGAGGGTTGCGCCGAGGCCTTGGTCGAGGGTGGTTTCTTCCTCGAGGCCGGTGGTGGTCATGTCTTTCGGCTGCTCTTCTGGTACTTGTTCTTGTTCGACAATGGTATAGGATGGTTCCATTTCCACGTCGGACGTCTCTTCGACTGTTGGCTGGGGTGGGTTGGTGGGGGTTTCGACGGCAGGTTCTCGTGAGACGGATCGTGGACGTTCAATGAGCGTAGGCCGTTGTAGGTTTGCTACAAACTCCGAAGTCTCGTTGATGATCAATCCTTGGTCTTCCTCTGCTCCGTCGACGTCCATTTCGTTCTGCGCCTGCTCTGATTCTTCCCTCAGCTGGCGTGCCAGGTCCTCGGGGCGTAGTTTCTTTCTCTTCTTAAACGCTGCTCTTCGCTGGGCGGCAAGAGAAGCTTGTAGATCATCATCGTCAACAAATGATATGTCTTCTCGCGGTCGTTTAGCCGGTACCGCAGGAGCAGCCTGTGGTGGTTCATCCGTCTCCATTTGATCTCCATTGGTATCAATAGGCGGAGATACATCCTCGTCGTCATCAGCAGCCCGCCGCCTTGTACTCTTCGCCTTCTTTTTCTTTGGCTTCTTCACTTTAATCTCAGAGGCATCCATGTAGTCGGACGCCGCAACCTCCTTATCGAGCAAAGCGTCGAGGTTCATCGGCTCCATTTTCAGCTTCGACGACACATCCTGCCGCCTCGCTTCCCTGGCTTGCGGTGTGAGGTCGTTCGACGCAAGGGTGAAATGCTTCCTCTTCTTCCCATCAATCTCCTCGTCATACTGTGATAGAATCGTGCCGCTGGCGTCCATGTCATTTGGATCATATGCAACCTTTTTCTTTTTCAGTTTTAGCCTCTCCTTCGTCTTCTCGCCTTCTCGCATATGTATATTCTCCAACTCGTCCCCTTGCTCCTCGTCCTCGTCAATCGTCGTATCCTTTAGCGTAAGAACCTTCTCGCCGGTCTCGTCAAAGTCGTCAAAATCGCCAATCTCATGCGCAACCCGGACCCCGGCCAAGTCCTTGGACGTATATTCAGCCATCTGCTGTTCCCGCTCCGCAAGCTCCTCTGCTAGCTTCCTGGCCCGTTCCTTTTCAATCTTCTTCTGCTTCTTCTTATGCTGCATCAGCCATGCTCTTGTGTCCATCTCCGCGTCGTCACCGCCTTCTCCGAGTCCCTTGCCTTCCAGCTTCGCCATCCTCCGCGCGGTCTCTCGAGCTCGCCGGATAGCATCCTTTCTCGCCTCGCGCTTCTTCTGTGCCTCTTGTTCATCCTGGACAGCTTTCCAGTTATCATAGCCCTGCGCGGCTCGTGATTCTAGCGTGCTGCCGGGCTCCTCGCCGTCTGAGGACGCGGATTCATCCCCATCTCCAGATTTAAATGCTGGTCCATCGTTGGCTGCGCCGGGGACGGGGAGCGGAGCAAGGCCAAGCGCGACTCGGATCTTGTTGTTCTGCTCGATAGAGAGTGCGTCCGCCATGGCGAGAGTGTATAACCAGCAGTAGCTATGGTTTCTGTCAGCTATTCAGTCGAGTCTTTCTTCTTCTTCCTTGAGCTTGATGCCTTCCGCCAGAGATATACTTATGTAATCACGGATAAACTATTTATCCTCCCAATTATCAAAATATAAAAAAGCTCAAAAATATTTTCTCTTTCTTCCTTTTTCTCTTCTTCACCAAAACACAGATCTGTGTCCCGCGATCCCGTTCCATGAAGCTATTCTGTTCCCTCGGGGCGGCTAGTCTGAGTGTGTTTCGGTCGTATTGCTGGACAGTTCGACGACCCATGGAGCCATCCACCTGGTAAATACCGAGTTCCTAATGATGTCAATTTCCGGTCGACAGATCTCAGAAGAAGTTTCAGCGCCAGGATTATACACTCTGCCTTGAGTTTCCTTCGGGTGAGCTCGGTGAGATGGCCTGGGCCTGCTGGGGGCGTCATATTCCATCTCCCTTTGCCGATGGCCGTTGGCTTGTGAGGTTAGGGAAAAACCATGACTGCCAACAAACAGATTCGATAAGCATTGTGCTTTTATACGGCATCCTTTGTTTTCAGATGGACGTATGGCGAAGTCTCCATATGTCTTGCACTGCAAATGCGAAGTTAATGATGCACCAGCTATCCTATCTATTTACCTGTAACTACCATAACAAGGTGGACCGTGATATATAACCCTCATAATATCCGATTCTACCTATTCACAACAGCTTCAAATGGCCCGTAACAGAATCCACTACACTCTTCGGACCTAGAATGCCCAACACCGTCCGGCTCCCGCTCGCAATCTGTGTCCGTCCCGCATCCTGAATGACACGCGCACACAGCCCCAAACTCAGCGCCTGTGCCTGAAGAACCAGTATATCTTCTTCCGTCTTGGCTTGTAGCGCGACCTTCGCCTGACCCTGCCGTTCCCATCGCTTCAGTATTGGCGAGTTGGGTGATTTGCTAAAGTAGTATTTGTAGCACGCGAGGGTTGCGTGGGAGCATTGTGCGGCGATTTTACCTGTAGAGGCCATAACAGTTAGTTTCTGATAAGAGTAAACACGCATATAGCGGAGTAATGGAAAGGTGAAGCTGGAAGGGTCAGATATTTCCATACCTTTGCCCATGCCCAGGTCTGTCCTCACTACCAGGACGAGTTTCACTTCGTCTGTATTTCCTTCAAATGTAGCTAGTTCGCCTCCATTGTCGTCTTCATCATCTTCGTCTTCGTCATCTTCCTCGTCCTCGTCTTCATCTATCGATTTGTCCTTTTGCGCATGCCTTGGTGTGGACGAGAATATTCCTATCGATGCGCCTTGGCCGATATAGTATCCGATAACGCCGGTGAGGAGTGAAGTAGCGGCGACAAGTGCTATGGTAGATGGAGGCCGGTCAACTGGAAGCGCCATGGTCAAGATTCGAGTGATTTCGTTATTGATTCGAGTTCGAGTTGGTGATGGTGTAATGTTTGCGAGGAAAGTTAACCGCGGGTGAAGCTCAATCACGTCACTTAACTAGTTGCGAGTAGCAAATAAATACTCACTTTCGTATATGTACAATATTCAATATACAGGGAATAGAATATGATGAACCCAGAGGAAAGGTAATAATATTACTAAAATACATTTCAACCGTTTTATGAGGCGGCCAGTCGCGCGCACCGCCCACACACAAGTACATACAGGAGTAATGGGAAATAAACAAGAAAAGTACACGGGCTCGTCTCCATTATCTACCCCCAAGAAACATTATTCCGACCTAATTTTTACCCCTGAGACAAAAAGGAAAAAAGCAACGCAAAATGAACTAGAAAACTAGCAGCAACGACGGCGACCTGACCTCTCATTGACTGCGTGGAACAGGATACAGGGCGATACGTTTATTGGGCGGGAGCAGGGGCAGCGGCGCCTGGAGCACCGGGTCCTGGGCGGTTAGTTCTGCGGCTCCTATGTTTACAGGCGAGTTAGTATTCATGTGCGCGATGCATTAGCGGACGATAAAGGAGTTGGGTGTCTTACATCATGGTTCTGCTGATGAAACTGATACCAACCATCATGGCCCAGCTAGGAATCATGCCTAGACCATAGACAACCCAGCCAACGGCCTCGTTGATGCGGTACTCGGCGGCCAGTCCATCGAAGGGGTGGAACATGCTCTGGAGCTCGGGCTCCTTCTCCCAGAGCTTCTCAGAGTGTACCTTGTAGATCTCCTCAGCGGTGACGGTGGTGGCGTTCAGGCGCACGGGGTGAACGGGCGTAGGTGGCTTTACCTCGCCCAGGGTGTGGGCAGCAGGGACCTGGATGTGCCATAGAGAAGGCGGAGTGACGGACCAGATCGAGCAGAGGAGACCCTGGGTTTCGCAGTTGAGACGACCAAGAGATGGAGAGGTCGCGTCAGCAGCGAAAAGGTTTTGTGCTTCCTACATCGCGCATTAGTATATCTGTGATAATCTGGCTAAGTTGAAATTGCGATTGATTTGACGTCACTAACCTTCCAGGAGCGATTGGCCTGTCCGCAGTGTCCAAAGCAGGTCTTGTTCCCGCCGGTGACGTATATCAGCCATTCCTGGGGGTCTGACTTGGGCGCAAGTATCTCCTTCCAGTTGTCTGGGTTAAATTGGGTGACGGTCTTTGGCTTGACAACAGCAGCCTTGGGAGGACGAGGAGTCGTGGCCGCGATGGGCGCGGCGGCCTGGGGGACCTTTGGAGTTGGCAGCAGTTCCTTTGCCTGGTTAAACCAGCCCTGCAGACGCTCAACAAGGGGCACCTGTTCCTGTGCAGCAACTAGGGCTGGGAGGAGGACGAGAGAAGAGAGACGCATGTTGTTTGCTGTGTGTTTTTTTTTCTTGTTGATGTAAGGTGTCCAGAACGCGGAATACTGGAGTAGAGGCGCGATGGAGAGCAGAGGCCAAGGCGGCCTGAGAGAAGCGGGGGAGAAGAAGAGGCAGGCGAGTATTAGATGTATATATATAGCGTAAATAAGCCGGGCGCGCGCTGGTGGTGGCGGAGGTGAATGAAGCTGAAGCTGAAGCTGTGTTTTTTTTTCCTTGTCCCTTTTGCCTTGTTGATGGTTGCCTTCAAAAGTACAAAAAAGGGAAACATAGGGGGCTTAGTAAGGTATTAGGTAAGGGCTTAGCTTAGTAAGTGCTTAGTTAATGTTTAGCTTAGTAATATGTTACTCATCATATATTAGTCATTTCTTAGTCACTAGTCACATGTCTCTCTGTTTCCTCTTTGGGAAATAGACCGTGACCTTCACTTCTTTTTTTTAACGACTTCTCATAGATATACTGGAGATAGACGAAGATATAGACAGTTATCCTATTTTACAGGCAATATGGAAGAGCTTGAGGCCGATCACGCATGCCAGCTGTGGCCCTGCAACCCGTGGCTTGTGTGATTGGTATTATTGTGTAATTTATCCAGCCAACTGCCGCGGCCGTTTGTCAAACAACGGCCTTTTACTGGTGGCTGGCGTACACTAGTACTGCGGATACGGAAAATTCTTCTGGGATTAGATATTACACCATGCTGGGTTATCAGAGCAAGAGTCGAGTCATAGAGCGGCCATCTTATCTTGACTTTCTGCTCTCCATACTTTCGGTCTTCTTTTCTCTTTTTTTTTAAAAAGTCGTGTCTTGATCTTACGATAAGAAGGTCACTCTTACATCTTCGCTCAATCAATCTGCTGAGATTTGGTTCTTTGCCTCGCTTCCTAGACCACACACCATCTAGAACCCCACGTCAAAATGGCCACCGATACCGGCTCTCGTGGGTGCTGTAGCAGCCACACGAGCGAGGACAACGGTGTCAATGGCACCGCCAATGGTCAAAATGGTATATCAGACACGAGCAATTCGCATGATATTCGCGCGAGAAGAGTTATTTACTGATCTATTTCCACTGCAGGCAGTCATGAGGGGTTCACCGCAGTTCAGACCCGACAGAACCCTCACCCACACGTCTCAAGGAATCCCTACGGCCACAATGCTGGCGTCACAGATTTCCTCAGCAACGTCTCCAGATTTAAGATCATCGAGAGCACTCTAAGAGAGGGCGAGCAGTTTGCCAACGCCTTCTTCGATACTGAGAAGAAGATCGAAATTGCAAAGGCATTGGATGATTTCGGTGTTGACTATGTGAGTCATGCCATTGTTTTTGATCCATGTCGAAACTCGACTAGGGTAGAGGAGACGACTGACCTGGGATGCGTTATAGATCGAACTCACCTCGCCATGTGCCTCTGAGCAGTCAAGAAAGGACTGTGAAGCTATTTGCAAGCTGGGATTGAAGGCAAAGGTACCGTCATACCACTATACCCACAAACGGAAAAGTATTCTTCTAACATTGGCGTATAGATCCTCACACATATTAGATGCCACATGGACGATGCCCGGATAGCGGTGGAAACTGGTGTCGACGGAGTGTAAGTATCCCACAATATCGTGTCAAGGCGCAAGCTAACTCCAGCAGCGACGTTGTCATCGGAACCTCCTCCTATCTCCGTGAACACTCCCACGGCAAGGACATGACTTACATCAAGAGCACGGCCATCGAAGTCATCAACTTTGTCAAGTCCAAGGGCATTGAAGTCCGCTTCTCCAGTGAAGACTCCTTCCGTTCCGACCTCGTCGATCTCCTCTCCATCTACTCCGCCGTCGACCAAGTAGGCGTCAACCGTGTCGGTATCGCCGACACTGTTGGCTGCGCGTCTCCTCGTCAAGTATACGAGCTCGTCCGTGTGCTTCGTGGGGTTGTCAAGTGTGACATCGAAATCCATCTGCATAATGACACTGGCTGTGCCATTGCCAACGCATACTGCGCTCTTGAGGGAGGCGCCACGCATATCGATACCTCCGTCCTAGGTATCGGTGAGCGAAACGGTATCACCCCTCTTGGTGGTCTCATGGCCCGTATGATCGCCGCCGACCGCGACTACGTGCTTAGCAAGTACAAGCTCGAGAAGATCAAGGACATTGAAGATCTCGTTGCCGAGGCAGTCCAGGTCAACATCCCCTTCAACAACCCCATCACTGGCTTCTGCGCCTTCACTCACAAGGCTGGCATCCACGCCAAGGCTATCCTCAACAACCCAAGCACCTACGAGATCATCAACCCAGCCGACTTCGGCATGACCCGTTATGTGCACTTTGCCTCTCGCTTAACGGGCTGGAACGCAATCAAATCGCGTGCTCAGCAGCTTAACCTCCAAATGACGGATGCACAGTACAAGGAGTGCACAGCCAAGATCAAAGCTCTGGCTGACATTCGACCCATCGCCGTCGATGATGCTGACAGTATCATTCGCGCGTATCACAGGAACATCAAGCTAGGCGAGGATAAGCCGCTTCTGGATCTGACCGAGGAACAGAAGGTAGAGTTCGCCGCGAAGGAGAAGGAGCTCGCAGAGAAGGGTGTCGAGGTTTCGGCGTAACCGTCCGGTCCTGCATTCTTTTTTTTTTCTTTTGCATCTGGGCAAACCCGACGAGGATATCTCACGTCGCATGCATGGTATAGGTAAAAAAACAGGTCAACAGTGCTCATGGGTAGTGCCGTTGAGCACCAGGAGTCAGTGCAAAGGAATGCTCGGGCATGCAAAACAAGAATCAGCGTCGCAACAACTTTGGATGAGGGAACGAGGGAGGAAAAAGCGGAATACGAGACATCGGCCATTCATTGTCCCCTCATTTTTCTTACCCTGGTCATCCTTCTTTTCTCCCTTTCGTCATCATATATTTCCCTTGGGCTGATTAAAAATCACCCATACCCTTGAAAATCTTGTTTTACCCCTTCTATACTTCTTCTTCTTCTTTCCAATACCACCTGTTATATTTCTCTTCAATTGCAGATTTAGAGTCCGCAATAGCTCGGCCTAAAAGTCGTAGATTCTACAATTCGGTTAATTCCTCGATATTAAACCTCTCCACCGCCGGCTTTATCTCTAGACCAAAGCCTTAATTGCCGATTCTATAAGGCACGAAAAGAAAGCCGATGACAGCCTTTTCCCCTTTTAGAGTATCTGCGTACAGTAAGCATCTCTTAGCATTAGATCCATCTGTCCCTGAGGGTTAGCTGAGACAGTATGGACAGGCCATATGGTTGGGTGAGAGGTCCGTACTCGGCATACATCCCAGTAAATATCTATAGCGAGAAAGACGCGATAGCGGGTCACCTCTCTAGCGCGCAGATATACTTATATAGTTCCTGAGAAGCGTGGGATTGTGCATAATCTTGCCTTGCTCCCTTCGTTTGACAATGGCAGGTCGACACGGATTTGGGATAGGATCTTCCTGGTATCGAGTTAATATAAGTATATTTATCAATAACCGATAAATGACGTTGATGACTCTCAGCCAGTGAGTCGAGAACGAAGGAGGAAACCAGCCTCCAAGCGGGCCTAATTGGTTAGAATTTGAAAGCACCATCTCCTCGGAATAGAAATCGATGGATTAGCTCCCGTTAAGTCCACGAACGGCGATTAGCTATATGGGCCGGTTTCGTTAGAGTGACAGCACACCGGGGGCTGGTACGTGGTAAGGATGTTCGTTCTGCGATTTCCCACTCTGTATAGCCCAGACTACGGATCGCGGGACGGCGTATCCTGCGCGCTATCATATAATGAATGGAAGGGGGCCGAGATGAAAAAAGTCCAACCCCCCTCCCTCCACGACCAACCCCCCGGCCCAGCCACCGAATATTGAATTCACCCACCGCCATCTCAAGAGGGGGGGATCTCTCGTAACGAAGGTCGATGGCTAGGATGATATGCAATTGAGACGTAGTTGTACGTCAGATTGAGCATCGAACCCATGTACTCTGTACATACAGCTACCCGCTGTAAATGCAAGCCGCAAGCCAGCTGCCGGGGCTGAAAGGCAATATGGACAGCAGAGAAAAAGACCCGGACCCCAGAAACGGACAGATAGAACATGCTGTCCCTGCAAGTGGATGGTACATGCATTCGTGCGTAGTACCGTGCAGGTCTGCTCCATGTCGTTCGCTTGCCCCGAACGCATGTCCTCACGGGCCTAGAACGTCGTTGCTCCGTTAGCCCCAATGGGCTTGCTGGAATCATTACGAGACCGTCAACTCTCCCCCAAAATATCCACCGGCGCAAGCGCCTCCTTTCCCATTTATGTGTTGGACAAGTTCCACATCCGAGGGAGACTAAAGGGGGTGTGGCCGGTCAGTAAAAAGCCCAAGGGCAGTCTCGAGGGACAGCACTTGCATGATCTCTCCTCCTTTAGGAAAGATTAGACTAGATTATCCCGCGATGCCGCGACTGGACTGGAGGGCGGGAAAAGAAAAAGAAGAAGCAGATTTGAAATATAAAATTATGGGCATGTCTTTTTTAGCCTTTCGTAGCGAGGGATCATCGGTGCACCGGTGCTGCCTTGGCCTACGTCACTTATCGGCCGCTGAACGACGCTGCGGTAAAAAGAAGAGACGGACGAGAGACGAGGTCATGCAACACGACGTTTCAAAATGTGCATTGCAGTCAGTTTTTGCTGCATTAACGCCGGTCCTGGTTCACTTGTCTCTGATTCATACCCCTTGCCGCCGAGGGGTGCCAACTGTTCGCGCTATCACATAAGTAGCAGGACTGCGAAAAGTCTGTTCGTCCTGAATAGAAAACCGAGGTGTGGAGGAGAGGAGCCGTTTACATCATTTCTGGTGGATAGCAAAAGAGGCGCTATGTATGCAACATCCCATTTGTTCTGCTGGGGATGGATCCTAGGCTAGCCTTCTCGGCTGGCTTCCATTGGCTCTTGGGCCCCTGAATCGGAAAAGAGGGTATCATCGTCCTGTCGTCATCGTGCATGGGAGCGAGTCTGACGTCCGTTTTGCTTTTTCCATCTGGCTTCCCTAACCTTTGCTTTTCCTCAGTTGTCACCTCCGAAAGATGAGAGATCTCCACCGCACGGAGGCAGGACGATAACGGCCCAGAATGGGGAGTCTCGGAAGGGGACGAGGGGGCTGAGAGGATGTGATAGGCATGTTCAGCTCTCGCATGTGTGTCCTTGTTGGTATAAGAACTGACATACATTTAAGGTCGCAAGCGGCTCACCACACGCGACCTCTCCGTCAGTAAATGTTTATGTTGATCAAGGTGAGAGGTGCGATAAAATATTGAGACCGAGAGCGCCCGCCCCACCCCGTAGTAGTTCCAAATTCCTTTCTTTTTCTTCCTCCGTCTTGTCTCGATTCCCTCTGCTTGTGCCCTTATTTTTGACTTGCAGGGAGGCCAACGTGGATGGGCTAGAAAACCCGTGCGACCAGATGAGTTGTTGATCAACGCTCCCCGGGCATCTCCCTGGGTACTCCCCCCCTCCCCCTTCGTGTTTGTCGAAGGGAGCAGTCGAGGACTCCGTACTAGGCTCCGGCTGTACCCCAGGCGGCATCAATTCCCCTCCACAGGATCATGCAGTGCCAGCTAATGCCCAAGCCTCTGTAAATCGGGGGAATTAGGGATGTCCAACGCTGGTACCTCTGACCTCTGGAACGCCGTGTGGAGAAGGGAAAAGGGGATGCAACCACTGGATCAGGGTCCATTCCCTAGGTCAGCCGTTTCTCATAGGACGGCCGCGTTTCATTATGGATTCAGGCAGTTAGGTGCCAGAGCAAATCGTAGAATCGTAGGCAGTTCAGCACTCGCCAAGACCATATAGATGGATAGAGAACATCAAATGCCAGTAGAAGATGTAAGTTGTAAGCTGTAGATGCGGTAGATATATGGTAGACTATGGTAGATGTGGTAGTGATGTTGATATTGAAGTGTAGAGTTGGGCGTAGGAAGTAATACCTCATCCCCACCAGGCGATCTCCCCTCCTCCTCTTCTTCTCTCTCCTGTCCACTTCCTCCCTCCATCCTCACCACCTCTCTCTCTCTCTCTGCTTTATACTCCTTGCACTGCCTTCATTTACTACTTGCTACTTTAGTGTTGTCTGCTTTATTCCTACTTGTTGCCAGCTACTGCTCTGGATACTTGCTGTGCTGAGAAGCCCAAACAACCCAAGACGAGCCCAAGAAGCTTGGTTAACGCGTTTCTTTTCTTTTCAAGACCGGAAAGGGGGCAAGGAAACCAACCGCTATCCTTCATTTTCTGTCCAGGCCATATCACGGCACACTACTTTACGAACGTGGTTCTGGGATCATTAAACTTGCATCGCTCTTACGCGCCCAACCCTCCCTCCAAGCTTACCGTCGGTATGTATGCTCAGCCCAAAAAGCAAGGAGACAGAGAGAGAGCAGCAGGGGACACAGAGGGCAAAGTTAAGATGGCATAAATCTCCTTGGGATCCTGCTGACAGGATAGACAGCACAGATAAACGCTGCTGAATGAACTCCTGAGTCTCAACTGTCCGTAAGTGCTGCTCTGTTATCTACTACTCCTTATTTCTGTCTGTCACTATATCTTATACCAGTTATTACATGCTATATTTATTTATTTAACACTTACTTACCCTTCAGTAGGCACGTCTTCACACTCAACCAGCGGGACTACCCATCTTCATATTCAGGATCCCTTGTCAGAGGTGAATATAGACTTTCCTTGTTTACGCTCTGCGATACTTCCCCGCCCACCATATATAATACAAGATCCATTACTGGATTCTGCTATCGAATCTATCTCTCCAGCCTCTTGTTCTGGCTGCGAATACAGCTCTAGCCTTTGCTTTTGTTCTGGCGGGATAGACCTCTGCTGGCATCTAGGTCAGGCGTGCAAATGATCGAGTTCAGCCACGCTGAGCCTTCACATCACATGTCTGATCTCTTAAGAGCAACATCTATTGCCTGGAGCCACCTCCACCATCATTTGCCACGTATTACGATCGCTTTCTCCATCTGCCAACTGTTTGAGTGGCACTCATAAGTACTGTGAAAGTTAACAATCCCGTTTAAAGGCCCCTCTCGATCACTCCCAGAGTTCGACACCATCCGGTCCCTTTGATAGCGAATTTCGAATAGCGGCTAGCTCTCTTTTTATCTTGCGATCCCATATATTTTCCAGGCACCTGCTCGATCACCCGCGGATAACACGAGGCCTAAAGTAAGCTGAACCACGAACCGCTACTCTGGTTTAGATAGTTCTAGCAAAGCTTTTGTCAACGTCACAGCAACCTCTCTTTCAAAACACCCTTAAAAGGAAATACAAAGCCCCCAGGCTACATTATCAAATGTGACCTTGGACCTATTATTCCGACCCTGTACAGTCAGAACCTAGGACATCCATGATGGCTCCATCAGCAGCACAGACCGAAGAAGGGGTATATCTCTCCACACTCCAGCACCCTCTTGCTTCTAGTTTCGCTAACCAGTGGGGGCCCGCATATAGGACTTTAAGGTACTAAGTCTCAAGAATTATAAAGACCTTGACACGACCACCTTTGAGCAAATTCTAGAAATGGACGATGACGATGACAGGGAGTTCAGCCGGGGTTTAGTATACAGCTTCTTCAAACAAGCAGAAACCACCTTCGTGAAGATGGAGTCAGCCCTGTAAGCTATCCCTCCCCGAAAACATTCCCAGCTATCCCATCCCACTGTGCTTCTCTTTTTGATGCTCAGCTCTTCCCCTCCTTGCCATGTTTTACGTGACGTCAGAAAAAAAACATGTCCCGTGACCCCGATCTTATCTTGCTTCAGTGATGACATCATCACCCGTCCCCAACATAACTCTCTTGCTAACCTCTCTATCTCTGATTATTCTAGCTCTGAGAAAGATCTTTCCGAGCTGTCTGAGCTAGGCCACTTTCTCAAGGGCTCATCGGCCACCCTGGGCCTGACCAAGGTCAAGGATGCGTGCGAGAAGATCCAGAACTACGGCCAACAGAAAGACGAATCTGGAATCAACCCCGAGCCCGACAAGAACAGGTCTCTGGCCAACATCAAGAAAGCCTTGGTGGACGTAAAGCACGACTACAAAGAAGTTGTTAAAGTTCTCAAGAACTTTTACGGAGATTCGGATGCGGCTGAATAAGCTTCCCATCCTTGTTTACGATTCCTTTTCTCGCCTCGCTTTTTATGTCCTGATGATTGCTTGACTATCGGAGTAACTACAATCCAGCCTTTTTTTTAGCCTCATGACGAACCCAACCCTTACCCCCTCCCTCCCTTTTCTACCTCCCTTTCTTCAACCCCTTTACGTCGCGGCGACTGAGAACCCGTCGTTTCAAACCCGCTCCTCCCAGCCAGCTCTAAAAGCTGCCCGTACCCGCCCGTCACGCTACGTTGTACTCTCACTTTTTTTAGACACAAAAAATCGGCTGTTTACCTTCTCGCTACCTCTCTCTCTACCTTCGCAACCGGGCCCTGCTTCTTGTCTAAATGCAACTCTTCGAAGGCCCCCCTGATACCATGTTTGATGTTAACTTCTCTCTATTTCTGTCTCCTCCCCTGTAAGTCCGAGCAGGCGTATTTATGTTTGATATTTTTCAGAATTTGTGTGATTGTGCAATGAAAGAAAAACGGTATACATAAATAGGAAATTTACGTTCTATATCTGCTTTGTTACGCCCATGTCTTGAACGGAAGGAGCCGCGAGATCAGGTAACCAGGGATATATACAAGTGAAGATATGATAAGACAATGTATCATTCTAACTGCGTAACAATGTATGTATAACCCATTATACAGGTCTCACGTCTCAACAGGGGGGAAGGAGGAGTAATTCTATACACCTCCCTCGAGCATCATGCGTACGCTATAAATATAATAACAATCTAAAAAGAAGTAAAGAGACATAATCACAAGTAATCAACGCAATATAAACAAAGAACAAGCTTAACAGTCATGGTAAAGCACCCGTGGTATTGGGTACAATCGTAATATTCCTCCCATCAACTTCAATGCCAAACGGTCAAAAGGTTGATGGGATTCTGTTGGTAATGAACCAAGGCCGGGAGTGGTACAGCAGATGCATGCAGAGGATAGGGCCTAGGCCTGATTCAACCATTCATATGCACGTATATAGCTAATCATTTCCAATTCTTCAAACGTGCCAATTCCTGCCTAAAGGCATTTCCCTCGCGTCTCTGGACATCGTTGAAAGCTTCCGTGTCCGACACCATGTGTTCACGCGAAGGAAGTCGCTCTGGATGATCAGAGTACTGTTGTCCGTTATCTTCCATGTCATCCAGTCTGATCGATCCACCGGCTCCACGACCGCTTCTCATGGCTCTTGCACTCCTTCCTCCGTAACCCTTGTTGCGTCTGCCCATGATGTTGCTCAGCCCTATATGACGGTGCTTTCTCATACCAATGCATAGGCCGACGAGGATCAGGGCCACAGCGCCAAGACCAAGAGGTAGGCCGATAAGAAGTCCTAGAGGCTGGGGTGCAGGTGTTGGTGGAGGTGGTGGGTACGGGGCTACCGGCTTCTTGATGAGGGAGATGGTAGGGCCGGGGTGGTGTATCTTTTCTTTGCCTGGGGGAAACTCGTCCAGGAAAATGGTCAGGTTGTTGCGCTGGCTGCCTTTGAGCCAATCGCCATTCATGTTGACACGGACGTAGCTGTGGTTGTTGGGAATGTCGCGGGAGAGGAACGCGGACCTTCCCTCATTGGCGGTGACGTTGACGTAGTCCATACCAACTTTGACTGTAGCGTTGGGGTCGAGCAGGGTGGTAACCCATGTCACTGTTAGATATGAAACCTGTTAGCCATGTGTACTTTATATTTCCAAGAAGAATTATTCAACTGGGTTCGTTGAGAGCTTGATTTGCGCCATACCATAGTAGTTGTCGCCAACGTAGACTTCAGCGTTGTCCTTGGGCGAGCAGAACGGCTTGATGGAAACGTCCTTCTCAGAATTGCATGTCCCAGCCTCCTCGGGTCGCTTGCCCGTCTCCATTGGCGCCGACTCTCCTGTTCCGGTAGGGTTTTCCGCATCATCTGTGGGCGTTGGCTTTGGAGACTCTGTAGAACTAGACGAACTCGAGGAGCTGGAGGAGCTGGAGGTGGTCACTGAAGATTCACCGGCGCTCGCAGCCGTAGACTTGGGCGTTCCACTGGTCGCAGTCGTCGTAGCGACGGCAGTGGTGGACGAATCTGCTTTGATAGCTATGTTAGACAATGCTGACCGAGTAGCTAAAGGGCAATTGGCTTGATAGAGGGCGCATTTATCATACCTGCAGGCGCTCTCTTGAAATAAGCTGCGTTCGACGCAGTAACTCCGTTGCTCAGGGCGAGCGCGACGAGCGCTATGTTCCGTAGCAAGACCATGGCTGCGGTACCGGCCGTTGCAGCTGGTGCGTTTCCTGTATGCGAGAGATGAAGAACCAAGTCAATTGATCCTGTTGCCTCCAAGAGTCGTGGCTGTGATAGTCGCGAAGGCTGGGGCGGAAGGCGGAAGGCGGAAACTGCGGTTGGAAGGAGGAAAAAGCGCGCCAAGACATGCGCGTAATAAAAAGCTTGATTTTCGGCAATTACAGCGCCGATACGATAAGTACCATACACTTATGTAATCACGTCCTCCTCTGGGCAAGATGTCACCACATATCAACATGATACCACCATGATATCACCATATCAACTATGATACAAGTATATCTCCATTCTTATACCCGCTGTGCTACTAAGTATAGCCTGACTTAGAAATATACCCTTTCTACTTGCCAATATCGTAAAGGGTAACAAAAGATCTTCTCAAGAGGATATATTGAGCCACATTTCATCCGTTATCTAGCTACTATAGGACTGCCTAAGCAGCATCCCTATTAAACAAGACTCCAGTTAACCCATTCAAGGACTCACACGACGATGGACTGGATATACCGATCCTATACCCCATTGTTATTTTTATTTCTTTGACCGCTCTTTCTTCCTCTCCTCCCCTCCACCTCCCTCCCCTCCACCTCCCTCTCTCTCCTCATTTTTTGTTTCTGGCCTTTGCGGCCGCTGCAGGAGTAGCTATTAGCTCCAGATCCTCTCCCCAAATACCCTGTGTGGTGGGTATTTGGGCCTATCTTCCTTGCTACCATTGTGGCGCGACCGAGAGCACCCCCTTGGTCTATATACCAAATTTTATTAGCCATATTGAAGGTAGCATATATAAGAATAGGGAATACTGACGGTTTCCTTCTCGCTTAGGAGTCCTCTTTACCACCACCGGGGCCCCCTTCTTCCTGAATCTCGCGGGGGGTTCCTCGTCTATTACTTGACCTTTGATCTTGGGCATATTCCCCGTTGCTTCTCTTCGACGGGCGTTCCTCTCCGCGTCTGTATTCAGACGCCCCACAGTGTTGGTCAGACCGGCTGTGCCATATCTTCTAACATACTCACGTATGTTCTCTGCTGTTTTTGGGGCCTTTGTGGGATCGATACTGGCAAAGGTATGAGAGTCCATGTGTGTAAGTGTTTTCTGGGAGTATCCTTGAGAGGGTTCCTTGGATGTCTTTGGAAGACTTCTTAGGTTGTATTCGTTTGAATTTATCGCGTCCTTTATTTGCTTATTAATACCACCATCACTGCAGGTGCTACCTAGTAGCTTTCACTTGCTATATTCACTTTGGTTTCACTTTCGTTGGTCCTCTCATTCTTTCTCGCCTTCCCATGTCAAGATTTCACCCCGTTTAGTATTTCTCCTCTGTTATAAGACGTTGCTAAGCATACCATATTACGAGCCTTGGACCCCAAAAAATTACTACTAGGTGCTCCGTTTTAGTTCTGGGATCTCTGTATGCATGCTAAGGAGACACTATTCTTATTTGCTTCCTCAATCCATATTTTTGTCCTAACCCTTTTCTGCGGCCGTGGCATTCAATGTGTAACTAACGTTGGTTAAAAACACATCAGGTAACCCTTGCACGATATATCAAAACAGAGGACCTAGATATGGCGGAAATAGGATACATGGGGACGAAATAACAGAGTAATAGTGTGAAAGTCTTATAAGGAAGATCCCGGTAAGTTCTTATTTTAATAGAACGTGCTGCTTCTTATAGTAATATTTAACAGATATTACTATGCTTCTGTAGTTCACTACTCGACACGTAGAGAGGCTTATATACAGTCCCAGAACGGATGGTTTAACCGTCCCGAAGTAGCTATTGTACGCTCTCTTTGCCACCTCGCCACTATGCTGTTGCTCTATCAAGGAGAAAACCACGGCATCAACGACTGCCAATACTAACACTATAAGGAAAAGTCTGGACGGGAGATTTACAAGGTTTTAGCCTACTCTTTGATCACAATGCCTGTTACAACGAGGAAGATGAGCCGAGAACGGCGGAAGGAGGATGAGCAAACCTATGGCTCAATTGACGACCGAGTCTCTTCGTGTACCGAATTATATCCCGTTTTTTGTAAAGCCAATATTCCTCCAAAGGTATTATATGCACTAGCTAAGCAGTTTCATTCTTTCTCTTTCTAACACCTCTCTTCTAGGTGCTAGACGAGTTCATAGACGAATCATACCAAGGAGTCATCGACGCAATTGGCGAGGAGCCTGAAGGTGGGCCCAAGATGGCATCATGTATCCTTCAGACGACAGACATGAACTCAATCACCCATGGCTCCCGTAAGCCTATGCAGGAGTTTAAGTCTCCCTTTCTTAACTGGACAGAGGATGAGATCCGCGATTGGATGCAAAAACATCCTCATCCTAACTTCGCAGCCTCAACATTTCTCATTCTCGACCAAAATACAATTAACAAAAGATTATGCAGGATGGGCTATATTTGTGAGGTTTGCCCTGATGATCGAATGCTAAGCTCGGACTTTTATCTTAACCTGATAACAAGAATAGCATTACAGAACGGTACGACAGATTGGGCAGCAAATGTGGACGGAGCAGAACTTGCAGGCGGGGTGCTTGACCGGAAGGGCCAGGAAATGTTAGATCAAATATCAACTGAGGAGATAGACAGGTATATATTGCAAGCAGGCATTCACAACTCCCTACTACTTATCTATGTCGATCTTGATACCAGAAGAATAGATGCTAAAACATTGAGAACATTAGCGATATTTCCGAAGATCCAGAGCGGCTGGAGCGTGAGGAAAAAGCCGTAGCGAGGCGGATGCGTGAATGGATCGCATCCACCAAAGGCACAGAAGATGATAGACGAATATGGACCACCAGCTAGCCTCTGAATGATGACCAGTACGCACAAGACCCAACCTAAGTACAAACCACACCTTGATCTGGGGATATAGGCAAAGCCCGTTAAGTACTTTTAGTATACCTGAAAGGTGTCCTATGTAATGCAATAAAATTGGTGGATGACCAGCTATCTCTACCTCCATTTATGGCCTTTCATTTTTCGAATGTCCATGGTATCGGGGTCTGGAATGTTAAATAGTATAAAAATGGATTTTATTCTTAGTCTGACAAACTGGAGAATCTTTTAGACTGAAGTAAGGTTTCTTTCCAAATGAATGACTCTAGACTTGGTGTTTCCGATATTCAAGATTTCCGAATAATTCATCTGACATAGCCCTGTCATCTAAGAGGTCGCTATCTGCAAATAACATCGACATATTGCGTCTATCATAGTTAGCAGCGAGAAAAGACCTCTTGTTCCACGAGTCACGTACTTGGGAGGTTCCATCGTTCCGATAATAAGTGTACGTATAGCAATTCGCATTGGCGCCAGCGGTGTCACGTTTGCTCAAGCCGGTAGACTCATCGTCAATAGGGCCACTCCAAACAAGATGGTACCCTCCAGTCATGGCTTCCGCAGCATCGCCAGCTGGTAGGGCAGACGCAAGTTCAACGACCGAGATGAGGCCAAAGATAACGTAGGAAAAATGCATTTTCAGTGTTTCCGGATGTATTGTAGAATAGTGTTGTTAATCCTTCTTGTTTGTTCTGTTGAGTGAGAGGATTGATAGAGGACGGACATTCCTCTGGATATTTATATCCACGTAGATATCTGCTTTCAGAGCTACCTCTTTAATATAGCCGGCATGCTCGATATTTATGTGACGGTATAATCTCAGGACTCTCTGCTGTGTGATGCCGTCTGCGCGACTTGTCTCTTAGGTGCAAAAGAGACGACTTTTCTAATATAATTTGCTGGCATAGTCAAGCCGGATATTGACATCAGGACTTACTTAATAGGCCATGAGTGCGACTCTGGAGGGCCTAACGAAGCCTTATCGTTGCAAACTGGGTATATAGACTTCTGCCATAAGCCATGACGGTTGCGGGCTCCGTACAACGCGGCAGATCGGTACTCTTCAGAGATATAAGAAGATTGAAGCTGAAACTCGCGTCACGCTTTAAATATCCGAAGAACTGAACTATTTTAGACTGGCTTGGCAGTTTTTTCTTCAACTCTTCAACCAACATCAATCGATCAGTTGAAAGCCACAGGTAACTTATTGGTGGCTTGCGCTCCATTTTTTAAAAAGATCAAGGGTTTAAAGGGAGACGATGCTGGGTTCCAACCTACAGTGCTGGTACGCATCGTACAGAAGCGATGTCAGTCGCATTCGCTGTGATACCCATGACAAGACGAGGTTGATTGATCACACAATTCTCACCACAGTCATTGACTGCATCCGTTTATATCAGACAAGACACACGATATATTAATTTGCAACATAGTGTGGATAGCCGGTATTCATGGAGTGTCCTGGGTTGGAGTCCTCTCTCTCTCTCTAATCACTGCGAGTCCATGACTAAACCAGGACTTCCGTGGATGATAAGAAAAATTGACATTCCTATTACCTCTCATATCCCTTATCGGCTAAGTACAGCTACTTTGTTGAAATACCAAGATGCTAATGCCCATTTAGCATGTCGACAACCCTGAAATCTCCCCTTCACCCATTCTAGCTGGCGTAGTCACGATTTAGACTCGCAACGGCTCTACTCCCAGCCTATTACTACATCTTTAACCGCCTTCTTTCCACATGGAAAGGACTATACTTATGCTCAAATCTTGAGACTTACGGCTTGAAACAACGAACAAACACTCGGCCGTTGGACTGATCCATAGGAGTTTAACTTACAACAGGCCAGCGGTCTTCGTGTCAAAAAATGGCTCTCTTACGATGAGGATCCGCAGAATGGATTAGCTCCCAGGACCTTCCGGTGATTTAACAATTCTCTTCTTCCGTACCGCGAGATAAGGCACTGCAATACCTGAATGCCGTTATGAAGGTTTACTGTGATACGGTCTAACCACGATGAATGGTATCGCGTGGCGAGGTTTATCTCTACTTTACCTGTATCGAACTAGGTAAGAGTCATCAAACTGATAAGCCGGACTGGTTGTTGTTCAGCTGTACTATGGGCCCTTGGTTTGCTGGTTCTTGAGATGCTCGGAATATCTGACATGTTTCTCGGCAAGTATTAATAGTATGTGGAAATCAGCCGCATTTTTAGCTTTGCTAATTATACATATAGACAAACTATCAAACCAAACCACCACCGTTGTGATAATGGCTGTTGCAATATCCTGGGCGAAAGCATGCTTTTTTCTGTCCAAATCTGCACCGTTTTTCGGGTGCTTCCGTTACCAGGGGCTTAAAAAGGTGAAGTTTACAACGGTTCATCGGCCTAACGGTGGGCTGGAACTGCAAGCTATTAACTTCCGGACGGGTGGGCCGTCCCGGGGGCTTTAGTAAGTGGGTTTGGACCCATGGGCCTTGAGGTGAAATCGGAAATCTTGGGGTATGGCGTATAGGTAGTAATGGATGTTCTTTTGCTTTCGATGATAATCCTGCAGAAAGGTCAGATTGTCCGCATGGACGAAACAGCCTGTAATGCGGATTTGAAGGCAGAGAAAGCCATCCACTAGCAGTCATCAAGGCTGCCTATCAAGCTATCATTTCAGGACAAGCTAACTGGATTGTTGAAAAAAAGCAGTCAAGGACATGAAGAATCGGCTGAAGTGGCAGCGCCACCAACATGGAGAGAGTTAGTTCAGGGAGGAGAATGGTGTTCTCGCACCCGCTATCATCACGGGGTCGAATGCTTCCTACAGATACAGCCTGCCAACTGGTGATGTATATTTACACTCCACATACCCTTGATCTGCGTTTTCATGGGTAAATATGTGAACTGATTCGCCCACAGCCTTACTCTACGCCCGTAATCCCATGCGCACAGAGCTATTTTCAACTTTTGATTCCGTTGCCGACGCCGCAAAGACCCACCGATAACTAACCTTAATTCTTTCCTTAATTAAGTCTATTCGGCATTGACAATCCTTGCAACTCTTACGTACGATTGCCCAATTGTATGATGACGATAAACCGCATTCGATCGACTGGGGTAAATATGGCTCTAAGCCACAGAGTCCAGGGAGATCAGCGATCAGGTCCCAACCGTGCATCGGATGATGAAATATCATGCGGCTTCGTAAGTCTGACCAGGCAAGGGAACGCCCGCCCACACATGAAATAAAGGCTGATTGAACTCGGCGCAAACCTTAGACGAGGAGAGATCGCTCCATCGTGCAACTCTAATCTGGTCCAGTCTCCATTTAAAAAAAAAAAAAAAAACGGCCATCGCGTGCACGATTTCAAGCTACTGACTCTGGTGACTTGAGCCAAAGCCCGGGTGTACATGCTCTTCTGCCAATCGCTTAATCAAACTGCTACCCAATTGGCTTTCCCTTTTAGGCTTTGGTTCTAATCGTGGAGCCGGTAACTGTACCTTAAATGATCCCTGAGGTATAGAGTCGCCACCTACACATAGGAGGTTATCCCCGAGATGATACCGATTGTATTACTTACGTCATGCACTCATAAGCATTAACTAACTAGCCCATCTCCAGGTTCTATACACCTTTCTACCTAAGGCAGGTAATTGAGTATCTTGTCAGTGTTCGATGAAGATGCGCTTTTTTTGAGATTACCTTTCTGTGTCTCCAGCAGGAACACCCTGGACCGAACGCACGAAGATTTCAGTCCATTCTCAATGTTCGTTAGTATTGCTAGAATAATTCATAGAACATGGATGTACCATATGAGATTCTTGAGACTGCCGATAACTGACTCCGAACAAGAACCTAAACTTAGAGCATTATAGCCAGCCCTGGTATAAACCTATTCTCGAGCGCATGAAATATTAGCCCAACGGCTCGAGCACCGTATCACAGTATCAATCTGAAGTTGACAGAATGGGTGGGCGAAACTGACAGCTGGCAGGTGCCAGGTTGAATACGGGAAAGGTGTTGAGGAGAGCCGAATTGCTCATGGGTAACGGACGAGGACCAGCGCTAGTAATGGAAATTGGGCTCTCCAGACCGAAAAACAAGCTGGCCATTGATGCACAGGGGTGGCGGTTAGAAGCAGCGAAAACCGACAGAGCTAATCTCCATACTGGCTCTGAGATCTGGGAACATACCCAGTACCCAAGAGGGCGATCAATTCCTTTCGACCGATATGCGCCCGAACATAGCGCGTGGAGGCATTCTATAACTACCTATAGGGTCATGAGAGTTAACTACTGGTGTCCCCAGAATACCACTCGAAGGGTGCTTTGGCCGGCTCAAGCAAAATATACTCCGTACATAGTAAGGGAGACAAGGGTGAAGGAGGCGCCCCTGACAGCGACATGGGAACGACGGGGGCTTTATTCATATACCAAGCAATCAACGGCAACTGCTCTGGTAACATCGACCCTCCTACCGTGCTCGAGGCCTGGCTAGTGACCTCGGAAACCCGTTATACGTTAGTCGACCTTTTCTAAATTAAGGACGTCGGTTGTGGGATAGCGCTGTTATCATCTGAGCCCGGGGGGAAGCCCGAGGGAGCGTTTGTATCTCTCTCTTAAATCAGAACGTACCCTTTGCTTTAGAGATAGCCTCTTAGGGGTTACCCTTAGCCAAAAGTTAGTTAGAGTGCCTGTAACCAGGTCCTTATTAGTTACTGGCTAGAGGGTTTGTCGGCGTATGAGGCCGTGTACACAACATGCCGGTTAGCGGCCGGGGTGGTATCGTTATTTAATTATCGCTTAATCACCGGAGTTGCTTGCAATGTAACTCGAACCCTTGGTCCCCGACAGCTTATGTATCCCTATACGATACGGAAGGTTACTCGAAATCAAAGAGACGAGGTTGGAAACGAGGTTGACATTCTTGTCTCCTCGTAGTTCCCATCAACTCCGCGGCCACAGGTTCGCGCATGAGCTCTTTGAAATGAGATCAGATGAGATAAATCATCTTTCTCCACGGGCAACCTAGTCATTATTTCATTCGCCAACTTTTCATCGGCGACAAGAAGCAAAGAGCGAGAAGGTTAAGGGTCATCGTGAGGAGGGCCGGGGAATCACACTAGAATTGCAAATTTTTCCAGCGTTTTCCTGCATACTGCATATTCCCTGTTTCCGAAATGGACACTGAGTGTTTTAGCCGGATAAGCAAGGACGGCTTGCATTAGGCGAACGGCAATACACAATGCGAGTCGTGAGTTGGCTTTGATTGGCTATGGAACTGAAGCACGACGACCGAACAGGCATTCAGCCTTTCAAACCCAATTATGAGAATAGCTGATATTAACGGTCCGAGGTTGATATCCTGCTACCACACGATGCGCGACAACACATCCTTGTTGCGGGTTGATCCGCATGGCTTAAAAAACGCCAACCGTTCCCCGGCGTCAGTCGGCAGGAAGGAAGAAAAGAAAAGGAATGAATGCGTGTATCGTGAACAAAGAGGGCCCCCTCCGTCAGTCCTGACGAAGCAATATCATGCGCTGGTCCAGCGGCATTCAGAGTTCGGATAATGCGCAGCCTGGGACTCGCTTATTGGGTCTCAAGTGATAGTATTCACCAGATAAACATCCCATGTTGACGGAATTAGCGGAATCACTTGGAAAAGTGTTACCAATGCTCTGAAATGGTTGAACAAATTGGTGGTGGTAGGTTCACGAGCGTACAGGCTGGGTTGTATCACAGCCCCCAGGCTATCACCATGCTCTTCCCCCCTCAGCAATGTTAATAATAATGATAATAGTTAATAATAATAGCAGGAGTAATAGTAATATCGATGGGAATATTAATAGCTGAAGATTGCAAGTGGACGACATTGTATCACTAGGAGACGCTGTCACACCCGTCAACCTGACCCATAACGACTGCATTGCAGAATGTCGACCACGCGGGGATGGTTGCCGTGAACGACCTGCTGGGTAAACCGCCCCGGGTGTTCTCCATATTTCGTCATAAATTTCTCATGTGAACAGCAGCCTTGTTGTAAGAAAAATAAGTTGTTGATACCCTTGCCCCAGCGAGCCCCATTTCCCCATTTATTACTGCGGAGGAGCCAATCCCTTCCATGCTTTCCAGAGGGGACGTTCCGATGGAGCGGTTACCGATCAGCGTGGCTGCAGTGCAAAGCCGACATTTGAGGTATATTTAGTCGATATATAAGTCGTATGAGGTCAGGGGATGCGAAATTTGTCCGAACCTTCCAGGCTCGCTGTTTGGTCGAAACCGGGGTAAACCTAGTCGCACACGATAAATAAAACTTATATTGCTTTTCTGTAATATGCATTGAGTAAGATAAACTTACTGCATTGTGACGTTGCCATATATCTGTGGAATTCGCGTCCAACCCCCCCTTTCTCCTTTCAACTGAAGTTTGGAAAAAACTAATCAGGGCTGCAAAGTACGTGGTAAGATGCATAATGTTTGCTATCAGAGTACTAGTCTCAATGCTTGGGGGGTGTTGGGTTGGAGAGATATAAAACCGCGGGATCACCGTGAATTGCCAGCTTCAAACATTTCACAGCCAAACCCCCTTCCCCCTTCTTTCCAACCCATTTTCCGGTTCGAGCCTTTTTCTTCTTCAAAGTATTCTTGTCCCAATTGTCGGGAATCCGAGAGCCTGGAGCCCGGCCCACCCAAAGAGGTTTTGATTTGCTGTTTGATTTGCTTTACCGGGAACAAAACATGTCTGCGCCTGTCGGGCCCCGAGCATCTAAGGAGGACTTCATGCGTGCGCTTGGATTGGACGCAAACAATCCTCAGCATGAACCATACTACCGTGCTATGAGGGTGAGTGCTCCGGCAACTTGGTAGAGTGGACGCCTGCCAGTTACAAGTCCCATATTATTGTGCAAAAAAAAGGGGGAAGGGGATGCAAGCAATGCAGCTTTGCTGACGGACCCCCTCCTAATAGGACGAAGCAATTGTTGTGTACAACTTGATGCATCGAAGCAACTCTGACCTCCTCGACAACTATCGAGCCGACCCAAACATGCGGCCGCCGTTTTGCTGGCACTACATCCGTCCCGACCGGCAACGGTGGGGTGTGATGGAGATATGGAGAAACTCCGGGCCTGTGACACGCCCCCTATTCGACCGCGGTGCTACCCATGGGGAGTACGGGCCCAATTGGGTTACTGGGTGGCTGTTGTACAGCGTATTCCGCTCAAGGGATATACGCAACAATCGCCATCGCAACCAGGGCAAGAAAGATGCAGGCGGTGGTAGTAGTGGAGGCAACTCCGGTAATTCGCGGCCCTTCCCCATTTATATACCAAATGTCTTGGGTTGTTGAACACTGAGGGTACTAACTCTCTGTCTCTGATGAGCTCGGTTCCGGTTGAAAGGCTCGAAAAGTCCCACCTCAGGCACTGAACAACAAACCAAGTCGACCTATTACGATCCAGTCAGACATTGAAAATTGATTGATACCTCGTCGTTCGTATATCAGCGTGTCTAACGGGCCGGGCGGCTAATATTGCAGGACAAAAGCTTCATAGACTGGAAAACTTCTCTCTCCTTTGCGCGCATTATTGTTAATCTCGTTATGCTTTTTTTTTTCGGCGCTTTTGTGGACACAGCCAATGCCGGTACTTTTCCTTTCTTCCTTGAGTTTCCGTTTACCTTGTTGTCTGCCAACTTCTTCATCCCCTTGTTTTCGCCAAATTGGGTTTATGGACGGTTGATACCCCTTCGGTATGGCGCAATATGAATACGGGACGGGCTAAAATATCCTAGTGCGGCAAACTCACGATCTTACCACCTAGATCATTTGGAGTAGCCAGCTGAGGGATAGCAACTCCGACCCAGAATATCATCTTTTCGAGTTTCTAGAACCCAAACTCCTTCTCATGTGGTTGTACAATGGCTCAACAGCCAAGGGAGCTTTAGGTGTTTTGACCACCAGCAACCAATATACTCCTTTTGACGCTAGATGCAGGCATTCCCGCGGCTGAAGTTGGTCTTTTGTGGCATGGACTGGGGGGGGGGGGAACGATGTATATGATGAGCAGCGCCATGGAACAGGGTTCAGGGTATCAACGGGGGCGTGTTCAACATTCGATGTGTCAACGTAGCAATGGGATCATAATTGAGTTTGAAGGAATAGACGGGATGCCGTGCACGTATACAGAAGACAAGAGCACAATATGTCACCTCCTTTCCTCCGCGTCCTCATGAAGCTGATACAAATTCTTCGTCTTTCAATATATTTGCAGTCTGTTAGTCACGTGGACGGATAAAACTTCTTACTCTTCCGCCTATATATTTCCAAAAGGGGAACAACGAACGAGTCTTCTATGTAGAGGTCAAATCTATATATCCGGTTTCTCAATCGGTTGCAGGGCTTTTTTGTTGGGAAAGTCTACCTGGGACCCTTCACATTAATAGGGTATCCGATCCATTCAATAGTTAGACGCTCCATCGCTTTAAGCGCAATTCTCTGGTTCTAGGTGCGCGCCCCTCTCGGAGCCAACATGAAAGCGAGATATAGGATTGGCTGAGGAACCCCAGTAGTTATACTACAGGCTGTTATTTGCATGGTGGTTAGTTCATCCCACCTCGACAGAATGACAGAGGGAACAGCGGATGAAACCTTCCAGAGAAACACAGCAGGGAAATATTGTGACGAATGAGAATGGGCCAACAAACGAACCCCTTCTCCGTTCATCCCAACATCACTAGGGCAGAGTGTTCGCTATATTTGGCTGTTACACATCACATGGATATGGACGAGATGTCCTACAGCTCCATTATGGTTCAGCTATATGACGACTAGGCAGATGCGTTTTATCCGGCCTAGGCAAGATAGGATCAAAGTGACAATCCCATTGCGTGGCTGGCTGGCGTTGTTCGAAATAGGAACTTGGAGTGTAAACGGAATGAGGACGGGAATATCTGATCTTGTATAGGGGAGGGTCCATTTTGTGTCACTCCATTCCATTTTAAAGATATAATAATAATGTCTCCAGAGAGTCGTCATCATTGAATCATCAAGTCATAACATGTCGATATATATCGGAAGGAAATTCACAACTCTAAGGAAACAAGTAGTAAACAAGTAAGTAAATATCCACCAAAGCATAAACAGATTAGCATTTGCGTAGTTATCCAAAGATTGATGATGAAAAAAAAAAAAAAACAGAGCTCCTCCACGCTGGGTTGCATTGCGGCTTCGCTTGGAGGAAAGGAATATCGAGAGTAAATTCTATATGAGAGATGCGAGATGAGATGGAAAAGTAAAAGCAAGACGAGAGTTAAAAGCCGTTTAATCGTTAGTTTGTCATAATTCATTTGTCATTAAATTTTCTTTCGTCGTCACAGGGCAGTATCGAAAACAGTTGCCGTTATATCCGATCTGACTAGAAGTCCAGGTGGCGATATAAGGTGCGAAGATATAAACCAATTCGTGAAAGCCATAAAGATTTGGGCCATGAAGCTATCATCGATGTATATGTCGTGTTGTTTCTTGTGTAACAAGGTCGACGAGTCGTTGGTTTCGGAAATATATGATAAGGCGCTATATTCGTTTTTCTGTTCCCCCTCCCTTTCTTTCTTTTCTTTTTCTTTGCAGGCATGCGGAGGGTGGATTATGTGATAGTGATCCCTTGAGTCGAGTCGAGTCCAGTTAGATTCATTGGTGCATGCAATTAACGGGAGCTGTATGCCAGGGCGATGGCGGGCGCAGGCGCCGGACGATCCCGATGAACAACCCTACCTCTATCATAACTTTCAGGGCTGCTGCCTCCGCTTCGACTCCCACCGCTGCTGGTCGTGGACGTATCGGTGTCATCGGGGTATCGAGGCCTTCGACCCGTACCAATGGCAACGGGAATACCCTGGACAATGCCTCCGTGATCGTGGCCGGCAGGGTACATGCCGTCATTGACGGAGAAATTCCGGCAGATCAGATAGGCACGCATGGCAGCCTTCTCGCGGGCAAGCAGTTCCGTCTGGCACACTTCGTCGGTTTGGTATTCGCGATTATTAACCCGAACGACGCAGGTGAACCCCGAACTGGTGCCATTCATTTGTTCGTAAAGAGGTTCTGGCCAACGACGGCGGCGGCAAAGACCTGCAAGGAACAAAACACACGTTATTGGCTGCTGATATCACGATTGTTTCAAATATATTTGCTGTCTGATTGGAGTGCTGGCTCATAGAAAGAGGTGAAAGGGTGACCTCGGCCATGTCCAAAGTCTATAAAGGAGCCACAGGTCGCACAAAGTTGATCATTTCAAGCATTTTGGACCTGCAATGGACCTGCATATGGACTAGAAAGAGGGTGGGATAGGTATCAGGCACCAGGCATCTTAAGCCCATGATTACAATAAAAACTGAGCCAGTGGCCCAAAATGGAACTGGACATTTTTGGTATAAAAATAAATACCATGTTTCCATCAGCACCACCATGGGATCAAGCAATGGAGAGCTAAGGCACCGTGTATCCGGAAGGGCAGGGAATGAACAATTGATTGGATAAAGCATGGGAATTGCCGGTATGGTATGGAAGGTGAATTGGTAGTCAAGTCAGGGGGGCTCGGTAGAGAGGGAAAAAGTAGGGCAACATACTCGCTAGGTAAAGAATGTAGTACATCTTGAGCTAAGTAGCCGATGTACCTGATGCTTTGGGTATCGTGGAATATCCCCCCGTCGGCGTCTGTGTTTGTATTCAGGCAGTAATACTACTATCCTTGGCCGTCTCAGTTCCTCTCCTGATGCCCGACTCTCCCAGTCTCACGATTGCCTGCCTGCGAACCCGGTTCAGCCGCAAGGTGTATCTTTTTCCTTTTTCCGTTATTTCCTTTTAGGCTTTGTGTCTTTCTCTCGTGTCTCGAGTGTGGACGGACGGATGAAAGGTCAATCCGGATTGATGCCCAACAAGTGCCACCTAGTAGTACACGGGCATTAAAAAACAAAGACGAGGCGGTCCTTCAGGGCGAATTCAGGTAGAAATAGCCAAATTGGCAGGGAGAATTGGTAAACGAACTAAAAAACGACGCAAGCTTCGGGATGAATCTAAACATAAAACGAAGGGAAAAAGGGGGGGTGGGAAGCAAGGTTGTGTAAGGTAAGGCTCTACTAGAAAAGATGCGTTAGGATACAAAGATGCTCCCGTCAGTCTGGTCTAAAAATAAAAAGAAGAAGTCTGCCATTCTAGTCAGCCAGGTCAATATGTAGTTAGAGAGCGAAGGAGCCTCGCTTTTAATCCACCAGCAAAAACCTTTGCAAAAAAGTGATGGCAAAAGGGAAACGGGTGGGGCTAAGATGGTTAGCATATAAATATATCCTTGGACATCCGAGTATATAATGATAATATCATTGCAGGCAGTTTTATTAAAAGAAATGGAAGAAAAATAAATAAATAAATAGAGAGGGACAATATTTAGCGTGCGGGCGAGGAGAGAGAAGGCTCGAGGTATTCGCTTCCCACGCTACAAGAGTAACGGGGAGAGAACGACATGCTCACTCTCACAGAAGAGACCTGGATGGAACTTGCTCGCACTCCTCCGCATACTTTGCTCTGCTTGCTTTTTCTTTTTTTCACTTTGGATTTTGATGTGTTGGCAGGTTTTCCCGCCAGTGAAGGATATGGAAGATCGAGAACTTCCTGGCACCAACGAATCACAGCCTGGCCTGGCCGTCGATCTAAACCCACTGGGATTGGCTCCCCAGGTTTGCACTGCGCGTTGAAGCCGACGAGACGCCTGCTCGTCCCCTGGGGCAAGCCCGTAGATGCTGCAGGACTCGATATGCGATGCGATGCGCGCTCTCTCGTAACTATGCAAGCAAGCAGCGAAGGCGTTCTGGTTCTGCCTTTACGAGGCTGCCTTCGCGATACCCGGCAGCATATTACGGGGCTAGCTACTTCAGTTACCGAGGCAGAGGCGGGCGTTCTTTAGCGTGGAGATGGATGGGCTGATCAAGGCCGGAGGAGCAGACGAAGGAGAGAAGGCGGATGCGAGAGGACAACAGCTTGTACCTGTAATGCTCCGTATACTCCGTATAGTGGAGATGACAATTAAAAAGTCCGCCATCAGGTCAAGATCAGGGAGCCAATACGGTTGAAAACCCAGCGAGCGTTATGGTTGAAGAGAGCTTAGATAACGGTTCCCTGACAAAAGGAGACCCTTGTCGTTAACGCCAACCTTTTCTCCACTGCTAATGCAATGCATGTAATAGTTTAGACGTGCGCTGGCAGCGGTGTTTTGAGTTGTGCAAATCGCACTCTGTTTTGGACCCTCTGTCTCGGGAGAGTATCTGCTTGTCTATGAACGCCTCTAGATACGACATCGCGTTGACCATCTCTCATTACTCCGTACTCTACAGAGTATGGTTATCCTAAGATATCAGTCAGCGTGGTGGCCGGTAAAAGGGGTTGAAACTCGGGGTTCACCCTGAGTTGCATCAGAGACATCGAAGACGCGAGTTCAAGTAAACCCGTAGAGACAACAAAGGTACTCCTCGTCCGGCGTAGAAGTTTAGGAGAAGTCAACCTGAACCTTGGTCGATGTATATTCGCGCAATATTACCCGCTGCGCGCTCGCTCCGGCTGCATAGGAATATTATTACGTGAGGGTATAGCGTCCCCGACTGCCTGAGGAGCTGAGGAGGGGGTGCCAGAGAGGGAAACTTGGTGCGAGTATGCGTTGTTCCCAGTGACAGGCATGTTTGATGCAATGATGAGTTGGCAAGTCTTCTTTTTTTTATTATTATCTGGCCTCCGCAACGCCGCAACGTATTTAGTGGGGAATTAACGTACGTTACTTGTATATTTCATGCGAAAGGGTTTCAGAAATGGGGATTTCGATGCCGCTGGATCCCTCTGAGACGGATACTTAGATCGATGAAGGGCCTGGTGGGTGTTTGTCTTGCTATCGCCATCGCCATCGCCATCCGCCACCGCTGGCAGGGAGAGAGAGAGGAGAGTTGGTTGAAGAAAGAAAGCTAATCGGGCCTGATAGGCGGGAACAGGGGCCGACAGGATGCAGAAATGGGGCCCTTTTCGTTGCAAGGGAACGTCTTGCTCGATCACGAAGACCGAAAGCCATCAAGTTGCTGCTTTACTAGAATTCGGTGTTGTTATTCGTTATCCGGGCCTCTTTGTAGTCCCCAATGCGGTGGTTGACGTCTTTCTCCGGTTTGCAGCAAACGTCCGGGATAATTTACATACGTATAGGCCAAGTCATCGATCGAAGAGAGACCGAACAGGACATGAAACCATCCATGGGGAACTTCTTTTTTTCTTATTATTAAATTTCGCGGGATACCTGCATAAGGCGTCTTCTACGATTCGTCCAGAAGACAAAGAATGACAACAGGCGATGGTTATGTGCATTTACCAGTGCTGATTTTCGGTTAACACCAACCCACTCCGCGGCCTCACGGCCCAGTCACAGACACAGTTGCAGGGAGAAGATGCGTTGTGAGCGTGAGCATTCGCTTCCGCATCCGCTTTGCATGATAGACACGGCCCACACCCACATATATTATGTCAAAATTCGGTAGTTTTTGCTAGACAGGACAGAACAGGGCAGGGGATGACCACCCCCCTTTTCCATACTACCATGGTTGACGTTGCAAAAAGGGGATCACTCAATGGATCCGTGCGCCTCAACGGCGGGATTCTATACGACGTCTTGCCTGGGTATGGTGATGGGATTGGCTTTGCACCAGGAGTGTATCCTTTCAGCAGCCGAGTGTGGAATGACGAAGAGAGGGTGAAGTGGTTTCACACGGTCTTGTTCGTCGTAAACGGTGTCAGGGTCATCCGAAGACGCGACAATAGGCGAGCAAGTCCATGAAAACGCCGCCGAGAAGGGTGTGCTACTGCACGCGCTTGGATCCGTCGACCCAGGGTCAGAATATGCACTTGAATAATGGTGCTGTGCATTACTTAATCCGGCCAGCGTGTAACATGTATGGTGAGAATCCGCATGCCTAGTAACCACAAAAAAAGGTGGTGGAAATGAGCCCTTCAGCCGCATCGAGAAGGGGGATAGAAGGGTGTGCATAATCATATGACTTACTTTCCAGGCTTGTCTCGCAAACCGCCATACTGCGATTGGCAGCATCCAAGAATATATCTCGTCAATCCTTCGCGACTGTATAGGCTGCGACCATTCGATAGTTTGTCCGGCGCATCCAATGCCTCTTGGATCAGCGGCCAACAACCTCCAACCCAATGGCTATAACATCCATCAACTAACTTGTTTGTGCGACCTGAAAATCCGCCCTCGGGCGAATACTGTCTTGCCGACAGCCAAGAAATCAACGACGGGACATCCATATACCTGCAATCATGCATCGTGTTGCGCTGGTCAGTCTAGTATCCCGCGTAAATTGAAGGCAAATTACCTGATTTTTTTTTTCTTTTAAAAAAAATAACGTACTTGTTGATCATGGCCCAGGGATGGCCCATGATACAGAGACATGCGATTGCGCAGTAGGCATATGCACCATGCGCCTCGGTGCCGGGGCTTCCAGAGATGCCTCCTTCGTAGGTTTGGCCTGGTTGGTCAGTAAGGGGGAAGGTAGATGAAATAATGCATTATGCGTGGGTGCCTGCTTACATCTAGATAGATATTCAGGCAGGCCGCTCATAAACGTCTCATGTCCGAATTGCCTTGCTGGTGCATCTGGTGGCAACTCCACGGGTATATCCAGCAGGGCAATCATTACCATAGCGCAATACGCTCCGCTTAATTTTGGTTGAGTTAGCATCGTCCAGCGCACGGTGGTCTACCGGGGAAACCAACCGAACATCCTCTTCGCCTCCCTTACTGACTTGAAACCCGCCATCGGCTTGCTTCAACTGGCCTAGCCATTTCCAGCTTCGAACAGGAGAGAGAAAGAAAAGTCAGTATGTACCATATCAGGAAATCACCACGACGGGGGTTAATGCACTTACATTCCGACTCGATCGACTAACTTAAACGCTTCTGGGCTTCCGGTCATGGCTAAACTAAGGGTGAGCGCATAGGATGACGCGCAGTGTGACATCTGGCCGTGCCCGCCGCCAAAGCCCCCTGTCGGATTCTGCATCGGTGCCGCCGTGGCCACAACGCTATGAACGTTAGAAACATCAGATGCATGAAATCGATAGTGTAGGAGCAACCTGCATACCGCTTCTCATATTCCCGTACATCTTCGCCGAGTAAATACAGCCCCGTGATGGCCCAGTAAACCATCCACGGACGGCTAGCGTCCAGGCCCACGAAGTTAGCCGGATACTCGCCCAGCGCATCCACGAGATAGGCAACATGCAGGTCACGATTGAGGCGTTGAACCCCCCATTTGTTTGGCGGCATCGAACTCGCCTCGCCTGTTAGAAAGGGGATGCATTTATTGGTCACTTCGGACTGGGACTTGGATGTTTCAGTCTCTAGTTTGTCAATGAGGGGTGGGAGGGTGGTGAAAATAGAGGGGACATCGGGCGAAGCCATGGTCATCTGTTGGGGATTTTCTTTCTTTTTCTTCTTCGGCTTTTGGTTCGTCTTTTGATTTGAGACTTTACTTGTGTCTTGAGGTGGTATAGATGATGCCGATGGTTGAGATGGTTGAGTCTGCTGTCTTGGAAACCGGACCCGTCGACGATGCTTGGTCGCGACGCTCAACGGCATGAGCAGGGATGTATATTTATGCTGGACACCGGGGGAAGCATCAGTCGCTGCTGTCAATGATCCAGGAGCCTGCTATTGTTCTATCATCCATGTTCTTTGTCTTGAGTGTATCGTGTGTCTATTGTTCTTTGAAGTCAACTATAAAACAGCGGGATGAAGTGATTAGTAAGCATACGCCGATGAATTTATTGGTTAAATTTATTTAGATAAAAAACGCCCTTTCAAGACATCAAAATATCTCGACTTTATCAGAGGTCAACTATCCAAGTGAAGATGTCTCCCCTTTACCTCCTTTGTAAACAACTCCTCCATCCGGTTGAACTTTTCTAACACGCATTTGTCTTCCCTAAAGAGAGACCACAGTTTACCTGGATCTGTCCTGGCCATGGTGTGAATGATCTCAAGCCCCAGATCCCCAATGGCCTCCCTGGCCATGTACAAATCACTCTGCCACCAAAAACGCAACCCATCAAGGGCACCCAGGATGTTAAATGTCCGAATCACCTCTGGAGGATAGATGTGTATCTGGGCCGATGCTCTGGCGAAAGATATCCCATATGTCTCGTGGAAGTTCTCCTTGTACTGCTCGACGTGTGGTGAGTGCTGGTTATATCGTATAGCGTCGATATCTGCAGTGATGTTTCCGGCATGAATCAACATCTTGTCTATATCTTCCATACATCCGCTTGATAGCTTCTCACGGATCATTCGTCTGCTTTCGAGGGCTATGGTGCGTGTATCACATCGTATCCTCTCGAATATCTTGCTATTAGCGGTAACCTGTATCAACTGTTCTTGAAGCTCTGTAATCTTCTCGCAGACCTCGCTGCTCTCGTTGTTGAGCTCTAAGATTTCCTCCTCAGTTATCCCGCTCTCTTCGCTGGCCTCCACCAGGCGCTCGTTAGTCACTCTGAACCACTCGATGAGCCGTGGGGCACCATCGATAACCATGTTTATCTGTGCTTTTGCTTTGATGTACATGGCCTCAAACGCGTCCTCCTGTTCCTGCTCCATCAGGCTGTCCGTCGTACTCGCTGTAACTGTAGAAGGTAGTAAGATGGTCAGTTGATATCATTGTTGTATAGTAAGTTGATACTGTCATAAGTGAGGTGCCTTTGATATTCCTGCTAGACTTGTGTTATATCTTCTCTTTGACGGAACTTTCCATCCCACCAAGGCTAAGAAACACAGGTTGTGTATACACAGACTATTCATCTATATAGCAATCCTTCAAAACATCTGTCGATCTTGAACTTCTCAGCCAATAGGGCCGCGTCGGGATCACTGGCCGATACCGCTGCCACAGAGACGCGAGATGAACGAGTCTCCTATCTAGCATCCAAGAGAGCTGCCACTTTACATCTCTAGTCGAAGCGAACGGGCTGGGGTAGACATCGATCCCGCGTGGAGTAGCTCCGTTAACTAATTATAACTAGATCATGGGTCGTTATGTATCTTCGGATCAGCGCCAGCCACTCCCGACTTCTCGCCGAGTTGTCATTCTCGCCGAGGTCTGGATATTGACTATCCTCTTTATATTAATGTACTTAGAGTGTTGACTATCCTACCCTATGCTCGTAGTGTTTGTCGCAAGTACCATCATGGTATGCTATGATGCAACGTCTGATCGACGAAGACATGACTTGCTTCTCCAGCGTAGGATACACCGCCAGAGTGGTCGACGGCGCTGGCCAAAGTAGCGGAGTGTCTCGTATACAAGGCGACCTCCCCCATACTCTGCAGGACGCATGTATGATCTCCGGGCGTTTGCCATGGCCTTTCGATGCAGCACGCTGTCTGATCCCAGCCACCCGCCTCTCTTCATCCTCTTCCTCCCCGGTCTCTCTCCATCTTCTCCCCCCGTCCTTGTCCTTGTCTCTATATCGACCAGGACGAGGATACGGCTGCTAGAAAACGCGTGCATAAACTAGAAACGTGCGTCGCCATAGCCCCTGTCTCTGCCTCTTAGGGCTAAGTTTAGAGGTAAAGGCGGGTCGGGGCGTGTGGATAAGCAGCGTGGCAGAAGTGGCAGTAGGGGATGCTCACCGCTGCTTTGGCTCCCCACGCTCAAAGTAAAGACGGCGCCCGCCAACCTCAACCTCAACCTCCAACCTCCAACCATCCACGACTCTCTCTCGTCTCTCGTCTCTCGTACTCTCTCTCGTCCTCTCTCTCTCGTCTTTGGTCATCTCTAGCTATCTGGCCTTGGTACTCTCATCCTCCTGGTCTAAGTTACGACTCGCTAGACCTGACCCTGGACAGCCGCGACGGACGACTGACGACCGACGGCTGACGACTCACGACTCACGACTGACGGCCTTACTTGATTCTTGATATATATATATGATATCATGGGCGACGTGGAGCTGACCTCCGACGGGCTCGTTGGCCTCGACTACAGCCCGCGAGCCTACCTGGCTTCGCACTCATGGCCCGAACATGGAGATGCTGCTGCTACTACGACCACCACTGCCGGCCACTATGATGCTGCCACCACCGTAGCCCCAGACCACGGACTCATGGCCGAATGGCACTTTCAGCGCCTCCAGCCACATCTCCAGTACCATCACCAGCAGCAGCAGCATCATCAGCATCAGCAGCAGCAACAGCAGCAGGACTTTACATCATATACCACCGTCCCGCTGCAGTCGCCCATCGGACTGCCCATGCTGCCCGTCACAGATACGGAGCATCAGCACCACCAGCAGCACCACCACATGGATCCAGGCATGCTGGACGGCTCCTACATCCCGGTCGACATGGTGCCCTTTACATGGCATGACTTCCACACCGAGCTGGGTGCCTTCCCGCTGGACAATACTGCCATAGGGTCATACCACCCCGAGAGCAGCTCGCCCGTCGACAACTACCTCGAGGTCCGCTCCCTGACCAGCGCCAGCAGCGACAACGGCTGGACGGCCATCGACAGGGCTCACTCTATCGACTCTTCCCCCTTCCACGACCACCACCAGCAGCATCAGCACCAGCAGCAGCACCATGGACACCAGATCTTCATCAACCCGAGCCAGACGCTACACAACCGTAGCCTGTCCGAATCATCCTTCTCGGACCACCACTCCCTCCACTCTCGCAACTCATTTGGCTCTTTCGTCGAGGTGTCTCCGCACATGCACTCGCCTGGCTCAGAGTCGGCCCTGGAATTCGACTACTCCGGCATGTCTCTGCCACGTCGCGTATCCTGTGACCTCATCTCACATGGCTCCATCTCCCCCACGGCCGTCAGCCCAATCGCCATGGTCCGTCCCATGCCTGTCCTGACAAAGAAACCAGCCACATCGCCGACCAGATCGCCCAAGTCGGGTTCTTCCTCTGCCTCTGCTGCTTCAGGCCAGGTGTCGGCGTCCGGGTCGCCGCCGAGCAGGAAGCCATCGCGCAAGAGTCCGATTGCGGCAAAGAACGCCGAGACCAAGGTACGGAAACAGAGTACGGGCGGGAAGGAAGGTGGCGGGAACGGCGAGAAGAAGATCGGGAAGCGGAAGGGCCCACTGAGACCCGACCAGAGAAAGCAGGCTAGCGAGATACGCAAACTCAGAGCTTGTCTGCGCTGCAAGTTCCTCAAGAAGACCGTACGTCCTATCCTTCTATCGTTATTTACTTGTTACTAATACTGTGTAGTGCGACAAGGGCGAACCGTGTACTGGCTGCCAGCCGTCGCATGCCCGTCTCTGGCAAGTCCCATGCACCCGCATCGACATCAAAGAGATCGGCTACTTCATGAAAGACTGGAAGGCCGACTACGAGCGCCACGTCACCCTGGGCTTCTCCGTCGGCAACATCACCGGCTTCTCCGACTCCGAACGCACCCTCTTCATCACCCACGGCTACGGCCAAGTCCTCCCCGTCAAGGCCAGAGAAGTCTACGTCCACGATGAAGAATGCTTCAACCTCGACTGGGTCGAGTCCATGAACCGCCCGGCAAACCACTACGATCTCAAGACCGCCAAGCTCTCCGCGGGAATGGAAGGTATATCCACCGCCATGCTATCAGACTATCTCGACCGACACATCGACGGCAACGGTAGCTATGAAGGGTTCGTCGATGAGTACTTTGCCGGCACTCCGTTCCTCACCCAGATGCTCAAGACCGCCTATCGGTTCTACTTCCGCACAAAACTGCCGGTCATCCGCAAGGCGCTCAAGCTTACACTTGCGTACAACCTCACCATGCACGTTACCATGGTCGAGGGTCTGGGCGAGCTCGAGGAAGAGGCGTTCTCGGGCAAGGTCGAGGACGGATCAAGTCACTACAAGGGTAAGGTCATGGCTCCCGTCATGATCAACTTCCAGGTAAAGTGTGCCATGGCCAACATGTGGAGAGAGCTACAGAAGGACGTGCTGGAGGAGTTGTCCGCTCTCTACTCGAGCGTGTACAGCGGTGAGAAGCTCAAGAACTGGCCCATCATCTTCATGCTTGCCACCATCCTATTAGCTGTCTGGGAGGAGATGCAGTTTGACTGCCATTACCGTGTTCAGGTATGTTTGTCCCTAACACCTTATCATCGCCGCCTTCCACTAACATCACTCTAGGACCCCGCCGCAGTAAACAAGTTCTGCAACGACATGGAATCCATCCCCGTCGGCGTAATCGTCGGCCTCTTCCAAGCCATCTCTCAAAAACTCCCCGCCCTCACTGACTGGGACACCGCCCAGCATCAACAGATCTTCAACTTCAACTCCGACGTCTGCACTGCCATGACTGAAGTCCGCGGCCACGTCCGACAGTATGAGCACTACCTTCGCGGACGCGGAGAATCCTCCACCTTTGACCGCGATGACTTTGACTGCCTGTCGAACAAGTTCGTCAGTCGGTTAGTCATAAGGGCGAATTGACTAGCCGGCCCTGACGATGGCGGGCCTCGAGATAGGAGGGAGAGAAGGAGGAAGTGGGGATGGGTCGGCGAACGGCCTGTAAAGGTCAAGAAGATGAAGATGGCCGAGATGAGGAGAGGGGTGTTGGTTGCTTGATGACCAGCCACACTCTCCTGTTCTACCCTGCCTTGCCCTTGCGATGATATGAGATGAAGACGGTATAAAAAACGACACGATATGATACGATATACCCATCGCCCCCGCCCCCCCGCCAATTCAAAAGACGTGAAATGAATGACCCAACGAATGATGACATAAAAATATGAAAGCGAAGAAATTGCTTCCTGTGCCTGCTGCGTTCCGTCGCCTTGCTGCCTTACCCCGTGCTGCATTACCCGTGTCAAAAATGAACAATCCGTCTACCAGCAGCCGTCGACCCCGAGTCGACATGATCTTGATTTTGATCTTGATTTGATATCTTTTTTGCCTTTACGTTTTTTAACGTTACGATTTAATCCGTCACTCCTTACCCGATACTAACCCATTTTCTATATGTCGTTGGCTGTCGACTTTCTGTTACCCATATCTATTTACCATTGGGATGTTTTGTACTGTTAGTTTTTTCTTCCTGTTGGTTCTCTGGTTCTTGGTTTCTCCTGTTTTTCTTTACATCTACGCGCCGCATCCCATTGCCGTCCCACCATCACACCACACCATGCCATCCCATATACTAGGTTGATGGAGAATTGGTTGGTCGCTGATACTGGTTTGACAGGCTGGTCGATCGATCTGAGCTGATTGTTTAATGTCCCTTGATCATTTTTTCTGCCGTGTTTTTTATTCCTTTTTCTTTCCATTGTTCGTTCTGCAAGTGACGAAGACATGATATGATCCGTCCGAGCGAGGATCTACGATCTATGATCTATGATGATCTATGAGATGAGTGAGCGTTTTGATTTATAATGATATAAACCCATGTACCTACCTATCTTACCTACTTGACTGTCTGGCGCGCGTATATACGCATGTCATGAGCTGAAGCTGAAGCTGTTTTTATTCAGGCAGGCCAGATTCGAGGAATATCTGATACGCAGCGACGTATCGTGGTGCCGAATGCATTTGATTTAACCGTTTATCTTCTTTTTCTTCTTTTCTTCTTCTTCGTTTATTTTATCCACTACTGACTGCATCATGCATTGGGCTTGGAATCTTGATGCATACCATCCACACTGCACTATTCTATTTCGGGCTTTATCTTTTTCATTTGTCTTGGTCTGGGAAAGTGGATAGGATGGAATGGCAACGGATGGGACGGAGACTGACTCCATGGTTGCATGAGAAAAGAGGGACGGATCGGAAGAGGAGTATCCTGTGTTTTATCCCCTAAATAGCTGCATGTTTCTAGCCATGGATATAAGTTTCGAACGCGCATTAAGCAATGGCCTGACCCCTTACCACGTGACACATACGTCATCAGGAACGCGCCGAGGCTGAGGTGGCTCAGCGATGACTCAGCCCCATGACTCAGCATTTGCCGTTCTCTGATTGGTTCTCGGACCTTCCAGCAGCTTCTCCACTTATGTAAGCCGGGGTTCGGTTCTGCCGCCAGTCGCCGCCCCTGTGTTGCCGCTTTCGGCGTTAGTGCGGGCAGTAACCAGTCACCGCCCTCCGCCTCGCCCGCTGCCTATTTAAGACGTCGCTGCCTTCTTCCTCCTCTCTCTCTTCTTTTCCTTCTCTCATCATCTCCTCGAGACTTGAAGACACACACAGCACACAAGTCGACCGCCATACCACCCCTCATAATCACATACATCACTCTCTACACAGCACAACAGCCGCCATCATGCAAATCTTCGTCAAGACCCGTAAGTTGGACATCCCTTGACTCCGTTGACCTTCTCTGGCCCTCCAATATGGCCAGGGTGACCGCAAGATGACGCCTATGCTAACGAAATTATAGTCACCGGTAAGACTATCACCCTCGAGGTGGAGTCCAGCGATACTATCGACAACGTGAAGACAAAGATCCAGGACAAGGAGGGCATCCCCCCAGACCAACAGCGTCTCATCTTCGCTGGAAAGCAGCTTGAGGATGGCCGTACCCTCTCAGACTACAACATCCAGAAGGAGTCTACCCTCCATCTCGTGCTCCGCCTCCGTGGTGGTATGCAAATATGTAAGTTGCCACTCAGCCACACCCTCCCTCCACGTAACCAACCAAAGTACGCCGAATTACGAATTACGTGCTGACATATGTGCCCTAGTTGTGAAAACTCTGACCGGCAAGACCATCACTCTTGAGGTCGAGTCCAGCGATACCATCGACAACGTGAAGACAAAGATCCAGGACAAGGAGGGCATCCCCCCAGACCAACAGCGTCTCATCTTCGCCGGAAAGCAGCTCGAGGACGGCCGTACTCTCTCTGACTACAACATTCAAAAGGAATCCACTCTTCACCTTGTCCTCCGTCTACGTGGTGGTATGCAAATATTTGTCAAGACACTCACAGGAAAGACCATCACACTGGAGGTCGAGTCCAGCGATACCATTGACAACGTGAAGACAAAAATTCAAGACAAGGAGGGAATCCCACCAGACCAGCAGCGACTCATCTTCGCTGGTAAGCAGCTCGAAGACGGCCGAACACTGTCTGACTACAACATCCAGAAGGAGAGCACTCTCCACTTGGTGCTGAGATTGCGTGGTGGCAACTAATCGACCCTACTCTACCTCTTCTCGACGAACCTAACTTGACTCTACACCCTTATTACGCCTTCACCTACATGACCTTTTTCTTCTTGGGATGAGTTGTTTTTTTACACCCGGTTTATGGCGTTTGGGGACCTCATTCCATGAAGCATTTTTTTGACACGACCTGGGACTGGCACGCCCATTCACTACTAGATAACAACTAGCTACCTTGCCTTCAAAAATACATACATATTTGAAGCATCTACTTCCCTTGCGCGTACCACCCGTAGACGTTCATTCCTCCGTAGATATTCGGCTTGTTTAGCGAATGGCCAGCTGCTTCTTCCCCGCAAAAAGGCGTTTTGGCAGCAAACACCATCACGTGACTGTAACTGATAGCGATAGCATCATAGCCAAAAAGTTCCCTGTAGAAACGACAAGGCATCAATTACACTTATAAAGAGCTTCCCTGGCCTTTATGCAGTCATCTAACGCTACCTGTCAATAGAGTGATAGAAGGACAGGCGGTATGCCCTCTTACTTTTATCACATCACTCTTGAATTTCTCCCTCCGCCACCATCACGCACATACCGACAGGACGCCGCTGCGGGTAAATCAACGGCGATAAAAGAAGCGCCACATACGCATGATACGCTCGATTCATCATCTCTTACCCTAAAAGCGTTTCGTGAATCGATACGTCCGTTCCGAAGGAGGAAAACAAGAGGGAAACACGAGCCGGTGACGGGTGGGAAGCCGCATATACAATCGCCGCCGTCTACGCAGACAGGGTTTGACAATCGTACCTCTGAGACCTGCGTGGGGGCCGAAACAAGGATAGGAAAGGGGACAGCCAGCACACACGATAACGAACTGAGTGGACGGTTAGCTTCTACTTCCCTGCGAGACGCGGACGTGGACACACAGGCAGAATACATCGACCAACGAATCGATACGATATCCATCCAAGGCATCGACATGGTGAATAACGAAATAAACAAGGGAATCGGCTCAAATGCTATAGGCGGCCTAGCTACGAAGGGGAAATATGTGCCTCTCGACCTAGGACTGACAGATAGCGTCTACGGTATTGTCCATCTATATCGTGATGCAGAGGCATCACCTTCCCTGGGTCCGGGTGATGATGATCAAGACCTCTTCTACCTCCAGGGGTCGGCTATGGCGAAGAATTTAAGAGTTGCCAACCAGTCGAGTAAGGGTGTGGCATCCTCTTCTACATCGGCCCAGCATGGTGAAGGCCGCGGCGGTAGGCCGTCGTACGGTGACGACAGGGTATCGTTAGAGGATTGTACGACGCTATGTATATTAGCTGTGCCGTCTTATATGTCGCCATCTGACTTTTTGGGATACGTGGGTGAGAAGACGAGGGACGAGGTCAGTCATTTTCGAATGATCAGAACGGCCCGCGCGAATAGGTATATGGTCTTGATGAAGTTTCGGAGTGGTAAGAAGGCGAAGGAGTGGCAGTATAATTGGAACGGGAAGGTGTTTAATAGTATGGAGGTAAGCGTGCCCTTCTTTCAGCTTCTTTGAATTGGTTGGATAGTTCTAACTTCAAGAAATAGCCTGAAGCATGCCATGTGGTATTTGTGAAAGATGTGGAAGTGCAAGTTGGCTCTTCCGGTACTGAGAAGTTTCCTGACATGAAGAATGATCCGTTTACATTCTCAGATGCTCAGTCAGGTCACTTGGCTTCTTCCGCGATGTCGATCAAACCTCTTGCACCGCCAACACCATCATTAATAGAGCTGCCTACCTGTCCTGTCTGCCTTGAACGCATGGACGAAACCTCAGGCCTACTCACAATCCTCTGTCAGCACATCTTCCACTGCACCTGTCTACAGAAATGGAAGGGCAGCGGCTGTCCCGTCTGTCGCTACACTCAAGACGAGCTTGGAAAACGCAACATTACCTTTCCTAACGATGGGGAACCCAGCGAATGTAGCATCTGCCATTCAGATCGCAACCTCTGGGTCTGTCTAATATGCGGCAACGTTGGCTGTGGACGCTACGATGGAGCCCACGCCTTCGACCACTACAAAGATACATCCCACTCGTTCGCCATGGACCTGCTCTCCCAGCGTGTCTGGGACTACGTAGGGGACGGCTACGTGCACCGTATCATCCAGGGGAAGTCGGATGGTAAACTCCTCGAGCTTCCAGGAGCAGATAACAGTGCCCTTGATCCCCCAGATTGGACCGACGCCGTACCTCGGGAGAAATTCGAAAATATCAGCATCGAATATACCCACTTACTAACTAGCCAACTCGAGAGCCAACGAGTCTACTTCGAAGAACAGGTCGAACGTGCAGCTGATAAGGCATCCCAAGCCAGTACCGCTGCCATCTCTGCCCAGGAGGCAGCAGAACGTCTATCAAAGAACATGGAAAAACTACAATCCCAATATAACAGTTTGACGCAAGAGACCATCCCATCACTCGAACGAGATAAGAATCGCGCTGAGCGTCGAGCAGAGAAGTTCGAATCTATGTCTCGGACGATGGAGAAACAGTGGCGTGAGGAAAAGACCATCAATACCAGCCTGATGGAACGTGTAGAGTTCCTCGATGCCGAGGTGAATAAATTAAAGGCTGCGAATGAAGAGTTGACCGAGCAGAATCGGGATCTTACATTTTTCATCAGCGGGACTGAACGGCTGAAGAACCAGAGCGAGGATATCGTGGAGGGAACAGTCAGCGTTCCGGATCCACCTACCTCAGGTTCTAAGCGGAAGGGAAAACGCAAGGCGAAAAAATAAGTGTGATTTTCTTCTTCCTTCTCTTCTCCCTCTTTTCTCTTCCTCCACTTCGTTGATCGACCGCTTCGCTTTGCCGTTCGGCGATCAGACTTCGTTTAACCTTCCGATGGCCTAGATCTTGCGCTGGTGACTGGCCGGCTAGCTCCCGTGCTGGAGATGGGTTCCGAAAACAGCTACCAGTCATGCGCAAGGGATAGGAAGGTAATGCCTTTTAATGAATGGACAGCGCATGGCGCGTGTATTATAGTGTATACTACGTGGCCAGCAATAATGCTACGATATGATTATACGATTGACGAATAGGAGAGGAAATGGAATGTACAAGCCGGAACTGTTAGCCGATCGGGGTTCTTCTACATCCTGGGAGTAAGAGAATTGCAAGTTGAAGCCCAATGGGAATCACCAGGAACGTACGGAGTAAGCGATAAAGGAACACCGCACTTTATGGCATCTTATTCCATCAAAGACAATCCTTCAACAGGGAACTAAATATCCAAGGAAGAAGCAAAAAAACAAGATATGCATGAAGACCATGTGACGAAGAGAAAAGGCCCTTGTTTCAAAGCATCCGAATAAACTCCATTTCCGAGTTTGCCGATAAATAATCAATTGATTCTTAAACGCTGTTTCCTTTGCACAAACTCTTTCGGATACATCCTAATAATATGTGTGATATAGCCTGCAGCACCATCGTATCGTGAATGCAGCATCACATGGCCTCGCACAGTTCTCTCTCTCTCATCCCAGCCTAGTTGACGAATGAGCAGCACGAACACCTGTTCCCGCAGCAAGCCATGCGTCTATCCTCACTTTAACGGGAACGATAGGGAGAAAGAACAAGCAATTTACGATCCCGGAAGCTTAAACAAGGCTGTTGAACTGTTGTGGCATGCGATGAGTTGTAAATTGGCCGCGCGCGGGCCCTCCACGTTTATACAACGCCGGGTTTCAGCTTCACGCCACTCGGAGAGCTTTTTATTTCGGCTTGACGATGCTGGTGATGATTCGCTTGAGGCTCCGATACCGCTATTTAGATTCCGCCTAACGAGTTCGCGAGGCCAGGATGAGATCGAAAACCAGGATATATGGTATGGGGTATGGGGTAATGCTGCACGTATCCATATCCGATATATCTGTGTTGTGGATGAGTTGAGCTACGTAGACGGGCATGCACGAATATAGGTTCGAATGGCTGGGCCTAGAAGTGTTGGGCTCCCATTGTAGGACAAGGATAGCGTGGGCTTTGTGCAATGGAATGTCTTGGGAAGCTTATTCGTGCCAGGGCTTGTAGAATAGATCCGGATCCTCTCTGCAAGGCTGTTCTGCTCCTATGAAGATGGTGATATATTCGTATCTCGATGCCGTGTTGGAGTCATGAACTTCCTCACCGCCCTCCGCTGCGGGTTCGTGGTGCCGTGTAGACAATGAGATCGTTGGTTCCTGGCTCCCGAGATGTTATTAAATCAGATACCATTGGTTCCTCTCGCAGGAACACCCGCAACGCTCTATGGTTTCTTTTTCTTTGCTCTCAATCGTTAGGAATGCATATTGCATATACTCTGCTTCTCCTATTTTAGGAACCACGTAAATCTTATATTACAGATGAGGCTTGTGTAATTGTATAGGCGGATATCCGACCGCCGACCGCCGACCACCGAGCTATATTTATACAGATATAATATCGCCGCCGCGGAACAAGCGAGCGTTTGGGCGCGCCAAGCGGTCGGAAATTCTTGGCAAAAAACGTGACAGGGGCCCTTGCGTTCCGCCATACTTGGCGCCATGCATAACCTTCCCCACCTATTAAACTCCTATTGGTTAAAATTCAGGGCTGGTGGGGCACCGCTGGGCGGGTGTTCACGTGGTCTGGCTTCTAGCCAATGGGAGGGCGGAGGGCGGCGTGGGAGGAGTGGCGGGGCCAAGACTTTCCGGAGGGATAGAGGGGAGGAAGATTCTTTATTAATGCACACTTATGCAGTCTGTCCACTCGTATAATCCCTGGGCTTAGCCTCTTCCTTGCTTTTTCCGCGCTTTTCTCGGATCTTGGGGAAGATAGGCGATAAGGCAGTTTACCTGGTTTATGGCAAGGGCGAGATGACGTTATACGTACGGGTCTTTTGACGGTGATAGAGCACGAGGAAAGGATGCAGCGGAAACATCGGCATCATGTCTATCCTAAGCACAAACTAATATGAAACGTCTTCATCTAGTGTATATGTTTGAAGGACAAGGAGTTCGAGATACCTTATGGTCAAACATCCCAAGCCCAGCAAGAAAGTCAGTTCACGTCTTTTGCCTCTTGATAGGACCCCACCTCTGGTCCGGCCCACCATTCGCCTTGGTCGGCATCCATGGTATAACGATAACTCCGGGATTTATACTCGCTCTTGACGTCAGGATACACCCAAGGTGCATGCCCGGTAACTCTTCTGCACTCTTGGCGGATTCGCGATTTCCGAGGACGGGGATGGGAGTCCTTGGGTATATAAAGCTCACTGATCCCCCCCGCCTTTGCCTAGATTTACTTCTATATCAGAAGTATATAATAATCCCAAAAGCATTCTAGCATCTTGGGGTATACGATCGTTCATCCATTACATCTATCTTTCCTTCCCGAAGTATATCTTCCGGGATCAAAGGACCTCAAACCCACCTTAGGATCACCGGTAGAAGTCTTAGGTGACTTACTGCAGTATATTCCTACCCATCTCGCCTCAACATAGGTTCCCAACACACACCACCTGCAGTTTCATATATACCGCGTTCCCGGGAACCAAGCGAATGCAACCCTTCGCAAGTCAACAGCTTACAAGGAAATATTATCCCAAGAAAGAAGAGCAAGATTAGATCACCTCTCGTTATGCCTTCCAATAAGGATGGCACAAATCAAGAATATGAGCAGCATCCATTTTTGCTCTCAACCGACTCCCTCGCCCGGCAGCTGGAAACCAACATCGAAACCGGCCTGAATGATGTCCAAGTCAGCCAGCTTCAAGAAAAATATGGCGCCAACCGCCTATCTGGAGAGGGTGGTGCCAAATGGTATACCCTGCTGGGAAAGCAGATCTCCAATGCTATGATATTGGTAAGTTCATGCTCTGTGGTTTCCCTTCTTCTTCTTCTTTTTTTTTTGTACTTTTTACCTGTCCACCTTCCCACGTTTGGTCCTTTGACGGGGAGAGTTGGGAAGCTCTGTTGGGTATATGCAAAGGGGGAGAATTTGTAGAGTAGCACCGTTTTAGGAGTTTCTTAAAGAGCACAGTCTCCACGTTAATCCATCCATCCATCCATCACCTCATGATAATTGCATTGCCACCTCGACTTGAAGAATGCATAGTAACACCTTTCTCTACTTAGGTCCTTGTCCTCGCCATGGCGCTCTCATACGGTGTCTCGGACTATATCGAAGGCGGCGTCATCACCGCTGTCATCATCATCAACGTCCTCATCGGATTCTATCAGGAGTTCAAAGCGGAAAAGAAAATGGACTCCCTGCGATCTCTATCGTCTCCATCAGCAAATGTCGTCCGAAACGGCAACTCAATCACGGTGCCATCAGGCGAAGTTGTTCCAGGCGACATTGTTCAGATCAAAACAGGAGACACAGTACCCGCCGACTTGAGGCTGTTTGAGGTCATGAACCTTGAATGTGATGAGAAAATTTTAACCGGAGAGGCTGCCCCTGTCGCCAAAGATATCGAGTTCGAAGCCGACGGTGATGAGCTCACTATCGGTGTCGGTGATCGACTCAATATGGCATACTCTTCTTCCACCGTGACCAAGGGCCGTGGACGTGGAATTATCGTTTTCACAGGGATGTACACGGAGATCGGTAAGATTGCACAGTCTATGCAAGGGAAGAAGAGAAAAGCCGGCCGGTCCATGTCCTCCAAGTATGGCACCCTTCAGCCATTCAAAGGAGGTGCTTTGCGTATCTGGGATGCAATTGGGAAGTTCCTCGGTCTTACTGAAGGAACCCCATTGCAAATCAAACTGAGTAAACTGGCATATTCGCTTTTCGGATGTGCTATCTTGCTCGCTATCATTGTCTTTGGAGTTAACAAATTCAACGTAACGGATGAAGTCGCCATCTACGCTATTTCAACTGGTAAGCAATTCTTCACACCATTATACAAGAAGGACATGGGACATGGCTAACGTAGAGGTATACAGGAATCGCTATTATCCCGGAGTCACTTATTGCTGTCCTCACAATCACAATGGTTGTCGGTATGACCCAGATGCGAAAGCGTCGAGTGGTCGTACGACAGCTCAGCGCTCTCGAAGCTCTAGGGGGTGTCACTAATATCTGCTCCGATAAGACTGGGACATTGACTCAGGGACAAATGGTGACTCGCAAAGCATGGCTTCCTGGCGTTGGCATCTACTCTCTAACGAAGTCCAACGATGCCACGAACCCAACTCGAGGAACCATTTCACTTGGCAAGTCACCCGCAACTAGACAAGAGGCCGAACAGGAGCGTGAACAGAAGCGCGCAGAGCAAGATGCCCTTCGCAGTGCGGCAGGTTTAAAATTCGATGTCCCTGCTGAAAAAGCAGAACGTGATCAACGACGCAAAGACGAAGTTCGCAATGAAAAGGAGGCAGAAGACGAGGAAGATGATGGATCCGAGGGTGGAAGCCTCCCTGAGGTTGTTCCCGAATTAGCTGCCTTCCTCGAATCTGCCGCGTTGTGTAATTTGGCATCTGTCCGTTATGATAAAGCAGCGAACTCCTGGCAAACAATGGGCGACCCGACCGAAGTTGCGTTGCAGGTGTTTGCACATAGATTTGGATTTGGAAAGAAAGCCCTTGAAGCTGAGAGTGGCTGGAAACCTTTGACCGAATACCCGTTTGACAGCACAGTTAAGCGCATGTCCGTTATCTATAAACGCGACAAGGAACCCGGTACTATAATATTCACCAAAGGGGCCGTTGAAAGGATCTTGGACCTCTGTACCTCTGTTGGATTCGGCGAACATCAGGAACCAATGACCCCTGAAATGAAAGAACGAGTCCTTGACCAAATGGGATTCTTAGCTGAGCAAGGCCTGCGAGTTCTGGCAATTGCACAGAAGCCTGGCCCCAAGGAGTTTGGGAAGAATATGGAAATCCCAAGAAATCAAGTCGAGTCCGACCTGACTTTGTTGGGCCTGGCTGGCTTGTATGATCCACCGAGGCTGGAGACTAAAGATGCAGTAAAAGGTATGCACCAATATCCCTCTATCCAAAGCAAATCGCAAAGCATTTTCGTAATGCTAACCATCCAAATATAGAGTGCACAATGGCGGGAATCCGTGTCCATATGTTGACTGGCGACCATCCTTCAACAGCAACAGCCATTGCAAAGGAAGTAGGAATAATTCCGCGAAACACCAGTACCCTATCCGCGGCGGAATCGGCATCACTCGTCAAAACTGCAGCCGAATTTGATAGAATGACGGATGAAGAAATTGACGCCTTGCCGTCTCTACCCCTTGTTATTGCACGATGCGCCCCCGAAACAAAGACTCGAATGATCGCTGCTCTTCACCGCCGCGACAGATACTGCGCTATGACCGGAGACGGAGTCAATGATGCACCTTCACTTCAAGCTGCCGATGTGGGAATCGCCATGGGTATGGGTGGCTCGGATGTTGCGAAGTCAGCCGCCGATATTGTTCTTACCGATGACAACTTCGCCAGTATTGTCAACGCTATCGAGGAAGGGCGACGCATGTTCGAGAATATCCAAAAGTTCATCCTCCATCTTCTAACATCGAATATTGGCGAGGTCGTCCTCCTTATTATGGGCCTAGGCTTCAAAGATAGAAATAACATTTCTGTCTTCCCACTTTCGCCGCTGCAAATTCTGTGGATCAACATGTTGACCTCTTCATTCCCTGCCTTTGGTCTTGGTCGTGAAAAGGTTTCCGCCGCTGTAATGCATCGTCCCCCACATGACACCAAGAAAGGTGTTTTCACCTGGCAAATCATCGTTGATATGATGGTTTACGGTGTGATCATGGGCGCTTGTACGCTACTGACGTTCGTGATCGTGGTTTACGGTGTTGGAAACGGCATGCAAGATCTGGGAGTCGACTGTAACCACGCAGCCAGCGACAGCTGTCACGTCGTCTTCCGTGCGCGAGCCGTGGTTTTCGCCGAACTGACTTGGCTCATTCTCATCTCCGCATGGGAATTCAAGCATCTCCGCAACAGTATGTTCAACCTTGAACCATACCGGGACCATAGCGATGATACCGTCCCTTTCTTCCCGTTCTTCCATGATATATGGGAGAATCAATTCCTCTTCTGGGCTGTGGTTATTGGTGCGCTCTCCGTATTCCCAGCAGTGTACATTCCCGGCCTCAACACCAAGGTTTTCAAACACCAAGGCATTAGCTGGGAATGGGGCCTCGCTTTTGGATCAGTGATTGTATTTGTTCTTGGTATCGAAACCTGGAAGTTCATAAAGCGCCGTACCGGATGGTTCGCAGAGGGCGAAGACTACGGCGGCGTGACAGCCATCGGCTTCCGAAGAAGATGGCCCAGCCACGAACTCGGCCTGCGTCAAGGCTTCTTCACCTTCGCAAAATCCCTTACAAAGGGCAGCGAAAGGAGTTTTGCTGTCGGACCGGAAAGCTCTCGATCGAGTGTCAATGGTAGAGACCATCTGCGCCGTCATGATGTTTCCAATGGTATCAGACCGAAGGAAGAAGTTTGAACCGTTTCGATGAGTACTCAAAAACCATGTTTATGCCTTGTTGAAGTACTTCAATCGATGGGAGGAAACGGCTGGCAATCCAAAAAAAGAACAGCCATATTGGCTGTATGGAAGATATGACGAAGATATGACTTGTAGGCGACTACTTTGAGGGTATATGGAATGAGGATGATAATCAATGATCCAGAGGATGAATGAAGAACGAGTGAGCTGAACGAGCATGATCAGATAGCCACGGCTTAGTATCGAAGCCGTATATGATTCCCAATTTTATTCAGTTTTCCAATTAGTTTCCAGATATTCCGTCTCTAATAGATTTCTTAAACGTATAAATATCTTTCGTGATGTCAAACTTGAGAAACCAAAAAGTCGTAGATGCAGTTTGCACTGTTTGCACTCATAGCTCCAGGCCAAAATCAACTTGATAAATCGACCTTCGATGCGACAATTCAAACGAACGGCAAACAGGCTTGCGCCAGAGCTGTATTGGGTTCAATGTCAATGCCATATGATGATAAGAGGCCAATTATAGCTATATCTGGCTCAATCCTGACAAATATCCTGGCTATACAGAGCTGGTACGACATCTTTGCGCGATAGCTATCAAGTCCTCAAGCGACGAAGCTTGGGAATACTGGATAGAGAGCAAGTAAAGCCCGGCTGGCTTTCGCAAATATGGCACAGGTTAATCGATTACGGACATACTTTCTAAAGAGGGATTCACCTCTCCTCCGTCCGCTTTGCAATGGCTCCAATATCGGGACTCAAAGGGCGAACTTTTTCCTCTCCATACAACGCCGAAACCATTCAACATCCCCTTCTCCCTCATCCTCCTCCGTATCCTCGGCAGAAATGAATCATTTTGCGACTTTAGCAAGCAGTTGGTGGGATCCTCTTGGGCCTTCCCGCATCCTACATCTAATGAATCCGCTCCGCCATGAATTTATCGCATCATGCCTCTACCAGTCGCAAACACACCATCCTCAAGAACAACAGCCAATAGAACCAGAGAGGCAGTCACTTAGTGATAGCCCTGGCCTAAATTATCTAGATATAGGCTGTGGCGGAGGAATATTTGCGGAATCACTCGCTAGAACCATCCCGCTTACACCCTCGGGATCTCCAACGAACACAAACGCTTCATCCCTTCTTGCTATCGATCCGTCGCCTGTAATGATCGAAATTGCTCTATCACACGCCCGTAAAGATCCAACACTACACAATCACCTCCAGACTGGCAAATTTCAATATAAGAACACGTCTCTCGAAGATCTAATAGATTCCACCACACCTACCACTACCGATGCTACAACCACCAACTCCTCGGCTACTGATACCCAAAGATTCGACGTAGTCACCCTCTTTGAAGTTCTTGAACATGTTGACCCGTTAACATCATCCCCACAAGCCTTTTTAAGGAACTGTCTTCGTCTTTTAAAACCAGGCGGGTGGCTAGTTGGATCAACAATCGCACGAACTTTGCCTTCATACGTTGTCAATCAGGTTATTGCCGAAGCCCCGTGGCCAATTGGTGTTGTGCCGAAGGGCACCCATGAGTGGAATAAATTCGTCAACCCAGAAGAATTACATGAGTGGGCAGAGATTGAAGGCTCGTCAAACATAGAGTGGACGTGTGTTGGTGCTATGTATGCTCCTGGTCTCGGATGGAAGATGGTCCCCGGATCAGAGAAATGGGGCAACTACTTCTGGGGCATAAGGAAGCTCTGAGACGCTCCGATTTTTTTGGGAGGGCTAGGTTTTGCTCGTTTTAATAGAGTGCGAGCCTGTATAATAATTGGCATATAAATATACGTGAATAATGCAGAATTTACTTCCAGGTGTATCCCCGTTTAAGGCGGTTATCAATGCAGTGGCCTCCTGGTAGCTGCGATGCTGGCTAGGCTTACATTGTAATGAGCAAATTCGAATACATCCTTGCATCTCAATAGACCTGACACTGCTTTTGCCATGAGTTCTCTCCAATTGTATATTGAAGTTCAGCACAGGTAGAGATTCGATGTAGCAATTAAACCCCTAAGATAGATGTTTTATCCAATCCTTTAAAGTTAACCCCAGATTCCGCGACTGTGCGGGTATTATATATTATGTACAACCATGAGCTTGAAAAGGCCATTAGGAGCCCGCATTATTATCGAATCTTCCTTGCCATCTCAAGCTCCGGCAGAGCCCACTCCTGCATCCACTTGGAATTGAGGGCTTCAGCAGAAGTCAATCGCTCGTTAGGCCGGAAGGCTAGCATCTCTTTTAGCATATTGAATAAAGCAGCTTTCTCTGCATCGCCAATCTTCTCCATACTGCATTCCCGTCTAGGTTCCTCTACATCGGAGCTAAATCGTTTCTCCCACGGCCTTTCAGACTCTGTATCTTTGATTTTCCCATGTTCATCAAACCATTTAGAGCGTGCTTCCCATTTCTCCCACCACTTAGGAGGTAGTTTACAGAGGGTGTCAACATGCTCCTTAGTTACATAGTCGCCAGATGGGGGAAACCCTTCAAAGGGCGGTCCAGTACCCAGAATACTATAAATAGTACACGCAAGGCTCCAGATATCACTAGGGAAGGATAGCGGTACCTGGGCCATAAAACGAACTTCAGGGGGTGAAAATATAATGGTTGTGTTTGAATGGTGTCTTATTGTAACGGATGGTTGAAAGGATTCGCCAAAATCAGTGAGAAGGATGCCGCTCGCCTCAGTGGGAGAAATATGCTGGCCATTCTTACCGAGCCACATAGGCACAACTGCGTGAGTTGGAACTCCAGCGGCAAGAGGTGAATTATCAAGGCGCTTTATAGGCTCAAGATTTGGGCGGCCGTATTGAAGGTAAAGCTCCTCAAGCGACAGGATATTTATATCTCTAGAAAGCGGGAGTAAAATGTTACCAGGGTGAATATCTAATATAAGAGCTGTTAGCATAAGCTGTAGAATATAAGAGCTTATAAATATAATAAGACAAAACAGACCAGCATGAACAATGCCTCGGGAATGAAGGAAGGCAATGGCTTGAACTAGCTGGGCAGCAATGACTCGTGCCGTAGATAGCTGAAATAGCCTGCTATATGAGGCGTCTTTGGCATCAGACAGACTCATGCTTGCTGGTGCGGTGACAACACATCTGTGTTCGCCATTGGGCCCTGCAACAACGAACTCATCCGACATTGAGGAGATGAGAGACTTTGCAGAATCGTTGTTCTTTAGATCTCCCAAGTGACGGAGTATGTTGCAGTCTTGAGAATTGCCGTTGGCAATCATAATTTTGATGGCCACATATCTGTTGATTTTCAAGTCCCTTGCTAGCCAGATGATTGAGTAGCCACCAAATCCTAATTTATGTACGATGCGGTAACGGCCATCATGAAGAAGGTCACCAATACCTGTTGGATGGTAGCCGCCAGGGCGATATCCCTCGAATCGCTCGACATCCTCGAGGGGCATATACTCCATGCCACAGCTACGGTTGGCGGAGAACCTACGTAGCGGTGACAAGGGTATCTTCCTAGGAAGGCAATGTGTAAGAGAAGGGTATAGCCTATGAAGACAAAGACTGCTCATGGTAGAGAGCTAACTAGGACGTGTTGTGGTTGAGTATCCAGCAAAATACTATCGGGGGTGGTCGAAAAGGAGAACCAATGAAACTAGACAATCATTTGCTACATCAACTAATGGTTAGTTACGCCATTCGTTCATTACATCGACGTCGCATGGAATTCATCTAGCTGTGTCGGCCATGGACAGTTAAGTGATCCGGTTTGGCTTGATTAAGGGGCGACATACTGATAAATGACTAGGGAATATTTATTTTTATATCGTGAAGCATTGTAGAATTGAGCCAAGGACAAGAGCCAAGGACAATGGCCAGGGCTAACGGTGTAGCCGCCGGCGTAACCGCCAGGGGCAGCAGTGCCCACCAATAACCATCCGCTGGATGCATAAGATTCTCCCACGCCGGGCCAGTCTGAGACAAAGCCTGAGACTACGGAGTATTGAAGATTGAAATGGTATACTCCGTAAGTAGGCATTGAATTTGACTACCAACAAGTATCCCGTTAGCTCATTAGCTACATATTTATAGTTAGGTATCCGTTGAGCATTTCTCGTTTTATAGCAGAAGCCGCACCTGTAGCTGCAAATTTCTTGGACAAACGGTTTAACGAGCGCAAGAGGTAACACGCCAGGAGTCTCCTACACATCGTAGCTCCAGTGTTGGTTGTGAATCGTAAACAGTAAAGATATATCGAGATGTATGAAGATAGGACGGAGTAACCATTTCTCCGAGCTCCGAAAAGACCTCCAACGTCATTGTATAAATAGTTAGCCAGCTACATATCAAGGTGCACGCAGCCAACTGCCTCTCCATGCCGGGATACAGCTCCATGGCGCTCAAATATATGCACAGGTAGCATGGATGACACAATGATCGGGCGCTGGCTTTCGCCGCTGCCGATGGAAGGCCCAGCTACTCCCAAATCTTCAAGGCCGCAGCTTCGCCAGTTCATCCACCACGCAGAGCCGATTGAATACCACGAAAAGCTCGGAGAGGGATCTGAAGGGATAGTATATCGCGTCACCATTGCCGGCAATGAGTATGCTTTGAAGATAGTGAGCAATTTTCACCCAGATCTTGGAAATATTGGGGTCAAGACTTGATCAATGATCTAATACTATGGCGCTTCCTCCTCTCCTAGTTTAAAGAATGGGTTTATGAAGGCCGCCTAAAATTCGATGAACACTTACAACCGTACACGTGTCCGTTCTCTCATGAGAGTCGTGCCTTCGCTCGTTTGGACAGCATGGGGGAAAACGGTACCTGGGCCGTCAAGTGCCATGGATGGATGAAGCTTTCCGACCAGCAATTATCCCAGCATCTTCGTTACCGAGGGAACATTATTTCGCGATGGGCAATCGTTAAAGACTACATCCCCGTTCCTGTTAGCATTAGTGATGTACCAGAGATACGACGCAAAATGAGTATTGCTCGCAGAGCCAGGATATTCCCCGGCGACACCCAACCACGAAATTATCGGGGCTCTTTCATCATCGACCTAGGTTGCATGCGAACATATCCTTACCTTAGACAGCTGTGGTCAACACGTGAATACAGGGAATTCTTTGTATCTTTCGATAAGGAGGCCTCCGAATGGGAACAGTCTATAAGGGATGGAACCGTTGTTACACGTTCGGACAATGAGGAATTCAAGGAAATATTAGCAGAGTCGACATTCACATTACAAGATGCAGTAATGGAAAACCGTCTGCCGTGGTTGAAACCAAAGAAAAAGATATCGATAGAGAGTAGCTCGGATTCAGAGCCAGGCTTCTAAGGACGTCATTTTTATGGCCGCGCCAGTGGTTAAGCCTCGATGACAACAAATAGAAATATCCCCTATTCGGGTTTCTTTCATTACATCCATCCAAACTCATAAATATTGCCTCTTTAGGCTGTTTATCTTATTGGTTATCGACAACTTTACCGCCGATATTTTATGGACCTTGTTTATGTTTCCTACACTTTGTTACTCCAGCAAGAGCGAAAGTTGCCCTTTGTTATATATCACGTGATATGGCTGCCTAGGTTTCAGGACCTGCAGCGATAACCGCCGTCTTGCATGAAATTTTATATATTATTTCATGCGCTTGCATTCACGCGCTTGCTTCCTGTTGCTTTCTTTCTCCCAGGCAGAAGCAGCCAGTGAAAGGTGACGTGGAAGACAACAACAAGGGTATACCGAAACCAAGTGAGCTTCAACGGAGACTGGATATATGACAGAGTTGGGCATATGCTAAGCCTCATGCAACTCCCGCAGAAACGCTCCAGTTTGTTCCCCTGTAGTGAGCATATCTACGACCAGGTGTCCCCGGCCAAACGAGGCTCAATTGGTTAAAACTGATGGCGCCCTTTTCTTTTACTGCTACGCCGCAACATGACCAACTCATACGATACCCTATCAACAGTCATGTCACTGCCCAGAGCAGTTACATCTGAGAACACCCTCATAACGTCACCCGTTTATACATACTTAGACAGGGGATACTGCACTTGCCTAGGCAACAATAGCCCCTGGCGGTAAAGATGTCAGCAGAATCGGTCACAAGGAAGGTGAGGCTGGATTCCCTATAGCCAATAGAACTACCATAGCACATTCGATCAGGTTAATATAAATAAGGGACAATCCGCTGTTGTGAATCAAGCTTCCCAGAGCCCTACACCTTCCTCATTCCTTGACCTTCACAAGAAAACACCCAATATGTCTCGCACGCTTCTTGATTACTTGACCGAGCGAAACCCCGACGTCAATAATGACAACTCTCTAAAGGGGGCGCCTACGTACCAAGAGCATTTGTCGAAGATTGAATTACAAGATTGGCCCGACTTTACTATTGAAACTTTGATGGCCTGCTATGGTCACGTTTTAGAACGAGACTTTGACGCGACGTTCCCGGAAATTTCACCGCCCATAAGCCTGCTCGAACGTATGATATTTAACGAAGATTCGCTGGATCATCTCTTGAGTCGATCAATTGTCCCAGCTGTCAGTGTGGGGTTACAGGTAGCTTGGGATTTATGCTACCCCGGTCACGAGGAAGAGGTCATTGATATCACGCGTGGGGGAAGAGCAATACTGCGGGCCAATGCAAGGAACGACGCGGAAAATGCAATTTTCCCTGATTGGGCAGGTGTCCAGAAAATAGAGAACCCCAATGGTTTCGCCAATCGCTGTCCAGGAGACACGAAGCTCTCTACGAAATGGAGTTCTAAGAAAAAGGATGCTCCGTCGTACAAATGGCCATTTGCGCAGGTGTTAAAGTACGCTGGCGACAACTGGAAGACCCGATATGGGTATTTGATCTCGCAAAAGGAGTTGGTGGTACTTCGTTTCTCTCGGGAGATAGTTGGCTCTGGAGTTGCTCTAAAAAGATCTCCACGGGTAACTCGACCCCCTTCGGCACAGCCACCTGCCCAGTCTGCGAGGCAGCATCCACGTCAGCGCAATGATTCTATCGCCAGCTATATGTCCCTTGACCGCGCATCCAGATCTCCAGGTCCTGCTCCCAGATCTCCCGGGGGGGAGTCATATGTTGACGACCAGTTGGACATCGAATACTGCCCAGTGGAAATGAAGAGCATCCCTTGGAGAAATTACGGACGAGGGAAGCTAACAGTGAAGTTGGCCTTGTGGTGGATTCATATGTTGGCGGCCGCTCCAGGAGGGGAAATATACATCGGCCACGACTACCCACCGCTCAACTCGTGGGTTCCAGTAGATGGCCGGTACCGTCACACATCTACCGGCTTGGTTTCAAAGAAATACCCAAAACATGGCATGGTGTTAGACCCCGAGGCTTCTCAGGGCCCATCCACTCCACCCCGGGACCCATCCACCCCATCCCGGGGCCAACGGGGCGTTGCTTCCCCCTTCTCGAGCCCCCTATCGTCACCCCCCATGGTCGCTGATATGATGCCTACCCTGGAAGAGTTGATGGACGTTCGCTGGGACGAGAACAACGACCGATGGTGGTTTGAAACATCCAGCGGCCGCAGGGGACATTTTGCTTATAGCGCTATGATCTGGAGCCAGCGGGAGGAGTGCTTTGGACACGCTGAAGAAGACCAGATGGGTAACTTTGTATTCGTAGCACGTCACTAGGTTAGATTTTCGTTTTGTTTTGTTTTGTTTTTTTTATTTTTATTTTTAGAATAATGGAGCGTGAATATTTAGATTGTAAGACTTGTTTTTTGGTTATGCCTGCTCTTTTCCTAGCTCTTGTATTTATCACTTAACTTATCTGATACTTATTCCTAAACTTATTCTAGCTCCTACCCCTCATCTTATCCCCAGCTTGTCCTTATCACATCTTCTATCCTACCCTTCAGCGTAGCCGGAGCTATTACCCTTCGGCTTATGGAAAAAGTACAAACTACGACCCTTGACGTCATTTGGTAAGACCTACTATTGATACATGTAAGTCTACTATGCAACATATATTATGGCGAATATATGAAAATCACCTTTCTATACCACACATACATTATGACAAGGCAGGCTATCGATAAACGATAAGATAAGAACTCAAGAGACGCAAAGTATATATGGATAGATATAACTTCATTATAGTTTTTAAAATATAAATGACATAAACGCTGCTGCTGCTGCTGATCCTGCTTAACGTAAACAATGCTGATGATATAAAGCTATAATTCATGTAAAATGTAGGCGTAGAGATGAGGAAAACGTCAAACTAGGAACAACAGTAGGAGATGAGATTAAAGGAAATAGAATAGATAAGACAAATGAAAAGAAAGGAAAAAAGAAAAAGGAAAAGAAAAACCAGGGAAAAGAGGAGAGGGTACGAGATGCTATTATAAATGAATAATGACGATAACGGAAAGATGATCACTCAATGAAGAGTAAGAGGGTATCTCTAATAACGGGGGAAACACAGGAAATCTGAGTAACAATAGGAAAGCGGAGATGATGATGATGTTGAGGGGGAGGAGGATGTATGAGGTATGTTGCTAAGAATATAACAATATATTTCTCGCACTTGTTCGGCTGCCATGTGGTCAACTCATCTCAAGTTTCGGCTTCATATCGTAATTCTCTGGCTCCGAGCTCTGCGGGCGCCGCATTCCTTGGCTGGAAAAGAACATGTGTGGCGTTATCCCGCCGGGGTATTGATGGCTGGATGGCTCCGGGTAAGTGTATTCTGGCGCCGAGGCCGAGCTTGGAGAAGGCATGCTGCTTAGGGTTGGTGACGCCCAGCCGACGGAAGACAGGTGAGGGCTTCCCGCGACGCTGTTAGGGCGTGGGTCGCTGTTAGCCGGTGGCTCGAGGGGCTGGGGTGGCCCGTAACCGCTCGGGTGAGACGTGAGGGACGGTCGGTTGTGGTAGGATGGCGGCCCACTTAGGCTGGTTAGGGTTGGTGAGGGGGCGGTGGGAGACGCTCGGGGGCTGGGCTGTTGGAAGTCTGTTCGTAGATGTGGTGGTAGCGAGGTGTGGCCCATGTAATAGTCTCCTGACGGGCGGGAGAGATTGAGCGGTGGGAGTTCGTTGCCTGGGGAAAGAGAGGGCCGTTGAGCGGGGGATGGAGTCGAGTGGGCGGATCCCGTTTCTGAGTATTCAGATGGTCGGCCGACTCGGTCTTTGCTGTGGCGGAGGTTGGCTTCTGTTTCAGCGGCTGCTTCTTCGATTGTTCCGGTGTGATGGTTTTGGTGACGTGTTAGGGTTGTGCGACGTGTGAATGTCTTTTGACAATTGGCGTAGGGACATTTATACGGCCGTTTACCAGAATGGATCCTGCGATGCCTGGCTAGAGAGCTGGAGTCGCTGAATGGCTGTTCAAAGAGTTAGTTGCTTTGTCTGTCACATTAGAAGTAGCGGTAAAAACATACCTTTCCGCATCGATCACACATGTGTGGCTTCTCACCAGTGTGAACGCGGGTGTGGACAGTCAGTGCAGAGCGCTGGATGAACTGTTTACCACAGCCTGGCCAATCGCAAGCATGAGGCCGGATGCCACTGTGAATGCGTTCTATAGTAGTATTAGCATAAAATGTATGAATTTAGGTGTAATCACTTGAACATACCATGTCTAGCCAGATCGCTCCGTCGGGCAAATCCCTTGCTGCATGTCTGACAGTGAAATGTCTTTAGTGCAGGGAGACCACTAGGTCTCATGCTGCCATTGCCGTTTCTCGCATAGTCACCGGCGCTGTGAGCGTAGTTGTTATGGCTGCCGTTCATGCCATGGCTGTTAGCCTGTGCCTGGGCGTGATACTGTGCCAGGTGTGCCATCTGGGGAAGCGACTGTGTAGACGAGGGATACGTGTTCTGGTGATCGCTCGGGGGCCCGGACGCAGAGCCGTGCTCTGAGCCCATCTCCGAGGGCGACCGCGACTTTGCATCTGTGGCCTGGGCGAGATGTTGCTGGAGCTGGTGTACGTCGGCGGCAACCACGGAGATGGAGGCCTTTTTGTTTAATATTGTGGTTATATCCATGATGTGGTGTGTGCCCGCGCTACCCAGAGCGTTGGCGTAGGAATCGGGTATGAGTTGGAAGTGTGGCTGCGCAACGACGAGCCCGTCTCTGATCATATACCGAGAACCTGTAACAGTCAGCGGTGAATAGATAAGGCGAGTCTCCAGGTATTAACGTACCTCTGGATATTTTATTTTTCTTATAGGCTACTACCGTCGTCGTAACCCTGCCGGCAATGTGTTTCAATCGCACGGGAGAGAGTAGGCTATCAAGGAACTGTCCGACGTCGAAAGGGGCTGGAAACGTAAGGGATGGAGATTCCAGAACAGGGCAAAAGAACAACCCTGTCGACGAACCTGCTCGGGAAATAGAAGCGAAAAAAATAAGGGCAAGGAGACGGTCTTCTGCTGTGATGCTGTGTGTGATGCTGTGCTATGCGAGCACGAGTCAAGCTCTGCCACGGGGAGTGAGCCCGAGGTTGACAGGCGGTTCGGCGGCGGGAAGATGCGTCTCGACGGGCCAATAGCTGGCTGGCTGGCAGTTGAATAGTTGACCGATAGCTCGCGAGGCCGTAGCGGGTGGCTGCAGGCAGAGACAGGTATGTAGGACTCGTTTAGATCATGCAACGCTCAGCCTGGCGTTTTTCTCTCTCTTTTCCAGCGTCTTCGATCCGGCCGGCCGTCCGTTCGTCGTTCTTCGTCCGTCGTTCGTTCGTTCGTTTCTCTTGATACACGTGAAGGAGGTCTATCGTACTCTATCGTACTACGTCGAGCCGTCGTCAATCGTCTCTCGTGTTTGATGTCTGCGTTTCGGTGTTTGGTGATTTCAGGTGGTTCAGTGAATCTCGAGATGGTTGAGGTGGCGACTGATCTATCGCTCGTTAGCAGACGCCGCAGCAGTAGCCAGCAGTAGCCAGCAGAAGTAGCAGCAGAAGTGATAGCAGTGTAAGTAGTAACAGTGTAGAAGTGTAGAAGTGATGGTGATGGTGATAGCAGTGTAGGGAGTGTTATGTCCAATCAAGCGAAGAGTGATGGCGGTCTGCGGATGCTGCCCAATCACACACTTCTACCACTCTATCCTATCACTCTATCACTTCTTCCTGTACAATAATCGAGCAAGACAGTAGAGCAGAGTAGAAGCAGTAGAAGTAGGAGTAGGAGTAGAGAAAACAGCAGAGTAGGTGTAGAAGTTGCTCTTCAGCCGAGACTTACCACGAACAGGATGATGATGAACAGGATGAACAGGACGACGATGAGAAGACGAGAGAGACGAGAGAAGAGAACAGAGAAGAGAAAAGACGTACCAACCTGAGATACAATACGGACGAGATGCTCGAGGGAGGTCGAGAAGTAATAAAGAACCGAGATAAGACGAAAACGATCAGGATGATGATTAATAAGTGGGCATCAATGCTTTATTTTTCTTTTCTTTTCTTCTTCCCTGCAAGAATGAGGAATTAATCCAGAGCTGTTAAGCCTGCTAGTAGACGCCAGGTGCAAATACGTCGCTCGTGGGATGAAACGATGATGATTTTTGTGGACTGTGGACGTTTATGATTCCCTGACCTGGCACGGAAGAAGGCCTAAATTTGAAAAAAAGAAGAAGAGAAGAAGAAAAAGAGAAAAAGAGAAACAAGCCCGTCCACGCCTGCAGAGAAATTCTAGAAGAACGGGCTGGAGGACAGAAGGTGACGAGGGAGAGGAAAAAGAAAGGAAGAAACAGCCCTAACAGTCCGTATTTACAGTCGACGCTTGTACGAGAATTGCTTTTCTACTTGCTTTCACCGTATGGGGCGAGAAGGGGAAGGGAAAAAAAAGCAAGGAGAGATATACAGCAGCAGCCTCCATCTATCCTCGTCCTGGTCCCATCCTCGTTTTATCCCCGTCGCCGTTGGCCGTGGACTGGGCGGACATTACTGCGCAAAGTAGGGAGTATATATCACCACCACCGTTGACGAATCTGGATCAGGATCGCCTGCTCTCCCCATCCCATCCTCTGCCGGATGGTGAAACGGCCGCCAGAAGAGATACGGAGCAGCGGTATAGCTGCCAGGCACCGCTCGGCTAGCGTCAGATGATATCCTTCTAGTGCTTCTTCTAGTGCTTCGAAAATGCGCGATCAGGGCAGCCTGCAACAAATGACGACGGCCGCAGTCCCACGCTAGGCCGGCCGGGAGGAGCGAGATGGCCATGCCAGACCCCCATGCGCATCTCACGGTCGTTGTGTTCGTGGATGGACATGGATGGGTTGAAACGCTGGTGCCCACTAGGCCAACGGCATGCATACGATGCTTATTTCCATCGTTCACCTTCCTCTTCCATCATCGCATAGATCAATAGCATCATCGTCACCAGCTTCGGCATAGATCAATAGCATAGGATAGCATCTGTATGCCAGCATAGCATAGCAGAGCACCATGCAGTAACTCCGTAGAATGGCATGGTTGCCACGGTGGCCAAGTTGCCTCCGGCCTCTAATTTGCACCATTGTTTCACAGCCGATGGAGATGCAGTGTAAAGTACGTGTAAGGGCCGCCCGTTTCATAAAAGAAGAAAAGAAAAGGCTTGCTTCCGATCTTCGTTCCTCCTTCGCTTCGTTGCTTTTTCCATCCCCATCCCATACCCCCAGCGTATCCCTTCTCCAAGGATGCCTTCTCCCCCACCGGCCCAAGTATGTGAGCGCTAGTCCTGTGCGCCAGAGGGGGCCTGCAGCTAGAACCAACCCGGTGCCTCCTGGTGTTCAAGCCAACGGCGGATCCCTGCCTCGTCCATGTATATCGGCCTTATCTTATAGCTGGCGGAGATGGAGATGGAGGACGTTGATGCTGGACGACCACGCGGTGTGCCGAACGTGGGCCATCTGTAGCCGTCTGTCGTCTCCGTATCCATATCCCCTATATCCATTTGGTCATATCTATACTCCGTAATGTCCATATAATGGCATATAATAGCCATAAGTACTTCGTATGGCGGACGGGGCCCAAGACACGTGGCTTGTTTCTAGAAGCCTTCGAGAAGGATAGAAGGATAGAAGGATGCGTAGACGAGAGGATAGACGAGAGATAGACGAGCGATGGAGTTGATAGACAGAGGCGCTCTCGTCCGTCTGCTAGCTCAGGGCCACAGTCGCACGCCGCAGAGCCAGATCGGGCAGGTCGACCGCATATTTGTTTTTCTCTCTTCTCTCTGCTCTGATCTCTTCTCACGTTACACTGATACGGGAGATGCGATGGGCAGTCGTCCATGCTGGCAGATAGGAGGTCTGGTACTCCGTATGGGATAGGATAGGGAGAGGTGGCACGCTAGGAAGCGAAGCCCGTACGACGAAGATATACTCCGAACGCTCCCTGCTCTCTGCAATCCACAGACTGCCTGAGATCGATCGGATGCGATCGCAACTAGGCCCTTATCTTACGAGTCGAATCGTCTCAGCCAACCAGCAGCCGTCACCACTGGAAAAAGCACATATCCCACCGCGAGCAGGAGGAGAAGAAGCAAAAGGGAGAATGCCACGCATGATAATCCTGCGCTCAGACCCCGGGTTGCCCATCTTTTCGCCAGTGACGAGCAGGAGAGCGTACCCAGCAAACAATTGGCAAAAGCCACGAAGCTGCTAGTTTCGTGCAGTGGGCGTTTTGGCCCTCAGTCCATCGACCTCCCACGCCCGCCAGTCCCACGCTAGAAGGATGGAAGAGAGACTGTTTCGGAGATCTGATCGCGGCGGGTCGAACACGGCTGGAATGCTCCCGGTGAAGCTGAAGATGTTTAAGGGGGAGAAAGGGGTACTGCCCGGCAGGTACCGATGCATCTATGATACGTTAGACAGTACTTCTGGCGGAGTATCCCGTGGACTTGCATATATCCTGACAATCTTCCTAACCTGATATATATCCTGACAATCTTCCTACTGACAATCTTCCTACTGACAATCTTCCTCCTAACAATCTTCATCGAATGACGTATCTCACCGCTCATCCATGTCTCGTAGCATGTATAGAGGACGCAAGGATGGCACATCTCTCGGCACCAGGACGATGCTTATCTGCCGGCGCAGTATATAGAAGTAAATGCTTCTTTCTCACCCTTGCAATGCTTCATAGATGTCGACATGGAGATAAGCATGCTGCCCTGGTCGCTGGGCCATGTATACCCCCGGAGTACTGAAGACATCAACCTTATATACCTATACAGGAGGCATGTCTAGCGCAAAGGCAGTGATCAGGACAGGCTGATCCCCGATCACAGCATCCTGACATCGAACCACACGAGCAGATACCAGGACGCGTATCTCTTCTGCGATCGACCTACCCCGTATACTCTACACCAGTCCGTACTCCATACTACATCGGACCCTATAGGTCCATGGCAGTCAGCAGCCAGCAGCTGGGATCTCGATCCATGGGTCACCCAGGCGTCAGGCGTAGGACGGGACGTCTGGTGTCTGGACGAAGCGAGCAGCGGCTGGACGCGAAGGTTAAAGCGAAAGTGAATGAAGCTTTGCATGGTCTTGATATGCTTATACCGTGTGGAGAAGCTGGCATCTAATGGAATCATCTCTGGCTGGGGTCGATTCGACGGAGAATACTCGGCTGAGCTGACATGCTTATTCATGCTTATATGATTATCTGTCTATTATTATGATCTATTATTATGACCCATTATCTATATCTATTATTATTATCTATTATATATATATATATATATTATGATCTCGGTCAGTATGGTATGTACGGATATATTGTTATGTGATCCTGCTGACTACACCTATATTCGTACCTATTATCATCTATGTCTGTATATGTGTATGTCTATCTGTATCTATACATGTCTGTATATGTGTCTATCTGTCGTGTATATCTATGTCTACCTGTATATGTCTATCTATATATGTCTATCTATATCTATATGTGTTGTATATATGTGTAGTGTATATGTGTCGGCGATTTGATGTTCCATGTCGACGGCAGGGCGTCTTGGTCTTGGACATGCGTAAAATCTCTTTAGCTGATCAACCACCACTAAGGAGAACGCCATCTTCCTCTCGACGCCCTCGTCTTCGTCATCCGTCTTCGTCATCGCCCTATATATCACTATGCTCTCTTCTCTGCGGGTAGCCGGCCGCTCGGCCGTGACACGTGAGGCTGGAAAGCGCTTCTTCGTTGCTGGAGCTCGCCAGGCCTCGACATGGGGAGCAGTGCCCCAGGGACCGCCGGTGAGTGGACTCTAATAGCTGGAATTGGAGGAATTGAAGAATGAAGATTGAAGAATGAGTGACTGACAGACGACAGGACGCGATTCTGGGCATCACGGAAGCCTTCAAGGCGGACTCGTTCAAGGAGAAGATCAACCTCGGCGTAGGAGCTTACCGTATGATATCTTCCTCCCCGGTATAGACATGGCAGGGTGACGGACCTCGCTGACGGACCGTGTTGCTCAATTGACAGGAGACGACCAGGGAAAGCCATACGTGCTTCCCTCCGTCAAGGCCGCTGAGGCCAAAGTCGTCGGCGCCAGCCTCGACAAGGAGTACGCCGGCATCACCGGTATCCCGGCCTTCACCAAGTCTGCTGCAGAGCTTGCGTACGGCAAGGACAGCGCGGCCATCAAGGACGGGCGCGTGGCCATCACCCAGACCATCTCCGGCACCGGTGCCCTGCGAGTCGCCGCCGCGTTTCTCGAGCGTTTCTACCCTGCCGGCAAGAAGATCTATATCCCCACGCCCAGCTGGGCCAACCATGGCGCCGTCTTCAAGGACGCCGGCCTCGAGGTCGAGAAGTACAGATACTACAACAAGGAGACCATCGGATTGGACTTTGAGGGCCTCATCGCTGACATGAAGGCTGCACCGGAGAAGAGCGTCTTCCTCCTGCACGCCTGTGCCCATAACCCAACTGGAATCGACCCTACCCAGACCCAATGGCGTGAGATCGCCGAGGTGATGAAGAGTAAGGGCCACTTTGCCTTCTTCGACATGGCCTACCAGGGCTTCGCTAGCGGAGACATCAACAAGGACGCCTATGCTCTTCGCTACTTTGTCGAGCAGGGCATGTCTCTCCTTCTCTGCCAGAGCTTCGCCAAAAACATGGTATGTCTCCTCTACTACTACTTTCTCTTTTATTTCTTGGTTAATGCTAAGTGATATAGGGTCTGTACGGTGAGCGTGTCGGCGCATTCTCCGTTGCCTGTGAGTCCGTCGAGGAGAAGAAGCGCGTTGACTCGCAGATCAAGATCCTCGTCCGCCCGCTCTACTCTAACCCCCCCGTCCACGGTGCTCGCATCGCCTCTACCATCATGAACGACCCCGAGCTCAACAAGCAGTGGCTCGGCGAGCTCAAGAGCATGGCCGACCGCATCATCGAGATGAGAGCCCTGCTCAAGGATAACCTCGAGAAGCTCGGAAGCAAGCATGACTGGAGCCACATCACCTCCCAGGTAGGCCCCCTTCTCAGTTCAACATGTTCTAAGCTAACGACCACAGATTGGAATGTTCGCATACACCGGTCTCAAGCCAGAGCAGATGGAGAAACTGGCCAAGGAGGTAAGCTGTCCCCGTTCAGAGATTCTGTTCAAAGCTGACTGACGTTTCTAGCACTCCGTCTACGCTACCAAGGACGGCCGTATCTCTGTTGCCGGCATCACCTCCGCCAACGTCAAGCGCCTTGCCGAGTCCATCTACAAGGTCACCGGCTAGACCTGGTTTCACCCCGAAACCTACTCCGTCCTCCTCCCATCCATGTTCTCATCCATGTTCTCAGGGCACTTCTATCTCCCGCCCTCGTCCTCAAACGCCTTGGATATGTAGGGCGCGGCCTGTACAATACTATAATGTGTCATTGATTAGAAGTTAGACTGCTTGATCTCTCTCCCTCCCTCCCTCTCTCTCTCTCTCTCCATACCTCTCTTCTACGTATACTCCGTATCATTGTATATCATATTGCATATCATAGTATAATATCAGAATTAATCCCGGGATGCTCCATCACATGTTGCTACGCCCTTTAACCTCGCTCTTGGCGGCTTCACCAACTTCGTCAAAACTTCGTCACCATCGCCAACTTCAACTTCATCTTCATCGTCTCGTACCCATCGTGACGCTATCTCTACTGCGTTGCCGCGCTCAATTAATACGAGCGAGCCTGCGTCCTGCTCCGCGTCGTGTTCAGCGCTTGCCTAAATATTTTATTTATACCCTGCATGGTGCAGGTTGAACCTCGGAAGTTGGACCTCCATCCGCCCGCCCGGTAAACACGCAACTATCAACTATTCAACTATTCAACAACAGCTCGCAAGTCGCCTATAGACGAGCTCTACCGGTCTATCCACCTAGATTCTTCGTATAACGCCTATTGTTATTGATATACACCTCGCTCGTTCACAACACACCATGGCTCATCCGAGTCTCCCACTCGCCGTACAGGCCAAGCTGATATCCGTCGTCCGCTCGACCTCTGGCGCAGTCTTTACCTTCTCCAATTTCGACATGTAGGTGCCTCTCGGCCTTGGACTGCTTCATACCATTATTCCATACCGTCGTTATTGTATGAGACTGCGTGATCGAGACTAACTGTTGCCTCATAGACTCCGCAACGTCGTCTTCTTCATCTTCCTACTCCGCTTTCTACGAAGGTCCTTCTACATAATTCGCGGCCAGGGAATATTCGGCAGCATCAGAAATGTCTTCCTACAGGTCCGGCTGACCTTCTATACCCTCTTCCTGCGCGCTCCGGGCGTGCGTGGCCAGGTCGACAAGCAGGTCTCCACGGCCATATCGAAGCTGGAACAGAAGCTTGCGCCGCAGGAGCCAGGCATGATAAAGTATATGAGTCTGCCCAAGAAGGCGTTGAGCCATGAGCAGGTCCGCGCGGAGCTCGACAAGCTCGCTGGCATGAAGCATACTATGTGGGAAGACGGGAGAGTCAGTGGCGCCGTGTATCATGGCGGCGAGGACTTGATGAAACTCCAGACTGTGGCCTTTGGCCAATTTGCCGTCACCAATCCGATTCATCCTGACGTTTTCCCTGGCGTGAGAAAGATGGAAGCTGAAGTCGTGGCCATGGTTAGTTTGCTCTTTTTTTTATTTCCCTTTCCCTTCCCATTTCCCCTCGACGAGACAGATGGCTGATATATAATTGCTAGGTTTCGGCCTTGTTTCACGGCCCTGAAGGCTCTGCTGGTGTGACTACTAGCGGTGGAACCGAGTCTATCCTCATGGCTTGTCTGTCAGCTCGCCAGAAGGCATATGCTGAACGGGGTGTGACCGAGCCCGAGATGTATGACATTTCAGATTTGAAAAAAAAAACCCAACCCCTGCTGAGTAGTGTGACTAATTAAATTCGCGATAGGATTGTGCCCGAAACCGCCCATGCGGCCTTCACTAAGGCTGCTGAATATTTCGGCATCAAATTCCACTCTGTGCCGTGCCCAGGCCCTAACTATCTCGTGGACGTCTCCGCGGTCCGCCGTCTCATCAACCCAAACACCATCATACTAGTTGGATCGGCGCCTAACTTCCCCCACGGCCTGGTAGACGACATCCCAGCCCTATCACGGTTGGCAGTCACCTACAAGATCCCCTTGCACGTCGACTGCTGTCTTGGCTCATTTGTTATTGCATTCCTGAAGAAGTCCGGTTTCCCTTCCCCGTACGAAGATCAGGGTGGTTTTGACTTCCGCCTTCCGGGTGTCACCAGTATCAGCGTTGATACCCACAAATATGGATTCGCTCCTAAAGGTAGTTCCGTCGTCCTATATCGCAACCGCTCCTACCGCACCTATCAGTACTTTGTCATGCCAAACTGGCCTGGTGGCGTCTACGCCTCTCCATCCATGGCCGGCTCTCGTCCCGGAGCGTTGATCGCCGGATGCTGGAGCAGTATGATGGCCGTCGGTGAATCAGGGTACATCGACAGCTGCCACCAGATCATCGGCGCAGCCAGAAAATTCGAGTCAGCCATCCGTGAAAACCCGGACCTCTCCTCCGCTCTTGAAGTAGTTGGCAAACCCATGATTAGCGTCGTGGGGTTCATGTCCTCAACTCTCGAAGTCGACATCTATGACGTCGCCGATGCCATGTCCGCTATGGGCTGGCATCTGAATGCCCTGCAATCCCCACCTGCAATGCACGTTGCCTTCACTCTACCGACTGCCAGGGCCGTCGACAAGCTGATAGAAGACCTAAAGACCGTCATCAAACAGGAACAAGCCAAGGCCGCCGAGAGAAAGGCCGCTGGCATCAAGGTCGAGAAGAAACGCGGCGATACTTCTGCCTTGTACGGTGTTGCTGGAAGTATTCCGGACAAGAGCATTGTCCGTCGTCTCGCCGAGGGTTTCCTGGATACTCTCTACCTCAACTAGATTTTGTCTCGGATACATGGCTTCGTTGTATGTGCTGTACGTTGTACGCTTTCTTGGAATAAAGGATTGGGGTGACCTACGACTTTCCTTCCTATAAAACCTGTCTCTTAAAACGGCTGTCCCGGGAGACATTGTATATTCGGGTGTCGCTTGTGGTGCAAGCTTGGTGTTTATAATTATAACTATTATTATTTCACTTGTATATTCTCCTCCTATCTTGCTCATCCTGTAGATGGATAGTTATTGAGTCCGTGCTGAAAAGATGTTAGTGGAATCAAAACATTAAGAGAGAATACATTCTATAATACACAGTACAAGGTATCAGCTATTCATAGTGCTTTACATCCAACTTGCTTCCTCAGCATATCTCTCAGGCTTCTCTCTTCTCCCTGTAGACCTCCTCGGCCCTCTTCTCAACATAATATCCTGGGTCCGGCTTCCTCTCCAAATGTACCTGTTCCTTGGCCAAAGGCTGATCGACCTCCTTGACTGCAACTAGCTCCTTCACTTTCATGATCTGACCTGCAACATCTCGGCTGACGGGGTAGAAGACTGTGGCCATTCGTTTCTTCAGACCGAGCGCATGCAGAACGCCTGTGGTGCGGCGGGGGAGACCGATGGCAGAGCGGATGAGGGTTATCCGGAAGTAAGTCATGGTGTAGTTGGTATATTCGATATTTGATGTTTTTTGAGGTTGAGCAGAAGTGAGTTGAGGGAAGTTCCAGGTGTTGTGGTAGTTTATGTGTTATTGTAGAAGCAGCAAGCGAGGCCGCACAAGAGTTCACTTTCTCTGCTCAGTTGTTTGTGCAAGATATCCTCCCTCCCTGCAGACTTCCTCCTAACTGCACTGTCTGGTCCTATTTGAAGCTGGATAACAGTGCAAGGTCGGCGTTGGCTGTGATATCTGCTCTGTCCAGAAGAGCCTGCTGTGATCCTGATAGAACTGCTGGCTTGCGTCGTTTGGCCTGCGTGCCTCAGATTCCAGAAAGAGCCTGATTCTCCCTTGTCCGTCTGTTGTCTTCCTGTTCACTGGCTCTCTATCACGCCCTCAAGGCCATTCCCCGGCGTTCCAGTGTGAGCGTTCGTCGGTCGCAGGCGTTGTCGAGGCGTACGTTCACAACCGGGCTCCAGCGCAGGCTGAGCAGAACAGCACGATATCCTCCTGTCTATCCTCGGTCGTATGGTCCGTCGAAGGTCAATTGGCCCTTTACTCGTCGATTAGCTGCTGTTTTTATCTGCTATTCGTCCGTGTCGAGGGTTGAAGCTGGGATAAAATTATATCGGAACATCGATAGTCCGCGGTAAGATGGCGGACCGTCGCAAAGGCCGGCTCAGCCTCCTGCCAGGGTCAACGCCGTCTGTGGCGCAACGACGAGCTGCGTTTGAGCAGAACATCGACAGCGCGAAGGGCGAGAAGCAGGAGAGTCCTGAGAAACCACGGCGCGTTGGGCCTGACCGAGAGCTCCCGAAGACACCAGGCCAATTGACTCGAAGGGGGAAGCCAGAGACACCGGAGACACAGCAGAGTGAAGCAAAGGTTGGACTAGAGAGGGAACTAGAGAGGCAACTAGAGAGAGAACAGTTGGAGAGCGCCAGAGACAAGGACGCACCGAGAGCAGTGCCAAGCTCCGCAAAGTCGCTGCAGACGATACTTGCCCGCCTAAACACTACAGTCAAGCCAAACCGCCCTTTCGACTTTGGCGGCGGTGACATATCGCATTCACCTCCCTTCCAGCACCCTCGATGGAAAGCAGCTCAGGCTAAGCCAGCATCGCCATCGACCCTACGGACAGTGACTACAGCTTCGCCTGTCCCAACTCCCACTCCCATCACAACACCCGCCCTTACAAACAGCAGCACCGAAACAGTCTCCTCTGCCCCCCCTCTTCCTCCAAAAGACAAACCGGCCAGCAATGATCCTTCTCCTGAACGACCTTGCAAACCAGACTCTATAAACGCACCTAGCACTACCTCGAGAGTATCTCGACTGATCGCACAGATGGCAGACGACAACAGTTCGGACAGCAACCTGGTGGTGCCTCGGTTGGAAGACTTGCTACGTCACCCTGAAGACCTGGAAAAGATCTCGGTACTCAAGGCTGAATATACCAGAAAGAAAGAGAATGTCGACTCGCAGCTTCGAGAAGGCCTGCGGGACCAGCTCGAGTTGGTACAGCGGAGCTTGGCGAATTTGGCTGAAGGCCGACGCCAGATCATGGATGTGAAGAAGGGGCCTCAGGGGATAGACAAGCTGTGGGCAGAGTCACAGTCCGCACTTGGTGACTTTGCACAGATAGACAAGCTTGCAAAGATACAGCGGAACTTCGAGGCCGTTCTTTTTATGAAAAAGGGGATGGAGAGCTTCCAGAACGATGTTGCCGAAGTCGAGCAGCTGTTGAGAGAAGACGACCGAGATATGGAGAACCAGCCTAATCTCCTAAAGATACACATGTCCATTTCCCGTCTACGAGACTTCCGGGATGAAGCCATGGACCAGATCCGAAGAGCCAAGGATAAAAGCAGCGAGGCGACCCTGATAGAGCTGTTTGAAGGTTTAGGCCCGGCCATTGAGTGGTTCGACGACCATCTTGGGACTGCATGCATGAACATCATCCCCTTGGTCCAGTCTGATAACCGCGGCATGGTGGTTAGACTGGCTGTCGTCATTGCGAATGAAGAGAAGAACGATGCCAAGGTCCGGGCTTTACAAGATGCTCAGAAGGACCATGAATACCTTGCCAGCAGGTTCAAGTCTATGAATATCGGTCCCAAGACGATCAGAGGATACAAGGAGAATTTCTTAAAGAGTATCGAGCTATACGCGCAGCCGTACTTTGAAGAGTCGAAACAGGAATTCATGGACGATCCCGATAGATTGGAAAAGAGCTTCAAGTGGTTTTTCAACGACCTGTTCACCGTCAAGCAAGGAATGCAGACGTTGATGCCCAAGAAGTGGAAGATCTTCAAGACCTACACAGACATCTACCATAGAATGATGCACGACTGGCTTATCGAATTTGTCGACAACCCACAGATGCCGGCTGCGAACATGCTTGCCATCATCAACTGGACAGAAAAGTATTACAAGAAAATGAAAAAGCTAGGCTGGGAGGCTTCCGACCTCGTTCCCAACGTCCTCGATGATCGCGAAGGGGAACTCGTACAAGACTGGAGAAACCTCATCGTCAAGGCGTTGGATGAATGGATGGACAGGATGTTCAACACAGATAAGCGAGCCTTCCTGGATCGTGATATGGATTCTTTAGATACCAACCCCGAAGGATACTTCCGCACGAAGACACTGGGAGACATGTGGCGTATGATCCACGAACAACTCCTCGCGGCTGGGGCTTCTCAGAGAACCGATGTGGCCGAGGGTGTGGTGGATGCGATGTTCCGCTCATTGAAAAGTCGACAGTCAACGTGGCAGGCTCTGCTAGACGAGGAATGTTCAAAGTATAAGACTCCTGGCACCGATCAATCAGAGAGTCTACAGCAGTTCCAGGACTGGCTTATCGCCGTTGCCAATGACCAGATCGCATGTATTGACGACAACGACATATCAGGCCAATTAGGCCACTTGACACGATTCAACCGCGATTTCGAGCCACTCGTTACAGACAAGTTCTTGACGACACACGCGGCCACTGAGCTAGCAATTCTGCGTGATGGATACGTCGATCTAGGAACCCACTGTATCTCCGTTTTCATCGATCTCATCTTCTCCGTCGACTTCCGCACCACGTTACCCGAATTCTTTACTCAGAAATGGTACGGCGAATTTGCCATGAAGCGCATGATCTCTACATTCGAAGATTACATTAGCGACTACCACTCCGTCCTCCACCCAAGTTTACGAGATATCCTCGTTGAAGAAATCTCAGACGAGCTTCTAGTCCACTATCTCTCCTCGATTCGCAACCGAGGAGCCAAGTTCCGCCGTCAAGACCCTTACACCGAAAAATTCAAAGACGACGTCCTCACTGTTTTTGGCTTCTTCCAGAAGTTCCCTGACTCCTTTGGCGGAGGTATCAAGGACCGTTGGCGACTTGTTGACTGGTTGGTGCGTCTACTCGATGCCGACAAGGCTGGCATCGTCGTTGTCTACGAAGGCTTCAAAACCGAATACTGGGACTTGCAACTCTCGTGGGTTGAGGCCGTTCTACGCTCTCGAGACGACTTTGAAAGATCCATGGTCAGCGCCGTCAAGGCCAAGGCTGCCGAGCTCTCTGTGGAAATGGGCCCGGATACCCTCATGGGTAGAGTGAGATAATGATACCTAGTACGAGTGACGTGAATTGGACTCGATACCACGATTGTTTGAATATATCGAATTGGGCTTCTCCTTTTTTTTTTTTGTGTGTGATTGGGTTGCGCCTGTTGCCATTTCAGTGATAGCTGCGCCTGGCGTTTGATGGGACAGCATTCGTGGAGTTAATGAATCGGGAATGGGCCAACAGTGTTAGAATATACCTTGTATGAATTTTACGCAGGAAATAGGTTTAAATAAAAAAATAATGTTTGTGTTTATCTCCAGAAAATCATAAATTCCTTGGGCATATGGTGAGCTTAGCATAACTAGACGCATAAGAGGAGGCCTTAATCAGATGGTATTCAAAAAGAATCATTTCAATTCATGTTCATTTCGAAGAGAAGCTTAGACTCCGTTCTCCAATTATTTTATATTCTTGCCCGAGTACTGGACCATAGTTTGCCTCGTTGGGTACTGGCTTTGCGCCCATCTCGCAGATACACAGCCGGTTTATCGGAATATTTTGGGCCCATTTGAACGGCTCATTGGCTGTTTGGGGCTCTTTATCCTTCATATTCCTTGAAACGGCCTTTCCATGAGGCCGGGACTGCTGGTGGTGTTGATTACCCCCAAACATCTCTAGTAACTCGGTTGCATCAAAGGTGAAAACTGATTTCCCCTTGTCTCTCTCCCCCTTATTACCTTTTTGTGGAGGACTCCTTCGTTTCCCAAGATAGATGGTATTTGCAATGGTTGCATGGAGAAGTAGAGGACGCGGCCTTTCCGTCTGGGCAGTTGCATTCGGGTTTTGAGCGTTGGATAGCCCCCTGTTCCCAGCTGTGTCATCCTCTTGTCGGCTATTGGTATCATCACCCCTCGAACCTTCACCGTTTCTGCTACTTTCTATACTGGCAGCCCCTTTATTAGGAGGATTAACCCGCATCATATCACGGTGCATAAAGCCAGCGTCCATGAACTTTTCACGCAGCTTCACACAGAATGGGTATAAGCGGCCTGTGATATCCAGTGGTGAAGCATGGAGAATTGTAGCAGATCGGGCTCTTGGAAGAGCATGCAGCGAGACCAAGTCGATAGTTAGGGGCTCCGTCAAGCTAGTCTCACCCAAGTCATATCCTTGAAGGGAAGTCTGGCGTGACTTTACTTCAAGCGTAGCCTCTTGCATTATCGAAGCGAGATCAAGAGACTGGAGAAAAGCTAAGGCGTCGTCTAGACGTTCTTGCGTGGTCAGGCTCATAACGCCCAGGGTAAAATGCAGCGTTCCCAGCGGCCGAAGTGCTCCATACGGAACCAGCGGTGTATCTGGGACATGCCCTGCCGCTGGACCGGGGGGAGGGACGAGTGGAATCAATGATTTGAATTCCGCCAGGGAGTCCGCCAGCTGAGATATAGATGTTTGGTTGATAAGAGGAACGCATAAGAAGTGTGTCAATGGTGGTTTGCTATTTCCTTGGTTTCCTTTCCCCTGTCTTGGGCCGTAATTCTTCTTCATCCCGCTGGAATAGGAGATATGATATGCCCGAGATCCCTGGAAACGCGTGATATTATAGACTTGCTTCCGGGCGTGGTGTTTTATCATCGGCCAGGCTGTGATATTAGTCCCAAGGCGCGTCCTAACGCAAGTATGGCCTGATAATATTCGCTAAATCCAGTGAGCAGTTACGTATGTCCCGTGTCTATGCCGGGATATATAATTTGCACCAGTAAATATAAAACCAGACCGCCGTTGTGTAGTTTGTTGGAGTTCTGCGCTGTGGTGAGCATCGCGTTGCAGAGTTGGATGCGACATCGACGTCATTCTCGGACAGAGCTTCTTCCTCTCCACAACAAACCAAGTACAAGTGTTTTTCTTCAACTCCGCCAACGGTCAACAACAACCACTCAATTGCCTATAACCTGCTACAAGAAACCATTGATCCATCGTCAATCGAACGCCTGCCTTTATCTACTCACAATGCTATCCAGAACCAGCAGCCGGGGAGCTATTCGCTCGTTTCTTTCGTCCTCTCGCCATCAACCTCTCATTGTCGCAACCGCCAGACCACATATACAGTCAAGGATAGCCTGTCCAACGGCCGTCCGTTCAATCCCACAGAGAGCATTCCATTCCTCTCCCCCAGCGTACAAGGGAATCACACCACACTCTTCAGACCCTGCTCCACCGAATCCTGAACCCAACCTTATCGGAGTAAAGCAGGCCACAGAGCCATCATATATATCCGAGCCAGACTACCGCGACCGCTCTGAGGAATATTTCAATGTGTTGTTGGCTGAGATAGAGAGGATGCAGGAGGAAGGCGGATCAGAGGTAGAGGCCGAGTACAGTGTACGTGACAGCTCTATTCCATCTTTAATCTCTCTTACACTACCCTACATAAATTGTTTGCTTTTTACTTATCAATATTCTAATAGGCCGGAGTTCTTAACGTTACTGTCCCTGGAGTCGGCACCTATGTGCTCAACAAGCAGCCGCCAAATAAGCAGATATGGCTTAGCTCGCCCATCTCTGGCCCCAAGAGATTCGACTGGGTTGTTCAGGGAGATGAAATGGCCGAGAAAGAAGGCACTCGGGCATACATCGGCGGACAGTGGATATACCTTCGTGACGGATCGAATTTGACGGACATACTGAATAAAGAGTTAAACTTGGAGATGGGCGAAAAGATCTATGAGGAGTGAGATATGCGATTTAAGCTTCTCAGGTCTTCTGATTTCACGCTAGACGTTGAATTGCGGACTGGTAAAGTCGCAGCTGTACATGTACATTCTCTTATATTTATGGTATAATACCAAAGTCCCATAGGGGTCACGCCATTCCATTTGGCGGAGCCTTCACCCTTGTCCCAGCTCCTAATTCTTCTTTCTCGTCTTCTCGACATAGCCACCTAGGCACGCGTCTGCCATATGCACTATAACAATGCCCCCTTTCCAGGTCGTATATATCTTCCAGTTTGGGTTTAGGACTGGTAGCTGGCGCCTTGCCCATCATGTGCAGGTGTAGCGCGACCTGAGTTCTTCCACGCACCACCAGGAAACGTGGTTATTTAGTACAGCGTATCCTTAACAAACTCGATATCGCGTTCATCCGCCATGGAGCCGGTATTTCGGTGCATGTAGCGTAGCGTAACGACGCCTCGTTTCGTTAGACTCATTTGTCTTAACCGACGCCCTCTCTTTACGCAGTAATAGCAGTTGCCATTCCGCCGTTATCACCATTGTCATCCTTCGGTAGGTCATCCTAACCGCGGTTTCATATTAGCATTACCGTCCAACCTCATCTATAACAAATTATCCAAACAAATATTGACTTGATGAAATCTCACCTCATCGAAGATGACTTTAATCATTAAACTACAGCTGGGGCAGATGCCGATTTCCTCTCCATCGCGCAAATCTGCAAGACCGATTTCAAACCTGTCTCCGCAGGGGCATGGGTAGTGGTATATTTGAAGTACGGGGTCGAAGGTCATGTCTTCGATTTCGATTTCGTCGTAGATCGAGACGCCGTCAGCCATAGCGACAACTCTTATCAAGTACAGCTATAATATGAGGTTTGAGGAGAGAGATGCGTGTTTTGTACGATGAGAGTGGGATAGATTGCTCATGTTTCCTAAGAAATTTTTGTGGCGCTGATAAGATTCGTTTTCTTACGTCATCATGTATTGACATATCACATGATATTTGTTTGATAATATATAGGTCAGGTGGTTTCAGTACCATTTACTAAGCAGTTTATTTCCTAATTAACGTAATCCACATGCGAGCCGGCCACCCAAGCGAGCCGGCCACCAAATTCAAACGCGTACACTTTTTAACTAATTAACAACTTCTATACGCGATAATGCTACTAATTTATAACAAAAATAATAGAAACTCTATAAAGATAGAAGGAAAGATTAAACTTATAATTCTTACTTTAAAAAATAAAGAAATTACCTCTATTTATAAAGCTATATATTAATTTAATATACTAAGGTTAACTCTTATAGATTAACTTAAAGGCCACCCTTTATATATAAATTTATATATAAACTCATATAAATTAATAAATATTAAAGAGGAATTACTTATTTAATAGATTCTTGTCACAAGCTGACGGCGCTCCTTGATTACCTAAAGGTAATCAGAGGTTCACACCTGCCGTAAGACAGAAGGTACGAAGATCTTAGGGAAAGCTTAAGTTAGAAGTAAATCATTATAGGAGATAGCTTAGTACTAAGGTAAGATAGAATACTATAGTGAGACTATCCCTTAGTTCTAAATATGGCTTTAGTCAGTGCCTGGGTTAGATAAAGGCTAAAGGTCTTTATAAGTAGTAAAGACAAAGTTGATCTATATTAATGGGCAAAGAGGTATTCAGTGAATATAGTATAAGATAACTAGAATGGTGCTTTATATTAAGTAGTATAGTAAAACTATAGCTAGTTTAATCGCGAGTATAAGACTCTTAATCCTAAGGAAATAAGCATCTTTATATATATAGTATATCCAATCCCTTCCTCCTGATTCTTCTCAGGTCCCATCATAGACCTGATATCTTGGTCTCTTTGTGGACCTTTCATGTTCGGTCCTATAGGGACCTGTCCCTGGTCTTGGCATCTGGGACCTGTCCTTATGGTCACGTGATGTATAGTTATTCTGTCCCAGAATCTTGTTATCCAATAAGTGTATATCTTAAGGCTACGCCGCAGGTGGTCTATAATATTATCCCCTCCTTTCTCATTAAGTCGTCTTAATAAGTATATAAGTAGTAAGTATATTTCCCTCTTTTTTATTAGGTAAGTCTCCTTTCTTCCTTTATTATGGCTCCCCATTCTATTATAAAGAAATCTTCCTATCTTCCCCACAACCGGGCTACTAAGCATATGATTCTGGCGGCAGCCATCAATTGTTCTGGTTCCTTATCGCGTTCTTATTATAATAACTGTTTTTGATCTCTTCAGCCTTATATTGTGATAGATTCTCACAGCAAACATTATTCCTCTTATATTCATAAGGATTGTCCTTGCGTCGGCCGTCTTATTGTCACAAGCTGATGGCGCTCCTTGATTACCTAAAGGTGATCAGAGGTTCACACCTGCCGTAAGACAGAAGGTATAAAGGTCTTAGGGAAAGCTTAAGTTAGAAGTGAGTTGTTATAGGAGACGGCTCAGTACTAAGGCAAGATAGAATACTATAGTGAGACTATCCCTCAGTTCTAAGTGTGGCTTTAGTCAGTGCCTGGGTCGGATGAAGGCTAAAGGTCCTTATGAGCAGTAAAGACAAAGTTGACCTACATTAATAGGCAAAGGGATATTCAGTGAATATAATATAAGACAACTGGAATGGTGCTTTGTATTAAGCAGTATGGTAAAACTGTAGCTGGTTTGATCGCGAGTATAAGACTCTTGATCCTGAGGTAATAAGCATCCTTATATATATGGTATATATTTAGTGATAGGTACGATAGTTCTCCACCAAGGGGTTCCTATCACTCCTATCGGTTGTCGTGATAGTATTAATAGAAAGCTGCCAAGCCCATCCTATCAATTCTATCACTATTGGTCACATGACTAGTGCCCTCAAGGTCTGGCCCGTGATCCTCCCATCCAATGAGTGTATATCCTGGGGCTGCGCCGCAGGTGGTCTGTAACATCATCCCCTCCTTTCTCAACAAGTCGTCCCAACGCGCATATATAAACCTGGTTGGTTTCCCTCTCCTTGGTTCATTATTGTGTTTTTCTTGAGTATGCCTCGCCATGGCTCGTTCTAAGGGTGTTGCTGATGTTCCAAAGTCTTCCAAAGATTCTTCCTCCATCCGTGCTCGTGTGCTAAAAGAAAACATTGCAAAAACTAGTGTCACAATGCCTTCCCGTTATGTTCGTTGTTTGGAGAATGGCAACCTCTATATCATGTCGTCTCATTCCACAAAGTGTTTAAAGTGTATCCATGCGGGTCATCCTTGTGTTCACGATCATGCACCTTCTTCATCTAACTGGGCCAAAGTTTGGCGTGAAAAGGAAAAGTTGAAGTTAAAAGAACGTGAGGCTCACAAGGAATCTCAGCAAATTCACAAAGCCTTTCAAAAAGCATTAAATGATTCTAATGCCCATCTCAATCATCTTGCTCGTCAGCACAAGTTCCTTCAGAATCATATCAGTAAGTTTGTTGAATCATCTATCAAGACCGTGGAGGAGTTAGAAAAGTTAAAGGAAGAGAAGAGTCGTCTAGCCAAGCTCCAAGAGCATGACTTCTAACGGCTCCTAAATGAACTAAGTTCTTCATCTAACCTTACTTTATTCCTAGATCCCGCTCCGCTGATCTCTTCTCCTAACGCTGAGTCCGCTGGTAAAACTCCTTTACTAGGCGCGGTGAATCCTTTAGGTGTCTAGCTAGCTTATAAGTGTTTTCTAAGAAGTTGTATCCTTTCCATTTGACCAAATAGTGAGTTTGTCCACTAATCACTTTCTTGTCTAGGATCTTTTCAACTTTATATTCTTTTTCTTGATTTTCTGGTTGTATCTCTGGTTCGTATGGTTTGGCGTTTTGGGGTGCTTTTTCAATTAGTGAAACGTGAAATGTTGGGTATATTTGCATATGCTCTGGGAGTTGGAGTTTGTAATTGAGTTGTCCAATTTTTTCCAAAATCTTGAATAGTCCCAGTTTCTTGTGATCCAATTTGTCGCTTGGTCTCAATGTCTTAATATTTCATCGAAGTAGGAATACTTTTTCCCCCTTCTTAAAGTCTGGCGCTTCCACATGCTGTTAGTCATAATAGTGTTTCATTCTATAGTTTAAGAATTCAAGATTCAACTATAGGTGTCTATAGAGTTCGCGCATTTGTTCTGCCGAAACCTCTGCTTCTAAGGCATGTGTTTTGCCTTCTCTTAGTGTTTTTATCGTTTCTATTTCTCTTCCATAATTTACAAAGAAAGGTGTCATGCCTGTCGAGGCGTTCTTCGCTCCATTATAGGCGAGCTGTGCCATTGGTAGTAGTGAAACCTAGTTATCCTATTTATAGTTGATATAACATCTCAGGTACTGTTCCACTATTTGGTTCATCCTTTCGCTTTATCTGTCTGTCTGTGGGTGATATGCTATCGAGGCTTTCTGTTCAATCCCCATTCTTTTAGTGAGTGTCATCCAGAATTTATATATAAATCTTATGTCTCTATCTAATATAATTTCGTTTGGTAACCCTTTGTCTGCGAAGACATATCGTAATAGGATATATGCTGTCTCCAGTGATGTGGTCTTTTCGATAAATGGTATAAAATAAGTATACTTCGTCAGTCTGTCTGTGACTGTAAGTATCGAATTGTATTGAATGCTCATTCGTGGCTCTATTGACTTCGGTAGCTTGACTATAAAGTCCATCACTATTGATTTCCATGCTATTTCCTTGTATGGTATAGACTGTAAGAGTCTATATAGCGCGTGTTGTTCTGATTTATTTTGTTAGTAAACTTCACACTCCTGGATATATCATCTGATCTCTCTCTATATTCCTAGCCAATAGTAGTTTTGTGTAATTTGGTCTATGGTTTTTTTAATTCCAAAATGTCCTGCAACTTTTGCGTCGTGGTTGTCTCTTAGTATTTGTGGTCGTACTTCTCTGGGTATATATATCAATCCTTGATATAGAAGTATTCCGTTTTCCTTTTTGTATTTTTTGTTGTTGTCCTTGATTTGTTCAAATAAAGGATCTTTTATTATTGCTTTTCATATTTTGTTTGTTAGAGTATCTTCCTCAGTCATGACTATTCAAGTAGCCCTCAATGCTTGCTGATCTAAGATCATACCCTTAGTATCTGGATCTAGATGCAATATTACTCTAGATTCTCTTTTCTTTATTATTAAATCTGGTCTCCTACTTAACGCGTCCGCGAAGGTATTCTCTGTTCCTTTGTAATGTTGTATCTTGAAGTTGTAGTAGGCTAGTACCTCAGTGTACCATCTTGACTGTCAATAAGTGAGTTCCTTGGTCGTCGTAAAGTATGTCAGATTCTAGTAGTCGCTAATAACTGTGGTCAGATGCCTTACTCCTTGGAGCTCTTATTTCCATCTCTTAAATGCTACAACAATTACTAGTAATTCTTTGTTATAGATATCATAATTCTGTTCTGCAGGGGTCATGGTTCTTGCATAGCATGCAACCAATCTTAATTTTCCTGTGTTGTCTTTTTGTTATAATCATGCTCCAATTGCACAATCTGATGCGTCCGTATTGAGATAACTTTCTTTGTTCAGGTCGAAGTGTATTCACATGTCTCCTTGACTAAACTTTTCCTTAAGTCCTTTAAATGCTTGTTCTTCGTTGGCTCTCTAAATAAACTCTTTTGCCTTCCTAAATAGGTCCATCAAAGGTTTCGCTATTACTAAGAATTTATATATGTATTATCGATAATAATTTGCTAGTCTGTGAAACTGTTGTACTTCTTTGACTATTGTCAGCGTAGGCCAATTAATAATGGCCCTGATCTTGTCCAAGTCCATTTAGATTCCTTCTATTAACACAATATGTCCTAGGAACTTA